GGTTTAAGTCTCCACACAGTATCAAGTGAGGCAATTGCGGTGTCGGTATCTTAGATAGTACGTGGTGTAGGAAGTTTCTTTGGTTGGAGTTTGTGCCATAGATTGTTACTATCGTGTACGTTTTATTGTTAATAATGCAGTGTAGAATGATGTATCTGCCTCCCGTGTCTTTCTTGAGTTGCAATAATTCGAACGTGAGGGAGCTGTGTAGTAGTATTGAGACTCCTTTAGCTTTAGAAGTGTGTGATGAGTGGTATTGGGTTGGATAGTCCTTGGCCGCGAAATTGGGGATGCGGTTATGTACGAAGTGCGTTTCTTGGATGCATAGGATATCTATTTTGTCTTTTTTTGCTGTGTCTAGGAGGATTCTCCTCTTATGCGGCGTGTTTAGGCCGCGTACATTAATGGAGCGTATTTTTATGAATTTTTAAGAATAAGTGTATTGCTATTGCAATGGCTGTTATGACATAATGTGCATGTGGTCGGCATATGGTGGTAGTTGAAGGCCGTGTGAGGGTTTTCAGAACTTGGACGGGTAGGTGCAGGTTAGGGTTAGGTGTGAACTTAGGGAAGGAGTATTTACATGTGTTCCCAAAGGGAATTTTGGTGCGTGCGTTGCGCACCATGGGGTAGGAACAATCAGTTCCAATTCGTGTGGCTATCGGGCTTTAGTGTTATCACACTTGATTTGAACAGAAAGGGTTGTTCGAGTCTATGAGTGGCTGGCAATGTCCATAGGTGGCAGCTCGGGGCGGTGGGGCGTTTCAACAAGCAGCTGGTCAGGGGTCAAAGTTACCTACTCTGGGTTCAGTGTTTCTCATGACCTCCCCATCTCGGTCCCTCAAGTTGAGCGCGAGCACATCAGCGTCCCCCGCCCCGCTCTAGGCGGAGAGGATGAGGCCAAGGCGCCCCCCACCCGTCTCCCCCCCAATGCCACCCCCCAACTGCCCACCGGCCGCTAGCAGATCTAAATAGAGGCCCAGGATCCCAGTGACACAACAGGCAGCAGAATTGTGGGTAGTCATGCGACCAGGTCTCCCAATCTCGTGGGCCGCGGTAGCACATCAGACTAGATCTCGGGACGCGTCCTCCCGCCCGGCTCCCTCCAAGGAGGGCGGCGGGCAGGCCGAGGCGCCCAAGACCCGAGTCCACACCCACATCCATTTAGCTTGTATAACCCATATGTGATAATTAAGTTTTTTTGTAGATTTAAAAAACAAGGGTCCAGGATCTCAGTGACACAGTAGACAATAAGGTTCCCAGATGGCCATGTGACCAGTTCCCCCCGCCCCACCGACTGAGGAATCACAGCCGATCAGATCCCGGGACGCATCCCCCCGCCCGGCCCCCCCAAAGGGGGAAGGCAGGCAGGTCGAGGCGCCCGAGACCGGATTACCCACCGGTGTCAAGTTATCTTATAAATCTCTTGTGTGAGAATAAAGTTTTACCCTTTGTAGATTCAAACAGGAGCTTAAGACCTCAGTCACATAGCAAACATTAGAGTTCCCAGGTAGCTATGCGGCCAGTTCCCCCAGCCCCCCCGACTGAAGTGACACAACCGTTCAGATCCCGGGGTGCATCCCCCCACCCGGCCCCCCCACAAGGAGGGAGGCGGGCAGGTCGAGGCACCCGAGACCCGAATCCCACCGGTTTCAAGATAGCTTATGCAACTCATGTGGGAGGATAAAGTTTGTATCTAAGAAGTTCGTAGGGGCCCGAGGGTAGGGGCTATATGTGGTGATGCTGTGAGCTATCAGGCTCAGAATACTTGCGGAGGGCCCTCCCGGTTATGCGTTTGGTGGGCGATTTCGTCCACTCCAGCCGGAGTCTTCCCGCTCGTGCATTGTCCATTTCGGCATTCTCTTGTGTGGTGATGCCCCACGCTTTTAATTTCCTGAGTCCATCTTCTGGCGACAGAATGGTTTTAAAGCTGCCATCTTTATGCGCAAGGAGTTTGGTTGGGAACCCCCATCTATACCGTATGCCATGGGTGCGGAGAGCATCAGTTATTGGGGCGAATTCCTTTCGGCGTCTAAGTGTGGCAGCGGAGAGGTCGGCAAATAGCTGTACCGTAGGGAAGTCCTCGTGAGGCGCATTCCTGTTTCTGCTTTCTCGGAGAATGTGTTCTTTGATATGAAAATAATGAATGCGGATTAGAACATCCCTGGGTGTGGTGTCAGGTATATGGCGCGGCTTCGGGACCCTGTGCGCTCGGTCTACCAAAAGCATGTCGGATGGTATCTCAGGGCCGTACGCTCGGATCAATCCTCTGACATAGGCCGGTAGCTCTGCTTGTGAGACTGATTCCGGCACACCTCTTAACTGGAGATTGTTTCTCCTCGATCGGTCTTCTAGGTCGGCTAGCTTGTGTTCCATGAGGGTTATCTTGTCCGCCATAACATCCACATGGTCCGCCATGTCGTTGTGGGCCGTCGCGAAGTCGTCCATCTTGGTTTCAATGTGTGCCGTTCTGCGGCCTAGTTCTTGGACGTCCTTGCGGAGGGAGTCCATTGAGTGTTGCCATGCAGTGATAAGTTTGTGGGATAAAGCATCCATTGCTTTCGTGAGGTGGCTCGGGGTGAGTATTTCCTCCTTGCCTGAAATAGGCTGTGGAAGATCCCCTTGTTCGGCCTCCTCGTCGCCATCTTGATTAGGCAGCTGGGAGTCACTCACGGCTTGACTCGGTTTGGGGCCAAAAAAATTCATTTTTTCCGCTCGGGAAGCATTCTTCCTCGCTTTAGGCTGTGACATCTTGTTGTTGCACTCTTTTCCCCGTTTCTGTGTGCTAGGATGGCATTGGATTCTTAGCCCGGGCGCCGGAGCTCAGGATTAGACATCCATCTTGTCCGGCGGTTAGCCACGCCCCCTCTGGTCTCCTGATTTTAACCCATTAACATCAGGGTAAAACATACTAAGATTCAGCATTGATAATGAATGTTTCCTTTGACCACTGGGTCATTTAGGAACTTTTTCCAGTCCTGTATCCTTTGCTTCCTTCTCCAACCCATTGATCTGTCTACTTGCTTACAATTCTACACCATCTACTTCTACCATTGGAATGGACTTGGCAACAAGTGAGGGAGAGATGAATCATGTGGGTATGTTCTATTACTGCAACATTATTGGTCTTAATAACCCATATGCTTCAATGTACAGTTACAACAGTGATTGTATCATTGGGATGGTTTACGAATGGTCTATAATGAATAACATGAAGGCCTGGGTCTGAAACATACTCAAGCATTTCCAAAAGTCTGGAAACTGCCACGACCCAGGGGAAAACAGAAATGAATCAGGAACAGAAAAACCTCTAAACTATTTTGGGGGGGCTTTTCTTGTTTTGTTTTTTTATATTATGCATCAATACAAAAAAAGAACAAAAAGACAAATTTACAAAAGGCAGTATAAAGTCTATAGGTTACACCATAACTGCATAGAAGAGGTACGAAAGACATATACAAAACATTTAATTAAAACACAAAACACATCTTCGCAAGCGGCCAAAAAATGCAACTTAAAAAGGACTTTTCAAGAACCGGGGGAATGTGCAACTTAAACGGCACAAGAGAATTTGCCTGAACCCCTTTCAGTCTGGTCTCTTTGTCATTCCCATTTATTATTCCGATAAAAGTCAGATGACGAGGGTCTGTGCTGAGAAGATTGTTCAGACATTTTTCCCGTGGGGCGATCCTTTTTGAAAGTAGCGATCTGTGTCTTTCTCCTCCCCAAGGTAATGGTTCTTGGCGTCTGCGTCTGCAATATTGTTTCTTAATTGATAACAGAAGTGAAATACCCTACAGTTTTAACATGTTAGGCTGGAGGATCCGTGATATTACACATTGCTAGATGCTGAGAAGAGGAGGGGAAAAAATGAAAACTAAGATTTTCTCCACCAGTCAGAAAGATCTTCAACCACAATAAAGTCTTGAAAACGCAGTTTTTTTTTGTTTTTTGTTTTACAAATTTATATAATTGCCAAGTGCGCTCATGAAAATGCTGGACCTCCTCAAAATAGGTGGTACAGAATTCATTTTTTGTTAATAACATGGACTTCTTGTTCAGATTTTGTTTAATTCGTCAAAGCTTTTTATTTAATTCTTTATGGAACAGCGTGAAACTGCATATTCAAAAGAGTCTTTTGTGGGCAAAGAATGCTTGCACACACTATAAAAGTACTTGAATAGGTCCACATCAGCATTAGGTAAAACATAGAAACATAGAAACATAGAATGTGACGGCAGATAAGAACCATTCGGCCCATCTAGTCTGCCCAATTTTCTAAATACTTTCATTAGTCCCTAGTCTTATCTTATAGTTAGGATAGCCTTATGCCTATCCCACTAGTAGGTAGTGAGCCAACATCTTCAAATCTTTTAGCAAATCATTGAAGCCTAATATAACTGAAGCAGTTAGACCTGGAATAAGGAGGCCCTTGCTGCATATAGTGTGAGAGAAGCATTTAGGTTTATGGTTAAAGCATTCTTCCGTTGAGACCGGGTTACTCAGCTAAATCTTGAGGTCACCTAACAGAAAGAACATGGTAAATTCCTAAAGTCTTCCGAATTTAGCGAAGAAAACCTTAAGAATCCAAAGTCTTTCCAACTGAATGTTCGAAGGGTCAACAACATAACATGTGATTCTTTCATGGTTGTTTTTGGTGGTTTTTATGGTTCTCTAGTGATATTTTTCCCTCACATGTGCTCTTTTACAGGGATCAGGTCCCTTGTCAGACATGATCTGCAGATATCCAGGTTTCGAATAGGCTTTTTTTAATTCTATGTTAATTTTATTGTTTTGTGTTTTTTCCCCCAATAGGCAGCGGGTGACACATTGCATGTGGGGTTAGAATGTGTGATTTTAGCTTGGCTAGCTTGTGTGATATTATATTAGCTAGATTACTAAGTGAGATATTTGCAAGAACAAAAGGTAGAATATTCACCAAGTTAAAATGTGGGCAGGATATTCCCTCGGCTAGAAAGCAGGATATCCACTCGGTTAGAATGCGAGATATTCGCAGAGTTAGAATGCGGGATATTTGCTCCGTTACAATGCAGAATATTCGATCAGTTACAATGTGGGATATTCGATCAGTTACAATGCGGGATATTCTATCAGTTACAATGCGGGATATTCGATCGGTTACAATGCGGGATATTCGATCGGTTACAATGCGGGATATTCGATCAGTTACAATGCGGGATATTCGATCAGTTACAATGTGGGATATTCGTTCGGTTACAATGTGGGATATTCGATCAGTTACAATGCAGGATATTCTACCAGTTACAATGCGGATATTCGATCAGTTACAATGCGGATATTCGTTCGGTTACAATGCGGATATTCGTTCGGTTACAATGCAGGATATTCAACATTAATTTTATTGTTTTGTGTTTTCCACCCCGCCCCCCCAATAGGCAGCAGGTGACACATTGCATGTGGGGTTAGAATGTGTGATTTAGCTTGGTTAGCTTGTGTGATATTATATTAGCTAGATTACAAAGTGGGATATTTGCGAGAAAGAAGGTAGAATTTTCACTAAGTTAAAATGTGGGCAGGATATTCCCTCTGTTAGAATGCGGGATATTCGCAGGGTTAGAATGCTGGTTATTACCTCCTTTAGAATGCGAGATATTCGCTCAATTAGAATGTGGGATAGTCACTCTGTTAGAATGTGGGATATTCGCTTGGTTAGAATGCGAGGTATTCGTTTGGTTACAATGCGGGATATTTGTTCGGTTAGAATGCGAGATATTCTACTTATTGTTTTGTGTTTTTTCCCCCAATAGGCAGCAGGTGACACATTGCATGTGGGGTTAGAATGTGTGATTTTAGCTTGGCTAGCTTGTGTGATATTATATTAGCTAGATTACAAAGTGGGATATTTGCAAGAACAGAAGGTAGAATATTCACTAAGTTAAAATGTGGGCAGGATATTCCCTCTGTTAGAAAGCAGTATATCTACAAAGTTAGAATGTGGGATATACGCTGGGTTCGAATGCGGGATATACCCAGGGTTCGAATTGCGGAATATACACAGGGTTAGAATGCGGAATATACGCAGGGTTAGAATGCGGGATATACGCAGGGTTAAAATGTGGGATATACACAGGGTTAGAATGCGGGATATACAAGGGTTTGAATTGCGGGATATACGCAGGGTTAGAATGCGGGATATACGCAGGGTTAGAATGCGGGATATACGCAGGGTTAGAAAGCGGGATATACGCAGGGTTAGAAAGCGGGATATACGCAGGGTTCGAATGCGGGATATACGCAGGGTTAGAATGCGGGATATACACAGGGTTAGAAAGCGGGATATATGCAGGGTTCGAATGCTGGATATACGCAGCGTTAGAATGCGGGATATAGGCAGGGTTAGAATGCGGGATATACGCAGCGTTAGAATGCAGGATACACGCAGCGTTAGAATGCGGGATACACGCAGCGTTAGAATGCGGGATATACGCAGGGTTAGAATGCGGGATATACGCAGGGTTAGAATGCGGGATACACGCAGGGTTAGAATGCGGGATACACGCAGGGTTAGAATGCGGGATATATACAGGGTTAGAATGCGTGATATACGCAGGGTTAGAATGCGGGATACACGCAGGGTTAGAATGCGGGATACACGCAGGGTTAGAATGCGGGATACACGCAGGGTTAGAAAGCGGGATACACACAGGGTTAGAAAGCGGGATATTCGCTCGGTTAGAATGCGAGATATTTTCGCTCGGTTAGAATGCGGGATATTCAATCCGTTAGAATGCAGGATATTCAATCCGTTAGAATGCGGGATATTCGCTCCGTTAGAATGTTGAATATAAGCTTGGTTAGAATGTGGAATATACGCAAGGATAGAGTGTGGAATTTGATCATGGGATATTCGCTAGTATATTTTTGTGATTGTGAGAAAAATTTGTTGACAAAAATTGGTCCATGTTCTTTGTGTGCAGTATATACAGAATGTTCATCATAGACAAACTGACATTGCAGATTAAGTCATCATTTAACTTAACACACATGCTGTATTTTAGCTCTACCAGGGCACAACTTACTGACCCTGCACACACCTCATTTATAAGGCACCAACAAATTCTGCAGCGCTGTACAATGGGACCACAGACCCCACAAATAGCTGACCTGCTCACACCTCACCCACAGAAATTACTGACACTGCACACACCTCAAGCAAATCACTGACCTGCACACACCTCACACACAAATCACTGACCTGCACACACCTCATACACATACATTTTACACACAGACCCAGTTTGCACATTGGGTGCAATGATCATGTACAGACATACTCATAAATGACCCTGTGCGCGCACACACACACACAGACAAACTCTCTCACACACACACACAGCTCCTGGCTTGATATTACAGATCATTGAATCTTCCCATCCTCACATGCAGCTACTGGAAAGCTCGGTGTTGTTTGCTTCTATCTGGTCTTCCCTGGGGGTCTCATCCAGCCAGACCCCCACATGCTTATTACCATAGCCCCGTGTGATTGGAGCAGAGGGAAGGGGGCGTGGTGTGAGTGCAAGCTCCTTGCCCAGTTGATGTTTTGGGCAGGGAGATGGCTTGCTGCTATCCATAGACACTGGCACTTCTCAAAGTGTCTCCAAAGTGGCCACCTGCTCCCCCTCCCCGCGGGCCATGGCTGACTAGCCCCCAGCAGAGGAGACAGCCTGTGCCCCATACCCCATGCCTGTGTGGGCACTGAGTGCATGTGGGCTCCCAGGGGACACAGCAGGGCCAGTTCCTGTGGCTCCCACTTGCTCCACCTCCAGGCTGTGTCTGTGGCTATGAAGCACCATGGTCTGGTGTGATCGTGGGGTCCAGATGCTGCTGACCACAGTGGGGGCTTTTGCAGCCTTCAGCCTGATGACCATAGCCATTGGCACGGACTACTGGCTGTACTCCCGGGCTCACATCTGTAACGGGACCAACATCAGTATGGAGGACACCCAGAGCCAGCCCAAAAAGACCAAGGGGGACCTCACCCACTCCGGACTCTGGAGGATCTGCTGCATTGAAGGTAAAGGCAGGAGATGGCTTTGTGTGTGTCTGAGTGTGACATGTGGTTGCCTAGCAACCTGCTGGGAGAGTTACAGTAACACCTGGACAGGACAACTACCTGTGGTACCTACCTGGGGAGGGAGAGGGGACATCTCGGTCACCCCAATATCCTGCTACTGGGTAACACGTTTCAATGAGAATACAGGTCTCTCCTCTGGGATCAGGGCTAGAAACCAAGTGTCTGGATTTTCTATAATAAATATATTCATAAAATAAATGTCTGTATATTTTATATCAAATTTTTATATTACCTCTCCACTACAACATCCCTTTATGGCAGAGCAGTGCATTTTATTTTAGTAAAGTATAAGGTGCAGCCGTGTGATTATAGCGAACGGTGGGGAGCACTCTGAGTATTACAGATAAGTATTGCGTGCACCTCTTCAGTAGAGATAAATTTGGGGAGCACTTCCTTTCTTATAGTGGAGTTTGGGGTGCAGCCCTTTAAGGCAGACGATGTGCCAGGATTTTATAGGATTTGTCCTGAAGGGAAGAGATAAGTATTAGAGTGCTTCCTCTCCCATAGAGAATATTGGGGTGCTCCTGCTTTCTTATCGTGCAGTGTGATGTAGGAGCTGGGGGGCACCCTCTCATTATATCGCGGTAGGTGCTGGGTGGTCGCTGTCCCCAGCCTGTGGTGCTGAATGTGGCTCCAGTGCCAATCAGAACTGGAGCAATCTGCTCTCACATGGAGTCTGAATAATTGAATTCCCATTATTTATGATTTGCCTCACAATATACAACTAGTCTGACTGTGTGCCAGGGAGCAGGGGGCACAGGGCTCCTTAAACTCCACCTTCCACTGAGCCACAGGTCTGACCCAGGATTCTATAATGGAACCAAGGGAATGGATACTATACAAGGTGTGGGAGCTTCATATACATGGTGTACTTGTTGTATACATTGTTATTTTACTATACACAAAACCATGAACATACTGTGTACGTGTAGTATATAGACTGGGTGTATATATACAGACGGTTTGTGTGCACGAGTTTGCATGAATTATATGTTATACACACACTGTGTTTTTAACAAAAGATCCAGTTTTGGCTAATGACAATATGTAGCATACATTACATAATGACTGGTTTGCAATCTCACATATCGTTCTATTTGTTAAATTATGCTCCCGTACAACAACACACAAGGAATCATTTTAGAGCACTAACAAGGTCATATGGCAAATCTATGAGGGAAGGGGAGACTGTGTAGAAGAGCTTGCAATTCAATAGTCCAGCACTGCAGCTTTACATCAGATTTATAATGTAGGCTTTCTAGGAAACAATAGATTCTAAAAGTATGTTTGATTTTAAACCAGATAACTGTGTCACAATGAACTAAACATTGAAGAACCATTGATCTCACACATAGCTTAGATTAGAAAGTTTCCTTATCTTTAACTCCATTCCCTCATTGCCTAAATGTATCAGGTCAGGAATCCCCAGGTGCAATTATTTTGTGTTTGGGTAGACAGGATAGTTTAATTTATATTCTAATCATTTCCTGGCAACAAAGTGCTGTAAATCCCATTTTATGACCTATTGCTGCATGGCTTCTGTGCCTGGGGGAGCAGCAATAAGCTCATAGTATTATTAGTTTTTGGATGAAATATAATTTGGGTTCCTGTAATTTTAAAGTGTGAAATTGATGTGTCTTGTCATTCAGGCTGGGGGAAGCCATTTGCTAACCATTTCTCATCTTGAAAAATTCTTGAGAAGTACAGAGAGTCCTATGTGTATCTGCAAATACCTTCCCCCAGCTCAGCTTACACAAAAGAACATGAAATTTCAAATGTTTTGAGTTCTGCTAAAGTATTGGATGTTTTTATAACTAATAACACAGTTGCATGAAATAATACATGCGCTGTACAACTACTGTACCTCTTCTCTATTCAAAGCACTGAGTCACTTGATAACAAAATATACATTGTATAACTTGTGCGCTTCCTGTGCCACCCCTATACAGTAATGTAACCTGTTAAGTGCTAGGTACACCAGTTAAAGGGACACTCCAGATTCCTAAGGCACTTTAGCTTCTTGAAAACCTTTGTGTGTGAAGAATGTGTGCGCTTTGTTTATCTTGGGAAAAGGGCAGATTTTAGAAATGTACACTTTTATAAATTAACCTGGTTACATCCCCCTGGCTTTTCAAACAGACAACAGGTCATGTTACTTCCTGGTTTGGTTAGCTTATTTGCACTGAACTCAAGAGGCAGCAATTGCCCAGAGCATCTGCCTTGCAAAGACTTCTTGTTGAGCTGCATTGGGAAGCCTGTGATTGGACAGACATAGAAAATATGGGCGGGATTAGAAGGGGAGGGCTTGCAAAGGCAGCACACAAGAGACCTGCAGTTTTTATAAGCTGTTTTTATATATAACTCCAATGAAAAAATGCATAATTAAATGCTTGCAAGCTTTCCTTTGGGGTTTATCTACTCCATAGGGATTATTTTGTATTTGGGCAGTGGAGTGTCCCTTTAAGATGAAAGAAATAAAATATACATTCACTCTATACCTACTGAACTTAAAAAGGACAGCTGTCACTTCAAAAAATATTTTTAATATAATAATCATTTTATCATATTGAAAGAAAAGATTTTTTTAAAAATGAAGTCCAAGAAAAAAAAAGTGTTCGGAAAAAAAAAAAGATCAAAACTCATCACTACCTTTAGTTTAGGAACAGGCCCATCAGCCAGATACATGCACCTAGGGTCAGACATTGTTTGAAATCCGACCGTTAATCTTTATGGTTTCCCATGTTTCACTCCATGCACAGAACCAGAGAAGACCATAGAGAGTAACAGTCGGCGAACTATGCCCACCCAGCACAGCGTGAGCACATTATTAGCCTAACCCCCCAACATTCCACATGCAGAAAGAGGGACACCTTCGTTATAGGGGTGTGAGTGGGTGTGGCTATGGGCAGGGCTGTTCTGAGACATTTTAGGTGTTTTACTAATAACAAATTACCTGAATCAAATGTAATTTATAACAAGAACAATGTATCTTTTTTACACAGATTGATTTCTAAACACATTTATGGTAGTTTAAAGATACATTACTGGCAGTATTATTGCTGTGGAGCTCTGTGATACACTCAGACACACCAAAAATATGGAGCTCCTAGAAAAGAAGGACAGAAGTGTTTGGGCTAAAATGGGGACTGTTCCTCCTAAATAGGGACACTTAGGTGGGATGCATTAGACAAGCTTGCACACCATGCAGAAAACCCAGTATGGGGCTGGCTGGGAGTCTGTTAGTCTAGTGTGTGTTCACCCTAGGCCCATGTCCCTTTTGTGGGCAGCACCCCCTTTCCAGGTGGGTCCGTCCATTATGGGGATGAGTAGTGATGCAAGCTGCTTCACTGGCACCCCTCCCCCCCCAGGGCCCATATACACTGTCCTAATCTCTGTACCCCCTTCTACTGCAATGTAACCTGTAAAGCACTAATTACACCTGTAAGCACCACATATATAAAATATACACACACTGTATTCCTGTTGCACTTACTATATATATATGTGTGTGTGTATATATATATATATACACAGTTGCAAGAAAAAGTATGTGAACCCTTTGGAATGATATGGATTTCTGCACAAAATGGTCATAAAATGTGATCTGATCATCATCTAAGTCACAACAATAGACAATCACAGTCTGCTTAAACTAATAACACACAAAGAATGAAATGTTGCCATGTTTTTATTGAACACACAATGTAAACATTCACAGTGCAGGTGGAAAAAGTATGTGAACCCTTGGATTTAATAACTGGTTGAACCTCCTTTGGCAGCAATAACTTCAACCAAACGTTTCCTGTAGTTGCAGATCAGTTTCAGTTCAGCAATATTCTTGGGATGTCTGGTGTGAATCGCTTTCTTGAGGTCATGCCACAGCATCTCAATCGGGTTGAGGTCAGGACTCTGACTGGGCCACTTCAGAAGGCCTATTTTATTTATTTTGCTTTGGGTCATTGTCCTGTTGCAACACCCATCTTCTGTTGAGCTTCAGCTGGTAGACAGATGGCCTTAAGTTTTCCTGCAAAATGTCTTGATAAACTTGGGAATTCATTTTTCCTTTGATGATAGCAATCCGTCCAGGCCCTGACGCAGCAAAGCAGCCCCAAACCATGATGCCCCCACCACCATACTTCACAGTTGGGATGAGGTTTTGATGTTGGTGTGCTGTGCCTTTTTTTCGCCACACATAGTGTTGTGTGTTTCTTCCAAACAACTCAACTTTAGTTTTATCTGTCCACAGAATATTTTGCCAGTACTGCTGTGGAACATCCAGGTGCTCTTGTGCAAACTGTAAACGTGCAGCAATGTTTTGTTTGGACAGCAGTGGCTTCCTCTGTGGTATCCTCCCATGAAATCCATTCTTGTTTAGTGTTTTACGTATTGTAGATTCGCTAACAGGGATGTTAGCATTTGCCAGTGACTTTTGAAACTCTTTAACTGACACTCTAGGATTCTTCTTCACCTCATTGAGCAGTCTGCGCTGTGCTCTTGCAGTCAACTTTACAGGATAGCCACTCCTAGGGAGAGTAGCAGCAGTGCTGAACTTTCTCCATTTATAGACAATTTGTCTTACCGTGGACTGATGAACAGCAAGGCTTTTGGAGATACTTTTATAACCCTTTCCAGCTTTATGCAAGTCATAAATTCTTAATCGTAGGTCTTCTGAGAGCTCTTTTGTGCGAGGCATCATTCACATCAGGCAAAGCTTCTTGTGAAAAGCAAACCCAGAACTGGTGTGTGTTTTTTATAGGGCAGGGCAGCTGTAACCAACACCTCTAATCTCACCTCATTGATTGGACTCCAGTTGGCGGACATCTCACTCCAATTAGCTCTTGGAGATGTCATTAGTCTAGGGGTTTCACATACTTTTTCCACCTGCACTGTGAATGTTCACATGGTGTGTTCAATAAAAACATGGCAACATTGTCATGATTCCCTTTTATTCCAGAAGTTTGGTCCTTAAGGGGTTAAGCAGACTTATATGATGATTAGATCACATTTTATGACCAATTTGTGCAGAAATAAATATCATTCCAAAGGGTTCACATACGTTTTCTTGCAACTGTATATATATATATATATACACACACACACACACACACACGGGTGTAACAGGGGTGTCCTCTATTACCTACTCTATATTTGCTTAGCTCAGATTCTCGATTAGCACCTTACCCTTACTCTTTCATACACATTCCTGAAAGCAACACCATTCACTTACCTTCTGGCTTGGGACAGTATGCAACAGGTGACTTAATACAGACAATATCACGTAGAGGAATTCTCACCATCTGTGTAAAATTCAAACTCCCTGGCTGACCTATTTCATTTGGCCTGCCTAATTACCCACTTGTCTTGGATATTGATTCACATGTACGTTTTGATAGATTAGATGGTTGGACAGACACGTACTTACTACTCCTTACTGAAGATCGTCAGCAGTCCACCTAACAATATTAAAGAACCTTCCAACAGTGAAACAGCAACAGAGTCAGGCAACAAATGTATTTGTCCATTGAGAGTGTTCGATAAAACACTTTAATGGTGCCTCTTAGAATGGCAAACTAAACGTACATTTGATGCAATTTAAAAGAAAACGAAGTTCTATACATAATGTGGGAAATCCGTTTCTACATTGTCACAATTATACAATGACATTTTAAAATCTAGGATGTGTCCAAAATGGTCACTCTTTTCTTTGAGACGATGAGTTTAGAGATTGTCCCATTACTGACCAGCATGTGATCGTTTGACTGGACACAAGACAGACTGGGAGTCCCACAGCATCTTTTAATTTATCAAAAACTTCTACTGAATTTCATGAAGAGTTGGAGCTTCTAATTAATACTGGGGCTTCTGAGATAAGTTATTCTATGAAGATATAACCATTGAAACCACTGGAATCCACTTTCGGATTGCCCCAAAATTGCTCTCTGTAGGTTAGATTATGGGAGTTAGATTAAATTGAGGCTTATTTACTAAACTGGAAAATGTGCAGAAGCAGTAACAAATGAATGGCACATTTTATGTAGTTTTCCTACTTAGGCTATTTTGGGATACAATGGTCGATTCCTATGTCAACCCTCTGGTTTAATCAGTACCCAAAAGTATTAAAGGTCACCTCAAAGCTATGGGGGGGGGGGGAGTAATCATTAAGACACAAAAGGCATAAGGAAAGGCTTACTGTAAGAAAAAAAATTAATGGCAGTGCCACTTTAGAGGACAACCGTCTCCTCAAAAATCCTTCTTTCTTTTTTAATATAATAATCCTTTAATCAAGTCTTTTAGGTGTTAGTTGTTCTTTAAGAGGGAATTTGCTATAAAATGGTTTATGGGGAGATTAATTGGTCCGTGAGGATGACAGAGCAACATTTGTTGTGTTTCTTTCTCCGATTAACAACGGAGAACACTGTATAATAACACTCACTGTTAATTGATTAATTACAAGATAATTAGAAAGGTCATAAAACCTCAGACTGTATTATGGGCAAGTCAGATGATAATCCCATTCTGAATAGCAACCTGTTATTAACGTGTTCATATGTATTACTTGGGCTGTAGCCTTACACACATTAAACATTCCATAGAGCCGTAGCAGCCAGCATGTTGGTTTGCAGTAGTTATTTGAGGACCACAGCTCCTGCATTGCTCAGCCAGCCATAGAAAACTTTGCGTTTTCCTTTTACCATGAAATGCTGAGTGTCTCGGGGCTCGAAGATCAGTATCTCCTGATCATTAACCAAGATCTAGTCTACACAATATTTGATTAGTTGATTAATCTAAACTTGTAACGATACTTTCTGCTGGTGGAAGCACCTCTCCCTGCTGCATGTCGAGAACCATATGCCCTTTGCGGCGCCATGTTCTTGCCCTGAATTCAGAGCACTGAACGAGGGAGGAAGAGCAGTCTGAGTAAAATCCCAGGCGATAGGAAACATATCAGTTCAGCATTGAGAGCTCCTCTGGCTGATTGGGTTGCCATGACTTCAGTCTCAAAGCTGCGCTAACAAACTAATTGAATCAACCGGTATATGAAGCTGAATTAACGAGAAAAGGTCTGATGATTAAGATACTTGCTGCCCGGCGTCTTTCTCTGAAATCAGCCGGGCACTGGGTTCAATAATGTGTTCATCAGAATGCTTTGAGAAACATTAAATTAACTTTTATTAAAATCCCTCTTTTTGGGAATGAGACACTAAAATGATGCAGATTCACATACAGCATTTTTTTTTTTAAAGGGGCAACACAAGATTTAAGACAGTGGTAATAGCTTCCTTTGGCACACCAAATGTTTGTAAACAGTATTTATTAAAGGCTGGCTGAGCACCATGACAGACACACAGGGTCTCTGTTGGAATGTTTGTGGTCCAATACAAAAATCACTGACCAGATCCTCTGACACACTCCCACACACATTGCAAGATAACCACCGCCTAAGACACAGACGGACACACACTGCCAGATACACACTCCCAGAGACACGTATAGATAGACACATACTGAAAGACACAGACATATACTGTCAGATACACACTCCCAGAGACACGTATAGATAGACACATACTGAAAGACACAGACATATACTGTCAGATATACAGCTCCAGACACATTCAGACACACAACAGAGTCACATATAGACACACAATGCCAGAGACCCAATGCCACAGACACACAATGCCAGAGAACCAACACCACAAACACGTACAGACACACACTGCGAGATTACCACCGGCAGACACATACAGACACACAACACCAGAGTCACATGCAGACACACACTGCCAGATAACCAACGCCACATACACACACTGCCATATAACCACCAGCATAGTCACATACAGACACACACTTCAAGATAACCACCGCTACAGAGGCATTCTGACACACACTGCCAGATAACCAGAGACACACAACACCAGAGTCACATAAATACAGGCACTGACTGATAGCCACTGCCGCAGACACATACGGACACACACTGCCAGATAACCAACGCCACAGACACACACTGCCAGATAATTACCAGCACAGTCACATACAGACACACACTGCAAGATAACCATAGACACATACAGACACACTGCTAGATAACCACAGACACATATAGACACACACTGCCAGATAACCACAGACACATATAGACACACACTGCCAGATAACCAACCATAGAAACATAAAGACACACAACACCAGAGTCACATATAGACACACACTGCAAGATATACACCAGCAGAGTCACATACAGGCACACAATGCAGGATAACCACAGACACCCTCCGAGAGACACATATAGGTACACACACACACACACACACACAAACGGCCATATACAGATTGACAGACACAGAGACACTGCCAGAAATACACAGTTGGAGTCAGATATACACTGCCATAAACACACACTTTTACACAAGACCAATCTTGGTTTTAGCCACGCTTCTGTTTGCCTCAGGAAGGTGGCTTTCTTGGAGTCTACGGGGAAACAGGCCGAACATTTTCTGCGGTCTATTCCATTCACTCCTGTACAGCTTCCTACATGCGCTGGAACTGACATCACATCCTTCCCTGTGACAATGAAAGGCAAGTCGTCAATTACAGGGCTCAAAGATGCAATGTGACCATGTGGGCCCCAGAGTATGTCCGGGCCCCTTATAGCAGCCCCAAAGAGTTTATAAACTAAACTGGGAAGGATGGACATGCCAGTTACATATCTGCTATAGTGGTGTGTGTGTATAATTGCTATTAACGTAACAAATGGGTCCATGGAATGATTTAACAGCCGACATTACAGCACAGTGTGTTTAATAAGAGCTGCCAACATATAGATATGTCATTTGTGTTCTGTGTTCCAAAGGGCTTACAGTTATGTGTGAGAAAGCTGAACACACTCCCACAGATGTGACATGCTGATATAGGTCAGTAAGACCAGTTGCAAAGGTAACAGTTTATTTGTAAATGTGAATTATTACAATCATTTTTTAGTCTGCTTAAAGGGACACTTTGTCTTCCATGTTAAAATTAGTGTAGAACCCACCGATATTGGGGTACTGTGGCGTAGTGGTGGGCTTAACACAACATGGTGGAACTGAATCCCCATATTTGTTTGCTGAGACAGGTGATTGATTTTTTTATTTATTTGTATTTTATTAGAAATATTCACACAAATTACAACTGGTTCGTGTTATAGTAGATATTAAATATGACAATTTAACAGCTTGCACTGGTTCATTATATGGTAGTTGTGAAAACAACAATTGACCTATTATACAACTATTGGTGTAAAATGAAAGACCGCGGTCTGTGTTTACAGTTAAGGGCTTGGTGCATTGGACTGTCTGTCAGCTCGTGTGATGCTAGTGTATCTGTGTGGTGTGTGCCAACATGGTAGTGCTGCTATCCATCTCGCTGTCGGGGCTCCCTATTCGTGTTTACTGTCTTGGTTATGTAGATATGTAGTTTGCCATCTTTTATGTGTGTGTCTTTTATGTGTGTGTAGACATGCCGGCAACGGATCATGGGCCCTACTGTATCAACTGGGTTACTAAGTGTGGCTTGAAACCTTTTTGTCTGAGTTTGTCTTCTCATGGGTTTGGGACCCTGTGGCCTTTGCCCTATGGTTGGGTCTTGGCTCCTCTGTGTTAGTAGCCCCAACGTTCAGTCTCTGCAGAAATGCCTTTGTGTCTTCTGATGGAGTCAAGGTCTAGGGTCCCCGTGGTACTATTAGTGATCCATCCCCCCCAGTGGTACCGGATCATTGCATCTCTGAGTTGCTTGGCGGTGGGGGCGAGGTGTCTCTTTGCTGCCAATACTCCGAATGGTAAGTCACCATGTATGGACACAGAGCCGCCTTCATAATTGACCGTTCTGAGGGCTCTGGATCTTGGCATAATGGTGGTTCTTACTGCAATATCTCTGGTGGTGGCGATCACATCTCTCGGTACTCCGTGTGGGGCAGTCGCGACTTTGCAGATTCTAAAGGCCGCGAGTATTAGGTCCTTGGCGTAGTTTCTGGCGAGAAGTGATGACACCACCCCCTGAATGTGAGGGAGTAGGGCCTCCTCCCCAACCCTTTCTGGCACTCCTATCACCCGTACATTCTTCCATCTGTGCCTCGTTTCCAAAGTAGTCACAGATTGTGAGAGGTCTCTGAGTTGCTGGGTCAGTTCTTCCACTTGTCGCTGGGTGGTGAGTATTTGCTTCTCATGGGTGCTGTCCTTATTTTGTACCTCCGCGATTTTGTGTATTCCAGTTTGCACCACTTTCATATCTGCTTTCCAGACCTTGCGGATCTCTTGGATGAGGTCTTTCATGTCTCCTTTGGTGACCGGTGAGGAATCCTCTTCTGATTCTATGTCTGATACCTGGTCATCCGACTCTAGGGTTGTGAGTAGCTCCCGGTCGTCTTGGGATGCCTCAGAGTTTTCCTCCATACCGGTTTGGTTTCAGAACTCCTTAGACACACGTCCTGCCGGTCACACCCCCAGAATCCTCGACACAGGTGATTTTAAGTAGCCTTATGCAATTCTATTTTTGTGTGTGAGCAGTTTCTTAATCGTAATTTTGTATAAATTTTGGTCTTTACGGCAGCATCACTGCTGAGTAATGTATGTTGCAGGTGGTCCCCCCTTTGCCCCCAATTCCCTGTTTTTTGTAGTAATTTATCTTTAAACTACAGTAAATGTATTTAGAAATCAGTCTGTAAATAAGATACATTGACATTTTAGTTGTAGAAAGTGTTATTATTTCTCAGGACAGCCCCGCCCCTGGCCACCCCCCCACCCCTAAAATTAAAGTGTCCAATCATTGAATTCACGCCAGGCTTCCTTCCAATCAAGCAGGTGACCCCACTGATGGCAGGTCAAGGGAGGCAGTATTGTTTCAGGCGATCTGCAGGATCCTAGTGCCCCGAGTTTAGTGCAAGCATGTCTAATAACGCGCTTGTGGAAACCCTTTTTTGGGGATATTTTCCTGCTGTCTGCAAAAACAGGACACCAGGGAACAAACCTGTAATAGGATACTGAAATCAGGACTGTCCTGCTGAAATTGGGATGATTGGGAGGGCTGTTTTCAAACAATTTTAGCTCATCTACAGTTACAGGTCTCTGCATCAGGAAGAAGTGTCAGGATCCAGCTTGTGGTATCTACAAGACTAACATTTAGGATACAATCGCTCTAGAACATAACATTATGGGGGGAGGGGGCAATAAAATGGCATAATTAGGAAAATTAGTTTTTGGCGTATTTAAAAGAAAATGTCCATTGAGACCATAAAAGCCTCTGGTTCAGAAGTATTAGCTCAAAAGGCCTAATGTCTTCAATGCATCCCCAGATACAGATGGATTAGGAGAAAGTGATTTATTAAAAAGGGTTTAATCCGATTTCCTTTCAGATGCTTTCTTACGAAAGCCTTTGTAATGTCCCTGCTCACCGCCGGGTCTGTTTGAAGGCAATTCTGTGTTTTAATGGCTGTAGCCGAGGTATAGAGTCCTCCATCTTGCGTGAAATACTTTCATTCTGAAATGGTGTTATACCTGTAATAAGTGCGCAGTAGATTCACTAATTATCCTGACTGTTGGAGCCAATCAACTTAGCCGCTTCTTCTGTAAACAGGTACACAAGGCCAATCAGACATTAAAAAAATATATATATATTCAGGTATATAACTGCCTTAACTGTGACCTACATGAGACTGACATACATGAAACACACAGAACAAATACATGTCATGTCTGATATTTTCACAAGGCAACGATTTCTTCCGCACTAGGGTTGTCTAATGAACCCCAAAGGCCGATTATATGCTGCTTCTTAAACAGCCCCCAGACCTCTAGTAGAAAAAAAAATATAAAGATAGTTTTTCTTAAAATCCATCATTCATTTAATAGCATCCAGCCTCTAAATCTATGATCTGGTATGATTTGGGTATGGACAAGGAGACTTGAACACAGATATTTTAATGAAGGCTGGAGAAAGTGTGGGATGTTTTTAGTGTTGGGAAATATTCTTGATGAATACCAATATGGCTCCAACATGTTGGGTGGCGCTGCACAACATGCAGTAATTAGTAATATAGTAAAATTAACCCCTTAAGGACCAAACTTCTGGAATAAAAGTGAAACATGACATGTCACACATGTCATGTGTCCTTAAGGGGTTAAAGGAACAGTTCGGGCAACATAACAATGTCATCGAACTTCAGTTGTTATGGTTCCAGGAAGTCCCTAGCGCTTCCTTACCAGTAGGGTTTAAACGGTTCATGAATCGTTTAACAGTAAAGTCCTTCCGCTTCGGGTAATTCTTCATAATGGAAGGCTCGGAGAACATCAGGCAGAGGCACCGCTATAAGTCAAGGAATAGCTCTCCATTCATAAAAACAGCTTTAAAATGTACACAAATGTTTCAAGTCAGTTCTATTAATGGGGAGCCACTTATTGGCTTAGAGCGTCAGTTGACCACCCTAAGTCAATCAGCAGTGCCACTGCCCGACCCCATTGTGAAGAATTTCCCAAAGTACAAACTTTGTGGTTAAATCGTTTGTGAATTGTTTGTGAAAGGAAGTGCCAAGGACACCCTGGCAGTATAACAACTTAATTTAGAAAAAGTCATGGTGCCCTAAAAGTGTTCATTTAAGACACACCGAGGGATGTATATACTTTCCTATTTCTGTGTTTTTATTAAGGAATTTTAATTTCCATAATGCATCCTCCTGCCAAGACGCACACGCACCCGGGCCAGCTACCTGATCCAAAAGAAAACATGTAGCGCTTCTTTAATAAATCAATAGGTTATCACCTTTTGGCAGTTTAAGAGGAGTTGTTCACCTGAATATCAAGCAGGTAGGTATCTATAAAAGACAATCAAATATAGTGTAGACAGTATATAACTAAATAGTATTTAAATCAGAAATTGCTGTATAAACTCACAAACGGAGAGCTATAGACCCAGCTCTGGTATGAATCGCTTTTGGGTCTGTTTAGGCGACCCACCCCTGTTGATGCTGTAAATCTTGTCCTGAAGGGGGGGATAAAAAGAAGAAAGGATTGCGCAGTACTGCTACTAATATTAAATTAAATAGAAAAATTCCCAAATGGGTACTTACAAGCCTAGAGTCAAATAATATGACTCAATTCACATGTGCTCAATACCAGAACGCATTTCGCCACTTCAAATACGGTATTTAAACACGAACTGGGAACCAGGGGACATTGAATTTACTTATCCGGTTGAAAAAGCCACGGTGAAGTGGCGAAACGCGTTCTGGTATTGAGCACATTGTTGCTTTTTTATTTTGTGTACATTGTTGCAATAAATATAGTTTTTATCTTATCCTTTGATCCTGGTTCCTGGATACATCTTTTATGGATGGGAGTGCAGTCCCAAATCTGCACAACACTTGTGAATTGAGTCATATTATTTGACTCTAGGCTTGTAAGTACCCATTTGGGAATTTTTCTATTTAATTTAATATTAGTAGCAGTACTGCGCAATCATTTCTGCTTTTTATCCCCCCCTTCAGGACAAGATTTACAGCATCAACAGCGGTGGGTCGCCTAAACGGACCCAAAAGCGATTCATACCAGAGCTGGGTCTATAGCTCTCCGTTTGTAAGTTTATACAGCAATTTCTGATTTAAATACTATTTAGTTATATACTGTCTATACTATATTTGATTGTCTTTTATAGATACCTACCTGCTTGATATTCAGGTGAACAACTCCTCTTAAACTGCCAAAAGGTGATAACCTATTGATTTATTATAGAAGCGCTACATTCTTTTTTGGTTTTCTATATTAGGTTTGTGATGTTGGAAGGTATTGCATGAATGTATAGCAGCTAGTTTCATTTCATCCTTACATACCGATACATTAAAATCTGGCTAAATAAGCGCTGGTCCTTATCCATTTCTCTGTACCCTCTAAAAGAGAACATGATTCATCAGACCAGGCACTCTGCTTCCATGGTGTAGTTCTGACACTCATGTCCCCATTGAAGGTACTTTTGGCAGTGTTCAGGGGTCATCATGAACACTCTGACCGGTCTGCGACTATGCAGCCCTAATACGCAGCAAACTGCAATGCAACTTTCTATCAGCATTACATTTTTTCAGAAATTTGAGCTACAGCTCTTCTGTGTGATTCGACCAGACTGACTAGCCTTTGCTCTTCCTGTGCATCAATGAGCCTTGGACGCCCATGACTGACGCTAGTTCATTGGTTGTCCTTCCATGCACCACTTTTTGTAGGTTATAACCGCTGCCCACCGGGAATACACCATAACACTTGGCCCTTGTCATTCAGATCTTTTCGATTGCCCATTTTATCTGCTTCCAACACATGAAAGTCAAGAACCGACTGTTCACCTGCTGCCTAATATATCCCACCCCTTGACAGGTGCCATTGTAACGCTATAATCAATGTTATTCACTTTATCTGTCAGTGGTTTTAGTGTTGTGGCTGATCAGTATATAACTACAAAGGAAGAGGATGGAGAGACAGGGGCGAGAAGCGTATAACCTGTAAAGAAGGTGGCCAAAAACTACCAGACTTCTAATTGATGCTTCTGAAGGGTATACAGTTCTTCATAGAGTTCCATTCTAGCAAAAATACTCAAGCAGGGTTATATTATATACTAAAATGTGAATTGTCAGTAAATCCAAGTTAATTTCAGATATAATTCCATAATAGCCAAACTGAAAACGTGACTGACATCAGATTGGTTATTTGGCCTATCACTTGAAAATCCTGACAATTCACATTTTACTGAATAACTCATTATCCAGGAAGTCCAAGGACACATCTTGAAGACAGAATAAAGAATTAAATAACACCATTAAACACCAATTTATAAACCAAATAATTATTTTTTAAAAATCAGGTGGTTTCCTAAACAAATAAGATAGAAGACTTTTCTCACCAGCTGAACTTGATGGACCCATGTCTCTTTTCAGCCTATGTAATATGCACACAGACAGTAAGTAGTTAACAGCAGGAGGTGACCATGGTCATTTTTTGGCTGTAAGAAGCAATTGCGTAGGGCACTAGGCCTCTGCATGAAACCTCAGTGGAAAAAAAACATGTCAATCTACATACACATTGAGCCAATAATGACCTAGAATGATCCAGAATAACCAAGACTTCTTCAAATGCTCCAAATTTTACTCTCATCTATAACTTATTAGGATGAAAAGAAGAAAAATAAATGTCTCCAATTTAACCAGGAACTGTGAGTAGTTGCAATTTTTGCTAATAATTCAAGCACCCCCGTAGTTTACTGGCAAGAAATGAACATTGAGTAACCAGCATGACCAAGTTTCCCATCTCCCCGCTCTAGCCGAACATTATGGAGGATAGATCATCGCCTTCTCCTGGAGCAGTGCAGTGAAACATCTCATATTATCAGACAGCGCTGTGTCCGCCAGTTCGCCACGCTGTACGGATATGCTTTATTCATGCGACTCGCTCTTTTTCTTGGCTCATTGCGAGGCTGGCTCCAAGTCTTCAAGTAGACGGATGGGGTGACGGTGGGGGGTTGTTTGTCAGACGAATGTATTTTTATTCAGGTTTTGCATCAAATGATTTCTCTAAATATTTAAAGCTTTCTGGTAACCAAATAAATTCACTTCTACACCAACGTGTTGGGAAATCTGACATGACTAAAAGGATTTGAAGTATGAAAAACGATGCCTTTTAAAAAGGATTTAGCTCTCATTTTGACTTAAAAATTTAGATTTTTTTTTTCATTTAGGACATTAACAATTGTGCTGGTTTTTGCGCCACTGTGTGACAGGACTGCTTTGATATGCAAGCTTTTCCTGTGGTTCTGTCACCGAAAATATTCTTTTTAAAACAATACTACCAACAGAAAAACACTATTCCCATCTGACCAACCATTAGTGAGTATATCTGTAATTAGCGCGTGAAGATCCGGCAGTGTTACAGTGTGGCCATGGCAGTTTATGAATCACAACAGTGACATAGTGACAGATATTGATTAAAAAAGAACTGCTAAGAGCATGTGATACTAGCTGCCAATCAGAAAATTAGATTCTAACAGACTAGCTGTTTAGTTCCCAGAATTCCACTGCGCAGGGAAGCGGAAACGTTTTTTCTTATTTTTAACTATCGTAAAGGGTTACACCAACCAAAAAACTGTGGTTATGGTTAGAGTAACCCTTGCTGTGCTGGACTGCCAACACTCCCCCCGTTCTTCCTGCAGCCCGAATCTTTTCAGCTGAAGTCACTACCTCTTGTTGGTAAAGGAGAGTCTGATGTCACCGAAGATGGACTGATGGACCCACAGAGGGTGGAGCCAACCCACCACTGGATGCCTGTCGCTGACATCAGAATCCAATCTGCACAGAATTAACATTGCACACCCAGATCTCTTTTTCTGGACTGGCTAATTGCGCCACATTGACGTTGCTGGAGATGACATTACACCTGTGGTAACTCTGTATTCATAGCAAAATGCAGCACGTACAGACTCCAGGCATCATGACCACTTCAAATAACTGAAGTGGTCATGGTGCTTGGATCAATTCTTTAATATAAGAATTGATCCCATCCCTTTACCCCTTTTCTACTCATGCCATCATTTCTAATTTTACTTGCATTATTCTCTGTCCAGTAAAATAAAAAAAAAACAAAAAAAACTGCTTAACCCCTTATGGACACAACTTCTGGAATAAAAGGGAATCATGACGGAATATTTCCGTAACGTGTCCTTAAGGGGTTAAATAAAGATTTTCATAAACAAACAAAACAAAACTAATCTAAATTGGAATAGCTGCGACTGTCCTGGGTATGAAAGAGACAGACACAGATAAACTAACATAAAATAACAATCAGCGAGGGACAAGGTGAAGAGGGCTTCCTCTGATTGTGAGACATATCTGGTAGTCAACCTATGGCACTCCAGATGTTATGGACTACATCTTCCATGAGGCTGCCTACTCCTGGCCTAGATGAACATAATAATAATAATCATAATAATAATAATAATAATAATAATAATAGATAGTATTGATAGTTATCTTAGCTAACGTGTATAGAATTCAGTAACAATGAGTGTACGGTTACCCTAGCTACAAAGTACTTTTCAGTGAGCATCAAGCATGCCCCATAAATGACGATAAAATTCAGCTATTCTGCTTTTCAAATTCGTAATCATTTTGTGAATGTTTGGGATGAAACCGTTTCATAGTAACCTGAACTGACAGCTATTAAAATCTGTGTTAAACCCAACGAATTGCAATATGGTTGTGATATTGTTTCCTATAATAAAAACACAATGTTACAGCCAAAAAACAAAACAAAAAAGTTTGTCTCAAAAGAATTATTGATGGGGTGCTTGAACAAAATATGGTGATAAAAAATCCTAAAAAAACCCCACACAAACAAAATGTACCGTAATCCTTACTCGTTGCACGTTCAATCTATTACTGAAAAAGCGGGTCTCAATTCTTTTGTGCTAAAATATGGAATGCAGAAGGGAGGCATTGCAGGAGGGAGGTTTTGGGGGCCTGACGCCCCGGTCGTGTTAGATCTTTACAGGTGGTATACTTTTTTGATACTGATTCTTAAAGCAGTCACCTGATATAACAAATATCAATATTACAGAGCTATAGTGCTCCTCCAGGCTACTAAGGTGAAGGGGCTGGTCTTCCCAGGTGACAGGCAGAAAGGGTGAACTGGGCAGAGTGTCTTGTCTGTACGCCTTCTCCAATTAGTATTGCGACAAGACAGGATTACATTTAATACTTAGCAATGCAGCATGCTGGTACATGGAAATCACATAGTTGGCAAGGTGTGCGTACGAGCCCTTGGTTAGGGGTCTTCAAGTTTTGCTTTGGGGCTTCAGGGCCAGGAATTTGTGGAAGCTGAAACACTCCTGAATGCCACTAAAATATATCAAGCGTTGTTTGAGGGGTGCTGCACTGACACTGCACTCCAACAAAAGCAATTCCTACATCATTCCTAAGGGGGCGCATATTCAGCATTGCTGTTCGGATTAGCACCAGATGTAATTTAAGATTTAAGAGTTGGGGGACTTCGGGCTAGGGGGATATTGCAATCAGAATGCAGGCAATGTTTAAGAGTGATGTGATTTGCAGTCCAAAAAAAGTTAGTCACTGTGCTTCACCTCCACACTGTAACAAACATGCTGTTCTGATATGTGTCATTATAAATCAATGTATCGATACATCGCCGTTATAGCATCCCTACAAAGAGGATCACCATTTAAAAGCCAACGTTTTTACAGTTAATCCTAAAATACAGGTCAGAATGGTTTTGGCACTTTACTTTCTGTGGACCATGCTTCCCAAAATGAATGGCTAGCGTTGCATCATGGGAAATGTCACCCACCACAGCTGTAATATGAAAAGGTTAGCCATGATAGATATAGGAGATGAAGGGACATGACGAGAGGATAACCGAAGGCATCTACGAACATTAAAAAAAAAGCCTAAATCATCGCTCCTAGTGGTATTAAGGTCCCCGAAAGAACAGGCCAGCAGCCTTCAGGAAACGCCATGATTATGTGGTGTAGCTATCAGCTCCCAGAAACATTTAATAATAAAAACTGGTGTCAGTTCAATTCCATTGTATGAATGGGAATCAATCGCATACATTAATGCAGAAAGCCCCCAGAATGGCAGGTCCCCCCCAGAGCACATGACTGAACAATAAAGATGTCAAAAACGAACCCCGGGGCATTCTGTGAATCTAATATACACCGCCAGTCCTGTTGTCGTGGAAGAAATGCATGGTTTTGTGTTGTGGGTTTTTTGTTTTTTTTATTAAGGACCTGAGGGATTAGGCGGCCTTGTTTATTGGTATTATGACATCTCCTTCACTCGCGTCTATCAAACGATGGAGGATCACATAATTGCTTTGAAAAAAAATAAAAATCAAATGCTGGTGCAATTAGAGCGAATGTATGTGGGAGCGAGGGGTGGGTGTGTACGCCTGTTTGTAAACCACAGCTAAATAATTTATAATATTCCTTACCAATAAGCAATACACACAGATTGCTTTTTATGTTTTTATTTAGTTTTTTTTTTTACATTTGCTGCTGGTGAATAATTGTGAATTTGAACTGGAAACGAGAAGAGCATTGAACGAAATGCCGTCAAGAAATGATCAGTCTATAATGTTAATGGTAGGTGTATTTTAACAGTGGGAGACAGAATTATAAATAAAAATTCAGAAAAACGCATGTCAAAAAAGTTATACATTATTTGCATTTCACTGAGTGAAATAAGTATTTGATCCCCTATCAATCAGCAAGATTTCTGGCTCCCAGGTGTCTTTTATACAGGTAACGAGCTGAGATTAATAGCACTCTCTTAAAGGATTGTTCAGCTCATTACCTGTATAAAAGACACCTGTCCACAGAAGCATTCAATCAAATTCTAAACTCTCCACCATGGCCAACACTAAAGAGCTGTCCAATGATGTCAGGGGCAAGATTGTAGACCTACACAAGGCTGGAATGGAAGAACTGAAATCCTGCAGTGCCCGCAAAGTCCCCCTGCGCAAGAAAGCACATGTACAGGCCGTCTGAAGTTTGCCAGTGAACATCTGAATGATTCAGAGGAGAACTGGGTGAAAATGTTTTGTCAGATAAGACAAAAATCGAGCTCTTTGGCATCAACTCAACTTGCCGTGTTTGGAGGAGGAGGAATGCTGCCTATGACCCCAAGAACACCATTCTCACCGTCAAACATGAAGGTGGAAACATTATGCTTTGGTGGTGTTTTTCTGCTAAGGAGGCAGGACAACTGCACCGCATCTAATGGACGATGGACAAGGCCATGTACTGTCAAATCTGGGGTGAGAACCTCCTTTCCTCAGCCAGGGCATTGAAAATTGGGTCGTGGATGGGTATTGCAGCATGACAGTGACCCAAAATACACAGCCAAGGAAACAAAGGAGTGGCTCAATAAGAAGCATAGTAAGGTCCTGGAGTGGCCTAGTCAGCCTCCAGAACTTAATCCCATAAAAAATCTGTGGAGAGAGCTAAAGGTTTGAGTTGCCAAACGTCAGCCTCGAAACCTTAATGACGTGGAGAGGATTTGCAAAGAGGAGTGGGACAAAATCCCTCCTGAGATTTGTGCAAACCTGGTGGCCAGCTACAATCTGAACTCTGTGATTGCCAGCAAGTAATAAGTCGAAGGGGTCAAATACTTATTTCATTCATTGACATGCAAATCAATTTATAACTTTTTTGACATGCGTTTTTCTGGATTTTGTTTTGGTTATCCTGTCTCTCACTGTTAAAATACACCTACCATTAAAATTATAGACTGATCATTTCTTTGTCAGTGGATAAACATTCAAAAATCAGCAGGGGGTCAAATACTTTCCCCCCCTCACTGTACATTAACATTTTTGGATGCAATTGAGTGATTTTAAGCAATATATTCACTAAACTCTCAACTGAATTAAATTTAAACCCAAATGGCAAAATGTACGCTAAAACAGCTGATCTGGAAGCTGCCTATTTAATCCTAATTTTTGCCTTTTGGATTTCAGTTTGCTAACTTTAGAGTTCCTATTCTTTTGATCTCCTTTCTGTATTGTAAAATAACCGTGCACTTTGTACGTTACTGTAGAATATTTTCAGAAACTATGTATACTTTTATCTCAGTATGCCCTGGGGTGATAAAGGTACAAGGTTTGATATTTACAACAAATAAATATGGAATTTGGGGAACAGCGATTATTATTGGTGCGGTTGGACTCAATATCTTTTGAGAGAAGTTTTATGGGTGGTAGTACCACCGTTGTGGAGTTCTGTGGGTGAATGTGGTGGGCGAGTATGTGGAGCTTTCAGTCTGCACAATACAAAGCACTGAGTAAAGTTATGGAAATGGACTGACGATTATAGGGGTTAACTGGTGCCGGAATTCTAATTATATTGAAAACACTTAAGGTGTTCAGGTGGAAATTGAGGTTTAATTCCAGAGATGGATTAATATTTCCCATGTGACTAAAAAAGTGAAAGGTAGGATGATAAGACTGTGTAGACATGCACAGGGGATGCAGGTATGCCAAAGAACAGGTCTTGCTTGGTATTGTATTTGAAAGACCTCAAAAGAAATGGCTAAATTTCCGGAGAAGAATCAAACCCTCAGTCATTTTTAATTTTTTTTTTTTTAAAGACCCAAATATCTTTTCTCAGAATTACGGGTTTATGCAAAGTATCCGCTTGTGTCAGTTCTTTTATACGTGAGATTTCAGTTCATCTTAAGAACTGACATTTCTTAAACCATCACAGGCTTAACATCTTAATTTTTCCCGAAATGTTATCTGACATGCCTGAGTAAGACCGGTGGGGTGCCCAAGCACATACAGTGCATCCATCATCAAAAGAGAGTAAAAATAGCTCTCGCTCAGCAATGCTACCCAGTATTCTACGTACTTTACACATAAACCTAGCCCTGCGACTGTGTCATGGCGCGCAGAATCAGTCTAATTGACGTGATACGAACTGAACTATCGCAAATACAGCTGCAGCACAATAAACCGCCCTTATCACGGAAAATAAGATACTGAAGGGCTAGAACTGTCAGCTTTTCTTGTAATTCCAAAACAAAATCGGAAAGGAAAAGTGGAATAAACAAATGCACACGAAAGTAGTGAAGACATACAGCCAGTAGGCCATGCACTAATGGACTAAAGTTTGGTTTCAAGTAACTAACCCTTTGGTCTCTGGGCATCGTGAGAAATTAAATTAAGAACATCTAGGGGCCAAGGGTGGTTAATACTGATCTATACTGGATACTCCATTGCCCAAATACCAAAACAAAAAAAAAGAATTGCAAACAAATAAATCAATATTTAGTAGACATGTCCCTAATGAAAACATTAACCTATTCTGTAATACATATAATTAATGATGTAAACATTTTGGAGTATTTTATTTATTTATTTAATACCACATTATCTGATTGTAGACTTCTGAGACATGCTAAGTCTGCTCTAACAGGATTTCTGAGGTCACCCATTGGCTGTGGGAAATCACATCCTGGACAGGGACGGACTGGGAAAAAAATTCGGCCCGGGCATTCTTTTAATCACAGTGGCCGAGGGGGCGATGACAAACACGACCCCTCTCAAAGTGAGCATGCTGGTTCAATGCTCTTCCAGGGCAGACCATGCGTAGAGCTCTGCTGAAGAGCTCTAGCATGAGAAAAAGGCCCTGTATTTGAGAGAGGTGCAATTTGTGGACACTGGCGGATCCAGAGTCTTATCCCGGGAGGGGCACTCATAGGTTAAAGAAACAATCCAGGCACAATAACCACTACAGCTCTCTGTAGTGGTTATGGTGCCAGGAGTGCCGTGGCACCCTCCCAGAGTAAATAGTCAAACGGTTTAAGAACAGTTTGACAATTTACCCGGGATCTGACAGGATAGGGGCTGTAGTAGGGGATAGAGCCTGTAGTAGTGTGTATGTGTGAGAGTAGGCAGTGTGTGTGTGTGTATATGGGAGGCACTGAGTGTGTGAAGGATGCAGGGTGGGTATAGGAGACAGTGTGTGAGGGGTGCAGAGTGTGTGTGTATGGGAGGCAGTGCATGTGGGCCAGTGTGTGTAGGAGGGGCAGTGTGTATTTGTGTGAGGGGTGTAGTGTGTGCATGGGAGTGCAGTGTGTATATGTGGGGTGCAGTGGAAGCACTGTGTGTATGGGGCCAGTGTGTGTATGAAGGTGTAGTGGGGGCAGTGTGTGTATGAGAGTGCAGCTGGGGAAGTGTGTGTATGGGGGTGCAGTGTTTGTGTATGGGAGCACTCTGTGTATGTGGGTGTAGAGTGTGTGTGGGGGAGATGTGTGTGGGGGTGCAGTGCTTGTGTGGGGGTGCACTGTGTGTATGGTGGTGTAGTGTGTGTGGGGGGGAGAAGTGTGTGAGGGTGTAATGTTTGTGTGGGAAAGCACTGTGTGTGGGGGTGCAGTGTTTGTATGGGGAGCACTGTGTGTATGGGGAGAAGTGTGTGTGTGGGGTTGCAGTGTGTGTGGAGGAGAAGTGTGTGCGTGGGGGTGCAGTGTTTGAGAAGTGTGTGCGTGGAGGTGCAGTGTGTGTGGAGGAGAAGTGTGTGTGTGAGGGTGCAGTGTTTGTATGGGGAGATGCGTATGTGGGGGTGCAGTGTGTGTGTATGGGGGGCTGTGGGGGCAGTGTGTTTGGTGGAGCAGTGTGTATGGGGCTGTGGGAGCAGTGTGTGTTTGGGGGCAGGTATGGGGGGCTGTGGGGCAGTGTGTTTGGTGGGGGCAGTGTGTTTGGTGGTGGGGGCAGTGTGTTTGGTGGGGCAGTGTGTATGGGTGGCTGTGGGGGCAGTGTGTTTGGTGGGGCAGTGTAAAACAAATGGTTTGTTTTTTAATTAATAAAATATCATTTATATCCCCCCTCCCTTCCTACCTTTGCCCAGGGAGGGGGGATATCGCTTGTAATCCCTGGTGGTCCGGTGGAATCCCTGGCGGTTCTAGTGGGGGAGTGAACTCTAGCCTGCACCTCCTAAGGCTAGGGTTCACTCTCGTGGTAACCACGGCAACGCTCTGTTCTCGCGAGAGGAGACCCGGCAGAGCTGCAGGCTAGAGCTCCTCCCAGGTCTCCTCTCTCCGTGCCGGCTGCCCAGCAATATGCCTGCGGACTGATGAGGGAGATCTCTGATCTCCCCTCCGGTCTGTGAAGGCACTTAGCAGGGCCGACGCTTGGAGAGCACTGGCCCTGCAGGAGAGAGCATCGGCTGAAGGTGAGTATGAGGGGTGAAGTGTGTGCACGTGAGGGTGCTGTGTGTTTGTGTGTGTGTGAGGGTGATGTGAGTGAGGGGTGGTGTGTGTGTGTATGTATGTGTGTGTGTGAGGGTAATGTGTGTGTGTGTGTGAGGGAGTGTTGTGTGTGAGGGAGCTGTGTGTGAAGGTAATGTGTGTGTGAGAGTAATGAGTGCTGTGTGTGAGGATGCTGTGTGTGAGGGTGCTGTGTGTGAATGCTATGGCTGTGTGTGAGGGTGATGTGTGTGTATATGCTAGGAGGGATTGTGTGTTGTGTGGGGAAAGGCAGATTAATGCCACTATATATGAATTTATTTATTTAAAAAAAAAAAGAAAAGAAAACAAGCGAGAGGGAGCTGTATGTGTGTGTGTGAGGGTAATGTCTTTGTGTGTGTGTGTGTGTGAGGGTTGTGTGTGAGGGAGTGTTGTGTGTGAGGGAGCTGTGTGTGTGAGAGTGCTGTGTGTGAGGGTGCTGTGTATGAGGGTGCTGTGTGTGAGTGCTGTGGCTGTGTGTGTGTTGTGGCTGTGTGTGAGGGTGATGTGTGTGAGGGTGATGTGTGTGTATATGCTAGGAGGGATTGTGTGTTGTGGGGGGAAAGGCAGATTAATGCCACTATATATGAATTTATTTCGTTTATTTAGTTTAGGTCTTCTCCTGTCTCCCTCCTCAGCTGGCGGCCGCATGTCTATGCAAGTGGGCCGTTGAGGGAGATCTTTGATTCCCGTCATGGAATGCAGCAGGGCCGGCACTCGGATAGCATGGGCCCTGCATGGACTGGCCAGTGAGGTCTGCGGCCCACTGGGCATTTGCCTGGTGTGCCCAATGGCCAGTCCGGGCCTGATCCTGGATATCCTAAAGACCAGCCTGTGTAATCCACTATCCCCTAGTGCTGTCACTGGGTAACAGCATCAGGGGGTGGAGTCAGACCTCTGTAAAGTGGCTGTTTACATGTATCTATAAGTTTATGATGGTGAAAACAGCATGCCATCTGACTGGGTCAGGGGTTGAGTCCATGGACAGAGCCTGAGACATAAGAGAGCAGAGTCAGATTCCAGTGATAGAGTCAAGTTCCCCCTCAATGGTTAAACTTCATCAGCCACCACGGGGGACCAGTTATCTTAACAGAAATTTAGGCAGAATTTGGTCTCCTGAGGGTTGTCGCCATGCTTTTTCAGTAAACTGTGAAATGTGGAAACTGGATAACATTCAAGCTACAAATGAGTAAGCGGAGTGCTTATCTGGAAATGGGGAGACGAGGGGGAGTGGTGGGAAAGGGTCGGTAGGGAGGAGGAGGTTGAAGGAGGGAAGTGAAGATTGGGTCAGACAGTTTGTTATCTAGTCATTATTGGATAGCGGTTTGGTATGAGGCCATGGTGGCTGCTGGCATGATCGATAGGGAGCCTTGGACAGGGGTCATAAATCTGAGCTCATGAATAGTAACCAACATTGGTAGCAACTGAGTTTACACACTGTTAATTAACCACAATAGTAGCACATGTGACGGTAATTGTAAAGGGGATGCCAATGCTAGATGTGGGAGGAAACCTTAATAGATGTGAGTTAGTATGTTAAGCAGGTCTCTGAAAATGTTTACAGAATGTACGGATCATTTATCACTGTAACTATGATTATTTCTGTTGTATTTGCTTTACTCTTGAAATAAAGATTTAAAAACCATTTGGGCTACAAAACGTTGAGGGACAAAAGCTAGCTGTGAATTAACTAGTTCGTGATTATACTCTATAGGGGATGCCATGGATGATGCTTTTGGCAAAAGTACCAAAACGGAGACCCCAAAAAGTCCTATAATTCATGTAGAGGAAATCAGATCCTTGTACGAAGTCCCAATTAATTAAACCAGCAACTGTGTAAAATCAACCAGGAAATCACAAAATTGAGTCAGAATGATCTAAACCTGAAAAACAGCCTGTGTCAAATCCGGTTTATGATAAATTCTAAAAAGTGATATAGATCTAAAAACACATTTAGGGAATTTAATCACGAAACCAAGAATTGTAGAGAATCAACAGGAGGTCACTGTAACGGACCGTTTTGCACACAAGGGGTAAAAACCGTTTAGGCGATCGGCCCCCTTTCCAGAGATACAGGCACAGCTACTGCAGAACACCAAACTCCCAAACTGGATACAAAATAGCACTCCAACTCCCGAACTGGAACCTCCCAAATAGCTGCTAGCAGACGAACAGGAAAAGCAGCTTACACTCCTGGCAATCAGTCTCTAACAGCATACAGTGAATCCCCCCAAGAACGAGACAAGGCTCTGTGTTGAGGGTCAAGCAGTGGTCTGATGTTTAATGGCACACACTCTGCTTTTATGTGATTCTGCCCATGCAAGGGAGACACCCACATAATTAGCAGTATAACCAATCGGAACAATATACATTCAGGGAAATTCCCATCCCTCAGATAATCACATAACATAATTAAAACAGAACAGTTTTTCCCCATACCCTGTAACTTTAAAACCATACATCCAATCTTCATACAAATTACATATTTGGAATCAATCCATTCAGGGGAGCAACATATTAAAAAATGGCACAAATCAGACAAGGGGTTCAAAAGTTAGTAAAAAGTCCTTTGTGACTAAATGAAGCATGGCTTTCTGGCCCAAACCAGTTTCAGAGTCTTCTATCCTGGAGAGTAATTCAATTATCTCCCAGGACAGACACAAGACTCCATTAAGCACATGGTTGCAAAAAGACACAAAACACTTTAAAATACATAAAGTCACATTTATTACATAAAACACAGACATGTAACATATCCCCAGATAGCTCAGGTCCGAGCGCACATTATTAAGCGAATGGCGCTCAGACCACACGAATACAGTTTAATCGCCATGGAGCCAAAGTCTTTACAGTCAGTTTCATACGAATGGGCTCCATGGGATTCCTATCTGGGGTATAACACATTCAAACAAATCTACCGAACCCCAGGCAGAAAAGCACGAATTAAGCTTTTCTGCAGGTAAAAAAGATGTCTTTTAACAGGGGGCCATAGTCCAAAGGCAGCAGGCGAGCAACCAGGCTTCTCCAATGCAATGTGGCGAGATTGGTCTCGTCACAGTCACGTTCTAGAAGAAGGTGATACAAATATATATATATGTCTTTTTTTTTAATCCAGCTCAGATTTCTTTGTAATTTGACTTTTTGTCCTAGAAATTGCAATATTCTTCCAGTTTGTAAATATGCCTTAAATGTCAAAGTTGAATTTTTGCCTGCTGTGTACCACAGTGAAGAGCAGTGAATGGATACACTAGGATCCATCAACCTACATCATTGCACAATTCTGACCACGTACCTAAAAGCCTAGAGAGTCTGGGTATTTGCCTTAAAAGAAATTGACCATGCTCCCACAGACATCAATGATTTGGCCCTTCATTGAACCCTGAGAATCTGTGTAAACTAAATTCTGAGATTCACAGTTTACGTATGAATGGGCATATTTTAATCTTGTACAGATTATCAGGGTTTCCAAGCGCATCAGCAGATTCACTGGGTAAAGTGACAGATTTCCCACAGAACCAGGTTTGTTCTGGCGACATTGAGGGAATGTGCATAACTCTTAGAGTTCGAATTAACAGGAAAATTCACAGATTAAAGACCTGGGAGTCAGAGGATTCTCAAATGTATTTATTGATTTTTTTACATTTTTTAGTAAGTGATTTAGCCAAAAGAAATCCACAAACTACAACGAATGCTTGCCCGCCCACTCTGATGCAGGTTTGAGAAGACCCTTAAAAAGGTACCTTGGTTCAATGTGTCCACAATATAGAATACAGTGATAGAAAAAGAATCATTAAGTGAAATGACGCCTTCTACACAGAAATATGTACTTTGGAGAACTCTAGAACAATTGTACATGGTGCACATTACACTACCTATGTTGGCAGACCGTTCCATGTTTCTACTACTACTACCGATATCTAGTATTGTACAAACTTGGAACTCCACGCATGATCCATCAGCTTCCAGTTAAGAACCCCGGTTTCAGAAAGAACGTTGAGTTATATTGAAAGAGCGTTTACCCATTTTGGTTATTTATTTATTCTTCTCTCCCCACTCCCTCCTCTCGTTCGAAGTGTACATATTAAGGTCATAAAGTGTTTTCCGATTTGTTATTCCTGCTTGTGTTGTGCCCTAGTTAGAACTTTAAAACGCTATTACCCAACGGGATAGACCCAAGTGGAGCTAAAGTCATGTTTTATTCTCTTTGTTTAGGCCTCTACAAAGGAAATTGCTTCCGAATTAATCATTTTCCAGAGGATAACGATTACGATCACGACAGTTCTGAATATCTATTACGTAAGTAGAACGCTTTCCAATCCAAGATGTGCTGATCAAAATAACCCAAAATAATTACTTCCGAGGCAGGAGATGGTAAATACTCGAAGCATCAACTAAACAATCATGTAGCCTCATCATGTTGTACAACTATGGCACTATGACAAGCTCGAGGTCTGTCGTTCACCCCGGAATAATAGGAAACGTTGTCAGTCATGGAGAAATGTTGATCAGCTGGCTTACAATCTGTTGATTATTAAACTATTAAACCTCTGGCATGAGGTAAATTAGAACTACCCATGGGTATACAATGCCAGCCACCAGATGTGACTTGGTAAAACGGAACAAGTATCACACCTAAGCCGACCTTTATCTACATTGATAATTGCTTTAAACGTGGCATGAACACAGATTAGTTATCATAATTACCCTGAAAATGCTGAGGTTTATGGGGATGGGTCAAGTAAAGTGTGCCCGTTTAAAAAAAAAAAAAAAAAAGAATAAAAATAATAATAATTTGTGGTGTTGTGGGCTGCAAAGAACTGACCGTGTGGATTAATGGCAATTCTGCATTTCAATAAATGTTGGATTTATTCATTAATATTTAGCACCAACATTTTCTGTGCAATTGAAATAAAATCTACAGGGAAATTAAGGCCAAGAAAAACAAGTTCAAGGATCCTGCTTATAAAAACCAAAAACTATATAAAACCTTCATCAACCTTAAAGCAAACCTCCCAATATTGGGACCAGTGACGCACATAATGGGCGGACCCACCCATAGAAGGATCATGTCCACCTGGCGTCTGTACCTCCAGGGCATCCCACGCACAGCACGCCATGCAGCGAGTGTCTCTGAAGCACTTTTGCACCAATCCAGGTTACAGTTAGTTTTACAGTATTTGTGGGTTTATATTATTAAAGGGACACTCCAGGCTCCCACACACGTTAGGTGCACTGTGTAGGTTAGGTTACAGTTATACTGTGTGGGTTTATATTATTAAAGGGACACTCCAGGCTCCCACACACGTTAGATGCACTGTGTAGGTTAGGTTACAGTTAGTTATACTGGGTGGGTTTATATTATTAAAGGGACACTCCAGGCTCCCACACACGTTAGATGCACTGTGTAGGTTAGGTTACAGTTAGTTATACTGGGTGGGTTTATATTATTAAAGGGACACTCCAGGCTCCCACACACGTTAGGTGCACTGTGTAGGTTAGGTTACAGTTAGTTATACTGGGTGGGTTTATATTATTAAAGGGACACTCCAGGCTCCCACACACGTTAGATGCACTGTGTAGGTTAGGTTACAGTTAGTTATACTGGGTGGGTTTATATTATTAAAGGGACACTCCAGGCTCCCACACACGTTAGGTGCACTGTGTAGGTTAGGTTACAGTTAGTTATACTGGGTGGGTTTATATTATTAAAGGGACACTCCAGGCTCCCACACACGTTAGGTGCACTGTGTAGGTTAGGTTACAGTTAGTTATACTGGGTGGGTTTATATTCTTAAAGGGACATTCCAGGTTCCTACACATGTTAGATGCACTGTGTAGGTTAGGTTATAATAAGTTATACTGGGTGGGTTTATATTATTAAAGGGACACCCCAGGCTCCCACACACGTTAGATGCACTGTGTGTAGGTAAGGTTACAGTTATACTGATTGGGTTTATATTCTTAAAGGGACATTCCAGGTTCCTACACACGTTAGATGCACTGTGTAGGTTAGGTTATAGTAAGTTATACTGGGTGGGTTTATATTATTAAAGGGACACTCCAGGTTCCCACACACGTTAGATGCACTGTGTAGGTTAGGTTACAGTTAGTTATACTGGGTGGGTTTATATTATTAAAGGTACACTCCAGGCTCCCACACACGTTAGGTGCACTGTGTAGGTTAGGTTACAGTTAGTTATACTGGGTAGGTTTATATTATTAAAGGTACAATCCAGGCTCCCACATACGTTAGGTGCACTGTGTAGCTTAGGTTACAGTTAGTTATACTGGGTGGGTTTATATTATTAAAGGGACACTCCAGGCTCCCACACACGTTAGGTGCACTGTGTAGGTTAGGTTACAGTTAGTTATACTGGGTGGGTTTATATTATTAAAGGGACACTCCAGGCTCCCACACACGTTAGGTGCACTGTGTAGGTTAGGTTACAGTTAGTTATACTGGGTGGGTTTATATTATTAAAGGGACACTCCAGGCTCCCACACACGTTAGGTGCACTGTGTAGGTTAGGTTACAGTTAGTTATACTGGGTGGATTTATATTATTAAAGGGACACTCCAGGCTCCCACACACATTACTAGCACTGTGTAGGTTATGTTACAGTTAGTTATATTGGGTGGGTTTATATTATTAAAGGGACACTCCAGGCTCCCACACGTTAGGTGCACTGTGTAGCTTAGGTTACAGTTAGTTATACTGGGTGGGTTTATATTACTAAAGGGACACTCCAGACTCCCACACACATTACTAGCACTGTGTAGGTTACAGTAATATTGGGTGGGTTTATATTATTAAAGGGACACTCCAGGCTCCCACACACGTTAGGTGCACTGTGTAGGTTAGGTTATAGTTAGTTATACTGGGTGGGTTTATATTATTAAAGGGACACTCCAGACTCTCACACATATTACTAGCACTGTGTAGGTTAGGTTACAGTTATACTGGGTGGGTTTATATTATTAAAGGGATATTCCAGGCTCCCACACACGTTAGGTGCACTGTGTAGGTTAGGTTACAGTTAGTTATACTGGGTGGGTTTATATTATTAAAGGGACACGCCAGGCTCCCATACACGTTAGGTGCACTGTGTAGGTTAGGTTATAGTTATACTGGGTGGGTTTATATTATTAAAGGGATACTCCAGGCTCCCACACATGTTAGATGCACTGTGTAGGTTAGGTTACAGTTAGTTATACTGGGTGCGTTTATATTAGTCAGAAGCTCAAGGAAGCAAGGTGGATAGTCTGTGTAGGATCCACCTAAGAGGTTTGCCTTGACGTGGCAGGTGGGCATCCCCTCTCATGGCCATTGGTGTAACTAAGTAACCTCCATTAGTTCAAATATGCATAGGGATTTGGGAAGAGCTCAGATAACATATTTTTCTTGGGTTTATATTAGTAAATGGACACTTCAGGCTCCCCCACGTTAGATGCAATGTGTAGGTTAGGTTACAGTTAGTCACTGAGTAAGTTTATAGTACTCAGGTTAGAAAGCGAGGTTAATGTGAATTTTAAGGAAAAGGCATCAACTACAGGGCAATACATTCTTGTAGAGATGGGTGGCATTTCTCTAAAACAAGGAATGTCATTTAAAATGGGTGTCTCAGTGGACCTGTCATTAGTGTCCTATCCTCACATAGCAAGAGATTACTATATGTGAAACGCAAAAGAATGGCCTAGGCACAGATCATCACAAACCCACTGTGTGATTTGTCACTCCACAGAACATGTGTCCACAGCTCCAGAATCCAGTGGCTGCATGCTTAACACCACTTGATCCAACACTCGGCATTGCACTTGGTGATGTGAGGCTAGCATGCAGCTGCTCGGCCATGGACACCCATTCAATCAAGCTCCCGCCACACAGTTTTTATGCAGATATTAATGCCAGTGGAAGCTTAGAATGCTTCAACTATGGAATCAGCAGAGCGACTTTTACAACCCATGCGCCTTAGCACTTTGTGACTTTCCGTGGTCTTCTGCTTGGTGGCGGAGTTGCTGCTGTTCCCAAACGCTTCCACTTTCCAATAATACCACTTAAAGTTGACCTTGGTATATCTAGCAGGGATGAGATTTCACAAACTGAAATTATTGCACAGGTGGCATCCTATCACAGGACCACGCTGGAATTCCCAGAGCTATTCAAACAACCCATTTTCCCCCCACAAATGTTTGTAGAGCAGGCTGCATGGCTAGGTGCTTGATTTATACACCTGTGGCAATAGGTTTTAATGAAACTCCTGAATTCAATAAGAGGTGTATTCCCATACCTTTGTCCATACAATCAAATTTGAACTCATTTCATTTCACTTTTGGTTAGAACACCTTTTAAACAGGCTCAGTGGGGTAGGGTTGGTTAATCCACTGACCTCATCTCATACAGACTTTATATGGCTGCAAGACCTCACTTGTTGGCAAATGGTATTGTTACCAAGAAAGACGATTGGGCATTGTAGAAAAGCTAATCCAAGGATTGGACCAAACCTTTTAAATTGGTTCAAAGTCATTTCGAACCACAGACATGTTTCTCCACGCTGCTCACACCCCTGCTGATTCTTTGTGCTACAAAAATCACTTTAACACAAATTCCTGATGACTTCAGAGAAACACATTCAAGAATAATATACTTTCTTGTATTGTGTTTTAAACTTAAGATATATAAATAAATAAATAAATAAAAAGAAAAAAAAAAACACAAATGTAACAACTCGCTTTAACTCCCAATAGTCAGCCACAATACATCAACACAAAGGTATAGTTCAGTCATACGGATAGAATTATCATCTATACAGCAAAACATATTCCTGCATAGTTTATACACTGGGGTTGCATAGAAGACAATAGTATAAAGATGAAATGAAGTAGACGGCAAATGCTGCGAGAACCCTTCTCAAAACGCGCCAAGAGCAGGATTCTGCAAACCCTGGCCCTCCAGATGTTGATGTACCAAAACTCTCATGATTCTTTGAATGAAAGATAGCCAGAGAACCATGGCGGGGGAGGGGGGGAGTTCACCTGAAGAGACTGAGTTTGGAGAAACCTTATCTAGAGTTCTGAACTCTAACAGTGTGTTGTGTGTACAGTGTATCACAGAGCTCCAAATAATCCAACACACAGTAATGTGCAGGGTATGCAAGTAGACATTGTATTGTTCTGGAGCTCTGTGATAAAATTCACACACTTTACTCGTTAAGACTTGTGCATGCAGTTTCATTGGCAGGATGTCCAAAATCCAGAACTCCGAAACGCTACATGGACAAATCACCGCGCAAAACTCTATTACACCTTATTGTGAGTTTTATTGCTATGGAGCTCTGTGTACACACATTGCACATTGATATAGGTTTTACTGCTGTGGAGAGGAGAGAGGGCTTTGTCCAAAGAGGAAGCCTTAGAAGATATGCATGTATGTACATATAAAAATATACTATGCACACACCATTATGCAGAACACATTATTCATAACACATTATAGATATATTAAAAAATCATGCAGAGATTACACCTTTATACAAAACATGCACATTACGGACACATTAAATACAGAACACTTTTTAGAACACGCTCTAGATTTCTCGGATTACGTACTTTGTCTTTTTTTTCACACTTTTTTAAATTGTGCCCAGGGAGTGCAAAAGAAGAATAAAATGCATTAGACAAACGCACAATATGAGATGTACCCTGCACAAGATCCTGAAATAGCACAAATCTAGCTCTTAAAATCAATAGGTGTCACAGGAAGGTTTGTTACAATACCTTTCCACTTCATCTGACCAATTTCTGCAGAAAAGCTCTCTATGCCTGCTCGTCTGGCTTTTAAGGAAAATAAGAGAATACTCTGAAGTATCATAGAGACATTTCAAGTCATCAAGCGTCCAAAAAAATTGTATTTAACACCTTGAAACAAAATAAAGTCATGAAACGGCAACATCTTGTGCAAAACTAGTATGAGTATCGCCAATCACAATGGCTATCACTGCCCAGAGCCCCCATACAGGCTTTGCTGCCCACTGCGGTGACACAGTCATCACTGCGCATGGCTTCAGGATTTCATTGCTTCTCACAGCACATCACCCGTAAAAATCACAAATTTATGTAATTCTGTTTTTTTAAACAAATAAAACGAATTATTTTTTGTTAAACTGGCAGCGATTAATTTCTCCTCCATCGAAAGAGATAACGTGATAACAGTACAGCCTGGTGCCCTTGTTGCCCTAAGTGCGTTTAGGGATTGAAGTTAATAATCATGGTATTTGGGGACGGTAACTCTTGACAGGGTGTAAATCCCAGGCGTTGCCTTATCTGGGCGGGAGGCAGCTGGCAATAATCCGACTCAGCGCCCTTCTAGCAAGGCAGTGTCGAGGTGCTTTTCAAACATGCATTTCACAGAATCCAACGTTGTGGAATAATTAACATCAACCAATGCACGCCACAGAGTTGAGATGAGGATAAAAACAGCCACTTATATCCGGAGACAGAATTCATACACAACCAAAACATGTCTCTTGACTGTACGCAACACATGCAGAGGTTTATTTCATCCAATTAATGCAAACGTGTGGCTCTGAGATGTAATGTTTATTTAGGAGATCCCATTGTACAGCGCTACAGAATGTGATGGCGCTTTATAAATAATAAAATAATAATAAAATAATATACGGAACTAAAGTGAGTATTCAAGGTGATATTCAGATTTAAGGCCAGGGTAGCTAAACTGAAAGCAAGGGGACTAACAGAATTTTTAAAGTTCAGCTATTTTGATCTTAAAAGGACACTCCAGCACCCAGACCACTTCTGCCCATTGGAGTGGTCTGGGTGCCAACTCCCACCACCTTTAACCCTGCAAGTGTAATTATTGCAGATTTTATAAACTGCAATAATTACCTTGCAGGGTTAACTCCTCCTCTAGTGGCTGTCTATCAGAACACGAAAAGGGTTTTAAACAACGCTGGACGTCCTCATGCTATGCTTGAAGATCTCCAGCGTCGCCGGAATCCCCACAGGAAAGCACTGAATAATGCTTTCCTATGGTGAGGTCTAATGCACGCACTGCCATTTCCACGCATGCGCATTAGGTCTCCCCCGCCGGATGGAGTGTGGAGAGTAGGCGGAGCCTGACCCAGAGCCGAGGGACATCGGCGCTGGATTCAGGTAAGTAACATGGAATGGGGGGTGGGAGGAAGAGGGCCACTGCAGTGTCCTGCAGGGACAGGAAAACTGATATGTTTTCCTGGCACTGGAGAGTCCCTTTAAATTTTAGATTTTGTTAAATTTTGAACCCTGATATTAAAGGACCACTCTAGGCACCCAGACCACTTCAGCTTAATGAAGTGGTCTGGGTGCCAGGTCCAGCTAGGCTCAACCCATTGTTTCATAATTATAGCAGTTTCAGAGAAACTGCCTTCCCCCTAATCCTCTAGTGGCTGTCTCATTGACAGCCACTAGAGGCGCTTGCGTGCTTCTCACTGTGAAAATCACAGTGAGAGCACGCCAGCGTCCATAGGAAAGCATTGTAAATGCTTTCCTATGAGACCGGCTGAATGCGCGCGCAGCTCTTGCCGCGCGTGCGCATTCAGCCGGCGGGGCGTATCGGAGGCGGAGAGGAGGCAGAGAGCTCTCCGCCCAGCGCTGGAAAAAGGTAAGTTTTTCCCCTTTCCCCCTTCCAGAGCCGGGCGGGAGGGGGTCCCTGAGGGTGGGGGCACCCTCAGGGCACTATAGTGCCAGGAAAACGAGGATGTTTTCCTGGCACTATAGTGGTCCTTTAATGAATAACCCTGACATTCATTCTTCGAAACAAAACTCTCTTTCCTACCCTGGTGTTTCCCACTTTTATAGGAGCGTGGAATGTGTATGTACCACATAGCTCCACAGCAATAAAACTCACTGTAATGTGTATGAGAGTATCACAGAGCTCCACAGCAATAAAACTCACAGGAATGTGCAATGTGTATAAGTGTATAAGTGTATAACATAGCTGCACAGCAATAAAACTCACTGTAATGTACAATGTGTATAAGTGTATTACAGAGCTCCACAGCAATAAAACTCACTGTAATGTGCAGTGTGTATGAGTGTATTACAGAGCTCCACTGCAATAAAACTCACAGTACAGTGTAATTTTGTCTAATTTTAGGAATTGTTCGTGCCTCCAGTGTGTTCCCAATCCTGAGCACCATCTTGCTGTTACTTGGAGGGCTGTGCATTGGTGCAGGGCGGATTTACAGCCGAAGGAATAATATCATACTCAGCGCCGGGATACTGTTTGTGGCAGCTGGTGAGTGTCTGACATAATAACGAGAAGGGGGCACAAATGATGTCTTCACCACCTCCCTCCTGCATAGTAGGAGCATAATATGACAAAACTTAGCTCATTCAGATTCCTATCAGGGCAGCAAGTTACCACATGGGCAAACTGGGTAAAACAGTCATTAGATCTGGAATTCCTGTACATTTGCACCTACTCCATATAACTCTGTAGGACAGTGATTTCCCATGATATAGCTCCCACCATCACAAATGTGGGAGGTCGTCTGTACCCATGTCTCTCAAACGTCCAGATTCTAGTGGGACTGTGCCAATGTCACAGCTCTGCCCTGAACAGAAACAATTTGTACCATTCAGTTATTAGTTCCCCCATCTATGTCATCAAAGCGCTTCCAATTATGCAACAAACTAAAAAAAAAATACATTCTTGACCCCAGAATGGCAGTCAGATCTCTTCTTGGATCAAGAAGCTTTTGAGACAAGAAGGGGCTGTATTTAGAGTGAGTTTGTATAAGGCACTTCAGCCACCTACCTTCCAACACTTCCAAAGACACGTATTTCAGGTGGTGTGATTGGGGGTGTAACCAGGGAGTGGTAAGAGGTGGGATTGAACATGGACATTTTAAGTCTTCTTTGGCCCTTTGAAATTTTTTGAAGTATTGATACCATTCTTCAGTGTCCTGTAATCTCAACAATCCTTCTCTACTCTAGTTTTCTTTAGATACCCTTTGTGGCGAACTGCCTGGCACCCCAACTGGGTGCCTCCACCAATCGCTGCTTTCTAGTAATTGCGAGCACCATAAGCACCGCACTGGAACACCATAACCATCGTAAACCCAGCAGCCAGCATTACATGGGAGTATAGTGATTATAGCAATCCAGAGAGTGAATATAGCTGTCCCCTCTGCACATGAGACATGTTGAGTGTGAAGAGAAACTGTTTAATGGCAGCCACAACTAGCCTTATATGCAAGCCCCCATGCAAGGGGTTTTCCATAACATACTCCAGGGGAACTCCCTACTGGACCTGAGAGGGGACTGTAACAAAGTACACAATGTAATTACATTGGCTCTCAGGTCCAGGACACTCCCACACAAAACAAGATAATCCCTCCCCTGTGCCTGAGAGATAATTGAGTCAGGAACTGTACTACACTCAATTATCTCCAGGCACAGAAATCATATTTTACAATAATCCGAAAGTACGCCCAAAACACATGGAAAACCCACAAAAGTCACATCCCATGGTTCAGGGGTTCGGGATTTCCATGGAAGTCGTGATTTTGACCGACGATGCACATGGTCCTATGCCCCAAAACAGTTCCAGAGAATTAGGGCTAATGGTCAGTCTCTCTTTCTGGAGTACAAAAGTACATAAATCCCATGAGCGGAGCCTTTTAAAGTGTTTTGAGCAAGATATAATGCAGGGCCCATAGTCCTGAGGCAGGAGGCTGGCAAGAAGGCTCCTCCAGGAGCCCGTGACAAGGTTCTGTTTGCCACACCCTTCCCTCTAAACCATTGTCTCCATATACTACCCTTCCTCTAAGCCATTACCTCCATATACTACCCTTCCTCTAAGCCAGTACCTCTTTATGCTACCTTTCCTTCAAGGAAGTGCCTCCATGTTCCCTTTCCTCTAAGCTAGTGAACCAATGCTGCATCCATGCCAGTCCTATTGCTGTTCCCTCTATGACAGCCTCACGTATGTTAGTGCTTCTGTCTGTAGTACTTTGAGTACAGGAAAAGGTATTACTTACAATAACCGATTCTCACCGGGGTGACAGATCCTCTGTCTATTTGCTTGTCTCTGTTCCAGCCACCCTCTCATTCCTTCCACGAATGCCAGTATTCTAAATCTATTCAATCCTTCATTCCTACCTGTGATGTCATCAGTCACCCTTGTGACCTCATAATTGCTTGATACAATCAGGTCATTTACTATGGGTACTAAGAAAACCTCCTCAAACGTCACCATTTTTTCTTCAAAACATAAATCAGTCAAAAATTTGGAAAAACAATAGATGATATAATTAGATGGTGAGTTGAGGATTTCACAGACAGAGGATTCAAAATGACAGATTATCCAATCTGTCTATTTCTCTATCTAAACAGATAAGACAGATAATATATATGGTTATTAATATATTGATCAGCAGTAGTTTCTGAATGATCAGTATGCCTGAAGAGGGGTCAGTCTATGAGGGCCAAAGAAATCCATGTTTATTTGTCAAGCATTTCCAAAATGGCTTTCCAAAATAAAATAGGGGACAGAGAAAACTTACAATGATGCCCTGTGAACAACCAATGGGAGATGAAATGACTGTCTTGTTCTTTTCCTATTGGCTGAACACAATGTTCTAACTTGATACAGAAGGTTATCATCGGACCTTCAGAGATAATTATTTTGTTATTCACTTTACAGGGCTCAGCAACATTATTGGGATTATTGTGTACATATCGAGCAACGCAGGTGATCCCAGTGATAAAAAGGATGAAGACAAAAAAAATCAATACAACTATGGCTGGTCCTTTTATTTTGGGGCTTTGTCCTTCATCGTGGCAGAGACTATAGGAGTTTTGGCTGTAAATATTTACATTGAAAGGAACAAAGAGCTGAGGTTTAAATCCAGGAGAGAGTTCATTAAAACCTCTTCATCCTCCCCCTACGCCAGGATGCCGAGCTATAGATACAGACGGAGGCGATCAAGATCCAGTTCCAGATCTACAGAACCTTCTCCATCCCGGGATGTGTCTCCAGGTGGCATGAATGCAATCCCCATGAGTGAGATTTCCATGTACACACTTTCCAGGGAACCTTTAAAAATCACAACGGCTGCCAGCTTCAACCCAGACCATGAGGCCAGTTTCCTTCAAGTCCACAACTGCTTCCAGAAAGAGCTAAAGGATGGCATGAGCATTAATGTAATAAATCGGAGGACAACCCCGGTCTGAGCAGCTGGGGAACCTGCACTATCACAGAGGACGGACAGTAACTATCCCTGGTGGTTATCCTATAAGTGCCCCAATCGTGCCACAAAAATAACACCAACTCTCCACCCAAGGATCCAGAAGAAGTCAACTTAAAAATTGCAACATGTAAAGGAGTACACCAAAGGATTACAGAAGGATTTGGCAAAGATTTTGGCAATCCGTCCCCTGAACACATACTCCACAGCCAACTGTTTGGTATTTGATGCCTTGGGATAGGTTCTAAAACTGTTTTACTCTCAAGATGGGGCCGATTCGCTAAAGACACCTTTGCCATAAGTAAAAGGCAACTCAAAACTAAATAAAAAAGCAAAACAAAAACAAAAGAAAGTGTTGCACCCAGATATGTTGCCAAATAAGCCATGTTGAATAGTGACCAAATACTCTGTATAATCAACCCTGCAAGGATAGTGGTATGTCTTAAGGTTTGTGACTGGGGCAACCCTACTCCTGGGGAGCTGGAGGTGATTCCACAGACTGCATATTGGTAGTCTGCATTTATATCCATTAATTAGTATAAACCTTGGTTGTGTACTGTTAATGTTTAATTTATTTAGCAGCTGCTAATTTGGTTAAATCCAAGAGTATGCAGAGTACTTGTTATTCCTTGGGGGAGTTAAAGCGCAATATTAGATGTCTGTTATTAGGACTCCCTTGTCCATACACATTTTTTTCTAATAAGCCAGGTATAAAATTACATACTGTGCATACAAGGCATGCAGACCAACAGCTGCCCAAAATTCTTTTAACAAATGTCTCACTCGTGCCATTAAACCATCGGTAGCACCATTTAAAAGGGCACCTGCCATATGGAAGTCCACCAAGGTCAACAGATGTATTTTTTTTCTCCAAAAATAGTTGAAATGGAAAAACTCTCCAACTGAACTATAAGCCTAGTTACTTGTGCCTAAAATTAGCATTCTTTTTATGATCCAGTTCAGTGCAAAACTCCACTAGAATAACCATCTCACACACAGAAATATACATTTCTAGACTGTTTGGGTTTACACAATTTAGGGTAAATTTCCAGATGGGGACTATGTCCAAGTGGGGGTATATTTTAGTGCCTCCACTAAAACAGATGTAATATAATCTAATTCCTAATTTCCTGATCAAGCCATCAAAGCAGTAACTGATGGGTTAGCTCCTATCCTCACTGCAGAAAGGAGAGATATAAAGAGGTCTACTTGCTCCATATCAGATGGTCTTTGTTCTACCCTTTAAGTGTGATGTAGCCTATCTTTCCTTTCGGTCCCTGCAATGATACCTCTAAACTATCTTTTATGGGGGCAAATGGAACTCTGCAAATAGAAAAAATATTATATGGGCAGTTTGATCCTGGAGTCTCCTTTGTCATGGGGTATCAATACAGGTCGATTCAAAATCATGGCCTATCTAGCTTTTTCTGACAGGATGGGATTTTTGTAATCATATGGTTGTCAACGCACAATTTATTTAAGTTCAGATCTGTTCGTGTTTGTGAATTTATTTGCGGTCTCTGTGGATCCAGGATCAGTCTCTAGTCTCCAGTTTAAGCCTTTTCCATGAATAGGTTGATCATTTTGGTTTTTTTTCACCCAGTTACTTTTATTCTAACCAGTGTTGATTACCTTGCATAGAAACTGTGTGATTGGCTGATGGGTGATGTCTTAATGTCCGAATTTGACCTTTTTAGGCATTAAACATAAACGATGATTAATTTTATACACCCGACTATCTTGAACCATTTTCATCTGTGATGGCCAAGATATATCTGATACTTGGCTAACACGAGGGCATAGTCCAGCAGTTGTGTTTCTGAAGGCCTCTCGTGTATCTTATCAATATGCTTAGAGTTCTGCCAACACCCTTCAGGGTTCGTTACATTGAGGGCATGGAGTTTGATGTTCCCTTTTGGAAGCTTATCTTCCATTCAAACAGCACAGCCAGGATTTGGTTGAGAATTACCAAGTAGTTAATGTTACCATAGCTTGGTCAAGAATAAAGGAAAAAGTGTTGCAGACTTACTGTAATTTTCTTTTACTGATCAATCTACATCAAGAAGAATCTTTACAGTGTGGTGGAGTTCGTTACGTAAAATGAGGTTTGCTTTTATAGTCTTTTATCCTGCCATTTCTGTTTTGAGGAAAGAGCTAACTGATAATTTGATTCTACTAGGGTGATTAATGAAAAAAAGAAAATGACATTGAACATGGAACATTTCCCTTTACTCGGTGCTGCTATATGAATCTTGAATTTCCCTATTGTACTATATTCTGCTACCTCTGCTGGAGGGCTTGTCCATGCATTTACTACCGTTTCTAGAAGCATTTATCCCCCTGTAACTTCATAGTGTGCTGTGTAACAGGACTGATTCTTTCACCCAGCATTTCAAATAATCAGAGAGCTAAATCAGATAAATAGCTAAATGACAATGAAAAAGAATAATGCCTACAAGAAAGGAGTATTCAGTAATGATTTGGAATAATTAAGATAATTTATGGCCAATAAGACAGGAATGAGCATTGGGTGTCTCCATCCGTCAGACGTTTTACAGTGTAAAACATTATGATCTCATTGCATATTTATAAGGTATCACTGCTTTTTTAGCAAACCACCATTTCTCACAAGACACAGATGTATCATTTTTCTTCTTTTAGGGTTACACACAATTAATGTGTAAAAACATTTAATGGGGAGCTGTCACTTCCCTGGATTTTTAAGACAATGTTTACTTATCCGTACATTTAACAAATGTGTATTCATGAGGTGCGGAAAACAAAATTAAATGGAAAGGCTGGGGGGAATGAGACACATGGAGGGGCTAAGGGGGAATGAGACATGGAGGGGCTAAGGGGGAATGAGACACATGGAGGGGCTAAGGGGGAATGAGACAAGGTGCTAGTGGGGAATGATAAGCAGAGAGGCTAGGGGGGAATGAGACACATGAAGGGGATAAGGTGGGATGAGACACATGGAGGGGCTAAGGGGGAATGGAACACATGGAGGGGCTAAAGGGGAATGAGACAAGGTGCTAGTGGGGAATGAGAAGCAGAGAGGCTGGGGGGGAATCAGACACATGGAGGGGCTGGAAGGGAAGAATGAGACACATGGAAGAGGAAGGAGACACATGAAGGGGCTGGGGGAGGAAATGAGACACATGGAGGGGCTGGGGGGAAATTTAGACACATGGAGGAGCTGGGGGCAGAATCAGATACATAAAGGGGCTGGAAGGGGAGAATGAGACACATGGAAGAGCTGGAAGGAGACACATGAAGGGGCTGGGCTGATGAGACACAAAGGAGCTTCAGGAGTGGAGCTTTGCCTTACTTGAACTGGATTATAATATAAATTTGCTAAATCTTTAATATATATATTTAAAACAAAATAGAGCATCTTGTGAAAAAGGTCAATACAAGCTATAAATTATCTTCAATATTTTATTCCAAGGTGTGAGATATAAATAAGTGACCACTCCCCTTTAAGTATATATCATGGACTGACAAATTATATATATGGATTGACACCTTATATATAATTGACTGACACGTTAAATATCACGGACTGACACGTGTTACGTCACGGACTGACACGTGTTACGTCACGGACTGACACCTTATATATCATGGACTGACACCTTATAAATATATACATATGGACTGACACCTTATATATCATATACTGACATTACATATCATAGACTGACACCTTATATATCATATACTGACATTACATATCATAGACTGACACCTTATATATCGGTGGCACAGTATTGGCAAGAACAAATGCCAAATTTCACACAAATAATAACTTTTGAAATTTTAGATATACCCCTATTCAATTATCACAAAAAAAACTAACAAACAAAAAAACATGTTTGCCAGCATTGTCTCTCTAAAGCATGGGTTCCCAACCCAGTCCTCGAGACACCTTAGACACAACAGGGCCATCCCTAAATCCTGGACTAGACACATGGAAGAGATGGAAGGGGACTGGGTTGGGAACCCCTGCTCTAAAGAATTATGTGTAAAAAGCCCCTTCCATTAATGATATTGAGGCTAAGCCATTAAAAACACTATTGTAGTGAAAACTTATTTGTAACATCTAGGTTAAAATAGCAACAATGTGACTATATCGATGAAATGGAGAATATTATCCAAAGCAAAATTACTTATTCCCAATCACTTTAGTGGTTATTGAATAAATCCCATAAATAAAAGTTTAGGTCAAAATAGGCCAAATGGAAAACTGTACAACAATAGGATAGCGCTAATCAATAAACAATACATGGACAGGCATGTAAAACTGTACTGGAGAGTTATTCCAGAATAGAATACATTAACTGTAAACTCGCAGTATGGTTTCCAATGCAGTTCACAAAATAAAACCCTGGTAATACCCTTCTAAACCATCGGCAGAAAAAAGCCAGTAAATAAGGTATAATAATAAATTATAATAAAGAGATGGGACGGCACTCTATTGTGACCTCACCACATCACATAACCACAGCACTATGTATGACGTCACTGTGTTCGAGATCACTGTGTATGATGTCACCGTGTTCGAGGTCACCGTGTATGTTGATCATCTCAGTCTCTGTATTTTTATTGCCAAACTTGTTGGTTGATGGACAGGACCGGGGTCCATTTGCACACTTGAAAGCACTAACACAGTAAGAGTGTGCGTTGGTTCCCAACACGAACATAGAATGAGATTTAGCTTAAAGGGATACTAAGAATTGTAAACACTCTAGCTTGCTTTAGTGGTTATGCTACAAGCATGCCCCAGGTTTCATCCCCTGTTCATCTCAAACCATTTTTGAACTCTGAAAAAAATGGGTCTCCTGGTTTACGTGTACGTCCATGTTCGCAATATGAATTCTGTCCATATTTCTGTCCATATTTTGACACATTTGTCGAGTTCGTCGTCTGACATGCTCAGCCATTGGATGCTCTCCAAACTTGGACAAAGCTTGTCTAGCTAACATGGGCGCGTAGCTGCTGTAATAGCAATATGGACAACAAAAAAAGCAAATACACAGGTGCCCAGGGGACCCTAACTTTATGCCAAACCATTCGAAAATATCTGGGTGCAGCTTTAGGGGAATGCTGACACCATTACCACTACAGCAGGCCATAGTGGTTACGGTGCTCATAGTTTCCCTTTACTTGTTAGCATATTTATTTACTTTTACAATCTATACATTTATATTGCACTACAAAAACAATTTCACAATATTTTTCACAGTGATTAGCCACAAACCAGCCACTAGGAGCAAGTCATCCTCAGAGCTGACATACTTGTGTCCATCTCCTGAACCCATATCAGTCAGTCACTGTGACCGGTGAAAACGTTACACAGCATTGTAGCAAACTGAAACCTGAATTATCAAACGGAGGCTAAAACGGGCGACGTGGACAAATTCTCCAATTTATGCCTACTTTAGCCTAAATTTTGTCATTTCGATTTTTAAATCAACAATTTGGAGTTCAGTGAAAAAGAGCTGTTTATTGACTTAACAACACATTGTAGTGATTCGAAAACCAAATTGCAAAATCTACAGTGCCTGTAGTGGAGATACAGAACTTTTCACCGTTACAATTTAGCTTTCAATGAGCTACAATCTAGTGTTTGGTGAATATCCTCTTCCTATTATCTGTGGGGTCTAGTAGAGGATACATCCCTTGTTACATACATTCTTACCAATAGGAATGAACACAATACAAAAAGCAGAACTTTCAGTTGCACCCCCCAACTTCCCAGGACTCTTTACCAAAATGATCCTTTGTACTTGACGATTTGTTTTTAGCAGCTCCTACGACTGTTATTGGTTTCTGAAATAGTACAAGCAATCAAGCAGTAGAATCTTACTTTAACTGATCATTTTTAACATTCTTTTTGTGTATTACCTCTCAGGGTCCCAGAAAGCAAACCAGGGCACTATAGATTACAATTCGGAAGGGCAGGTCCCTGTGCTTGTATCTGACCCAAGACCCAACGATCGCCACTGTGATTTATAGAATTATTTTCGATCAACAAGTCCAGAATTCTAACAATACTTCTGATACACACACACACACACCAGGCAAGGTCAAGCTGAGATGACTTGTTTGCACTAACAATCTATGAGGTTGCAATATTTCCGCACAGTGTTTGAACACTTACTGTCTTGTCGCAGTTATGTCAGCCAATACACATAGTAGCGGTCGTAGCAGCACACAGATCTGTTTTCTTCGTCCAATTAATGGAATCACAATATACATATCATCGACTCTGTTTATAGGCTGTGATTGGGAAACCAATGGAGAGAAGACCAGATTTGAAACCAGGCGTCCCTCAACGGTTACTATTAAAGTGACTGTCATCAGAAACAAACAGTCTATTCAACATCATAGAATTAAATTATTATTTATTTTATAAAGAATTTATATCTTTGTAGGTCTTATGGCACAAAACCGTCGGTCATTACGCAGGTCAAACTACAATTTTGTACTTTTTAGCAGAGGAGCATGCCTGGAGGAAAATAGCTCAACTTCTTTGGTGTGATTGGAAGTTATTTATCAATATCGGTCACTTGGTGTTGACTGATTCTTAGACAGCCACCTCCACACAGAAACATTGCCAGGATGTCAAGTGCCAATTGCTGATAAACTCACTGTAGCTTGTGTAGAGCAAATTCATTTAAACTATTTTACAAAGAGCATTTCCCCTGATAGGTCTACTTTAATGACACTGTGAGTGGACTAGCCACATCTGTCACCTCTTTATGATGCAAAGTATTTGTCTTGGAAACTAAATTTGGCTAGTGTTAGATCTGGTCTGGTCTGCAGCTGGTTACAAAACACATTTTTAAATGGCAAAGAAAGTTTTAACTCAGACTGGAAGGATAAGCAGTGGCTGAAAGACACCCCGAATCCTGGGGGCCTCGTGTTCCCAGCTTCCCTAAGTTTTCATAGCTAAATTCAGTTCTAAACTAGATTGTTACATTCTGCAAATTATTAAAACGCAAAAAAAATAAAATAAAATTCCATACTATTGGCTGCCATGTTTTAAAGACCATGTGTACCAATAAAAAAATTTTTTTTTTTAATTGGGAAAAAGGTGGGTTCCAATGTTGTGACAGATTTTGTGATTTCCTCTGTCTGATGTAAATATATTCAAGTTTGTATACAATGTATTATCCTACAATTTCAAACAAACAAACCTGTGTTTATATTGTCCTCTCTGTGGTTTTTTTTTTTCCATAAAAGTCATTTATTTTAATTGACCAATGTTTATACAAATTCTCTGACCAGCAAAAGACATGCGGGAACATGCTACCAGCTGCGTTAAATAATTCAATTCTCGACAACGCTGACATGCAAAAGACAGACAGACGGATAACGTTCCATTTGCACCAGCATCATGGTTATCCATCAAAGGGCGAGTTCTCAGGAATCTAACGTGGATTTAAAATTGTAGGCCAAATTAGCCAAACTAAAAGCATAGCTTGCAGAATGTTTCGTTTGGGCTACAATAGACTAACATTGACTTGGAATTCACTTTAAACGTCCGAGGCCTGCAAATCCCGCCTTGATGGAACATTGCCATGCAGATACATAGTATAATAATTTTATAGGAGTAGACTAGCCCAGTATTTGTCTGGATGGCATTGTGTTTGACATGGTTAGATTTTGCAATTAAAGGAACACTATAGTCACCTAAATTACTTTAGCTAAATAAAGCAGTTTTAGTGTATAGATCATTTCCCTGCAATTTCACTGCTCAATTCACTGTCATTTAGGAGTTAAATCACTTTGTTTCTGTTTATGCAGCCCTAGCCACACCTCCCCTGGCTATGACTGACAGAGCCTGCATGAAAAAAACTGGTTTCACTTTCAAACAGATGTAATTTACCTTAAATAATTGTATCTCAATCTCTAAATTGAACTTTAATCACATACAGGAGGCTCTTGCAGGGTCTAGCAAGCTATTAACATGGCAGGGGATAAGAAAATCTTAATTAAACAGAACTTGCAATAAAGAAAGCCTAAACAGGGCTCTCTTTACAGGAAGTGTTTATGGAAGGCTGTGCAAGTCACATGCAGGGAGGTGTGACTAGGGTTCATAAACAAAGGGATTTAACTCCTAAATGGCAGAGGATTGAGCAGTGAGGCTGCAGGGGCATGTTCTATACACCAAAAAACTGCTTCATTAAGCTAAAGTTGTTCAGGTAACTATAGTGTCCCTTTAATGTTAAACACTAATTAAAGGATCAGTGTTCATTACTGCTCACAAAAAAAGTCATCACTCTCTCAGTACTCGGCAGTTATCACTCACATGTGACAGCTGCGGGAGCGTTTCCAAGTGTAATGGTTATCGGAGTTTTTGTTGATGTTGGAAGCCAGTGGTCTGACTTGGGTTTTGTACTGGGCACGGCTTCTGGACACTCAGTGCAAAGAGCCAAAGTCGGCCTTTCTGTGCAGAGATACTAAGTACATATTTAGGTAATATCATACGGTATCTGCCAGGCTGAGGGCAAACAGCAGGAATAAGGGAATGGTGAAATATACAAAGTACACAGAGGAAGACAGGATCTAGTCTTAGTATGGTATCTAAAGCCATGGTGGGGGCAGTACACGTTTCCAGCCAATATTAATCATATTAAAACAGCCAGCAATGGTTGAGGTCTGTGTCAGCCTACCACAGACGCTGTGCTTGGGTCAATGTATTGTGTATGGTATAGAGGTTCAGGTGGCTGTGTAATATGGGGGAGGTTTGTGTGTATGGTATAGAGGTTCAGGTGGCTGTGTAATATGGGGGGAGGTTTGTGTGTATGGTATAGAGGTTCAGGTGGCTGTGTAATATGGGGGGAGGTTTGTGTGTATGGTATAGAGGTTCAGGTGGCTGTGTAATATGGGGGGAGGGTTGTGTGTATGGTATAGAGGTTCAGGTGGCTGTGTAATATGGGGGAGGTTTGTGTGTATGGTATAGAGGTTCAGGTGGCTGTGTAATATTGGGGGGGGGAGGTTTGTGTGTATGGTATAGAGGTTCAGGTGGCTGTGTAATACAGAGGCAGGTTGTTTGTGTGCTCTGCAGTTTCATTGGGTTGTGTATAAGGGACAAATTGTGTTTGTGATTCATCGTTACTCTTCGCTTACATTGTCTTTGTGCTCAAACTCTGTCTAGTTACATTAGAACAATAATCAGGATATAGATTGTATTATGAAAATAGTGTATTTGGACCATAATTAATGGTAATTCTTCTGATGCAGTTATATCATAAGATAGACACTTGACTGCTGAGACTTGCATATCTTAGTCCCAAAGGGTGAATTGAAAAGCACTATTTTTCTCTAGTAATTTCAGATGTGGCTACCAGACAAGCGTATAAGGCCAGTCTAAGCAAAGGCCGGTAAAACCAGTATAAATGCAAGACATTAATGCAGATAAAATTTAATGTATTCGTCTTCCAACTCCGATAAGAGGGAATTCCAAGAATAGTCTCTTTTACAGTAAAACTGCCAGAGCTTCAAGGTTGTGATTAATCGAGGCTTTAGATTACTGGTTTATGAGGTTTTCATGGAGAATGCAAGCTCTGTTGCAGTTCCAGAGAAAAAGAAACCATCACAATGTATATTTATAAATGTCAAATTAATTCATCTTCTGCCTAAAAAGATCTTCTGCTCAGCCAGTCGAGAAGTAATTATTTCGGCTACAAGGCAATTCATTCTACGTGCATAACCCCAGAAGAGGTCCACACACATTGGAAATTGTGAAACGCGTCTCCCCAGCCCTTGAGTAAACAAGATGCACGGCCATTTGTAAAAGGTCACTTTTTAGGGTCCGAAGCAATTTGGCCCCTTCCTGTCTGTACAAATTGTCCAGACAAATCAGCTCTAATTTACGCACTCAAATAGAGAACTCAAAGTTGTGTCAAGCGAAAAAGATGAACGCAAATGTGCAGTAATATATAAAATATATGCAGCAGCTGCACAATAAGATATGGTAGTGGTGTATCAATGTCCTGTTCTGGAGGTCGTCCGACACACAGACGCTACATTCCACATGCTCGATAACAAACAACGTTAATGGTTTGAATGCCTGTTATTACCAAAACTCGGGCAAAGCTAGGGCTCAGTTAAAACCTTCTGTGATGAGGGGACTTGGCAATGATGAAATAAATTAAGAAAGCTACAAGAACCAACTGGCTGCAACAAGGTGTCAAAAATAAGGACTTTTAATTATTGGAATTAAAAAGGGTAGGAGGACTGTCCTAAACATTTAGATGTTGTCATGTTTAAACATATTTCAAATAATTAGCAGACACCCTACAGAAATGAATGGGGATAAATAAAATGTGGTATTATGGGATGCATTTCTCGGTAATGTGTACTGTACCATTGATGTGTTCTCCAGTGCTGTACAATGTTTTGTTGCAAGAAAGGGACCTACAAGAAAGGGACATACAAGGGAACGATGCAGCCCCTTAGATATGTCTTGAAGGTGGATGTCAGAGTTGCGAGTACGTACACAGCATAGACATAGGTCTTTGGCAAAGCCTAGGACCTGGATGGGACTCACTCGTGTATTAACGAGGATAGTTAGACAGGAGCAGTGTTATTAAGAGATTTGTAAGCGATGACCAGAATTTGAAATTGACCCACATGTCTTAGGGAAGCCAATTAAGGACTGACAGAGGGGCAAGGTGTGGGCAGACAGGAAGATGAGCCTTGCTGCAGCATTCATTATAGACTGTAATGGGGCAAGTTGGGAGTGCGTAAGACCAATGTGGAAAAGATTGCAACAGTCAAGGCGGGCGATGTTAGCAGCATGGACGAGCTGCATCTGGTGTTAGGATGTGAGAGGTGAAAGAAGTTGGAATCGAAGAAATCGCCAAGGCAGCAAACCTATCTTGAATATAGATAGGGACACTAGAGCATTAGGCATACAGGTTTAAATGTTCCTTCGAGAAAGTAAGCGGCCATCCAGTTGGAAATAGCAAAGATGCAGATGAAGACACAATTTAAGAACAAGTTTTCACTTTGGAAGCTTCAGATCTAGATGACTTCTAGCAAACTATGAATACATTGGTTTAAAAAACGTTTTAAAAAAAAAATTAGAAAAATGTTTAAAAGTTGTTTTTTTTCAGGTTTTTAATATGGCTTGCAGGACTGAATTCACAAGCCAAGCTTGCATGGAGCAGTAAAGCATCGGATTTTGTCGAGACCAATAAAAAGGTGTCAAATTATAAATACTTATCTTATTAAATTCCTCCCTTTAAAATCCAGGGGTGCAATGCAAATGCGTTCATTATTGACATGTGTAGAGGTCGAACTGGAGCCCAAAGTGAACCTGTATGACCCCAAGAAAAAAGGTTACAGGTCTATGGACAACAAACTACTAACGACACATCTTTTATTCCTGGAGAAAACACGTCTGTGTGAGCTGTGTCTCCAAACTGTGAATCCTGCTGTGAATTCAGTCATGCAGAAGGTTTTCAGCGATGTCCTAGATTTCAGTTTGCTTTTACACATCACATCCAGATATTAACTCAGACCACCGACGACATGTCTCCACGCGGGGTTTAAATCTGCCACTCAAGCTGGAAAGGTTAAAGTGGGGAGCAAGAATGTTTAAAGCGGAAAATTAGGATATCAACCTCATGTATACATCAGGAGACATGAAAGACACAAACTGGGAAAAAAATCCCTGAATGACAGAGTGATAAGAACATAGGATGAAAGAATAAGAAGTAAATTCAAATATTAAAAGGATCGTAAACTCTCGTAGAAGGTAAACTCTAATGAATGGTGCAGGGTAAATAATTATCCTACAGAGGCAAATTCCAGCCAGGTGCACAGGGTAAATAGCCTACAGAGGCAGATTTCAACAAGTGGCACAGGGTAAATACCCTACAGGGGCAGATTCCAGCGATCGGCACAGGGTAAATATCCTACAGAGGCAGATTCCAGCCAGCGGCACAGGGTAAATAAGATATAGGACTCAATTTAAGATCCTGATACTTGTCTACAAATCTCTACATAATGCTGCTCCCACCTACCTATTCTCACGAATACTCAAATATGTCCCATCTAGGCCCCTACACTCTGCCGGACACCTATGTCTAACCTCTGTTCGTACTCCTACCTCTGATGCTCACCTTAAAGACTTCTCTAGGGCTGCACAGTTCCTATGGAATGCCCTTCCAGTCTCTGTTAGACTTTCACCCAATCTCCATTCCTTTAAAACATCTTTGAAAACTTACTTCTTTAGGAACAGCTTTCCCTCCTCACACCCTGATTCCTCTCCTGAAACTGTCATCAAAACAAAACACTAAGCCCTCAATGAATACTATCCTAGCAACCTACTTTTCTACCCTACCCTTACCTTTTATGTCACATTACCCCACTCCCTCTAGCATGTAAGCTCATTGAGCAGGGCCCTCAATCCCTCTGTTCCTGTGTGCCCACCTTGTCTAGTTACAACTACATGTCTGTTAGTTCACCTATTGTACAGCGCTATGGAACTTGTTGGTGCTTTATAAATAATAACAATACAGAGGCAGATTCCAACGAACGGCACAGGGTAAATACCCTCAAGGGGCAGATTCCAGCCAGCGGCACAGGGTAAATACCCTACAGAGGCAGATTCCAGCGAGCAGCACAGGGTAAATATCCTACAGAGGCAGATTCCATTCAGTGGCACAGGGTAAATACCCTACAGAGGCCGATTCCAGCAAGCGGCACAGGGTAAATATCCTACAGATGCAGATTCCAACGAGCGACTCAGGGTAAATATCCTACAGAGGCAGATTCCAACGAGCGACACAGGGTAAATATCCTACAGAGGCAGATTCCATTCAGTGGCACAGGGTAAATACCCTACAGAGGCAGATTCCAGCGAGCAGCACAGGGTAAATATCCTACAGAGGCAGATTCCATTCAGTGGCACAGGGTAAATACCCTACAGAGGCAGATTCCAGCAAGTGGCACAGGGTAAATATCCTACAGAGGCAGATTCCAACGAGCGACACAGGGTAAATATCCTACAGAGGCAGATTCCAACGAGCGGCACAGGGTAAATATCCTACAGGGGCAGATTCCAACGAGCGGCACAGAGTAAATATCCTACAGAGGCAGATTCCAATGAGCGGCACAGGGTAAATATCCTACAGGGGCAGATTCCAACGAGCGGCACAGGGTAAATATCCTACAGAGGCAGATTCCAACGAGCGGCACAGGGTAAATATCCTACAGAGGCAGATTCCAGCCAGCGGCACATGGTAAATACCCTAAAGGGGCAGATACCAGTGACTGGTACAGACTAAGCAATACTAGAATTATGGATATACCAGCGTGGCAGATGACATTCCCTTTTTAGTGGGTTTTCTTCTTCCAAGAGAAAACATCAGCCAATCTTTACCAAGCGTTCCCTTCTTCTCTGACACCAAAAGTGTTCGGAGTAGTAGCCAGATTTCAATAATTGCCATCATGGCTCAGACACGTTACAGTACTAAACCAAAACTTGCCAATTTCTCCATAGCTAAACTTATAACATATACCTACACCCACCACAACGAAACCAGGGTTGCCCAATGCAAATATTTACAATAAAAGTTACAAGAGGTTTTCAACCAAGAGAGAAACTACTGATGGGACAGGAGAAGATGGGGGGATGGGGGTCAGAACATTTTAACAATCCCACTGTATCCTCCATCTGAGAATCTGCCCCGGTGTTACTCAGTAAATACAAACATTAAATCTCTCAGCTGTTTTCTCTAGAATCAAGTTGAGAAGTGAGTCATATTTAAAAGGAGTCCATGTGCATGACTCAGTCTTGGAGCCTCTTGGGGAGGATTATCAGATTACGGGGAAGGTCTTCAAAATGTGAAAGCTTTTTAACATCATCGTTTAAAAAGGTTTTAAAAAGAAGAAAAAAAAAATACCAAGAATTGTTGAATTTGTATTGATATAGTCACATCTAGAAAATCGAGTCTACCCATCAGGTCATGTGAGGCGATAGTCTGTGTACCCAAAAAGGAAACGGAGGGTAATACTGCATTCTATTAAAAGAGCAGGAAAATCGTTCATTTCTGATGGATATCCAAGCAATTTGTTCCTGTAATTGGATTAAAAGGACCATGATGCCACAAGAGGGCAAATAGAAGCTTTTCATAACTTCACAGCTAAAGAAGATTATTTAGGAAATATAATGCATGTAGGGCAGTGTGGTCTGCCACGTCTCCGAACTCCATTTCCCATGATGCTCATTTGTGTTTAAGGCGTTATTACTTTTCATGCGAAAACGCAGGGCCCAAAACTGCTCACTACATGATTAAAAAAAACACATCTTAAAAATTACTTGCACCGAATGATCTAAAAGTGATGAAATCCAATGTTTTGTTTACGGTCGGCAAAAAGCTACTAAAATATACAACAAGATAAATACTTAAAAACGCTAATTGCAGAGTGAAATCTGCATAATACATGGAACTTAACCCTGCATTGCTAGAAGGTGTCCCACTTTATCCGTATAATTCGTTGGATATGATCGTGTGTAACAAAGCAAGGCATCCACTTAACTTGTTTGAGCAGGGTCTCATCAACCTGTGCATGTAACATTTTTTAATTGCCTCATTTATTGGTAAATCTCCCCCTTTTTAGAATATTGTACAGCGCTATAAGTTGGCGCTATATAAATGTAACAAATAATGATAATAATAAATGGGATCCTTAATAGCGAAGTAGGTCCTTTTTACTTGCATAATACCTGTGCCGTGATTCTGTATAGCAGGAAGGATACCCACTTTACCCACATATTGTCTGGGATACAACCCTATTTCTTGAGTCATCGTACCCATGTTATCCACATATTACTTGGTAACGACCCTATTAAATTAAAAAAAAGGTTTTCAATAAAAAAAAAACGCAAAAACTGTGTGAATCCGTGCATTACATTCCTTAAATTGTTCAGAATAACATACGCCATTGGAGTTGCCAATGCAGAGCTGTAGTGGTAGGCACCCACAACTGTGCAAAACCTATTCAGAAATCTCAGCTGAGGCATGACAATATCTTATTTTATGGCGCCTGCTCCTTTAAGTTTACAGAACAACATAGCACTGTGAAGAAGGGGAGAAAATCTTCAAGGAACAGTTCTTTAAATAGACAAACTGAGCGGGGTGTGCTTAATTAAGTTATTCCACAGAACTCAATTATTCCAGCCAAGTTTTGCCGTTAAAACAAAATAAAGAAAAGGCAGTCGGTTGCAAAAATAAGAAGCAAGAGGGACGATCCCTGGACCAACCCTTGCACGAACACAACCCCCCAAACTGACAAGCCTGCTTGCTACAATTACAGACAGATTGGGACAGCTGCTCCTGGGACCTGCACCCACCCCAATCCCTTCTCTGGTCATAGTCCTGAGCTTCATACATGCAGAGAGAAGAGAAGGGAAGCTAGCTGGCAACTACTCCTGAAGAGTGCACGGTGCCATCACCCACTAGCCACAACCATGATGGAACTCAAAGCCATAAAGATTAGGGTCACCTTCTGTATCATTCTGGTAGGGGTATCGTTGATGTTGGCCGCTGTAATGAGTGATTACTGGGCAGTTCTGAACCCCAGAGTGGACGATTTAAGCGAACCATGTGAGGTGGCACATTTTGGATTGTGGAGACTTTGTAAAAAGAAGATCTTAATGGAAGCAACAGATTCCAAACCCAAAGGCTGCGGACCATTAAGCCTTCCAGGAGGTAGGTTCTCTGCCGCTGAGTGTTTGGTGCAATATGAGCAGTTTTTTTGTTGTGGTTTTTGTTTTTAGAAGTGAAACGTAGGCCTAAATCTCAGAAAGGAGACATTCAGGGAAAGCAAAATGTACCACGTCTTGTAATCCTAATATGACTCGAGTGCTCGGACGTAGATTTTATAGTAGTAACGAGTAAACAGACTTGCAAAATGTTTGGACATAACAGAGTTCGGAGGGACAGAACCTCAATATTGTAGGATAGACAAAAATAGTCATGCCATACATTGTGATAAAAGAAGGCGTGTGTTTAATCAATTCTCACGCACAGTATCTATTCCCATTTCTAGGTATTAACACATATAGCTCAATTTAACAAGCAGGACTTGACTTCTGTCCAAAAACCACTCATCTCGCTAAACTCTTCTAATTGCTGATATGACGCAGTCATAGGAGTATAAATGTGTTTTCTTAATGCTATAGTGCCCCAGTCACGTTAAGATGACCGGGCCCCCGTTGCAAGGGTTAAAAAGGACGTTTTACTTACCTTTTCTCTCTCACAGCATTGGTCGCAGGCATGCAACTCCGCCTCTTTGGCTGAGATTATGAAAATCGATGATCCCAGCCAATCCAGCTCTTTCCCATAAGGAAGCATTTGCAGGCTAGTGTGCAAAGCACCATATTTCTATTTCGGAGGTAGTGCCTCCATTATGACAGTAGCTAGAGGCAGACTAACCCTGCAGTGCAGACATGGGGGGTGGAGACATGGCATTCAGACCACTTCAACTAGATGAAATGGTCTGGGTGCTTATTAGCAGGGCTTGAAAAATTTGCTTGGAATCTCGGAGCAAGCTAAAAAAAAAATAAAAAAAAATTAGAAGCCAGGTTTTATTTTTTTCTTTTAAACTAACAAAGCATTATTTTCAAGAACTAAAAATACAATTCTCAAAGATACACTATAGTCACCAGAACCACTACAGCCCAATATAGTGGTTCTGGTGTCTATAGCCTGTCCCTGCAGGGTTTTCAATGTAAATACTGCCTTTTCATATTAAAGGTAGTGTTTACATTGCTGGCTAGTAACATAGCTAGTGGAAGTCACTCAGATGGCCACTAGAGGTGCTTCATAGGTGAGTGCTGCTGCTGCTCTCCTCTGGTAAAGTATCACCTTGGCTGAGATCATCAGGACTGACCAACCACTACAAGACCGGCATGGGAGAATAGGTGAGTAAAAACACCTTTCCCATGGGATCGGAGGGGGACCAGTCACCTAAAAAGACACACACACACACACACTGATACTAACACTCACAAATGATTTAGTTTTATTTTATTATAATTTAAGGCCACCAAGCCTCCCTACCTTTGAGATCTTTGTCCCTAAGGTCCAGTGTGTGGGACGTGCGTGATCTTCAAGCTCTTCCAGCACTGTTCCCTCACGCACGGTTTATTGATGACATCATATTCCAGTTTCTGGCTGCCTCGGAAGGAACGGGCTGACAAATACCCAGGCGCCAGGACAGAATTCCTGGTCGCCATGGCGACCTGGTACCTAGGATTTGTCGAGCCCTGGCTTATAGTGGTCCTTTAAATCTTAACTTTAAATAGAAAATAGATTTAAAACATGTCTTATTTGAAGTGTTGTGTCTGGTCAGTGCCTTACTGTGCTGGTAAAAGCAACAGGCTGCGCTAGATAGAAATGAAAGCTTATATAGGAAATGGGCATTAGCTGGAGCAGAGAGACTATATTCACAAAGGTCTCAATAAATTCTCCATTCCTGGTAAACATGGGGTAACTGATGATCTGGCTATTGCTTTAACAATTTTGTCGGAGTAATACAAACATTAAAACCGTATAGAGCAGATCTCAGGTGATGTATCATATTTCCTGAGAATTTACTCAACATGTACCAAAAATCCAGGGAAATCGCAATGTACGCAGGTTCGACAAGGAGTATTTATTTCCCAGTGTAGGAAAGAAAGCTTGACGAGTCCAGCAGATATTATAGCTTGAAGCACAGAGGGACAGACAGGTGTTAATCCGTTGTGGAATACTTGGTAAGAGAATAGAATATCTGACTTATTGGGACACTGGAGGATACAGTTACTCCTCCATGTTTTCTGGTAAAGAATCAGCCCATGTCTGTCGGTGGAGGGGACTGGAATATGGAGATTAATATGGGGCTGAATGGGGTTTATCTATCCCTTTCATCATATCATCGGGACGGCCAGCAGCACAAAGCTCCGATGACACAATCATTGCTTGCTAAACACATTAACCAGATGACAGACAGTATGGAGAGATTATCCTGGCACAAAATGGCCAGCAATGGTATTAATACAGGTTAGGAATTAAAGTCACAGCACAGCTACAGATTTATATTATATTATTATTATAGTGTGTAACCATATAAATATTTATACACACACACACACACAGCGTACAGCTACAAGTTTATATTATACATACAAAGAACATCCATTTCTCAAGTCTAAAGCATTTCTGAGCAAAGACGACACATAGAATTCAAAGTTGAGTTGTGATACCGGGGGTTTAAGCGACAGGAGTGCAGATAAGACACAGGTTTCATAGAGTATAGACACCATTCTCACAGAGGGTCGTAAATATCTTCTGTAAGGGTCGCAGAGAGAGGGGGGAGAGAGACAAACACAGAAATAAAAAAAAACAACCGTACAGGAGATTGTGCTAGAAGGGGGAGAGTTAAAAAAAACAACATAAAAAACATTGCACAGATTAAGAATGCATGAATTCACATCCATGAATCCAGAATATTCATGAAGGCCTATATACAAACTATGCATATATATAAACAAATACACACACACTCAAATGCACAAATATATATGCCTGCACACGTATACATATATCCAAACACAAGCATCAATACATATACCTACATATGTACAAACGTGCGCACACATACATATACACACACACACATTCACATATACATATATATACATACATACATACATATACACATACATATATATATATATATACATACATATACATACATACATACATATACACATATACATATACATACACACATACATATACATACACACATACATATACACATATACATATACATACACACATACATATACACATATACATACACACATACATATACACATATACATACACACATACATATACACATATACATATACATACACACATATATATATATATATACACGCACATAAACCCACACACACATATAGGAATGCACACCCACATTTATATATGGATTTGAGTATGGGAAAGCATAGTCTGTACAGAATACTTTATATATTGGTATAATAATAATAATAATAATAATTATAGACATGTCATTAGACATTAGAATGCATCTTAACACATAGAAACATGAGATAGAAGAGTAAGAGAATGATTGGAATTGCGAAAGGAAATACAAATCACCATTTAGTCCAATAACAAGTTATTACAAGATCCTAATTTCATCTGTTATTTTGCATCGGCATCACTGGACGAATGCGGCAACACTAATATACTTAAAAAATATTTTTTTTTAAAAGGCCTGTGAGCACCCAGTGTTCAGCACCCAGGTAATGTAAAACTCTTGAAGTATTGAATTTTGCTTTAAAAGTGACTGTCTTCGTACCACGTTGGTCCTTTATCATTGGTGGGAGCAGCTGTCTCCATTAATTCCATTCCTTTCCCGATAGTGAAATTTCGGCAGAGGTAATGGAGAGAAAGAATTGGGTTTCTGTCTCCTCGGCTTAAAAAGGAGGAAACACACTATTAACGCACACACCTCTGTGTACATTTAGCCCATTGCAGCCCAGCAAATGTCTGTTTATATATCTTATATATCATGATTAGAATAGAAATTGAGACGCAAACTCATGCTGGATTATCAGAGATTTCTACCACATGAAATTATAAAACGAAACATTTCCCCAATTTACAGCTTTGGTATACATAGCTAATAAGTGTCCCTGTTTAGGAGGGACAGACCCTGGTTTGGAATCCCTCTGTCCCTCTTTGCTCTCCTAATGTCCCTCTTTTCTAGGGACATTAGGTCATACGCTACTCATTCTACCAGTCTTCCAGTTGTGTAGCTATTTAGCCATCTTAGGTTTTTTTTGTTTCCACATTCATGTTTTTCAGTTTGCCAATTCTTACAGTTTGTTTTAAAGGTTTAGTTTTGGATGATGCACCGAGACACGAGCCGTTGGCAAGAGCCAATATTTTCCTTACAGAAATAGTTACATCTATTACATTATCTTACCACCAGCATAGTTGTAGGTCTTCAACATTCATCGCAGGGTAACAGTATCATCTTGCACAATTTTACCAATTAAAGGACCACTATAGTGCCAGGAAAACAAACTCATTTTCCTGGCATTATAGTGCCCTGAGGGTGCCCCCACACTCAGGGTCCCACTCCCGCCGGGCTGAAGGGGGAGGAAGGGGGTTAAATTCTTACCCTTCTCCAGCGCCGGACACAACGCTGAAATCGAGGAGGCAGAGAAAGAAGCAGAGAGGGCCTTGACTAAGGAGGCGCAGCTCAGCAACGAGCCAACACTAACCTGGGCCTCAGTCCATCAGGGGATGAATCTCTAGGCACGGCTCAAACACTCGGGATGAAACTGCTATGGGAAGACAGCAATCAGATCCTGAGACTTAATTCGTGTCACAGAGTGTTACCTATTCTGTGAGAAACATGTACTGGACTGGGTCAGAGCCTGGGGCCAGTGAGGGCGACACTCTAGGGGACTGGCACACCACAAATATTCTGGATAGGCAGCGCTGCGCACTTTTTTAGCATCAGGGACTGGGCACCATACTTCTATTGGCCTCCAGACTCTCATGAAGCAAATGTTTTATGTTCATTTTTCATGTGTTATATGCACTCATTATCGGTGGGCATCAAAGGTATTATTCCCCTGTTACACTATTTTTAGGTACAATAGCGTGTTTCCTAGTTTACATTCTCACTAGCTACCCTAACACATTCCTATTCTGTCATGCTTAGAATGGATGGAAAGTACTTTTGATCACTAGCTAGACATGCTTTGATTTGGATCGTCCACTTTCTTTTACTTTCAAAATTGTGCAAATTTTATAGTGTGCCATACCAAAATTGTGCAAAATTGTGCACAGTGTGCAATACCAATGTTAGAATATGTCAATAGTTGATCTGAATGCAGCTGTTGTCGTGGTCCTGCATGCTTCTATGTACTCACTTGCACTTCCAAAATAAAGACTGACAAAAAAAAAAAAAAAAAAGAACTAAACCGGTTAACATTACAATCACATCTTTCCAGGGTCAAAATAGAGGAAGAACATTTTGCAGAGAGTTATTTCGACCCTGGAAAAACCTGGGGCGGGTTAAAATTGCAGAGTTGTTTTCCTGACAGCCACAAAGGCGCTTCCTCTGAAACAACAGAGTGAAACTCCGTCATGTGAGCAAATGCAGCTCGCGCGCATGCGCACCTGGCCCCAAATGCTTCTCTATGGATTGGTCATTTATTGTGGACCCGATGCATCCACAATGACGTCGAGGAAGGTGGAGCGGGCAGCAACACTGAGGGAATATTGGGGATGGTGGGGGAAAAGGTAAGTAAAATTTGTTAATTTTTACTGAACACAAGGGAACCTAAATCTAATTATATCCTAGGCCACTATAGAGTTATTTTATATATAAAACATTTTTTTTAGAATATACACAGTTATGTTACGATATAAATGGCATTTCTTACACCAAAATAATTGACTGAGAATTCTTTAACTCTGCTATAGTCACTCGGCTTTTATTGTTTGTCTCCCAATCTCGCTAGCGTTGCTCTGATGTCACACTCCAACTCTGTAACATGTTCAACGAGGAGGGCGCTCACAGAACACGTACCTGTCATAGTACACATTACATATGCTCATTGGAAAGTGCCTGCAATTTCATTTGACAATGTGACAGAAACTTTGTAATTTGGGGGTGGGAAATAATTTTTTTTTTTTAAAGTCTCTAACCGCTGATAATAATGCCAAAGGCGTATTGGAACCGAGTGAGGTCAGTCACAACACAGGAGGGTGGGCTGACTGGAGGTAGGGGTTACAATAGTGTAGCACCCCTAGAGCTGAGGACATGGTGGCATCCTTCAGAATATTGTTACTATTTCCCCACACCCCATCTAATTTACTAATCCTTTATATCTAGGATACAGCTCAGCTCTTTACTAACCCTGTATACCTGGGATACAGCTTGACGCGTTACTAACCCTGTATATCTGGGATACAGCTCTTTACTAACCCTGTATACCTGGGATACAGCTATTTACTAACCCTGTATACCTGGGATACAGCTTGACGCGTTACTAACCCTGTATATCTGGGATACAGCTCTTTACTAACCCTGTATACCTGGGATACAGCTATTTACTAACCCTGTATATCTGGGATACAGCTCTTTACTAACCCTGTATATCTGGGATACAGCTATTTACTAACCCTGTATATCTGGGATACGGCTATTTACTAACCCTGTATATCTGGGATACGGCTATTTACTAGCCCTGTATATCTGGGATACGGCTATTTACTAGCCCTGTATATCTGGGATACAGCTATTTACTAACCCTGTATATCTGGGATAAGGCTATTTACTAACCCTGTATATCTGGGATATAGCTATTTACTAACCCTGTATATCTGGGATACGGCTATTTACTAACCCTGTATATCTGGGATACAGCTATTTACTAACCCTGTATATCTGGGATATAGTTATTTACTAACCCTGTATATCTGGGATACAGCTATTTACTAACCCTGTATATCTGGGATACAGCTATTTACTAACCTTGTATATCTGGGATACAGCTATTTACTAACCCTGTATATCTGGGATACAGCTATTTACTAACCCTGTATATCTGGGATACAGCTATTTACTAACCCTGTATATCTGGGATACAGCTCGTTACTAACCCTGTATATCTGGGATATAGCTATTTACTAACCCTGTATATCTGGGATACAGCTATTTACTTACCCTGTATATCGGGATATAGCTCTGTACTAACCCTGTATATCTGGGATACAGCTATTTACTGAATTACATGATTACCCAGGCTGTCTGGGGATACAGCTATTTACTAACTCCTGTATGTCTGGGATACAGCTCTTGGCCAACTCCTGTATGTCTGGGATATAGCTCGCTACTTTCAACCCCTGTATATCTGGGATATAGCTCACATTAACCCTGTATATCTGGGATACAGCTCTATACTAACCCTGTATATCTGGGATACAGCTCTTTACTAACCCTGTATATCTGGGATACAGCTTGGCTATTTACTAACCCTGTATATCTGGGATACAGCTTGGCTATTTACTAACCCTGTATATCTGGGATACAGCTTGGCTATTTACTAACCCTGTATATCTGGGATATAGCTCTTTACTAACCCTGTATATCTGGGATACAGCTATTTACTAACCCTGTATATCTGGGATATAGCTCTTTACTAACCCTGTATATCTGGGATATAGCTGTTTACTAACCCTGTATATCTGAGATACAGCTCTTTACTGACCCTGTATATGTGGGATATAGCTATTTACTAACCCTGTATATCTGGGATATAGCTCGCTACTAACCCTGTATATCTGGGATGTTGAAGCTCTTACTAACCCTTGCATATTTGGGATACAGCTCTTTACTAACCCTGTATATCTGGGATACAGCTCTTTACTAACCCTGTATATCTGGGATACAGCTCTTTACTAACCCTGTATATCTGGGATACAGCTCGTTACTAACCCTGTATGTCTGGGATACAGCTCGTTATTAACCCTGTATATCTGGGATACAGCTATTTACTAACCCTGTATGTCTGGAATACAGCTATTTACTAATCCTGTATGTCTGGGATACAGCTATTTACTAACCCTGTATGTCTGGGATACAGCTCTTTACTAACCCTGTATGTCTGGGATATAGCTCGTTACTAACCCTGTATATCTGGGATATAGCTCGTTACTAACCCTGTATATCTGGGATACAGCTCTTTACTAACCCTGTATATCTGGGATACAGCTCTTTACTAACCCTGTATATCTGGGATACAGCTCTTTACTAACCCTGTATATCTGGGATACAGCTCGTTACTAACCCTGTATGTCTGGGATACAGCTCGTTATTAACCCTGTATATCTGGGATACAGCTATTTACTAACCCTGTATGTCTGGAATACAGCTATTTACTAATCCTGTATGTCTGGGATACAGCTATTTACTAACCCTGTATGTCTGGGATACAGCTCTTTACTAACCCTGTATATCTGGGATCCAGCTCTTTACTAACCCTGTATGTCTGGGATCCAGCTCTTTACTAACCCTGTATATCTGGGATACAGCTCTTTACTAACCCTGTACAGGGCCGTCTTTAACGCGAGGCAAACGGGGCAGCTGCCCCGGGGCCAGTTACTCTTGGGGGGCCCAAGGCAGCTTCCCCGTGGGCCCCGCTGCCCTCAACAATTGTTTCTCCCATGGGGCCGCCGGCCCCCACATTAAGCAGGCCACCGGGTGGGTATTGTAAGCAGGGGCCCGGTCACACACTGTAGCACTTTAACAGCGCGACCGGGCCCTTTGCTTTTCGGCAGCGCTGGGAGGAAGTGACGGCTGCGAGTCACTTCCTCTCACTAAGGAGAGGAGAGGAGCCGCGCGGGAGACGAAGGAGGGACCCTTGCCAGGAGAGGCAGATCCCAACAGCCTTCAGTCTGGACACCTGGGGAACCACCTTCCAAGGTAGGAAACTTGTGGGTGGGTTTAAAAGTGTAAATTTATGTCAGTATGTCTGTCAGTGTATGTGTTTGTGTCAGTATGTCTGTCTGTGTCTGTGTTTGTGTCAGTATGTCTGTCAGTGTATGTTTATGTCAGTATGTCTGTCAGTGTATGTTTGTCAGTATGTCTGTCAGTGTATGTTTATGTCAGTATGTCTGTCAGTGTATGTGTTTGTGTCAGTATGTATGTCAGTGTATGTTTATGTCAGTTTGTCTGTTTGTGTTTGTGTCAGTATGTCTTTTAGTGTATGTTTGTCAGTATGTCTGTCAGTGTATGTTTATGTCAGTATGTCTGTCAGTGTATGTGTTTGTGTCAGTATGTCTGTCAGTGTATGTTTATGTCAGTATGTCTGTCAGTGTATGTGTTTGTGTCAGTATGTATGTCAGTGTATGTTTATGTCAGTATGTCTGTCAGTGTATGTGTTTGTGTCAGTATGTCTGTCAGTGTATGTTTATGTCAGTATGTCTGTCAGTGTATGTGTTTGTGTCAGTATGTATGTCAGTATGTCTGTCTGTGTTTGTGTCAGTATGTCTGTCAGTGTCTGTGTCAGTATGTCTGTCAGTGTATGTTTATGTCAGTATGTCTGTCAGTGTAGGTGTCTGTGCTTGTGTCAGTGTCTGTCTGTGTATGTCAGTATGTCTGTTATTGTATGTATGTGTCTGTATGTGTGTCAGTATGTCTGTCATTGTATGTCTTTGTGTATGTGTGTCAGTATATGTGTCTGCATATGTCAGTATGTCTGTAGTGTATGTTTCTGTGTGTGTGTCAGTATGTCTGTCAATATGTGTCTGTCAGTGTGTGTGTCAGTATGTCTGTCAGTGTATGTCTCTGTGTTTGTGTGTTAGTATGTCTGGCAGGGGGCAGAGTCCAGGGGCCCCAAGCAAATGATTGCCCAGTGTCCGGTCAATATTAAAAGACGGCCCTGACCCTGTATATCTGGGATACAGCTCTTTACTAACCCTGTATATCTGGGGTACAGCTCTTTACTAACCCTGTATATTTGGGATACAGCACTTTACTAGCCCTGTATATCTGGGATACAGTGCGGCTATTTACTAACCCTGTATATCTGGGATATAGCGTTTTACTAACCCTGTATATCTGGGATACAGCTCTTTACTACCCCTGTATATCATATCTGGGATAGCGCTGGTCTCCCAGGTGGAAAATCAAGGCAGCATTGAAATATTTCAGGGTACCAGTGAGGTCCAGACTCCATAGATTTTTATCTCAGAATGATTATCTAAAATAGTTCCATCCAATAGACACAGCAAGTAAGGGTTTAGCAGAAAGCTCAGCTTGCATGTTTGAGTCCGTTAATTTACAGCAATGCTATGTTCAGAATGATACAAGCATTGCTTTATACAGGCATTAATTGATGCATAAAAGGTGCAGCAATGAAAGATCTCTATTCACAAATTCTAGATTGGGTGCTGTACAAAGTATGTAATATCAGCTCCTCTCTGAGCCCTGTACCACACACTAGACTGAATTTAAAGAAATCCTCAAGGGACACGTTCCAAGCACCCACGCTCCCACTTTACAGGACATGAAACTGCTTATTTACAGGACACCTGCTGCATCAGGGTTTCAGATCTGTTATTTCTCCATCAACCGCAATCACTCATCTCAGACCACATCGGTGTTACTCAATGACCATGTGTCTTCCACGAATCCACCTTCTAACTGGCTCAAAACGTAACAAACTGAGTCACTGTTAAAACTGCAATGGATGTTTTTACATCTAGATTAGAGGACAACTGCCACCCAAAACTATTGTTAACATAATAATCATTTGGTCAAGTTCTGAAAGAAAATAGATAGAAAAATTTTAATGAAGTGTGAGAAAATAAAATAAAATCACCCTTACCTTTGGTATATGATTGTATCCTTCAGCCATAAACATGCAGAGTTAGTCTCTAAGGTTTTCCCGGCTTCACTCCCTGCAAAGAACCAGGGAAAACCATAGAGACTAACTGTCTGTTTTCATACACTGTCTGACCCAAGGTGTATGTATATGGCTGAAGGATCCCGTCATATGCTAAAGGCAGGGACGAGGTTTTTTTCTCTCTGTTATTCCCGTACACCTCATTTAGAAAAAAAAAATACATTTGCTTTCACAACTTGGCGATAGGATTATTATATTAAAAAAGGTTTTGAGTTGACGGTTTTCTTCTAAATATTCTGATATAATATCCAAACACATATAACTGCAATAACTATTATTAACTGTACAGAAGTGAAGTCAGAACTAGGCGGTTATAACTTTATAACGATACAGACTGCTACAATCTTATCATTGTCAAAGCTAGGTTGCCATAACATTAGAACTTGTATGTACGTAGTGGGGAATTGCAATGCAGCAGAATACATAAGCCAACCCGAAGTCATCCCCCTTCCAAAATAAAGACAGACAACGTAGTATGGATGAAACAGGCCACAGCATTTATTATAACATACGACAAATACTGTATTATTTAATAAATTTCTCTTCATTTCTGTAACCAAACATTAAACATGAATAACCATAAATTAACATATATATGCATATAACTTAACACAGTGTCATACAGCGAACCCAACCGTCCTTGCCAATAAACTGACCATGCGCCTATGTGCGACTTCCTCTCACCTCCCCCCTCGTCATAAAAATCCTTTACTTCCAATGCCCGCCATCAGCCGACCTTATCCACGCTCGATGGGCACGACACCCCAGGTAACCTAAGGTTAACCCTTTGAGACCTTAAAAACCTGTTCATCTCATTCCATATACTTAAACGTAACCCCTCAAACTCAATTGGCAAGGACATACCCCCGGCTAGCTGTGACTAAATATACCAATAGGGCGGGCGGGAGGGAAGCTGTTTGCTGGGTGGAATCCCAAGTGGCACTGAGGTAAGACCTCCCCCACACATTCTTACCCAGAACATAATCCCACCCACACATTCTTTCCCAACCAATCCCATGCATCTATCCCCACACTCCTACATGTGCCCTTGTCCACTTAGCGGCGCTATCTCCCCAGGGCCTATACAGCAGCAAATTCAGAATGGGAAAGTAATAACTTTAGAACTATAAGGAGTAATTTCCAAAACTAGACTTTATTTTTTTTACCTGACAGCCCTAACACAAAACTGGAGTTCCTATTTCGATACATTATTACTCTTTGCGCTGTCTGTCGGTGTTACGCAGATATTATTACTTGGCATTTACAGTTCCTCACTCAGTGACCAGATTAATTAACCAGACTGGCTTTCAATGCACCTACGTACCATCACCCCCCAAACCTACCTCTCTTCTACCTACCCTGTCAGTACTCCCGTCATTAGACAGTAACTCCTGTCCTGTAGGGGGCGCCTGCTCTGGATGTTAAAATCCTTCTACCTACCTCCTGTGTCTGCAGGACTCTGGGATCGCTGCATTCAATCTGGTTTGTGCATGGCCCCGCCCCTAATACATAACAGTTATCTGTGCATGGCCCCACCCTCTGAGATGGAACACAGTGATCTGTGCATGGCCCCACCCCCCTAGACTGAACGCCGCAATCTGTGCATGGCCCCACCTTCTCAGACTGAATGACACAATCTATGCATGGCTCCGCCCCCTCAGACTGAACACAGTGATCTGTGCCTGGCCCCGCCCCCTCAGACTGAACACAGTGATCTGTGCATGGCTCCGCCCCTTCAGACTGAACACAGTGATCTGTGCCTGGCCCCACCCCCTCAGACTGAACACAGTGATCTGTACCTGGCCCCACCCCTCAGACTGAACACAGTGATCTGTGTGCATGGCCCCTCCCAGACTGAACACAGTGATCTGTGCCTGGCCCCACCCCTTCAGACTGAACACAGTGATCTGTACCTGGCCCCACCCCCTCAGACTGAACACAGTGATCTGTGCATGGCCCCGCCCCCTCAGACTGAACACAGTGATCTGTGCCTGGCCCCACCCCCTCAGACTAAACATAGTGATCTGTTGGAGGGAGAGGGACAACTCAGAAATCAAAGTTACACACACTGTTGTCACGGTTACCATTACCCACATACTGCGGTCTCCACTGTCCACACACAATGCAACTAGTCAGCCAAAATGTAAACAAAATAGAAAATGAGGAGAAAGGGAATTGGATCACCAGTCAGATAATAAACCCCTATTACTTATATATTGACTGCTTAGTCTATTATCGTTTACGGATCTATTAAAATAGTGTATAAAGAGGAAAATAGAACAATCCCTGAGAAAATCTTATTGAGATAGATGGGAGACACGTTCTATTTCAGTAAATTCCATGAGTTGTCACAATTAATAAACTAAGCACTCAGTGTGAATAGGGCTATATTATCTAAGTAGTGATCCCATGCCTTACCATTTTCATTTTTGTTTAATTTCTGGCTGATTATTAAAGGGAAACAGTGAGAATTTGTGATGTAAATCTGGGTCTGCTCCAGTATGTCCTGTTACCTAAAACAATCTTCCCGACAGTCTCCAACACTGGATTCAGATGTCACTCTTTTACTATTAATAATTCGGAACTTTCCCTAAGTATCGATTCTAGACGCCTTGTGGTTACCGCAAACATTTATCTGTGAGCAGAACACGCCATGATCCTTCATTAGCCCAATGCTCACACTCACCCACTTCTCACGAACTCCAAGGTTCGCTCCTATGCCCCTTATCTCGATTACGAAGCCCTCTTCCAGTTGCCATTCCTTACACTTAGTGCTCTCCTACCCATAATGCAGCTGCCGTTACTCCTAACCTTTTCTGCAGCTCCACTTTGTAAAGTACTTCAGGGACTTTATTTTATCTAAGATCATATTTAGGGAGGCATGTATTAATAACGTGCAAAAAAAAGGATATTAAAAATATAATAATTATTATTTTACTGTCAGCTAAATTATTAAATCAAAACTAAATCAGAACAATTTTAGCACTCTGACTGACCACCACACATATATAGAAACATTTTGTGCCAAAACATTTTTTTTATCACACACATTTCTAATAAAGGAACACTATAAGGTCAGGAACACACATGTAATCCTGATCCTATAGTGTTAAAACCACCATTTAGCCTCCCTGGATCCCACTAAATATAGAAAATCTTACCTTTATTCAAGTCTGCTGCTGCTGACTCTGCCCTTGATCTGCCTGCTTGGCTGACATAATCAGAAATGATTCTCTAAGCCAGTCACGATGCTTTCCCATAGGAAAGCATTGGATTGGCTGAGACTGTCAAAGGCACAAGGCAAACACAGCCCTGGTCAACCAGTATCCCCTCATAGAGATGCATTGAATCAATGCATTTCTATGAGGAACACTGCAGCACTGCCCCAAGAAGTGCCTCTAGTAGCCATCTGAGGAGCGGCCAGAGGAGATATCACTAAGCTGTAATGGAAACACTGCATTTTTTCTGAACCTAAAGGTAATGAATATGCTAGCCAGAACAAAGCTGTAGTGGTTCTGGTGACTATAGTGTCCCTTTAAGGATTTAAATGATTGGTGCCTGGAGTACCTTGGCCCCATCCTGTCAAATTGTCTGCTCTTTTGGGGTACCTGTAGTCTGCCTGGTCTGTACGGAAATGCTAAAGTAGAAATTCATGTTGGCATTTGTTATATCAATTTTGTGCAACTCTGGACATTGTGCATTGATTAAGAAGAACAGCTGGCTTGATTAACTGGTCTAAAATGTACCATCATTTACACGGAGCACTCCAAAACAGATATAAATCAGCTCCATATTGAAACTTTGTCAGCGCATCAATATGGTTATAATGGATGTTGTTTTAGACTCTACTCCCATCACAATGTTAGGTGAATGAATAACTAAAGATGAATCCCAGGCCCTCCAGAGCAGGATATACAGGTGGTCATTTTGAGTCACCCAACCACATGTTCCAGTATTTCTTTTCAAAGGTTTCTAATATGTGTCATCTCCTCCTTCTCCATGATACCAGGAGACACCTGTGACTTTCCCGTCCTCTTACCACCTGTTATCATTCGTCCCTTGATCAATGTCCAGCCAGCAGCCTGTGGGATATAGCGGGGGGCGTCATAGTTCTCTCCGCAAGTTAGGTGTGTGTATTCCTTAATATAACGTAACAGTGTGCAGCCCAGGTCAGATCTCTCCGAATCGAAGCATGGCAAAGTATTTCAGCAGGCATTTATAGCAAACAGCAAATGGACCCATAAACCGCTTTAAATAAAGCAGAAGAAAAAGGTCCGTATGTAGCACGTTTAGATTTGGGAGGTCGTAAACAGTCAGCTGTCCTATGTAACAGGAGCGGGTAAGTCTCGTCCCATCCAGAGGACTCTGACTGACAGTTCCATGTGTAATCGCAAGGAATGAACCTCAATTTACCTATTGAATCCTGTGAATGTGCATTGAAAACCTCATACCGAATGTATTCATGGATGCCACGCAAGTAATATAAGCCCTGGGGGCATTACACGTGTGTAAGTTGTGAAAGCGATGGTGGGGAGATGTCCATCACTGCCGAGCCTTAACTCACCCATGTTTATAAATATACATTTATTGGGTGCACAAAAATATTTCCCATTCTCTAAAATCACGAAGGAGAGCCAAACAGACTTCATGGGCGATAAATCACGCTGCCCTTTAAATACAGCAGTCTTTGTTGTTCTGCTGCAAAGCTACTGTGCAAATATTAGCAGAGGTTTATAGATACATGGAACATACTCCCAGCCAAGGTGGCAGACATGGAAAGAAAATCTAATTAAGAGAGCTGAGCTAGTTTTTGTACTTTCAATATCTAATGATTTTATGGCCTAACAAAATGGTGTAAAAAGCATTCACTAAAGGTGGATTGCAGCCTTTTTGGCTTAGCTTTTGAAATGGACTTAAATTTCTGTGATTAGTGAATTAAACAGACACTATAGGCACCTGCTTAATGCAATGTTTCTGAGCCAGATTGTCCCTGCAGTGTCAGCAGTGTAAATGCAGCCTTTTATGAGAAAAGGCAGAGTTTACATTGCTACCTAACTCCACCTCTAATGGTTACAATCAGACTGCCACGAGAGGGAACTCTTGTGTTCAATTCTGCAAAGTTTGCAGGACCAACAATAGCATCTCGATGCTGAACGCTCCCCATAGAGATGCACTGACTCATGGGGACGCATTGGATTGTCTGATATTGTCATCATTGGGAGGACCTCATAATTCAATTAGATAGGCTTTGCATCTGTGGGCATCTCGGGCAGCCCAGCAAGAGCGCGTCGTTCGGCTCAGTCATGCTGTCTGTCAGCCTGGCATGCTCGACGCCAGGTTGACTTGCCACTTTAGTGGGCCTGACCATTGTGGGTGTTACTAGTGACGTAGATTGTGGCCTGTCCAACTGTGGCTCTAATTCATAAGTCCTAATGTTGGCAGAATCCTTTTTTAGCTGGTGCCAGTATGTTGTATGATATACTTCAAACAGTGTTCCAACCTGGGTTTTGTGCCTTCTTTTGGATCAACAGCAAAAAACAGATGTGAGAAAAGCTGAACTTGATGGACGCATGTCTCTTTCCAGCTATGTAACTATACTGACACCCTCTGCCAGTTACTGTGCAGCCTGACAAGGGCAGGGGTCAGAACGGATCAGACGTAGAAGAATAAGGGGACTCACACTCCTCCAGAATCATTTAGGCTCACTGTGTCAATGTATACGTCTGTGTGTGTGTGATCGTGTGTCTATGTATGTGATTATTTGACTTTATGCATTGCTAGGTGAATACCATAGAGTTGTACATGTAGGAGTCTGGAGCAGCCGAGACATATATGAGAAGGTAGCACATGGCCTTGAGTTTCCTACAGAATACAAAAATACGTAAATATATCAAAGCCTACATTGTATTATTACTGTAGATAGAAGTGTCTGAACAGCCAAATGCTTGGAATTTAGGGAAAACACACACACACACACACACATCTCCCAGTGTGATGGTTGCTCGTTAGAATAGGAAGACCGGGATGGAATGTGTCAGACTGAGACAGATTGACAAAATACCAGCTGGTGATACAAGTAACAGCAAAGAATGCGAGGATCAGAGGTGCGTGAAACAAAATACTTTGTTAACAGACATTATCCATTAAGATCAGCAAAACATCTCCGAAATCACACGGTCAACTGAACCCAATCAGGGACAAACTAGAAAAAAGGGTAAATTAACTAAGAACAGTAGTAAATACGTGTGGAAACCAGGATGCAAAAGGAGAGCGAACATTTATGTTAAAAAAATAACTTTAGCTTGCTAATTGCTCTGTGTGTGAATAGTGTGGTCTCTTTTTATTTTACAAAAAGTGAAGATTTTTATAGAAATGGACACCTTTATAAATTAACTGTTACACCACCCCTGGCTGTCAATCAGACAACCGGTTCTGTTACTTCCTGGTTTGTTTAGCTCACTGGAGATAAACTCAAGAGGCAGCATTTGCCCAGAGCACCTGCCTTACTTCTCATTAAGCTGCATGTGGACGTCTGTTATTGGACAGCCACAGGAAGTCTGGGCGGGGTTAGAAGGGAAGGGTCTGCAAAGGCAGCAGACAAGAGACCTGCTGCATTTGCAAGCTGTTTGCAGATTTTCCCCCGATTAAATAAATGCATAATTAAATGCACGGATGTTTTCATTGCGAGTATATCTACTTAATAGTAATTTGTTTTAAAATGTTTTTTTTTTAAATTTTATTTAATAATTAGCATTCCTCTTAATTCCCTTACCATAATCCCTCGGACTCGATTACAGAGTACAACAGATAGAAAGGATTAAAAGGATGGTTTACCAGTGTGACTAACTTGGATAATATTACGCCAGCTGCATGTTGATTAACTGTTTAGTGAATAAATCCTTTAGACGATTAATTTATAGACGTGTGCCAGGCACCATAAATACACTTACCATTGCGAAGCCCCTTAACAGCCTAGACCCAACATTTCACTATCATTTATTAAACCATTAAAGGGACACTCTACTGCCCAAACGGGCAAAAAAACTAGAACATTTTAATCACTGTTTAGTAGATACACCCCAAATGAATACATGCATGCATTCTCATACATGTACTCATTGGGGTATATCTTAAAACAGTGTGCAAAGCATGTGCGCACACACACAGCATTCTGATCTGAGGCTGCTGGACTTTAGTCTGATCTGAGGTAACACTAAAGTCTTCCTTTAACCCCTTAAGGACACATCACAGAAATATTCTGTCATAATTCCCTTTTATTTCTGAAGTTGTGTCTTTAAGGGGTTAAAGATTTAGCAAATGGCATCGCAACCCAGTTCTGTCCAGGCATAGATGAGGTACACTTTGCACTGGAGGAGCAGAAACAAACATCTCCGTGACAGGTGCAAAAGACAGAGCTTATAACAAAGATTGACAGGGAGCAAAGACGGAGGCGCTTCGTTCAGGCACAGAGCTAAATACAACAGTGTGGACTTTTAAATCACCCGAAAAAATGTTTTGGTTCAGTTGGACTGAATTTCATCTAATGTACGTTTTGGTACTGACAAAATTTCACCCATGCAATGATTTTGATAAAAATGATTCACACAAACCAAATTGGTGTGAAAATATGCGGCTGCAACTGGAGAAAGGAGTTGTAGTGTGGGGGGGAAATAGGCTGCAATTGAGGGCAAGGGGCTGTAGAGAGGAGGATAAGGGACTGTAGTAGGGGTATGTGGTGTAAAAGGGGGCTTAGGGGTCTGTAGTAGGGGATAGGGACTGGAGTAGGGGATAAGGGCTGCAAGAAGGGTGGAATAGGGGCTGTAGTTGGGGTGTTTGGGGTTGAAATTTGGAGGATAGGGACTATAATGTGGGATAGGGCTGCAGTGAAGGTAAAGGACTGTAGTAGGGGTGTTGGAGACTGTAGTAGGGAGAGGGCAAATGCTGCCTCGAGTTTATCTCCAGTGAACTTAACAAACCAGGAAGTAACAGGACCGGTTGTCTGACAGCCAGGGTCGTGTAACTGTTCATTTATAAAGGTGTCCATTTCTATAAAAATCTGCACTTTTTGTAAAATGGCTGATTATAAGAGCTGTAGTAGGGAGTATAGTGCCAGTAGTAGGAAGTAAGGGGATGTAGTAGGGGGTATAGTGCCAGTAGTAGGGAGTTAGGGGCTGTAGTAGGGGGTATAGTGCCAGTAGTAGGAAGTAAGGGGATGTAGTAGGGGGTATAGTGCCAGTAGTAGGAAGTAAGGGGATGTAGTATGGGGTATAGTGCCAGTAGTAGGAAGTAAGGGGATGTAGTAGGGGGTATAGTGCCAGTAGTAGGGAGTTAGGGGCTGTAGTATGGGGTATAGTGCCAGTAGTAGGGAGTTAGGGGCTGTAGTAGGGTGTATAGTGCCAGTAGTAGGAAGTAAGGGGATGTAGTAGGGGGTATAGTGCCAGTAGTAGGAAGTTAGGGGATGTAGTAGGGGGTATAGTGCCAGTAGTAGGAGTTAGGGGCTGTAGTATGGGGTATAGTGCCAGTAGTAGGGGGTAGTAGGAGTGCCAGTAGGGTAGGGAGTTAGGGGCTGTAGTGCCAGGTAGGGTTAGGGCTAGTAGCCAGTAGTAGGGAGTTAGGGGCTGTAGTAGGGGGTATAGTGCCAGTAGTAGGAAGTGAGGGGCTGTAGTAGGGGGTATAGTGCCAGTAGTAGGAAGTTAGGGGATGTAGTAGGTGGTATAGTGCCAGTAGTAGGGAGTTAGGGGCTGTAGTAGGGGGTATAGTGCCAGTAGTAGGGAGTTAGGGGCTGTAGTAGGGGGTATAGTGCCAGTAGTAGGGAGTTAGGGGCTGTAGTAGGGGTTATAGTTCCAGTAGTAGGGAGTTAGGGGCTGTAGTAGGGAGTATAGTGCCAATAGTAGGAAGTTAGGGGCTGTAGTAGGGGGTATAGTGCCAGTAGTAGGGAGTTAGGGGCTGTAGTAGGGAGTATAGTGCCAGTAGTAGGAGCTAGGGCTGCAGAGGGGGCAGTGCCGCAGTAGGGAGTTAGGGCTGCAGCAAGCAGCCAGTAGGAGTTAGGGGCTGTAGTAGGGGGCAAGCTGTAGTAGGAAGTGAGGGCTGCAGTAGGGTATAGCGCCAGTAGTAGGAAGTTGTAATGCAGGTGGTATAGTGCCAGCAGTAGGAGTTAGGGCTGCATGGGGCAGAAAACAGCAGTGAGTTAGGGCTGCAGTGTAAGCAGAAAGCTGGTAGTAGGGAAGTAAGGGATGTAGTAGGGGGTATAGTGCCAGTAGTAGAAGTTAGGGGATGTGTAGGGGTATAGTGCCAGTAGTAGGAGTTAGGGGATGTAGTAGGGGGTATAGTGCCAGTAGTAGGAAGTTAGGGGATGTAGTAGGGGGTATAGTGCCAGTAGTAGGGAGTTAGGGGCTGTAGTAGGGGGTGCCAGTAGTAGCCAGTAGTAGGGAGTTAGGGGCTGTAGTAGGGGGTATAGTGCCAGTAGTAGGGAGTTAGGGGCTGTAGTAGGGGGTATAGTGCCAGTAGTAGGAAGTGAGGGGCTGTAGTAGGGGGTATAGTGCCAGTAGTAGGAAGTTAGGGGATGTAGTAGGGGGTATAGTGCCAGTAGTAGGGAGTTAGGGGCTGTAGTATGGGGTATAGTGCCAGTAGTAGGGAGTTAGGGGCTGTAGTAGGGGGTATAGTGCCAGAAGTAGGGGGTATAGTGCCAGTAGTAGGCAGTTAGGGGCTGTAGTATGGGGTATAGTGCCAGTAGTAGGAAGTTAGGGGCTGTAGTAGGGAGTATAGTGCCAGTAGTAGGAAGTGAGGGGCTGTAGTAGGAAGTGAGGGGCTGTAGTAGGGAGTATCGTGCCAATAGTAGGAAGTTAGGGGCTGTAGTAGGGGGTATAGTGCCAGTAGTAGGAAGTTAGGGGCTGCAGTAGGGAGTATCGTACCAGTAGTAGGAAGTTAGGGGCTGCAGTAGGGAGTATAGTACCAGTAGTAGGAAGTTAGGGGCTGCAGTAGGGGGTATAGGGGCTAAACTGGGGAGTAAGGGGCTGCAGTACAATGTAGGGGATGCAATTGGGGGATGGGACTATAGTGGGAGAGGACTGTAGTGGGGCAAAGGGGCTTCAATAGGGTGGCTGGGGCTGTAGTTGACAAAAGGGGCTCTGCTTGCTCCCTCAGTCACTCTGCAGTCTCAGCCAGGTAGGTAAGATGTCACACCTTAGGTGTAGCCAACCTGCCCCCTCCACTCGCACCATAGACCCTCTGCAATCTCCAGGCAGAGTAAGGTCTGCTTTGCTCACTTATACCTCTTTCCATCCATGTCTCTTCTACTCCCATTCCATCCATATCTCTGTTCCTCATCCATCCATGTCTCTCCGTTTCCATCCCCCATCCCCCCCTGCCTCCCCACCCTTCATCCCTGCCTCTCCCCATGTCTCCCTCCAATCTATGTATCCCACCCCTTCCATTCCCCCTTTCCCCCCTTCATCCATGTATCCCTCCCCTTCCACACCCCCCCCCCACCCCCCTCATCCATGTATCCCTCCAAGAGAGGGAGGTGGCTCCTTAATGTGCAGCATATGGTTAGACTTTACGTCTGGTAGTCACATGACACCTGACGCTGCTCAGCAGAGCGTGAAAGGGGATGTCTGCCATATGATGATCTGGAGTTGTGGAATTCGAAGGAATGGCAGATCTTCCAACATTTTCAACAGGTCACAACTCAGTTGAAACCAAGTGCACAGGTCTGACACGGTTATTCACTATAGTGGGATTTCTAAATTAATTAAGTAAATTTCAAACTTAAGGCCAGAGTAGCAGAACTGAAAGCATGGCTAACAGAATTGTTCCCTTTCCGCTACCTTGACCTTAAAATCTGAAACACAGTTTAGTAAATAATCCTGTGCGTATATACAGTGTGCTGCAAACGAGAAATTAACCTAAGGGAGACTATAGTCACCAAAACAACTTTAGCTTAATGAAACAGTTTTAGTGTATAGATCATGCCCCTGCAGTCTTACTGGCCAATCCCCGGCCATTTAGGAGTTAAATCCCTTTGTTTATGAACCCTAGTCACACCTCCCTGCATGTGACTTACACAGCCTTCCTAAACACTTCCTGTAAAGAGTCATCTAATGTTTACACTTCCTTTATTGCAAATTATGATTTCTTTAAAATTTCTTATATCCTGCTCTGTTAATACCTTTCTAGACCCTGCAGGAGCCTCCTGTATGTAATTAAAGTTCAAATTACAGAGCAAGAGATAAAAACTTCTAAAGTAATTTACATCTGATTGAAAATTAAACCTTTTTTGTTTTTTTCGTGCAGGCTGTGTGATTCAGACAAAAGGACGTGATGCTAGGGCTGCATGGACAGAAACAAAAGTGCTCTAACACCTAAATGACAGATAAACTGTTTCATTAAGCTAAAGTTGTTTTGGTGACTATAGTGGCCGTTTAACTAATCATGGCAGCTCTATAGTGACCGTCCCTATCATCTTTCTTGTGGCTATAATTCGGTTTCACATCTGCATGTCGAAGTGTGCTCAGGAATGCACGGTGCATGTGATAAAACTACAAAACACAAGTTTATTTTTTGTACAGCTTTAAAATAAATGGTAATATTTCAGCGTGAATGCATTGTACCTGGTACAAAGCCATGCTAGCCCCCCTCGCCCCCACACACCACCCGCCACCCTTTCTACAACAAAAACACAACACACGCCAACCTCAAAGCTCCATCGCACAGAAATAAAATAAGTCATATTTAATGCCACCAACCAGGACAGGGAAAATTAAGATAAACACATTAGCAGAAAATTTAGTTCAGGAGTCTGGCAAAACAAATGGAGTTGATGTGATGCAAAGAGACATCTTCCCCCTCGCCCCCAGCATGCAAATCGCATGACGGCCCCTGAAACCTGCAAGGCCCCACGTGAGACAGCTGCCACCAGCAGATCACATTCCTGGCCAATGTCAGCCTCTGCACAGGAGCTACTTTTAGAAATCATGTCTAAGACGATCCAAGCGCAATAAACAGGGAAGGCAACGGGCAGCCGCACAACGTTAAGGAACAGTTGGAAAATCACAGAGGAACTCAATGACTAAACAGTGAGATGACAGCCAACATGGGTAGTTTATGACAAAATAGCCAAAATATGAAGGCAGTTCTTTTAGTGAAAATGTGTTTTAAATCCCCGGGTAGATTGTGGCACCAAATCATTGGAGACAGATAGAATGGCCATTTCTACCAATTCTCTAATAAGAAGAATTCCTACGGAATAAATCAGATCAGTACAATATTACAAACTAGCCCCAAGTCATGGTGTTATGGGTGTGTGGCTTAGTCAAAGTCCTAGAGACAATTAATGAGACCAACAATATTAAGGACCACTCGTTTTACCTTAATACAGAACAACGGCATCGTTATAACAATCTGGTGCTGGATCGTAATGATGCAGAATTTAATTTAGCACGTCCTACTCCTTCAGTCAGGTGATATACAATGGAATGTCCTATTCATTTAGCACTAGCCAGACTCTATGGAATGGGATGTCCTATTCATTAAGCACTAGCCAGACTCTATGGAATGGGATGTCCTATTCATTCAGGACTAGCCAGACTCTATAGAATGGGAGGTCCTATTCATTCAGCATTAGCCAGACTCTATAGAATGGGATGTCCTATTCATTCAGCATTAGCCAGACTCTATAGAATGGGATGTCCTATTCATTCAGCACTAGCCAGACTCTATAGAATGGGATGTCCTATTCATTTAGCACTAGCCAGACTCTATAGAATGGGATGTCCTATTCATTTAGCACTAGCCAGACTCTATAGAATGGGATGTCCTATTCATTTAGCATTAGCCAGACTCTATAGAATGGGATGTCCCATTCATTCAGCACTAGCCAGCCTCTATAGAATGGGATGTCCTATTCATTCAGCATTAGCCAGACTCTATAGAATGGGATGTCCTATTCATTTAGCATTAGCCAGACTCTATAGAATGGGATGTCCTTTTCATTCAGCACTAGCCAGACTCTATAGAATGGGATGTCCTATTCATTCAGGACTAGCCAGACTCTATAGAATGGGAGGTCCTTTTCATTCAGCATTAGCCAGACTCTATAGAATGGAATGTCCTATTCATTCAGCACTAGCCAGACTCTATAGAATGGGAGGTCCTTTTCATTCAGCATTAGCCAGACTCTATAGAATGGGATGTCCCATTCATTCAGCACTAGCCAGACTCTATAGAATGGAATGTCCTATTCATTCAGCATTAGCCAGACTCTATAGAATGGGATGTCCTATTCATTCAGCATTAGCCAGACTCTATAGAATGGAATGTCCTATTCATTCAGCATTAGCCAGACTCTATAGAATGGGATGTCCTATTCATTTAGCACTAGCCAGACTCTATAGAATGGGATGTCCTATTCATTTAGCATTAGCCAGACTCTATAGAATGGGATGTCCCATTCATTCAGCACTAGCCAGCCTCTATAGAATGGAATGTCCTATTCATTCAGCATTAGCCAGACTCTATAGAATGGGATGTCCTATTCATTTAGCACTAGCCAGACTCTATAGAATGGGATGTCCTATTCATTTAGCATTAGCCAGACTCTATAGAATGGGATGTCCCATTCATTCAGCACTAGCCAGCCTCTATAGAATGGAATGTCCTATTGATTCAGCACTAGCCAGACTCTATAGAATGGGATGTCCTATTCATTCAGCACTAGCCAGACTCTATAGAATGGGAGGTCCTATTAATTTAGCATTAGCCAGACTCTATAGAATGGGAGGTCCTATTCATTTAGCATTAGCCAGACTCTATAGAATGGAATGTCCTATTGATTCAGCACTAGCCAGACACTATAGAATGGGAAGCCAGTAACAGAATTGGATACTTGGGGGGTGTTTGGGGTTACATTTCATGAATGTGCTGTACAAAAAACTGCTGACCGAAGCAGGAGTAAAGAACTTAGCTTTTAACCCCTGCAGATGTGGAAGGGCCTAACTAGGGTGAAGGTTTTAACCCTTTATTTACTTTTATCTGTGACAATTCCCCTCTTCTGGTGCCACAGGTGATGGTTCTAGGCAAGGTATATCCAGGTATAGTAGTTATACCTGTGGGACTTTAATTATATCTTCACCTCGGTTCCCTTGCCATCTCACACCAAAAGAGCCATCAAGGAAGACTTGTCCAGATATCTGTGGGTTACGGGATAATTATATATATATATATATATATATATATATATATATATATATATATATATATATATATATATATGTATGTTTAGGGGAATATGTATTCATGGCTTAGGTAAAACAACTCATTTTCCATCACATGCCTACTGATCAGCTCAGGTATCAACCAGCAGACACGTAGTCCCTGCCATTGTGCCTAAACGCTTTATTTTCTCTTTCTTCTCAGATCACAGCTGCACTTACTTCAAACATTTCACCTCAGGGGAGAATGCTGAAATCTTTGAGGTGACTACTCAGAAAGGTAGAGTATATACACTGATTGTTTTGATTTTTTTTTTTTTATGACCTCGACATTTGCTGCTTGTTTGAATATTTAACAGAGCTTTATTGCAATAAATGTCACAGAAAATTGTCTAAATGAACTTTCCAAGCACCAAAACCACTACAGGCAACTGGTCTGGTTACCCTGTCAGGAGTAATTTGTTAAACCGTTGTATAAGCCTTTAGATTGTAAGCTCATGGGCAGGGCCCTCTACCTTATGCAATGGTCTGTCTTTTTCCCCCACTTGTACAGTGCTGCAGAATATGTTGGTGCTTTATAAATGCCAGTTATAAATGTAAATAAATAAATAACAGTTTGACAACTTACCTGGGTCTCAAAGTGTGCCAGCATCTGGCCTTCTTCTATAAGAGTAGCTTGGCATCTTCACTGAACTAAGTAGAGGACCTCACTCATTGGTTAACAAACAACAGATGACACGCTCAGCCAATGAGAGCTGCCGTGCCTGCTTAGTATATACATTAATTCATTGTATTCGTCTTTTAACAATTTGATCAATTTAACTACCAATCAATCCGTTAGGGAAACCTAATTTCAAGTGTTAAAACAAAAATCGATACGTTGAAAAAAAAAAAAAAAAATTACATTTATTAAAATGAATCTAAATGGTTTCCGGGAAGATGAATTTGTGTAAAACCATCTGATTTGTTTAAAGATGAGTGCAACAAATACACGTCTACTGCTTAGCCATGTAGAGCTGACCGGATCTTCCTGGAAACAGGGGGTGAGGGTACAGGTGCTCAGCTGGACCCAGGTAAGTTGTCAAACAGCTCTAAACAGTCTGACAAATTAGTTTTCAATGGCACCAGGAAACTCCAGGCACCGGCATAACTGTAGTGGGCTGTTGTGGTTATGATGCTTGGAATGTTCGATAAACTTAATTTAAAAAATGAATAAATAGAGAAAATTAAGGGGGAAAAGGGGAGGCATATTCTGTTTAAATTATACAAATCCTCAATTTCTCTTACATTTGTCCTGAGTGCGGTTATGAATCCGTGTCACAGTCAATCCAGCAAACGATATATGTAAATGAAGAAAGGCTGGTTGCCTTTGCAAGGTTATTATAACAGTGTAAAACAACGACATTATAATGCAGATTGCATAATGATAACACTGTTGGTGTACAGACGTACAGCGATTGCTATGTGTGCTGTCAACTGAACGAGAGGTGTGCGATGCATGAAAGGTTGTGCCCAGAAGATCTGCGAGGACTATGCTTTTTTTGATTGTCTTTTTTGAAGCAGAAGTGAAACTTTGTTTATACAGCCCATGTAAGCAACCCTTCACTTTATGTAATTTTGAGTGTTTCATTTATATATCTACCTATATATCTGCAATGTGTCAGGAATGCTGGTGATGTGTAATAACGCTTTAAAAGCGATGGAATTTATATGTCCCCAATCATCGTTGAATTCCTAGTTACTGGTTTGTGTTAATGATAGAAGCCGATTATCAGCTCGGATATTTTTGTATATTGGACAATGGGGTTAATTTAAGCTTGGTATTAACATACGGGAAGACTGTCAGTGCTTATTGACTAACGTCATAATGGAATCAGGTCATTTGTACCATTTTCATGGTATTCATTTTTATTTGATTTCATGATTTTGTTGATTATTTAATTTTTCTTTGTGTGTTTACATTTTCTCTCCACGTAGAAATAGAATTTAGTTGATATGCCCTCTCTTTTCCCGGCTGTGGTTTAGTGTGTGATTGTAATCTCACATTAACAATAAAAAGACAGAATATTGAAACAGGAGTGTGACCTTGATAATGAATTTTTATACACAAAACGCGTTGGTTGCTGACTATTAGCCGCAATAGCGAGATAGCTGGTCGCTGTATGCCGTCCGTGTGTATTATACAAACATTTCTTTTGAATAAAAGTTTGTTTTAACATGAAATGAGCGAGCAGTGCTTAATCACCATGGCAACCAGTATTTCTTAATTTACAGGTTCTGTAAAACTACAATAAATGCATTTGGAAATCAGCCTGTGTAAATAAAACCACTTTTGGTTCTGTTCTAAATGACTTTTTCAGTTACATAAATGGTTATTAGCGCCCCATAAACGCCTGGCCCTATTCTGGAAAGACCCTTCAATATGCGACCCCCCCTCAAGGCCTACCTCCCAATGTTGGGACATGGTATGGTAATTTACGTAAATACACGCAGAATATGAAGTTAAAGCAGTGAAGCCCAAATTGTGAATTGAGAACCAAAACAAAATTTAAGCACAAGTATCTAATTTGGAAAGTTCAAGACCTTCCATGGTCCATGCGTTGTTTTATGGTGGCCCCCAGGAAGAAGCAGAAGGTTTGAAATCCTGGGATGTGATTGGATGTCCAGTTCGCTAATGCCTTTTCCCCCTCCTATTCCCCATTGACAGAATACAGCATCTCTGCAGCGGCGATCGCCATCATCGGAGTTGGTTTCATGGCTATGGGTATGGTGTGTACTCTCCTGTCCTTTAAACAGAAGCTGGATTACCTGTTAAAACCAGCTGGACTTTTCTTCGTCTTTTCAGGTTAGTGTGTTTGCAAAAATTACATGTGAATATCAGGACAAGGGACACATTTATTTTCTTCTCCTGCGAAGACAGAATTGTACAGCAGACAGGAGAAGGCCATTAATTTAACCGTATCTGTGGGTTGTCTTATCACCAACTACAATATGAACTGCAGCCAATCGGAATACAACACAGACCTCAAAATATCTCCCGGTCAGTTCTTATTTTCCCAGATATCCCAGCCTCAGCAGCACTAGTTCAGATAAAAGTCATATATATTACAGTGTTACTTTTTGTAAAACTAAGAATATATAAAAGGTGTGCTGTGTCTTTAAGATATTCAACTATTTTATATCAGTGTAAAATATAAATTAAATAACTTCTGCAAAATCTCAAATAGTGTCTACTACATTGAAATATCACCATATGTATATAAAGTGCCAAATAGTGTACACTGTGATACCCTTACTGTACACAATAGCAATTGATACTGCACGGCTGTCCTTTTGGGAGTTCAATATTGGCGTTTCACACTTTCATGGTGTATACAGAGTTGCACTATTTGTTCGTTTTTTTTTTTATGTTTCCGGATGTTATAGAAGAATTGCTATTATGTACAGTAAGTGTATCACAGTGTGTACACATTTTTGCACGTTATTTAATTTATATTTTACACCGATATAAAACATTTGCATGTCTTAAAGACAGCGCACCTTTTTATATATATTCTAAGATCTATATATACAGTTTTGCCAGTTTCCACAAAATAGTAAAATAAAATGAAAACATGAAAATGTGATCTTTCTTTTCCCCAGGTCTCTGTATGATCATCTCGGCGGAGGTCATTAGACAGTCCGTTCACCGCATGATAGACAGCAAGGACACGGTCTGGATCGAGTATTACTATTCCTGGTCTTTCGCCTGCGCCTGTGCGTCCTTCGCCCTGCTCTTCATTTGTGGAATAGCTCTTGTTCTAATCTCCTTGCCGAGGATGCCGAGGAACCCCTGGGAAAGTTGCATGGACGCCGAGCCCGATATGTAAATAAAATTAAAATAAAAAGCACACCTACTGCGGATATGGCTGACGCAAGGATAGGAGACAAGGGGTTAAATAATCCGTTCTAGTTGCTGAAGGAACAGGTCACGTTCCCTTACATCAAAAAGGACAAGGAGCGCAGCTTTTTAAAGAATTTGTTTATAACCCAAATTTATAGGTATTTAAGCTTTCCACTTCCGTTACCACGTTTCTGATTGGTTCGGAGAGGCAGCGAGCGCAGTGAATAGCTGGTGAGCAACATAGCTGGGAAGCAATGTCTTAAAATCTTCCTCAGACCCTCCCCCCAGTACGGCAATACCTCTCATGTATGTACCTATATACTGCCAGTGTGTATTTAGTAGAGTCCGCTGCAATTAACGCCAACAATCCACCCAGAGTCTCGGTAGCAGGGATACGCTATGTGGCATGCGGTCTATTTAAAACGTTATTTAATTAGCTTTAAATAGCCTGGAATACATGATCCCAAGGCCTTGAGCAACAAATGCCTATGATTTGTCATCTCCTTTCAGTAGTGGCTGAAATTTAAGTGCGTAATACTCCTGGCTCTGAGAGAGTCTTAAAGACATATTCAGGATTTATTCTAGTTAAATTCACTCGGTATATTTAAAGCCATTATGTTGTGTGTGTGCTAGGTTTGGGTGGAAGAGTATTTTTATGATATTGGGGGGGTGGGGGGGGTTGATGGGAGGGTGGAGATTTGTAACGAAATAAAGTGATGATCTGAATCTTCTCTTCATGTCAATTCATCATTTAATGGAACGTGTTGAGCACTTTTAGGGAATATGACACGTCAACATTTATTAAAAGGGACATTTCAGACATACTCCAAATGCATTGAATTGATTTTAGAGTCTGGAATCCCCTGGCACAGTCAGTGTCAAATCATTTTTGAGCAGTTTAAATCTTAATAAAGTTCCATAGCTTTCCAAAGCCCGGCCCCCAACGTAAGCCAAAGCAGCGATTACACAACATAAGGAAGCGCCTTGTGACTTCAGACACTATAACCACTTCAATGAGATGAAGCAATGGCAGTGCCCACAGTGTCTCTTTAAATTTGAATACTAGAGAATAAACAACTGGAATGCGAATCTGAAGCCAAAAGAAGCAACGTAGAAAAAACACGCAAACAGCTGAATTGTTCTAACTCGGCTGTTTTAGCGCACAGGTTCCCACAAAGGCCAGTTTATCCACTTCAGTATTTCTATTATAACAACTTAGAAGGAAACATACTTGTATAACACAGGGTTAAATCGCCTCAATTTAGGGCCCACTGAAAGCATAGGTTAAATGGAAAATTTTCTCATTTCAGTTTTTCGTGACAAAAATGTGAAATGTATTTAGAATTCTTCTTGAAAGCGCTTCCATTAAACAAACCGTTTCAAATCACACGGGAAAGATTCAAAGAGCGGCTTCCAACCACCATAGGATGAAAAATATGGCAGTGAGATACTGGGTCACAAAGAAAGGACTGTGTTAGGAATTCCAGGCCACTTGGAAAGTATGTGTTTGTATTACATTATGGGACTCAGAGAAGCCTTGCCAGAAAGGAGATATGTCTAAGGGGATATGGCGAGTCTGGCAATCTTACTTGAGAAGTGTTAGAGTTCTAGCCCAGGTGCTCTCCTGTCCACTAGCAGCTGGATGGGGGGAGAGGGACACGCTCTATTTTGGGCATATTCCCTCTGCCCCTCTTTTCTATCCTAATGTCCCTTGTTTCTAGGAGCTCCTTATTATTGGTGTGTCTGAGTGTATCACAGAGCTCCACAGCAATAATACTCCCAGTAATGTGTCTGAGTGTATAACAGAGCTCCACAGCAATAATACTCCCAGTAATGTGTCTGAGTGTATCACAGAGCTCCACAGCAATAATACTCCCAGTAATGTGTCTGAGTGTAGAGCTCCACAGCAATAATACTCCCAGTAATGTGTCTGAGGGTATAACAGAGCACAGCAATAATACTCCCAGTAATGTGTCTGAGTATAACAGAGCTCCACAGCAATAATACTCCCAGTAATGTGTCTGAGGGTATAACAGAGCTCCACAGCAATAATACTCCCAGTAATGTGTCTGAGTGTATAACAGAGCTCCACAGCAATAATACTCCCAGTAATGTGTCTGAGTGTATAACAGAGCTCCACAGCAATAATACTCCCAGTAATGTGTCTGAGTGTATCACAGAGCCCCACAGTAATAATACTCCCAGTAATGTGTCTTTAAACTACAATAAATGTGTTTAGAAATCAGTCTGTGTATATAAGATACATTGTTCCTGTTTTAGATCACATTTTAGTTGTATAGATTGTTATTGTTAAGTGTCCCAATTTATCCATCTGAAATATTGGAAGGTATGGGGTAATATATGTGAACTTACTGTGTCCTCTGGGATCAGACTATTTGTCCATCTATACAGCATGGATCAGGGAGTCTGTGCTGAACCCTCATGGAAAATTTCTCAGATATCACTGTCAGAAACAGTCTCTTGGAGTCCAGCTGTCTCACCATTTCACAGAATAAAGACTGTCTCTGTACCGGGGAAATCTCACTCTCACTGCTCCCAGGCAGCCTCTGTGTTGGAGCAGTCTAACTCTCATTGTTCCCAGTTTGTCTCTGCATTGAAACAGATCCACTCTCATTGCTCCCAGGCAGCCTCTGTATTGGAGCAGTCTAACTCTCATTGCTCCCAGCTTGTCCCTGTATGGAAGCAGCTCGACTCTCATTGCTCCCAGGCAGCCTCTGTATTGGAGCAGTCTAACTCTCATTGCACCCAGGCTGTCTCTGTATTGAGGTAGTCTCACTCTAATTGCTCCCAGGCAGCCTCTGTATTGGAGCAGTCTAACTCTCATTGCTCCCAGGCAGCCTCTGTATTGGAGTAGTCTCACTCTCATTGCTCCCAGGCTGTCAATGTATTGGAGTATCTTTTAGTCTACACTCTCATTGCTTCTAGGATGTCTCTGTATTGAAGCAACCTCGCACTCACTACTCCCAGGCTACCTACATACTGGCGCAGTCTCACGCTCATTACTCCCAGGCTGTCTCTGTATTGAGGTAGTCTCACTCTCATTACTCCCAGGCTGCCTGCATACTGGAGCAGTCTCACTCTCATTACTCCCAGGCTGCCTACATACTGGAGCAGTCTCACTCTCATTACTCCCAGGCTGCCTACATACTGGAGCAGTCTCACTCTCATTACTCCCAGGCTGCCTACATACTGGAGCAGTCTCGCTCTCATTACTCCCAGGCTGTCTCTGTACTGGAGCAGTCTCACTCTCATTACTCCCAGGCTGCCTGCATACTGGAGCAGTCTCACTCTCATTACTCCCAGGCTGCCTACACACTGGAGCAGTCTCGCTCTCATTACTCCCAGGCTGCCTACATACTGGAGCAGTCTCGCTCTCATTACTCCCAGGCTGCCTGCATACTGGAGCAGTCTCACTCTCATTACTCCCAGGCTACCTCATTATTGAGCATCTTATTCCTGGAGCAGTGTTCACTGAATCCCTCAGTACCTGGGAATTAACCCTGTCTATCCCAGTCCTGAAACTGATCCATAGAAATCCCACCAGTAATTCACACATCATTCCATGAGCTCAGGTGCAGTAATTAGTGTGTCACGTGACAGGCTCACCTGTGCTCAGCCCTGGCAGGTGGAGTGAATTTTACCATTAAGTTCACACGTTATTAGAAAGAAATTCATTAAAATTACCTGTTTGCATAAAACCTATTCATGTTTTATTTTTGAGCTAATTTAGAGATCTGTACAGGGCATATCAGTAAATCATGTGACACTCCTCCCAGACCCTGTTGGGCATAACATGAAAAGTGCTGTTCTGGTTTTAGTCAAAGCCTTTCACATATACATTAAAATAAATACATGTGTACTAAATATATGTTTTGGGGAAATCCAAAACCCACTCCCAGAGTTTGGCATTTGATGTAAGGAATACTATACCTTTCCCATAGGCAGCGCCCACAAACAATACTATGAATGACATGTCCCATAAATCTCTGCTGGGCTGGGAGTATGGGATAATATCTGATCAGAAGTTATGGGTTAGCAGACCCAGGCAGAGAGTGATGATGCTTGGCAGGGGAAAATCAGCAGCCATTTCAATGAATGTTTTCAATATATATATATATTTTTAATGTATTATTGTTATTACACTTCCACCCTGGAGAAGCCCTTTGATTTTCTCCCGAACTCTGGATTTGATGAATAGTGGGACTAGGTGGGATCTCCTGTTCCGCCACCTTGAATGTGTTCTCTGGGGTCTCCAAAAGATTGTGCTCTGCAAACTAAACACAGGCCATTCTGAGCATATGGGATCATTTCAAATGTTCTGTGCAAATGGGCTGAGCGGTTCTGAACAGGGCAGTGGTCAACCTAATCTTCATGCTTTTTTTTCTCTCTCTAACTTTAACTTTTTTTCCGGTATTGTCAGTGTAACGTAACGCATTAAAGGAGAATTGTTACTTCCAAGCATTTTCCATACTGTCTTTACTTGACAAATACATATTATTTATAAAGGGTGAAAAATAAAATATGGAAATCAACACCTATTTATCCTGTAAGTGGGTGCCTCCATCTTGCTTCTCCCTGTATGTGTTATAAGCCAGCCTGGCAGCTAAAACAGTATAAGGAAATCAGTCTTCACATTCTTCTCATTTGCATTGTGTGCCCTGGCTGTGCCAGGAATTAACTGGATTGTGATGTAATTTGCTAAATCTATAAATATAAAAAATGCTGCATAATTACACAGCTGTCCTTGCAGTCTCCTAGTTCAGACGCTCCCACGACTTCATCAAGGGTGACATTAAAAAGGGAGAGACGTATCTGTGTAAAGCAGGCCTGCGAACCTGCCTCAAATTTAATCGACACAATAGGCACCAAAACAACTTTAGCTGAAAGTAATATTGGTGTATAGATCATGCCCCTGCAATCTCACTGCTCAATTCTATGGTTGTTTTGGAGCCTATAGTGTGCAAGGGACAAACTTTTTGTAGTTCTTGGGAAACAGAGACATCTATCGATATCACATCGCAAACATCCATATTTCTGACCAGTGAAGGTATAAAGGTGTGTATATTTAGCGGTTTGCATCTGCCCTGCTTCATAGTGAAACCATTTTAGCATTAAAAAAAAATAAAAAAAATAATAACTTTAAGATCCAGTGTTATCCAAAGTTACAGCATCAGTACTTTTTTTGTTTTTTCTATCTAAAGCACATTATATACAGATACACAAAAGGAGTATCTGTAGTAGAGCTGCAGGTCTCTTCCCTTAGCAGGTGTGCTCTCAGCCCGCTATTGGTGGGGGTGTTAGTCACTGTACATTGCATTGGCTTAATTGTTCTTGGTTGTTTTTTGCATGCTGTGGATTGAATTCCAGCTGTGTTTCGATTCTCTCCAAAATGCTAAATTTGTTTGAATGAGCGAGGGGCTAAACAGGCATGTTACGTAGCTTTGACACCTAGATTAGAATGAAAAACAGCACTGGCAATATGGCTATCCTGCAGCGTATTATTGTACATGTACAACGCTTTCTTATTTAAGATGATTGGGCACATTAGAAAGCAATGCCATCTTACATTTACCTGCACAAAGATACATGTAGTAGGTGTGAGGCGATATAGAATCAAACAAAACGTCTAAAGTCTACCAGACTTGTTTATGTCATCTGAATGTGTTTGTAACAGTCTTGTGTGGTTATATCATAGATAATTGGCCAAATTCACTAGGATTTACCATTTTTGTGTTTCCAATAGGGTGGAAGCCAGGAATTCCACGCTCTGCCCTGATGTAAAATGAGGCGCATGCCCAAAGCATCCAATTGGCCTGTGTTGGCTTTCACAAAAGTGCAAGAGTCAACAGGGCCTCAGTGATGTGAAGCTGGAAAGTAAAGCCAATGACAAAATTGACAAATGCAATGGACCTTCACCGAAGCTGTACTTATTGTCAACCTGTAGGTTATACATAAGGAAAATCACTTCCCAGTGTTCCTTGTGTATACCTTTAAAAACAAGCTTTGTTGGGGTGACAGCCAACAAGTGCCCTTGTTAAAGACATCCGTTGCTGCCCTGAAAGACTGGATGCAATGAAGGCTCAGATATCTTAATGAACAGGTCGAGCACCATGTGAAACACTGTCCATAAAACATAAGTGCCAATTATCTTGGCACCATATCTACGAATATGTCAGATCTGTGCCCTGATTAACAACTGCAAAGGCCCAAAGTTCATCAGAATCTCTCTTCTCTGCATGTATTGCACATAGACCATCTGTGCCCCTATCAGATGGACTATTACCCCTTGTTTTCCCAATGAATTGCCCTGTGATTCAGTCTGCTTGGGAATATAGGTTTTAGATGTTTGACCCTAGAGGTGGAGATTGTTTTATATTTGGCTGCAGAGTCCACTTGGAAATGGAGATCGGGTACTTGATAACAAACACAAATTTTGTATTTGGCGCCTGTGCACTTTTGAGTTTCAGGTCCATTAAACCCTTAAAGTACTACCTAGGTTAGAACCCAGTTAAGGGACCAACACTAGAAGCGTTCCTCAAAACAGCCTTCCATGGCCACATGCAGGCCGAGAATTGATGATGTCCTTATAGGTGGACAAGTTTCTCAAAGAAAATGACTGCTGCAATGGTTAAACAGAGTTCCATGAAATTGTGGCGTAGTGGTATCTGGTGACAGGTTTAATGGCAGGAGGAACAACACCCACAGACTAACAAAGCAGGTCAGAATAAAGGGTTAACCAAAACACGCTGATAACTAACACTCACCACTTAGACTGCAGAAACTAGCGCCTGTTTAATTAAGCTTACAGGTATGCAGTCCACAGTTCCAAGGCATTCGTTCATATACAGTAATTTACAGAGAATTCTTCTACATTCACTGTCACAAGGAGGATTAATTTGCTGCTGACCTGACTACCAAAACTGCATTTATTCATTAAATAAGTGACATCATCGTTGAAAAGGGAAGGAAAAATGACCGATTGTCTAGACAGAGACACAGTTTCATTCTCAAAAGGTTATGATTTGATTGCTGCCAGTGTTTTGAACTATCTTTCCAAAGCTCAAGGCACTGTACCATAAAACTTTACATGTAACAAAAGTTCACTAACACCAACAATTTGGTTACAAGGATCAGGTCATATAAAAGTTGGAATGCAAGCTTTTTGAACAAGAATTACCTCTCCAAGTGTGTGTATGTCAAGAACACTCAATCTGTTTTTCATTTTGCCATTGCTCAAATCAAATATATTTGGCATTACATGGCAGTCTTTATAATTCCTTTATTTAGAAGATTTTGAAGACATTCTACTGAGACCACCTGTATCTAAATATTCCCCACACTGATTTCAGAAAGGGTAGTTTATGGATAAAATTAGGACACAAAATTATATTCCATTTTTCTTCTGCAAAACAAAATAAATTTAAAAAAAATTAATGCTTCTATCGTATTTTCAGTTGTTTAAAATGTGCTATAATAGTGAGAAATTCTTAAATGCATTCTCTTTACCAGAGAGTCACTTATCTGGCTAGAAGCCACCAAGAAACCTAAACGGAAGGGACCAATAGAATGTGTATTAAAATGGAACACTGTCATCAAAAGGTAACGGGGATGGTATATTACATTCTACATTCTTTAAAAAAAAACAAAAAAAACAACAAACAAGACTATCTGAAATAGCAGTGTCTTTGAAATTCCCAAAACCGAATAACAGTGTTTACATCTGTTTTGCTGAGCACAGGGAACAAACATTGGCTACCCAATATAGAGGATTACGTAAATGGAGCCAACAGGCTCTCCTGTGCTCCACAGAAGACCCTTACCTTTTAACGGTGTCCATATATTACTGAAAATATATTTAATATGTTTAAGTCAATTATTTTTATTTTAGTGGAGCTGTAATTTAATATATATTTAAAAAAAAAAAAAAGGTAAAGCGCTGGAAGTACCAGTAGTTTTTTTTTTTTGCATTTTTAGCAGACAACATTTAAAGTTATTTTCTCAAACTGTAAAATCAAACCGAGCCCTATTTACTGGGTAAAATCTTTGCATACTGGTGTGATGAACACGTGATGCTAAAACAGTCAAGGAAAGTGACAGTGGTATTCTAGAGAGACTTTTTCTTTAAGTGAATTTCACTTCAACTGTGATAAACAAACCAAATCAGGAGAAAGGAAGATAAACGGAATAGTTAATGTTTTCTGTGCCTTACAGCGTTACTATTTTCCTTATTTTTGAGAACAGTGATGTGTCCTGTTCAAACATAATAAACATCAATCTCTGCAATAGGACAAACAGCGATCCACGGCTGTGTTAGAAGAACGCAGACCGACAGAGCATCACACTAATATTGCAATGCAGTCCGCTACAAAAAGCAAGATGGCAGTTTCCCTTTATCATCTTCTGTGCAGCAATGAATTGGAGGGTTGACATTTGTACATGTGGAATAGTCGGAAGAAAAAAGAAGTCACTTGACACAGAATCCAAGGCTAGTTTAGTGGGTTACTTCCAGGTCTAAATTGTGGGAACGGAAGCACATTTTACGGATGAACATAGTCCTCAGAAGACTTTTAAAAACAGTGTAAATACTAAAATATTCTCCAACACACCAACCAGACAGGCTTGAAACTATCATTAAGAATTCAACACTATCGCTGTTCAAATAAAACAGCAAAATGGTGTTTGTTTGTGTTTTTTTTCTTGAATAATGTCACATTTTAATGTAATCATCAAATAATGTACCAAAATTTTGTTTTGTTTTTACTGGAAAAGAAATGGAAGCGGTACAATTTGCTTCAATACCACTGAAGGGGAGAAGTTAAAGCCAGATTACAAACATTTACACATGCATTGTGAAAAGAAACAGGTATCTTTACTAAATTCACACAGTTGTTTCCTTTTAAAATATGTAATAAAAATCTACTCAGCACCAACATATCCTAAAAATGTATTTTCAGCTTTAATGACTCAGAATTAAGAAAGAAAAAAAAATCTCAAAATTAAAAACAAGCTGGTTAGATGCCTGTTTAAAAGAAAATGCAGAACTGATTTTTTTTATTTTAAAGTATATATTTTTTTTATATATTTATATATATTTATATATTTTTATTTATTTTTTTTTGTCTTCTGCTTTTGCACATTTAAGAAGAGGATTTTGATTTATGTTTGTATTTTGCCTACTGGAGATTAGGGGCTATATAACCAGCTTTAAACTACACACCTTTTTATATTCTGAAATTGCTCAATTTCATATCCTATACTTTAATAAAATAACACCCTAAATCCCCAAAAAGATGGTAATATTGCTTTTTTTAAATCTCAAATTATTTACCTTTTTCCAGTTACGAAGCAAGGTTATAACAATGGAGAAGATTTCTAAAGATGTTGCTAACAGAAGCATGGGGCAATATTCTAAAGTGGAGCAATTAACACAAACAGAATCAGCACATACCTTCCCAAGATTTAGAGGACGATTTCCCCATTTCTAGAAATTTGCTCTACTTCTGTATAAACCTTTTTAAAAATCTCCCAGTTGTTCTTGCAAAACATAAACATGCAAATTCATTTTACCTGCTTAAAAAAAAAAGGCATGTACCATCATGTCACAAGATGCATGATGTACAAAAAAAAGGTTAAAATTTTAATTTAAAAGGCCAAAAAAAACAAAACAAACATAAAAAGGTAATTTACTCCCACCAATATTACAATTATTTCACAACTTTTTTGTTTGTTTTTTTTTTGTGGTACTTCGTAAAAACCCTAAAAAAGTCAGACCATAAAGAGTTAAATATCAATTAATAGGCGGAATATCGATTTTCCTAGTTAAAGTTATCTTCACGACCTTGCAAATTTGTTTTTCTGAATGGCATTAGGGAAAAAGAACTGCGCTTCCTTTGCTTAATGTAAAAACCAAATACATACACAACCTACCTCTCAATAACATCGAGGGGTACACTATCCATAAGTATTCCCCGCATTTCATTATTACTAGCTGTTCCTTTGGATTTTATAGAAATAAATTTTAACTTTTAATTATACAGGTTTTACTTGAGAGAAAAAAAAAAAAAGTTAACGGCAGCATTACTTCACAGAAACAAAACACAAAAATTATATTTATAGATATCTTTAGGAGATGCTGCACATTTATTAAAAAAAAAAAAAAAAAAGCAAAATAACATACAAATTTTACATTAACTGGTTATTTCTGGTACAGAAACCCAGTTTTGGATGCCAATGTTAATTGAATATATGTAAAGGCTACTAACTTTTTTTTTTCCTTTTTAAATTCGACAAAGTTTTGCTTAAATTTTTCCTTTTTTATTTATTTTTTAATTTTTTTTTAATTTAACAGTCCAGCTAACTATGCTGCTAACTGCAATGCTTCATTTTACACACGTTTAAAAAAAAAAAAAAAAAAAGTTTATTCTACATAAAAAGCAGTCAAAAGTCTGACCAACATTAAAATTAGCAAAATTATTAATTTTCTTAAAATTTCTTTTTTTGTGTTTTTTTAATTTTTGACCTAGTTGCAAATTTTGCAGCAAAATCTTTAACTGATGTTGGGACATATATTTAAGAATATACCTCCCCCCTACATTTTATGGTTGTGTGTATGTTTGATAGTGTCTGTATATCCCTATATACACACATTTTAGGATGTATATACAGACTTATTGATTTGTGAATATGTATATATAAAATACTAAATATATTTATACTATATATACATACACACAAATACAATACACACGCTTACACACAAGAAAAACAAAAATAGCTGAAAAGCACTGACGAGCCTATTTTTTTTTTCTTTTAACTCTTTATCCAAAGCTAAAACAAAGATTTTCTACAATACAAAAACAAAAACGGTGCATAATAAAATCAAAAACAGGAGGGAGGCATTTATTTAAAATAGGAATAAAAGCCATTGCTACCTGATGAACTGCCTAAACTAAGTTCCTGAAACAAAGACAAAGGGTCACTATTTTTTTTTGCCTGCTCTGGTGGGGGTTTGGGCTTTGGGGGCGCCCGCAGTGCACTTGCGTAAGACATAGTTGGTTTGCTGTTGCTCTGCTGGACAGCCGCTGCGCCACTGGGCTCTACAATCTGTTTGTTGGGCATTAGAGGTGGGAACTGGCCAAGATGTTGTAGGACATTGTAGTTAAAGGAATTGGCCATCTGGATGTTTTCAGCCTTCAGAAGATCATCAGGAGGTTTTGACATTTTCGGTGGAGCAACTGCAAAAACACAAACAGAAGAGTAGCTGTTTTATTTCCTGTGAAAGAGTGGGTCTCCAGCAATAGTAGAAAAAAAAACCAAAGGCCAAGAATGTCACATACAAAACTGTTGAATAATTAAATACAAAATGGGTGTAATAAGAGGCCTCTAGAGAGACCGGCGTAATTTGCAATTTTGGCAGACCTCTGCTTAACCTGAAAGACACTTCCAATGAGGGGCCTCTATTTCCATAAACTTCTGTCCAACAGAGATTTATGGGATAAGTAATTATTCCCAACAGGAAGAGTGGAACTGTTCAGTAAACTGACAGAAGCACGCAGACAGCAGAAAAGTGGAGAGCTCAGCCCAATATAAAGTTGTCTGTACTTAGATTTAAAACTAGGAGGGGTGGGGGTGAGGAGATTAAAAAAGAAAAAAAAAAAAACAATTCAATGGAAAGTCTAGCCCCCCACCAAAAAAAATACACACGTTAATACAGCACTCATTTCATACTACTGAAAGAAAATAAATTATGTTTAAAAGTGCATACCATAAAGGCCAAAGTAAAAAAAGCTCATAAACTTAACAGAACATGTGTCTGAAAGCTACTGACAAAAATATAGGTGCTGGGGAGAGCAATGTATTATTACCTAACATGTCCCTAGGTGGTAACGGTCGATTGGATCCATTGCACGGAATGTTCTGATAGGAGACTGACGATGCCGCGTTGACCCACAGCTCAGGGGATAAGTAGCTAAATGCAGGTTGGCCACCATGTTCTTGAGCCTCTTTACATGGACCAAGATTTTCTTGACAAGCTCCTAACTCCTCGGGAACAGCATGTCCCGAACTAGCAGAGATTCTTCTTTGGTACAGCGGCCTGCCAGGTCCTCTTGGTTCATACTAAAACAAAACACCAAAAATAGTGATAATTACAGACCTGGTCAGATGTCAGCGATAACCATTTTTAGTGTCAACATTTTTATTAATTCCAAAAAAGTTTATGTTAATTAATATTTTTAGTGACAAAAGCAACAGATATAACTGGGACCAAATAAACAGCACAAAGAACAAGCCAACATCATCCTGTTTTGGATCGCTAGAGGATCAAAGGCCTGCCTCCTGCAACTGGCAGAGTCCCATCCCCCAATAGTCACCATTTATTTACTTACACATTGTACAGCAGTGCTATAACCAGCATTGTACTCATTCTATACACAAACTAGTATAAATTGATTTAGTTATGGATTTATGTTGCAGGCTTGGCATTTCTATGGGAAGATATTAATGTGATGCCATGACGGGCATGGCACCGGTTTTGGAGAATAATTGACAGTACAGTGTCCAGTGCACTGTAATGGCATCCTGCAGCTGTACTCTGTCTCCTGTTAAATTCATTTAGCTAGAGGCACTTTATTTCTAGGCATGCTGTTTTGATCTATAATTTACACATTCTGGTGTATACGAATGCATCACAGGAAAGACTTCAAAAAGGAAGGCCAATAACACAGGTCACGCTCACATATTTAATGTGGATACAGACAGGTAAAAAAAATGACAATGCTACTGTGCTCCGTGCATTCTAATCTCCGTACACATGTTAGTCACTGTACACACTGCCATGAGATGAGATATTTCTGCTCCAATATGTGCAAAAAGCATTTTTCTAAAGAACAAAAAAAAGATTTGGTAAAACAAAAATATGGGTTCTGTAACCTTCCGCATCCCTTCTATCCACGGGGTGCATATACTAAAACCTCCAGCTAACAGACCCAAATCTCCTGCTTTCAGTAATGAGAGTCTGACACTAAGTCGGACTTTGATCTTTATTTTCAAAGGGAAAGATTACTTAATAGAGTCTGCCCACTTATTTTTCAAAGTCGAAGCAAAGCACGCTGCCGCAACATTTTAGGCCAAAATGCAAGCATTTAATGAATCCGCTCCATTTGTGCAGTATAATCCGGCAGAGGAAAACATTTGCTAAATGTCCAGCATCCAACAGATGGTCTCCACAAAAAGGAGGCTTCCTGACGACCAAGACAAGCAACGCATTGCACAGGGGGGAATTTACCCCGACGGACTGAAGTTTGCTAGAAAAGGTACACAAATATATTTCATAACTACTGAAATCTCACTTTAAGAGATTTTAATGGATTTAAAGGCACAAACTCAGCCTATGCATAATTTACACAGATTACGGTTTCTTTTGTTGTTTTTTTTGCATGCTCACTTTGTTTTTCCAAGTGTACAGCTCTGTTTCAGTTATTCCCACAGTTATTCCCACCAATAATTGAATAAACATTTGTGTCACCAGGAAGCACTGCAAAGCCTTCTGGGAGATCAGTTAGCCACTGTCGTTAGCACAAAGCGCAGAACTAAACAAATCCCAGCAACCAACGCTCTAAGCAGAACTGGGACTGTGCACAGAACGTTTCGATCTCTGCTAATCCGCAAACGTTTGTGGATGTTTACTGAAGGGACTTGCCCAACATATCAACAATAAATGACACTCAAATGTAGTCACCATTAGAATAGCAAAACAATTAGGACACCACTGAAATCATCCAACCACAATAAGTGTCCAGGCAGGTCCCAAATGCTTTGTACGGAACTGGCTGTATGGAAATCCGAGAAGTAGGTGTCGCTAGATGCCCCTACTAATTAATTCGGGGAGGGGAAAATACAACTTTTTTTTTTTTTTTTTAAATCACAAGACAAACCATTAAACTGAAGAGATCAAAGATATAATGTATATATAAAGTATAATTTTAACTGTACTCCACTTCCATTTTTCCGTTACCTGTGCAATCTCTATGAAATCTGCCAATGTAACAATGAAAGCATTACAATAAATTATATCTGCGTAGCAGCAGAAATTAGATATTCAGTGCTACCTCACATTATGAGAACGATTGGTTGGAGGCCACAGATCACAATCACTTATGTAATAAAAGAAGCTTCGTAATTAATTCCGTTTGCAGAGAATGACGTTACCCTATCCGCATATAGGGTTCATAGAAAGGTGGTGGTGGGGTAAATGCGGTCAGTTACATAGGTGGGTTAACTACCATTTTCCAGCTGCCTCCACTGACACACTTTCTTATAATGCCCTATTGAACACTCCCAGGGTTTCTCGCTAAAGTCTGAATTTAAAATCGACGATGAAAGCTGTGACTATAGCCGGGATAGAGAACGTTTTCAGATCAGCTATTTTGGTCTCTAGTTTACAATTCAGAATTAGGCCTCGGTTTAAAGTGATCAGATAAGCTCTTTAAATTATTTAGTATTTTTGCAGAAAACAAAAAAAGTGTTTCCCCCAAAAAATATCTAGATATTAAAAAAAATTTCAAAATATTAAATCATTTGTAAAGCATATCCAAAAATATTAAAACAGAGTTAATAATTCTGTTAAAGCTATAACTCTGTTTAAACGTTACAGGGAAAGTCATCTTTTTTTGATTCTTCAGGCTGCGGTCAGTGATCTGTACAGTTACACTGGCGTTTGTAGAATACTTGGATCACAGCATCTTCACTGGAGGGAGGACAATTAACATGCCAAAGCCCCCAGCATATTTTATACAAAAAGGTCACAGCCATTAAACAACAGTTATTAAAGGGACACTATAGTCACCCAGACCACTTCAGCTCAATGAAGTGGTCTGGGTGCCAGGTCCCTTGGGTTTTAACCCTTCACATGTAAACATAGCAGTTTCAGAGAGGGAGGGGGGCCCTGAGGGTGGGGGCACCCTCAGGGCACTATAGTGTCAGGAAAACCGCTTTGTTTTACTGACACTATAGTGATCCTTTAATAAATATTCAATACATACTTAACATAACATATTAAAATATAATTTTTATGGCAATTCATAAAGGGACACTATAGTCCCCAGAACAACTACAGCTTATTGAATTTGTTCTGGTGTGTAGAATCATTCACTTCAGGCTTTTTGCTTTAAACACGGTATTTTCAGAGAAAATGCAGTGTTTACATTACAGCCTAGTGATAACTTCACTGGCCACTCCCCAGATGGCTTTTAGAGATCCTTCCTGGGTCATGACTGTCTAAAATCCATCCAAACAATCAGTATCTCCTCCCTCTGCATGCAGACACAGAACCTTCCTCATAGAGATACACTGATTCAATTCACCTCTATGAGTAGATGCGGATTGGCCAGGGCTGTGTTTGAATCGTGTTGGCTCTGCCCCTGATCTGCCTCCTTGTCAGTCTCAGCCAATCCAATGGGGAAGCATTGTGATTGGATCAGGCTACCACTTCTGCTGATGTCAGCAGGCAGTTTGTTTTTCTGAGGCAAACAATATGCAGATCTACAGCTTCAGGCTTGAATACAGTAAGATTTTGCTATATTTATGGAGACATGAGGGGCCCAGGGTGGCTAGATGGTGGTTTTAACACTGTAGGGTCAGGAATACAGGTTTGTGTTCCTGACCCTATAGTGATCCTTTAAGGTGCAAGTAGAATATATAACCATGCATATCAAAATAACAGCTTTTGTCCTCAGTGGTAGCATAAACAGCCAGGCCAATAAACCATTATGCAGACATTCACACAGGATTAAGATAATGCATGCAGGCTGTGCTACATCCCTTGAACCCATTAAATCCAACCTGGAGCATTTACCTCTTCTAAATTGTGGAGTGAAGAGGTGGACACTGCTCGCGATGAAGGCGGGTGAAATGCTTCCTGATTGGACGCTTGCTGATGGTTCTGTAGATGGTGTATGAACGGGTTCTGTGGAGGTCTGTGTTGAAGAGGGGTCATACCGTAATGAAAACCCTGGCCCATTAAGGGGTTTTGCTGTAGATTAGCATATGTCCATGATCCGTCGTGCTGCAGGTATTTGAGGGGCGGAGGCGTTAGGTGCCCAGAGGGCATGGGGTAAGGACTATTGTACATCTGGGCTATGTGCTGGGTAAATGCTGGATTGTTGGCCATTTCCAACTCCCGACTGTTTTCGTTGAAGTTTGGATAGTGGCCACTGTGGTTAGAGGAAGGGGATGACAGTGCTGGTGGGCTTCTGGGCTGGACCTGTCTGTATTGTAACAGTCTAGACTGCGGTGGGGGCATTTCATTCAGCTCACGGTTATCACTTGGATCTTGATGGGAAAGTTCTCGCAAGAATTCCTGGAATCTGAAAGTGTAAAAAAGGAGATAAGATAAGAAAAACCATTATTGTGGCTATCCCAAACATTTTTTCTACACCATCATCGAGCCCTTTAAAAACTGCTGGTAAACTTATAAAAATCACTTCAGCCACTTATAACTGAATAAACTAATCACTGACAAACCTGGACTTCCTGTGAGAATGATGTACATCAGACAGTTGGAATATTAAGTTTCCTTTTCTCTGAACAGGAGGATTCTGGGAACTAATCAACTCAACTCTAGAAATTCCACAATGTAATGGCATGACGTGGATGTGCCCCTCCGCCTTTATTAATCTATGACAGTTATAAAGGTGGCACTAACTTTTTTTATTTTTTTGCAAAGACCACACAGGGTGAAACTTTGCTTGTGCAGAGGTGGACAAGAGGGTTGCAGATTGGAATATATCCTTCATTTAGGATGTCCTTCCTAGGCTTTCTTCATTATTGCACATGGAAGATAATCTTGAGCAATAAGGTAGCAGGCATCAATTGAGCATCTTGCAATATGCTGCCTGTTCCCATCAGCCGCTGTGACCAACGCTTAAGATGGAGGCACTAGCTACTTGTCTCATGTATAATCTTAGGATAAAAAAAAAAATCCTTTAATAAAAATTACATTTTTACCTAAACTAAAGCTTCTTTAAGTGCTTATATGGCTTGACAACAAATTGTAAAACAGTCATATGACAGTTTCTACTAAACACAAAATATACCACGGGTATACTGACCAAAAGTATTGTTTTAAGTTGGTACTAGTATACGTGATTTAAAGGGAGAGGTTATAGCAAATCATACCACACTATATTACCTTCAGCATACATAAAGAATAGTTAAATATGCTAAAATATGAAAGACACATATAGTGTGAATACATTTTTAAATGTGCACCCATTCATAGCGTATGCAGTTTCTGTTAATAAAGCTCTGAGGGGTATTATCAAGATTGATAATGTCTCCTATCAGAATATCTATGATTGGTAGAAAGCAGTCTGGCTCCAGACAGGGATACGGTGTCTGAGACAAGAAATAGAATATGCAAATTTATCATAGTATACCAATCAAAGGTTACCTCTTTTTACAGAGGGGTGTGTATAACAAAGTGCTTTAGACAATAAAAGTGATTTACCGGCAGCTCAGTACACTTATGTGGAAATATCCTCTATTCCACAAAACAATTGTGATTTTTTAGTGCGGTGTAAGTAACAAAGACCTATACCTGTAAGTGGAGCGCTCAAACACATATACAGCTTACCAGATGTTATTTCATTCAATGGTAGAGTATAAGGTACATGTTAAGGAAAAATACAAGTAGTACAATATAGTGCAGATGGTACTTAAAGTAACAATATAATGGTGATGATGATATCGTAATGAATTGTACACTCACATTTCAAGGAGCCTGTATATAGAAACACTGGCTCCGTATGGTGGCTTGTGTGCTTGTTAGGGTAGCACCACCCTTCTACTTCGATGTGGGGTGATTCTCGAAGACAAAAAAAAGGGGGAGAGCGAACCAATGTGTAGATAGTGCTTGTTAAAACTCACTATTGTATAAATAAATGTGGTGCTCACTTGTCCTGAGCCTGTGGGTCCCGGCTCTAAGTATATAGGTTCTGTGCCAATTTGAGTGGGGATGGCACTACCCCTAGGAAGATTCTCTGGAGGTTCCAAAAAGGACGTGAGCAGGGATCTTCAAGTAGTCTGCATGCGTCCGGGCGGTTGGCGGAAGTGACGTCACGGACCCATGTGACTGTCACTCCGCATGGGTGACGTGTGGCATGACTGTGGAGCTCGGGAACTTGGGGGCGGCGGCGGAGTGACAGTCACATGGGTCAGTGACGTCACTTCCGCCAACCGCCAGGACGCATGCGGACTATTTCCGCCAACCACCACAGTCCACCAATGAAATTTATAGGCAATAAAGGTGCCAGAAATCTAATCCAATTAAAGAGGCATACACATATTCCCCTATATAAAGAAAATGTAAACCTCACTGTGATTGGACAAAATGTACTGAGCTCATTAAAGGGGAAGACCCTAAGGACATTTAAAATGGAAGCTTCAGAGGACTAACATTACAGCTGACTGAGGAAGCTCCACTGAGGAGTGAAACGCGTATTGGCTACTTTTAAAGGACTTTTTACTGAGGACTTTTATACTATTTGCTTTTATTTATTTTTTTATACATTAATAAATTTGCCATTTTACTTAAGATCCCTGTTCAAGTCCTTTTTGGAACCTCCAGAGAATCTTCCTAGGGGTACACATTGGTTCTACACATTGGTTCGCTCTCCCCTTTTTTTGTCTTCGAGAATCACCCCACATCGAAGTAGAAGGGTGGTGCTACCCTAACAAGCACACAAGCCACCATACGGAGCCAGTGTTTCTATATACAGGCTCCTTGAAATGTGAGTGTACAATTCATTACGATATCATCACCATTATATTGTTACTTTAAGTACCATCTGCACTATATTGTACTTCTTGAATTTTTCCTTAACATGTACCTTATACTCTACCATTGAATGAAATAACATCTGGTAAGCTGTATATGTGTTTGAGCGCTCCACTTACAGGTATAGGTCTTCGTTACTTACACCGCACAAAAAAAATCCCATATTTATCATAGTAGCTTGCCATTTATTTCCCAATATATTTATTGCATTAAAGAAAAGTTTGAGAATATATTTAAAATATTGCAGTGATTAGATTTTTTAATCTGCGGAAGAAAGTTTAAGGGGAAAAAAAATCTGTTAGACAAAGCCTAACCTAAAGCCGACTTAACACTTTGAAGGGACATTGCAGGCACCCATGCAGTAGGTGAAATGTAGGGTATGGGTAGTTAAGCTGGATGGATTTGTATTATTTAAAAAAATAAATAATAAAAATAAAAGAAAGCTATATTTTCTCCATGACCAAACCAATTTTCCTTTTTTACATACAGCTGTTTAACCTGGGAAATTATAATTACCACTTTTTTCCATGCAAAGTTTATTGAACATATTTTTCACTTGGACAATATCATAGAACATAGTTACGAAGATTAGTAATCAATATGAACAACAAATCACGATACAAACAAGCCACCCACCTGGAATAAGCCACCTCTGATTCATCCTCTGCATTGTTGGGGGTCTTCCAATTGGGTCGGACTAACTGCTGTTGGGGTATTCCCAATGCTTGCAGGTGAGGATGGGGGTGGTGTGGGAACGGGATGTTGCCTTGGTTCAGATAAGCGTTATGCTCATTCCAATGCTGTAACCTTGTCTGCTGCTGTCTTAATGTTTCCAAGGCCACGCTGCCATGGAGGCGATCTGGAAAAGGAGGGGAGATCGATTATCAGGGAGTATCAAGAAACAAAAGCACATCTTCTGTTACATACAGTACTTATAGCTAACCAAGCCAACAGAGAATAGTGAGAACAATACAATCTAGTGTGGCAAATTCATATACGGAATGATACAAATGGGGACTGATGCTTAAATCTTCAGATTTGTGTCCTATAACTTACTTACCAGGGCCAACTGCTGAATGCTCGTCACTCTAAGAACACTGATGTAGTCCAATAAAAATGAATTTTAATACAATGCAATACCCCAATGTTTTATGGGTCACCTGACTTCTATAACTATTCCAGACAAGTTAAAATGACATCTCTGTACAATTCAAATAAGATCTATTCTAATCTCAGCCATCTCAAGTCCTCATCTCTTCGTTCTACCAGGTCTCCCATTGGTCACACAACACTCCATTCTATGCTTCCTCGCTGTTCACTGTGAGACAACTTGGATCCAACATATCAACACCAACGTGTTCACTACACAGAGATCTTGCTAGGTAGCTGCCATTGTGTTTTCCTAAGAAGCCAAAATGCAGTAATGTGGGAGATAAGGAGCAATACCAAAAGTACAAACCGAGAGAAAACATTGCATTGGAGAGAAGTTGTTCACACCTAGTGATTGAGCCATGGATGAGCCAGTTTTGCATTTGTTGATTAGTTTCACAACAAAATCGGTTCTGAATCGATTAGTCAGCATTTGTTTTTAACCCCTAAAGGACCAAACTTCTGGAATAAAAGGGAATCATGACATGTCACACATGTCATGTATCCTTAAGCGGTTAAACAGATCAGTTTCAATTTTTTTTTTTTTTCATCATAACGGGTTCTATGCAAGACAATCAGTTCCGGGTCAAACAAATCGGCAACTGTACATGCCTAGTGGCAAGCAATTTCTATGATGTGGCTAGTAGTATATACAATATATAACTATCATCAGGGTGGTTTATTTTTATTTTTTAGATTTAGTGCCTGACCTTTTTCTTAAAGTAATAAAGGGTGTAAAAAAAAACACAAACAAAAAAACCACTACATAAAAATACCCTACACTCCAATAAACTTACTGGTAATACAGTGTTTGGAGCAGCTACTCTTCGTTTAGAGCAACAATATTGATGACTTCTGTCCAATAAAATGTTACGCATAGAGAAGCATTGAGGACAGGGTATATGAGTAACCAAATCGCTCCAATCTGAAGCTTCGTATAGATAAGATTGTTATAAGCATTACCCTGTATTATGTGGAATTTTTATAACAACTCTGTTAAAAAAAAAAAAAAAAAAAAATCTGATCAGACTGATTAACAGACTTGTTCTGCATCCTTCAGGAAATAAAATATTCGCTGTGTGCTCTCCCACTTGAACAGAAGTGATGACCCAGATCAGCACTGTACATATAAATATGCATGTGTCTTGGTGAATATGGCATTTAATTAACCTTTAGTATGTAAAGTAAACAGACGGCTTTAATTTAATGCGGTCATGAATACCCACCTAGAGCATCTCCAGCACCTAAACCCGGAGGAGCATCTTCAATAAAATTGTTCATATGAGAAGATAACAGTGGGTTGTGTTGAGGAACAGATCTTAGAGGGTTATTGATGTCTTGGAGCATGTGAGGAGGTTGTTCGGGGATCATTCCATCCACGCCGGGGGAATGAGGTCGGTGGGGCATGGGGTTGTTAAAAAAGGAGTGGCTGGGGTTGGGCTGGAAGGCTGGAGAGAGCTGTGAGGGCTGAGATGGGGCTTGCTGTTGGACCACCTGGCCCTGCTGAGGAGGTATTTGGTTTTGCAGTTCAGATAAATGGTTTTGTTGCTGCTGCTGTAGAGAATACGCCGGTCTGGGTAATTGAGATAAGTGAGGGTAATGTCGATTCGGTATGGGGTACTGAGGATGTGGAGGGGTGAGGTGGACGTTCAGGTGTCTTTGATTTGGATTATCTTTCCTGTGAAATTTAGGGTTGAGAAAACCAGGATTGGCCCGTGATTCTGGGCTTCTTGTTTGTGCATTTGGATCTATATCGACCTATCAAAAATAAAAAAAATACACCATATTTAATATATATATATATATAAAATAAACTGACAATACTAAACTTTGGGACAGGTAAGCAAAAATATAAAACACAAACAGAACAAATCCCAAAACCAAGCAGTAGCAAATCTTAGCCTTTGATGCTTAAAAAATTCAAAGTCAATGGCAGTAAACATAACGATTTACCTGTTTACATTCTTGTGGTTTCTTTTCTGGCGTGCGGATTTTATTCAGTTCTGTTACTGGATTGTGATCGCTTTTACCTGAAATGTTAATTTATTGCATTGTCAAATTTGATTTTAGTGGGATTGCTGCTTCTCTGGATGAACACATGTGGATAAGATCTAAAAAGATCATCATTAATACAGACTAATCTGTATTATTCTTAATACTAGAGCTAGTGTGGTTTCATCGTGCCCTTTAAATAATTTGACTTTTAAAACTTAAGTGTAATGGATGACAAATTTACATATTTGTAAGCTGCCACTGTCAGACCCCAAATATCACATAAATGTAAATGATACCATTTGTTATTGAAAACAGTAGGCAAGTGTGTGGGAGACCTAAATTTTTCATACAGACCGTTCCTGTTTTGTTCGTGCTGCTCCTTGTCGGTGTGTGGTGGCTGTGGTGTCTGTTGCTGACCAACGTTGACAGGTGAGTGATGACCTAACCCAAAAGGGATGGGAGAGCCTCGGCCATGAGCCTGGAGAATGTTCATATTGTACGCCATAGCTGGATGGGTCATGAGACGGGGATCAACTGAAAATCTACCCTGATAGCTTGGCCAGGTCACCTGCAACAAGAAGAGGTCAGTAAAGTGAGGTTGTTCAAGAGTTTCGGTATTTAAGAAATTCACTTGCTGTATCACTAAACTGAGGCTGGAACAGCGCAGAGTTTTGACACGCATTCACAAGGGCCTGCCAATGTATGCATGAATGGATATAACAAGCAATGAAACAAAGAAAAGCAAGACCTGGTGAATACATTTTATAAAAATAAAACCTTTAGCTCGTTGTAATTACCAATATAAAAAATAGCGTGAGGGAGTTGTTATATACATCTAATACCTGTTACTGTACCAGTAACAGTGAGCTCAATCTAAGCAGACAGAATCAGCAATACATTTACAGCCAAGCTTGCATTCACTGTTGGTATACTCACAGGTAAAGGCACAGACATGACCATGTTGCCTCCGTAGACAGCCGGTACATATAAAATGCTGGTGCCGGTGTGTGGATCTATTCTTTGTACCGGACTTGGGGACTTGCCCATGTTGGTGTGAGGTCCCAGGGGAGGAGTGTAAGCCCGGATAGGATTTCCAATAAGAACAGATGGATTGGGCTGAACTATTTAAAAAAAAAATAAAAAAAAATTAACCAGTGATCATTACATTTAATGTATTAATGTCTTAATTGTCCATTACCCATAACATTCCATATTTGTTTTTTTTACTTATTGAAATATGCCATCATATATAACAATATTGCAGATCATGGTTTATACTGTAAATAGCCAATTAACAAGAACCCAATACACTGTTTAAACATGTTCGCAAGGTCATTCCTATAATCTCACAGACTGGATGCACATGGATTTTGCACCAATTTACCTAATCCATCAGCTGGAAAGTGCTCTGTTTGGTTGTGATGGCCTTTCCCCTGGAAAAAGCAAAAAGGCAGCATTAAGATCCAATCCAGCAAGTACAGGAAAGTGAAAGCAAAGATTTAAACTGACATTGTGGAGGTAAAGCCTGTGCAAAGGAACCAGAAAGATACACTTCTCAAACAACTATTTTTGGATGGTGGCACAGACTGGGGTCTTGCCCTGGGACGAGAAGGTTGCACAGACTGGGGTCTTGGCCTGGGACGAGAAGGTGGCACAGACTGGGGTCTTGGCCTGGGACGAGAAGGTGGCACAGACTGGGGTCTTGCCCTGGGACGAGAAGGTGGCACAGACTGGGGTCTTGCCCTGGGACGAGAAGGTGGCACAGACTGGGGTCTTGCCCTGGGACGAGAAGGTGGCACAGACTGGGGTCTTGCCCTGGGACGAGAAGGTGGCACAGACTGGGGTCTTACCTTGGGAGGAGACTGCTGCTGCTGCTGTTTGGAGCTGTTTCCGGAATGCTGCTGTCTAAGTGCCCGAGGAATAAATTCAGGAGCCAGTGGATTAAGCACATAGGTTTTTTTCAACTCTAAGGCCTCGAGCTGAGCTTTGATTTGCTCGAAGGTGATCCCATGAAGGCTTTTATTTTCGTGACAAATTGTGATGAATTGCTCCCAAAACTTCCTGCAAATAAAACCGTGGATTATAAAGGCAATTCGTACCGTCTAGGAGAAAACGTTCTGTTGGGATGAATTCTGTTAGGTTATGAGAGAGATACTTCCTGAGGGTGTAATTACTAAAAGAGGTAGACTCTTGAGTATTTATATTAGATAGGAACTTTATTGGGAGGGTCAACTTTATGTTATTAGTGGGTCAAATTCTGTGGAATCAATAACGATATTTCTATGTGGGTACGGATGTTAACATGTACATTCACAAAGGGTGATGGTGTTAGCAGGCATATTCTCTGGCACCAACTCTACAAAGCTAGAACCATAGCTCTTCTATTAGATATGCAAACTGAAACACTACCCCAACCACACGAAGCTTTAACTCAGTACATCATCAACACAGCTAAAAGTGCAAAAAAGCTCCCATTATCACAATTTTAACCCAAGACTCCACAAAGAATTGTCCCATACCAATAAAGGCCCACTTCCAAACTTCACCAAGATTTGCTCAAGATGGGACAACTACGGCAATTCATTAAATCAAACATATGCACAAACGGACTACTAGCTGGGTCTTAAATGCATGATTTCCACAACAAAGTATGGCACCTCAATAATTGCCTCAAAAAACCACCAAAAATATATATACACAAATAAATTATTACACGATTTTATTTATAAAGGGATCACTGACATCAAATATAACACTTTACAGGAATCACATCACAATGCAACCACTGGTGAGGTTGGACAGTAAGGAATACTGCTGCTTACTCTAACTGCAAAGCACAGTTGCTATTATATCCTATAAAAGAAGGGCATTTAGTCTGAGGTCTGGATCACAGCGAAGGTGCAGATAAATTAAAGGTGAACACTTGAAATGTTAATAAAGGACTGCCTTAAGAGACATTTCAATTGGTGCGGTAAGAAAACGCAATAGAAATGTTGCACGTCTATTGCGGCTGGTTCACTGACTGTACAGGCCGCTAGCTTGTACCAAATCGTGTAATCTGTTAAATATTCTAGTGGTGGCACTCTGTACCCCTCTCACAGCCAGCTGTGTCATAGGATTACTGCTTTAAACCTGAATAACCTCATTACTCCTGCTTGCTGTACATCCTGCAAACAGACTAATTGCTAATCTATAAGGGATAGTCATCGCTCATGCAAATGTAAACCAATACTAAAAAACAAATTTGTCTGGCTAAGCGACAGCGAGAGAGTCAGTTAAGGTAAGCAGCTGAAAAATAGAAGATAAATTGCTCCCTCTCCTACCCCCGCCGTTCTGTTTTTGTTTTCTGTTCGTGTGGCACCATTTAGAGATCTTAGTAAACTGCAGCATTAAGGGAATTCTTTAACCTGTTCCAAGCCAGTAAGCAATCCTATTAAGACAAACAGCAGCCCAACAGTTAACCCCCCAGTTGACGAAGCACGCGGCAGAAACAAACTATGTAACATAAGCATAGTAGCGGCATGCACTATTAAATAATCTGCTTCATTAAGCTAAAGTTGTTTTGGTGCCTTATGGTGTCCCTTTACGTAAGGGGGGTTGGGGGTTCAAGTCCAGTCTGATCTGATCAATATATGCTTGCAATTTAGTTATTATTTGTGTTGGGTTTATTCTAAAATTACAAGGGTCTGTTCCCATGTATTCTTTTTTTCCAGAAACTTAATAGATTTCTAACAATCCGCATGCCTCTTCCAATGTATAATAGTATGAAATCTGAGCTGCATTTGGCAACATTCATTCAATGAGAGTCAATTACAGCTACATCTGCTAACTCTTATTTTACAAGAATATTAATCTGAGGGAAATATTGCTCCAGCCAGACTGGGGAGACTATCAGGTGAGAGAACTTTAACCATGTTAATTGATATTGTATACACAATACTGTATAGAAGAGGTCGTTCTCTTTGCAGTTCCTGGACATGATTTTTAAAATGGCCAGAACGCAACATGTTAGACGAAGCAGAGAAGACAGAAACCCGGCAAATAGTTACACAGCATCAATTCCAAGAGCCAGTAAATGAGGAGAATCATTCTCTTGAAAAGACCGACCATCAGCTGGTGCACTTTCGCCAACATCCATGCAAACAAACACCCACTACATACACAAATCAACTTTTCTCCTGGAATCTAATGATTTTTCAGAGATAGCTGACAAAACCCACCCAGAAACCGTGTTGGTTAAGACAGAGTGCCACTCCACACAGTCAGCTGCCTGGCTGCACTAATTTGCTCTATTTAGGAAGCAAGCTGCAGGCAATCGCTCTCATCATTCCTCTGTCCCTTTCACAGCACTTTGAAGACTAAATGCTTTACCTGCAAATGATTTGTTTACATAGCACATCAATTGCACATTTACTATTTCATTGTATTTTACTGAGGGACGCAATTAGCTCAGCTTGGTAGCAGAAATGGGTCTACAAATTGTATCCTTATCCAAAGCCAATATATCCGCTTGGTAAATATTTAACAGCTCTTGTCACACAATCCAACAGCCAACTAAAAGTTAGCCACCTGCAGCGATTTTATTTTTTTCATTTCCAAGACATAACATTGTGCAGGCAATGTCTGCTAGCATCGACTACAAATTTAAATGTCCTACAAATCCCTGAGCTCGGGCTGGGAATATGCAAATTGCAAAGAATCAGTGGGGAAGAAGGCCCAATGCAAAGGCAAGGCTCGAGGATGGATGATGTCTGGACCCAACAGAAAAGCCCAGATTTGAAGCTACGCAGTTAAAAGTTCTTTATCTAGTGTCAAATTTAACAGGAAAGTCCTCGAAAAGCAAGGCACAACATGCTTGGCAATAAAGTGTAAAACTACAAAACACAAGAGCGCACACTGTCAAGCATAGATGCATTTTCTACAGTCAAAGTGAAAAGGGGAAGGTTGCAGTAAATTGTGCTAAATGCTGCAGATGTCAGTGCAATGTAAGTTGAGCAATGAATTGGTGGTTATGGTGCTGGTAGAGGCCCTTTTATATATGCCAAGAGGTAAAGAGAGGATTTGAAAGACCTCATACCTGCACCGTCCGATGGAACAAAGAGCAATGGGATCCCCAACAACAGCTACTAGGGACTGTGCCCGAGTGATGGCGGTGTTCAGCAGCTTGTAATTTGACAGGAAACCATAATCCAGGTCCTCGGTTGAATCCTCTAGGAGCTGCTCCTTCCTTTTTATTGGAGTCTGCTTGTGTTTGCAAGTGTGCCGTGTTCGCACAGTGCTGAGAAACAAGACTCTGAACTGTTTCCCTGGGGGTGGGGGGGAAACAAAACATATCATGGAAACTGAGTAATTAATGGTTAGCTACCAAGTACAGAAATGAGGGGTCAGGTATAGAGAGCAGAAAAGGCAAACCAAGGCAGGCCCAAGGGTAGGGGAGTGATACTATGGAAGGCAGGCCCAAGGGTAGGGGAGTGATACTATGGAAGGCAGGCCCAAGGGTAGGGGAGTGATACTATGGAAGGCAGGCCCAAGGGTAGGGGAGTGATACTATGGAAGGCAGGCCCAAGGGTAGGGGAGTGATACTATGGAAGGCAGGCCCAAGGGTAGGGGAGTGATACTATGAAAGGCAGGCCCAAGGGTAGGGGAGTGATACTATGGAAGGTAGGCCCAAGGGTAGGGGAGTGATACTATGGAAGGCAGGCCCAAGGGTAGGGGAGTGATACTATGGAAGGTAGGCCCAAGGGTAGGGGAGTGATACTATGAAAGGCAGGCCCAAGGGTAGGGGAGTGATACTATGAAAGGCAGGCCCAAGGGTAGGGGAGTGATACTATGGAACACAAACACAAGACAAGCCCAAGGCAGGCTAAGAGGTCAAAATTCAAGAAGTACTTTAAGCACCCTAACCACCCTAGTGATTGTGGTACCAGGAGTCCTCCGGTGCCATATTTTGGTAAGGAGTCAACAGTGCTGCTTTAATGAAATTACAAAGAATACATGAAAGAAAAGGCTTACCCTGAACATTAAGTACTCTCTCCACGCTGACCTCTGATAGACGTTTCTTGCGCAGCTCAGCCCGAATTCTGAACACTTGATCGGCGTAAGGCGATACCACTCCAATGCTGCCGTCATCTAGCTTGCCCCAGGCCACTGGCCACTTCCTCCGCAACTCCTCAACTCGCTCGACTACTTCAAAAACCTAAAATAGATAAATCAGGATAAAAGTAGCATTTTACAAAACCAAAACAATTTAGAGAATTCCCAATAATGTTAAGTAGGCAACCGTGGGCACTCCAGATGCTACAGACTATATTTCCCTTGACACTTTGCCAGCATTATGAATGCAATAGCATTTTGGGAGATGTAGTCCACAACTTTTGGAGTGCCCAATGTTGCCTGCCCCTGCACTAAGGGTATGGGTGTGAACAATATACAGTGATCTCGGGAGATGGCCAAAACCAAGGTCGGTCTAAGACTCTGCGCTACCTTGCTGCTCCTCCACTGCCTCAAAAAACAATTCACTGTCCCCAGTCATTTCCCCTAAATCACTGAAGCACCACCAGACACAACCCACCAAAATCAATGCCCCTCCCCCCATATCTTGCCCACCATCAACTAAACTGCCACCCAGCCACATTGCCTTAATTCAATGCACATCCAGCTATATCTCAGCCAGCAATACTACCTCCAATTCATTCACACTCTTCTACCATACACTCACTAAGCCATACTTCCTCCCCATCACAGCTTCTTCCAGTCATACTCTCTCATCCAATTCACGGTCCCCAGGCATATTTTAGTAAATCACTAAAATTGCTGTAATGGTTTTAATAATAATAATTGCTAAACTGAAGTTCAGCTTTCATTGATATCTGACCTACAAAATCATTAATCTCTATAGGGGTCACAGTGTGATTAGCTACAACATGCTAACAGAATGGCGGCATAGGTTAGTAACGATTTCCTATTCCTAAACAGAGCTACAGTTTGGAAAAGTTAATGGTTTTGCCATGACAAACTATGCTGGAAGACCAGTTGGATACAGTGCTTACCATCCGGTTTTACCATAGGCCTTTAAGCATATGACAAAGGGGTACGGAATGGAGCCCATGTAAGACTGGGTTTTGTTCGGCATGACAAATGTTTTCTAGAAATCGTACGATGAGGTACGCAAAATCACAAAAGAAAATTAAAATAAATCAAACATGGTGAGGCAAAAATAAATAAAATGAGTGCATTTTACACGGAATGACACCTATACAATATTTTAGCATTGGTTTGAGTGTATTACTGAAAAGGGCGTGACTGACAGCAAATGAAGGGAGTTAAATGTACACACAATCAAGGCTCTCCATGCATTGGCAATATGCCATTCCTGTACCGATTAATCAATACCTAGCACTGCAGTACATGAGACTAAAATCTGTCTGCTTTGACAAGATCGTGAAGACCTGGGAAGTCCCCACACATGAACTATGCATGGATTGCTCCAGAAAAGGGGCAAACTGCCTGTAAGGTACACAAAAATACTAAAAATGCAGATTCAGGCTCAAGTGTGCACCCTGCCAGACAGTTCTATGTAAAATGGAACAGGTTCCGGACACTGATAAGACACTAAAGAAAAATTAACGTGGGATCTGCACGTTTGCTGTAAAACTGCAACTCCAATGAGAATTTACCAGTACTTAGCATGACAAGTCATCGTGTAGTTCTGCAACAAACGGGTCTAACATGCAGATCCATCTAATCAAAAATGTGATATTATATGAACGGCTTATAAAATCAGAGATCCTTTGAATAAGTGATCACTACATAGATTTATTTACATTCTCTCATGTTATCAATGATGAGCAAGGACAAAAATGATTTGAATTGTTTAATTGTGTATGCCTGGACCCTCTATATTAAAAAATCGTTAAAGGTCGTTATTAACCACCTGGCCGCTATCACAGACTTCATTACTGTCTATAGCAACACTTTCCTCTAGGTACCTTTCATAATCAGAAGCTGCTTGGGGTATGAGGTACATATCCCTTTAAAATCTGAGCATTTTGAGTTTTTTTCCCCAACAGTAACTTAAAGGCTGAAGAGCTGTCAAGAAAGACAAATTGTTACTCTAAATTTGTGAGAACAGATGACGGGCTCATTTATGACAATTTTTACAGAAGAGGTAATTCTGTTTTAACTTCTGCTTTAAGATAGATTTTCAGGCCTGTTCAAAGGCAAATCTTTACACCTTGATTAATGTTCCTTTAAACAGCAAATACATTTTTAATTGCATGCTCTTTATCACTGTCATGGCCATAGAGTGTATAGGCTTGAAGGAGATTATATTCCAACACACTGAAATAAACAAACAAAAAAAACACTTTTAGGTAAGCAAGTCAATAAAATAAGCTCCCCGTAAAGTGCAGGAGAACAGGTTGGTGGCCCAATCGATAGGAAGTACCTCAGCGTTATTATAAAAGGCGGTGCTGTTTTTCTCCTGGACGTCCTCGCCACGTGCGGTGAAAAAAGTCAGTGGATAGAACTCTTTATGGGCCGGCTGCTTTCCACTGGCCATCAATTTGCCTTCATAAAACAGCTCAGATGTGTAACTGTTCACAAACACATACAAAAAGTAATAAACAACCACATCATAACAAAACAGTAAACAAGTCCAAAGCCTGCACAAGTCAGTTATATACAAATATGTGAACTGAATATGACACCGGTAACTAATGTGAGGCTGGATCATACCCACACCCCTCACATGATTGTCAGTCAGACTGAGGAGTAAAATGTAAGCTCACATCTACAAGCAGGCCAAGCTTTGTATACCAGGAATAGTAAAAACATAGCCCCACCATCTGTTGTAGAACTGAAACCCAAAAGGGATGAAACGGCTATCAAACGTAATGCACAATGAAACCAGGGTAACTTACTTTTGGCCAGAACAGGTCTATGCGCTATAAACGAATCACAAAAGGTACATTGTTAAACCAGTAGCAAAGAAAAGTTTGGGCACACAATCGATGGTATCTTGTAGCTTTTATTGAGTCAAAAGAGAACGCTTTGTTTTGTTAAAAGGTGACTTGACAAAGGTCTACTTGTGAGACCAAAACATTGTGCTGGTCTTTGAACTGCTAAAAGCTACAAGTTACCAGCGGTTGTGTGCCCAAACTTTTCTTTGCTACTGAAATATTGGAGATTTTTGCCCTCCTTTCTTCTTAATTTATAAAAACCTGTGCTGTAGAAAGTGTAGCCTTTACACAATAACAGGTCTTCCTGCAATCACAGGATATATTGGTGGAGTTTTACTTGCCAAATCAAGTCCACTGTGTAACAGCAGTTATTAACTTTTATTATCTCACCATCCTTTAATTAGTAATTTTACGCTCTGCAGTAGTGAAAGCTATTCTTTGTGAATGGATTTCTCCGGTAAGAGAGGAGTTAAGATTTGCAGTCTTGATTACCAGTTTTTGGGTTTCACAGCAGGCAGTCATGCTTTTACACTCAGATTTATTGCTGTCATATACAGTTTACGCCTCTCTGATTTATGGCTTTCCAAGAACTGCTTTAAGTGACAGAATTTATGAAGTGAATATCTGGAAGGCAGGCAGATCGTTTTTAAAATGATGGATATGTTGGTTTTAAAAATGTCACTGTCTTTACTTAAAAATAATGTTGAGACATCCAACTTCTATATAAACACTTCAAATCTTTCATCGAGATATAGTGAGGGTTGGGGGGGAAAAAAACTGACATTTTAAGAGGGTTTACAAAACAAACTATTTTGAAACACGATTCTCTGCTTTTTAGTATGAATGCTGAAAACTAACATTCTCCAACACTATTCATTTTTTGTAGAGCTGTATTTCAGTGGTGTCTTATTTGATTTAATTAAGATTACTTAAGCAGTTTGTTTATCTAACTCAAGCCACTACACTGCATTATCTGCATGAATGTCGCTAAGCCTAAGAGCTTCAGGGCTTACTTGTTTAACTACTAGGAAAACAGAAATTTTACTTACCGTAAAAAAAATTTCTTAATATGGTGGCAGTACTATTGGGTTTTGCTCCTCCCTGTGGACAAGACATCTAACAAGTAATTAATGATCAAAAAGACCCTCCCCCTTGCCCCATAAAATGCTGTACCACAAATCCTACCCCAATACGTGACAAGAAAAAGAAACAGACAAAAATGTACTGCAAAAATTATTTAATAAAGAAGGAGGGAAGCCGTACTGCCACCATATTAAGAAAAAAAGAATTTACGGTCAGTAAAATTTCAGTTTTTTCTGTCATTTGGTGGCAGTACTATTGGGATATAGCAAGATCACCATCCGGATGGGACTTAGGCCACCACAGCTTGTAACACCTTAAGCTCAAAAGCTGCTTAGAGGCAGAGAATATGTCTAGCCGATAGCGCTTGATAAAAGTGTTAAAAGACGACCAGCATGCTGCCTTGCAGATGACCTCTGGAGATGCAAGTGCTTTTTCTGCCCATGAGGTAACCATTGCTCGGGTGGAATGGGCCTTAAGTGTAGCTGCAGACTGAAGACCTGCTGTAGAGTACGCCAATTCTATAGCTTGAATGAGCCAACGGGATAAAGTGCCGCGGGAAGCCACATTCCCCTTGAGGTGACCCTGAAAATTAATAAACAGATGATCCGAAATTCTGAATTCTTTCGTTCTGGCTAGGTATACAAGTAAAGCTCTTCTGACGTCCAATTTCTGCCATTTGAGCTCTTGAGGAGATGAGGCTTCGCTACAAAACTAAGGTAAAATAATCGGCTGATTAATATTCTTTGAAGATAAAACTTTAGGTAGAAAAGACGGTCTTGGATAAAGAACAACCTTGTCTTTGTGGAAAATGGTGAATTCATCCGAGGAGGACAGAGCGTGAAGTTCTCCCACTCTTTTAGCCGATGTGATGGCTACCAGAAATGAAACTTCTTCCAAAGTGATGAACACTAAGAGCTTGTAGGACCAGGGCTAAATCCCAAGTTGGAAACACTGATCGTCTAGGCGGTCGTTTGAAGATGATGGACCTGAACAATCTTCTGATGAAAATATTGGAGGCCAAATCCTTAATTAGAAAAAAAACTTAAGGCTGATATTTGACCTTTGAGCGTAGAAACTCTCAGACCAGCTACAAAACCACCTTGTAAAAAATGGAGAATGTTATCTATGGATGGATGTAAAACCAGGCACTGGTGTTCCTTACACCAGTGGAGAAACTTAGACCAAATCCTAAAGTATATCTTAGACGTAGACTTTCTAGTAGCGTGAAGTAAGACCTCTATTCTGTCTTCTTGTAAACCGTGGTTACGAAGGATTAGCCTTGCAGTAGCCAAGCCGTCAACCTGAATATTTTTAGAACTTCCAAGGGCAGGTCCCTGTTCACAATGAGGAAGTTTGATATGGGAAGTTCCCAATGAGCGATGGCCATCTTCTTTACAGCCGAAAACCAGACTCTGTTTGGCCAATATGGGATTATTGCCAATACTCTCGCTCTGTCTGTTCGTATCTTGAGACGGACCTTTGGGATAAAGGCAGAGGTGGAAACACGTAAGCCAGACGGAAGTTCCACTCTATTGATAGAGCGTCTATCCATTTGGGTTGATCTGTTCTGAATAGGAAGGCAAAGTTGTAAACCTTTGTGTTTGAAGCTCTTGCCATCAAGCCTACTTCCGGAAATCCAAATCTTTCTGTCAGGATTCTGAAAATTTCCGGGTTCAAAGACCATTCTTTTTGATCCCACTTCCCTGTGCTTAGATCGTCGGCTATTACATTGTCGCTCCCTCTTATGTGAGCTGCCGAAATGTCTTCCAGATTTCTTTGTGACCACTCCATAATTTCTGCACAAAGGCTGTAAAGCTTCTTTACTTTGGTTCATCCTTGGCGATTGATATATGAGACAACTGTGCGATTGATTGAATCTTCACCGCTCTTTGTTGTAACCAAGGCCTGAGGTGATGTAGAGCGTAAAGAACTGTAAGTAATTCCCTGAAGTTTGCGGATTCTTTCGCCTCCCTGACGGACCATATTCCTTGGAACACAGTGGAGCCCAAATGAGCTCCCCAACCTGTCCTTGAGGCATCTGTAGTGACTATTATCCAGTTGGACGAAAAGACAATCCTGAAAGGTACTCTGAGGTTTTCCACCAAGTAAGCCGAGTCTTTACCTGAGGAAAAACAAGAAACTTTTGTCTAAATCTTCCTTTTTTGACCAGGTTGTCAGGATGTTCCATTGTAGAGGTCTGAACTCTGATCTTGCCCATTTGACTGCTGAAAAAGTGGCAGTTAGAAGGCCCAATACACCCATGCCCTGTCTGAAGGAACAACTTTCCATCCGCTGGAGATTGTAAATCGCCTCTCGGATTTTCCTCCTTTTTCGTTTGGGAAGATGAATCGACATGGAGACTGAATTGATTCTGAATCCGAGAAACTATTTCTCTTGTTGGAATGAGAACTGACTTCTTTAGGTTCAAAATCAAGCCGTGGTTTTGAAGAAATCTGATAGTGACCAGCAGGTCCCTGAGTGGCTGTTCTTCTGTATGTGCCATGAGAAGCCAGTTGTCCAGATATGGGATAATCGATATTCCCAATTCCCTCAAATGAACTGTGAGAGGAGTCAAGATTTTTGTAAATATCCTTGGGGCGGATGACAGACCCCTGAACTGGAAATGATCGGTGGATCTCCCTCTTTTTATCGCAAATCTTAGAAATTTCCTTGAAGCGGTAGCAATCCAAACATGCAGATAAGCATCCTTCAAGTCTATTTTTACCATAAAGTCGCCCCTTTGTAGCAGAGGACAAATAGAAGCGATTGATTCCACGCAAAATCTTTGATAAGGGATAAACCGGTTGATGTTCTTTAAATCCAAAATGGGACGAAAAGAGTGCTCTGGTTTTGAAACCAGGAATAATCTTGAATAAACTCCCCGAAATCTTTGTTTTACTGGTACTCTACCACCTTTTTTTTGCAAAAGAAGCATGGTCTGAGAAAATAGGGCTTGTGATCTTTTTGAAGACTGGTAAGTTGATACCAGAAATTTTGCTCTTGGTTTCTCCGTAAATATAATCTTGTGTCCCTGCTGGATAAGACTTAGAACCCAAGGATTGCTTGTGATTCTTTACCATATTTGAAAAAAACGTTGGGAGTCTTCCTCCCACACTTCTGGTGTCAGAAACGTTTATCTGAAGGATCTTTTAACATCACCTCTCAAATCTCTGATTTTTATCTCCTCTTTGAAAGAAATGCGGTCTCTCTTGATATGATCTCCTGTATTTATATTTGCATACTCAGTGCAAACTAGACATTTTGATTTTACCGTAGCCTTTCTAGGCATGGAGGTTGCCAGTTTTTCCTTGTCCATATCAGGATGAGCTGGGCTAGACATATCTGTTGGAGAAAACATAAATGAAGGCTTAGATTGTTTGATATTTCCTTTAAGTTTTCCAGAGCATATTTTAAAGTAAAGATTTCTTTAATCTTACCTCAAAATACCTCTGAGCCGTGTGGGGGGCAGGTGACACGGCGTACCTCTTCTGACCTGCATCCATGTAGTCAGTGGGTACATGCACAGCTCTATTTATACACCAGAATTAAAATTTTCGTGTTTTTTTTTTTTCTCTCTGTACCTTTAAGCTTCTGGTCTACGCATGCGTTTTAGCGCACCCGGAAGCTTAGGTGGAACGCATAACCACCCGGGTGTGCGTTCCACCGCTGTGCACCTGCTCAGGACAAACTCCGCCTCCAGGAAGCATTGCCGGAACCATTCTCGGCATAAAGAGACTAACCTCTACTTGCTCCGTAATGCTGGTCAGGAGCATGGTCTCAGCTTACTGCCCGGGCAGCTCTCGGACCGGGTCCCCCAGACAGACAGCCCGTGTGTCTCACCCTGTGGATGTCCTTTCCTTCCCTCTCGGGACAAAAAAGGAAACTGGGGTAGGATTTGCGGAACAGCATTTTATGGGGCAAGGGGGAGGGTCTTTTTGATCATTAATTACTTGTTAGATGTCTTGTCCACAGGGAGGAGCAAAACCCAATAGCACTGCCACCATATGACAGAAAAATATATTTAAATATTCAAGCTTGTATTTCCTTTCATAATGTATGGTGTGGTCAACTAATTTTGTGTAAGCAGAGTCATGGCTACATTTATGCTGTCATTTTCGTCGAGAAATACCTTAAAGGGACACTAAAGACAACAAAACTATTTTAGCTTAATGAAGCATTAGTGTATAGGCAATACCCCATTAAGTATCACTGATCAATTCTCTGCCATTTTGGAGTTAAATCAACCCTAGCCACACCTCCCGGCTTGCATAGCCTTCCTAAACACTTCATGTAAATTGTGATCTATCATTTAATCGTTCTTTATTGCACAGTCTATTGAATTTCTTAACTCCAGTACTGTTAATCGCTTGCTAGACCTTGCAGGAGCCTCTTGTATGTGATTAAAGTTCAACTTACAAAGCAAGTTAACATCTGACTGAAAATGAAGCCTTTTTTCTCAAGCAGGCTTGTGTCAGTCACAGCCAGGGGAGGTAGGGTTATGGTTTCATTAACAGAAAAAAAGGTGATTTAACTCCTCAATGGCAGAGAATTTAGCAGTGAGACTTCAGAGGCATGATCTATACAGAAAAACTACCTTTCAGTAGCTAAACTCTACGTTTATGGTTTACTCTCCGTATAATAATTCAAGGTAACACTAGCTATGTATTTCCTTAATTGATTATCTTTGTATAACTTCACAATAATGTGATTTATTTATCGATCTACACTGGTACGGTTTTCTGTTTGTACTATGTTCCCGTCTCAATAAAAATGAATTTAAAAAGCGTGGGGGATAAATGATCTGAAAGTAGAGCAAGGGGTACGAACATTTAGTTTGTTGCCATGAAGACTTCTACAATTTACTAATCGCATTTCAAGTATTTTTTTTATTTTAGCACTGAATCTATTTTAGCTGTTATTAAAATAAATTGCTATACTGTGGAGTGGAAGTAACTTGCAGTTCATAAATCATTTTGGAGGGGGATAAATAAAAAGGTAAAGATTTGTTGCTGTTCATCATACCGGGAGATCAGGGATCTATCATTGGGCCTTTGTAGACCTCAGCATGTACTGTATACAATGTATACTTTGAGAACATACTAATAAAGAAATTGTGTACACTCCTTTTGTCTTTGCAGAATAAACATAACTGGTGCAGAACTGTACATGAAAAGTACTATTTGTATGTTAGGAAAAACACTCAAAGAAAAAGCTGTAATGCTCAAATCCAAGCAAATCCGCTCTTGATCCTTGTGAGGTCAACAAAACAGAAGCCATTTATTTGTGTATTAACAAGTAGACCAGAGGACCCAGTGAGAAGTAATAAATACATTCACTGGTTGTGTGTCAGATTATTCAGCCCTCTGAGTATATACTCTCCATTATAACAAGCAAAGTAACTATGCAGTTCACTGGTTATACATATATAAATGTATCGCCCCTAGGTTTATATTAAGAGTGTAAGTTATGGGTGGTAATAATACATGGCCTTTGGAATGTTCTCTATAGAACGCCTGTAATTTAAAATACAGCCATATAAAATAATTACTTTGCATTAGCTAGACATGAAGTAACTGTGTAATTGTAAATACATATAGATCCTAATAAATAAGCATACAAACTCAGTGAGTACTCAGGTAACTGCAGGTCTAGGCTGGCTGACGCCTCTTGCAATAGGAAGTATTTAAAGATTTGGGTTTAGCAGAATTAATTTTAGTAGACTTTCTATAACAATAGAAGTAGGCTATGTAAATAATTTATTAAAGATTAATTAACCCAGTTTGAAAACTATTGGGAACTATCACCAACCAATGACCTATCGAGATATCAAAAGCAAAGACCCACCAGTGTCAGCTCAGTGATATCTTTGGACTTAGAGACACTATAGTCAACAGAACTACAGCTTAACGTTGTTAGGCAGGCCACCTAAAAGGTGGCTTTAACACTATAGGGTCATGAGTACATGTTTGTGTTCCTGACCTTATAGTGTTTCTTAATATATCGTTTAAAGGACAGCAAGAGGAGAGCCAGACAGTAAGTTGTGTGCTGGCCTCGTTCACACCTACTTGATGATGGCTTCGTGAGAGCGATAGTTCTCACAGAGGAGAATCCTGCAGGGAAAGTCCACTGGGTAATGCTCGTATAACCGGTCAAGTAAAGAGACATGAAGGTTTCTCTCTCTCGCAAACTCACTGTAGACAAAAGGACTGAGCTGGAAGACAGATGTGGAACAATTACTCCAAAGTGCAGCCATTAAATCTTTTTTAAGACAATGTGGTAGTCTGCCTTACTACCCAGGTGAGTCTCATATTCCCTTACCTGCATGTGGTCTCCTGCCAACACCACCCTGGTGTGCTTATTCGCCAAAGCAAGGGGCATAATAGTTTCACACTCCATAGCTTGAGCAGCTTCATCTAACAGGATGTGAGTGAAGAATCCTAAGAGGGGAAAAAACAAGCCAGAATGTTTCAAGGAGGATAACACAGGAGCACAGCGCTAGGTTTGAAAGAACAGGTGATATAAATTTCTTAGAGACAAAGATGGCTATCTAGCAGCAAGAATTAAAAAAAACAAACAAACAAAAAAAAACCTAAAACTAATAACTTTTAAAGAACAGCTTTAGGGATAAACAGTGTGTCCCCTCATTACAAAAGTATTGATTATAAGAGACGGATTTTAGGCAGAAGGCTATTCCTCTCAGAGAAGCAATGGATTCAACACCTCTCTATAAGAAGCACTGCTGGCGCAGCGTACTAAAACGTGCCCTATTTCCCAATGCTTCTATATGATAAATATTCTACTGGCTGTGAGATCCTCAGTACTAATGAACTCCTGACATTCAATGCAGAGCTGCAGTGAGTGATGGTCTCACACGGAATTAGAGAAGAGTAATATTTTTACAAGGGAACGGCTTGCAGGGAGGCAATGTTTACATTGCAGGGTTAACCGACCTCTAGTGGCTTTCTTTCCAAGTCACTTCCTCTGCTATAACCAAATCAAACTATTAAAGATCAAATGATGCTCGCATGCGCACTAGCCTCCAAAAGCTTCCCAATGTAAAAGAATTATATTGGACGAGATCATAAATTTTGATTATCTCAGCCAAGGAGGCGGAACAGCATTGTGAAGACTGGTGCCGCATAGGCTGAAAGTAAGCACCTGTCACACTGGAAACCTTTAGACGAGTGATCTGAATGAAGGGGAATTTAGAGAAATTGATCGGGAAGTGGTTATTGTGTTTTGAACGAGCCTATAAAGTTTTAAGAGTTTTCTGAGGTTTATTTTTATTTTCACAGCTGTATATATGTCCTATCAGTAAAATTAACAAAGAAGAATAATTTATACGGGTCTTAAACACCAGCACAACGGAACATTTTCCAACAGTGCATTTAAATAAAACAGAACAAATTAACCAACAAATGAGCATGAAAGACACATACAGGGCAGAAAGCACCAGCAAAGATTACACCGTAATGGTACGAAAAGATATGTCAAATTGAGCGGTCGTATTATCGACGACTCAAACAATCATACATAAAACCAAAACAGAACATTTCCATAAACTAATGACAGCCGTTAATTACTGCCAATAATTAATGCTCAGAACTAAATACAGCAATTGCGGACATTATCCATCAGGAAACTGCACAAAGAGTGCATAAAATCAGAGGACAAGGAAGTCTTCATGATTAATATGCAGTTATAGAAAATCAATGTTTACAGCCATCCATGCACTTGTGAAGGTGGGTTTGGGAGCATGTTTCATCCAGGATAAGAGAAGGTTAAGATGTAGTATCATTCACAAAATGGAAGATTACAGATACAATAATATAATAGACCATGTCCCCTCCAGCAACTACATGACCGATAAATACCTTTTCCTTCATTAAGCAGATTGAGGCTGCATAATGAGCGTTACATTGATGTAACCTCACACATTACCTTACCAGATCAATAGCAAACATTTTACTGCTAATGCACGTTCTTTATACAGATCAAAGAAACGGAGGGCCAGGAAGCCTGGAATTCTACTTTCAAACAGAACATTAAGAAGCATTTTCAAGTTGCCTAGAATTCAATGTGTGATTAGGAAAAGGGCTGGGAAATGGAAGGTTGTGCTTTGATATACACTAGACTAATAATGGCCTCCATTGTGCCAATACTAGACTAATGTCCTGTTACAAAAATACAAAGTATATGACAACACATGGCAAACACAGATGTCATATGGAGAAGTTAAAAATCTCTTCAAGATGAGATTACTTCAAAGCTTAAATACGTTTCTAAACAGACATAAGCAAGGCAAGCTTTGTGGTACAATCTTAAGATTGAGAAGGTCAACCAGCTTACCAGGCTCGAGATCAAGCTGGCAGAGGTACTGGGAGGTGCTGAGAGTAACTACAACAACTCGATGCCTTAATATGTCCTCCTTCTGTGGCATCTGAAAGGTGGAATGTGTGGCGGAGATCAGACAGTACTGATGCACGACTGGGTGTACAGTCTTTACCCAGCGATTCCGGAAATAAACCCTGTAGAAAAAGGAAACACAAAAATGTAAAAAAAACAAAAAACAAACACAAACAATATGAAAATAAAAACCATCCATACAACAAGCCCATCCGCCAATAGTGCGATTACGTTTCCTTAACCGTGATCTTCATTTAGGAAAATTTTACGAAATACATGAAGTTTAAGGAACGGACAAACAAACTTGCAATTTGCAATGAGAAAAAGATCATGGGCAGGTAAAGTGGGCTTTGGCAAAGGCCAATGTTCTCCTAAATTTACTGTTAACTTTAGCTCTTAAATGGTGTCCCAGGAAGTGATCTCATACAGTTTGGTCATTAATGCAAACAGCCCAACCTCAAAACACAACACTTTGGCTTCTATTATATTCCTAATTATCATCATTCAATTTCACGAATGAAACTACTCATGTGTGCCTGTGCACAGATGCAGCAAGGCCATAGAAGTTACTTAGGGATTGTAGAGCATACAACATACTAAAATCTATTCAGTCCAGCGGGAATTTATATCTGAATCCACAGCATAGGAAAGCTGTGGATGGATTGTGTAGCATGCTGCCCCGCAGCCCATGTGGATGCATGCTCACTATGTGTATATTGCTCACGTATCACTGTTCTATAAAACTCTTACAAATAAAGATTAGCCTGTTTTTTTAATAAACTATACTGTTAACAAACCATTTGGACAAATACCTGAGTGGTCTTGCCTGGGGATTCCCTGTTTCTACATATGGATGCAAATAGTCCTTGATGTAGAGGTCAGCAGCACTGTTGGAATGGGTGCAGATAAGGACCCTACTGGAAAAACAAAACAAAAATAAAATGTAAACATAAAAAAAAAAAAAAAAGTTTTTGTAAAGAACAAGATGGAACCCCCCCCCGCCCCACCAAAAAACAGACACAAAGCAGAAGATTATAGCACGTGCGCGTACACACACACTATACACGAATCAGCCACAACATTAAAAGCACTAACCAGTGAAGTGAATAACATTATTACAACGGAACTTGTCAAGGAGTGGGATAGATTAGGCAGCAAGTGAACAGTCGGTTCTTAAATTCTATGTGTTCGAAGCAGGAAAAATGGGCAAGTAAAAATATCTGCTTAACTTTGACAAGGCTAGGTTGTGATGCCCAGACGACATGGTCTGAGTATCTCCAAAACACCAGGTCTTGTGGGGTGTTCCCAGTATGCAGTTGTTACTACCTACCAAAAGTAGTGCAAGGAAGGACAACCAGTGGACTAGCATCAGGGTAATGGGTGCCCAAGGCTCACTGATGCACATGGGGAGCGAAGACTAGCCAGTCTTGTCCAAATCGCACAGAAAATCTACTGTAGCTCAAACAACTGAAGAACATGGGAAATCTTGAGTCCTTGTATTTATGCTAATGTAATTGACAAGTACCACCTACCTAGAGAGTCTTGAAGACCACATACACACCTTCATAACAATGGTGTTCACTGATGGCAGTGGTCTCTCAGCAGGATAATGCACCCTGCAAAATTGTTCAGGAATGGTTTGAGGAACATGACAGTTATTAATAGTATTTAAATATCACCAGCTAATTCTGCCATGCTTTGCATTAAAAGGGGAATTTAACAGGGCGGAGCCTAGCTTCCAGGCTGATCAGACGTGCAGGAACCAAGCTCCAGACCAAAACTGCTAATTTGAGGGTAGAAACCCCCAAAAACCGGCACGTCTACTATCGGGAGGACGATAAACGAGGAGGGGACACCCGGGGGAACCGCCTGACACCCGAATCTCACCTAACAATAGCCAGGAACCCTAAAAACCTGCTAAGGCCTACTGGGTATCGAACCGAGGAGAGGCGGCCACTTTCCTCGCTAGAGAACTAGAACACAGGCTCAGCATACCTCCTAACTCCTAGGGGGACATCCCGGTCCCCACTAAGAGACTGAAGCACACACCACAAGCTACTGCCACTGGGCCTGACCGGGAAACCTGCCACAAGGCACCCTCAAGATGGCCGCCACAGCGCAATCCTAGCACAGCCCAGTAAACCAGACGGACCAAAGCTGGAGAGAGGCCTCTGAAGCCCGGTTTGAGGCTATTTTCCAAGCCTTCTGGGACCGCATAGCCAAGCGGGGACCCCAGCCTGCCCCTCCCGAAACGGAACCTACCTACCACACAGCAGCGGATGCCTGTCCCTCTTCTGGGCCGGGGGCCCAACTGGAGAAATCTCCAGGCCGCAGTACGACCACCCACGGGGAAGACCGCAAGCCGGAAACCCCGGGGACCCATGATCCGGCCTCCCGACGGAGGGGGATCCACGGACAGAGGGCACTAGCTCCTTACAAAGCCCGGAGCCGAAGAGACAGAGGCCTGTCATGCTGCACACAGCACTCGCAACGCGAGCAGGGCAACCCACGTTCCCGCATACCGGAAAGAGGCACTGGTAAAACAGACCTGGAAACGGACTCTCCACTGAGGCAAGCACGGGGCATTTGCTGAGGAAGGCGGACAACACATTCATCAGCCCACCTCCTGAAGCCTGACAACGGTCTGAGCCCTGACAACCCCACATGGACACTGCTAAATGTAATGTACACACAGGCTTACTCACACTATAGCTAGCAACGAAAATTCTCTATTCTATAGCTTGGGACTGTGAGTTAATCTTATCATACAGGCTGACGCTCCACCAGCTTGTTATACATAGATCCTACACTTCAGTGTCTAATAGCATCACACTAGCCTAGCATATTAACCATAAAAATGTGCACAATCTACCTGCCTTGCAATGTACACCTGTATTAACCGTGAGCTACCAACTTAACCCACGCTTTGACCAAGCTTGTTAACAGCATAAATACATACTTACAGTCAAAGCTACACTGTTAAACCTGCTTATGTTATTATAAAATTGTGCCTGATAATCGAGAGGGAAATGCTTTTAGGGCACTTCGAGTCTGCATGTACCATTTCTATGCACTGCAAAAATACAAATAAAAAAAATAAAAAAAGGGAAATTTAACAAATGCGACAATAACGGTTACATGAACAATAGGTAGAGGAGGACCCAGCTCAAATGAACTTACAATCTAAAGTTCAAGGTGTTGCCTTGGCCTCAATACTGATTGAGCATCTGTGGGGGGGTGCCGGATCAACAAATCAATCCATGAAGGCACAAACACGTAACATCCAGGATTGAAAGGATCTGCTGCTAATGTCTTAGTGCCAGATACCACAGGACACGTTCAGAGGTCTTGTGGAGTCCATGCCTCAATGCATCTGAGTGGTTTTGGCAGCAGAGGGGGACCTACGCGATATTACGCAGGTGGTTTTAATGTTGTGGCTGATCAGTGTGTATATATATAGAGATTAGATAGATACAGATATTACACTTGGTTACCAGACAGCAATAGTGATTTAATAGACACAGTAAACGTACACTGTAAAGGCATATTATAATAAAAACAAACTTGCAAGAAAACAAGACAAAACTAGAATTACACTGGATCTAATACAGTGATACAAAATATCCCCTCAACCTCAGAATGCCTTAATCCACGGGTCTCTATTTAGCCATTTCTTTAATCACGTAACCTGTCAATAACCCCAATGTACTAAGGTGCATTTAGTCTGGTTTCTGTTTAAATGGGCAGACATCCGCTTGGGAAATAACTAAGGCTGGTATAATTTGTGCAATTATATAGAACTCAGATTCCCCATCAATACAGCAGACACATTGTCAGTCACAGGATAATGAGCAATCTACAATGAATGAAAATTAACTCCTCATTATGAGATACAAAAGAAACAGGTATCAGGTTAAAAATACTTGTTTATACAGTATAAACAAACAATTGTCCAAAAAGGATAGGAATGTGGGTATTCTGAATAAGCCAATATATAGGGAAGATTAATCCTCTGATAGATAGAAAGTGTAATTAGCGCTAGTCCGATAAAATTTACCTGGTGTCTTGTTGTTTAAGGATGTGCTTCACAGCCTGCGCCAATGTAAACGTCTTACCAGTCCCATAAGGCCCAATGATGAGGACAGGGGGGAGCTGAATGGAAAGGGGGGTGGTTATGGCTAAGATAGCTTCTTTCTGCTTCGCATTCAACCGTGGATCCAAAAGCTCATCCCACTGCCTGCAAATTTATACATTTATCAGCACTCCAAATACATCTCCAAGAACAGTTATCCTCAAATTTATTTTAATTAGTTAAAATTGTAAATGGTTTTTAAAGAAACTCAGATGTCAGATTTCAAACCATGGCAGTATTATTCACCAACACCGGAGTCATTCACAGCCGTTTATTACGGAGCAGAATTAAAGTGATAACAACAAAACAAATTTGTAGTAACAAACAAGCATTGTGTAAAGATAACCCTTAACTAAAACATTTAGAATTTTTTTTTTTAAAGCACAGACCCCCTCAAAACACTAAATCAGAAAAAGAAACTACTGTACAGCACCAAGAAAAATGTTGGTTCTTTTTTAAATAATTATGTTAATGTACTATCCATTTAAGAACCGGTAAGATGTACATCCATAGTGTCCTGTTTAACACACAATGATTGGGAAGCAAGAATAGGCTTTGCAGCAGTGGCTCTCTGGGCTTGTCAAGTGTTGAATGGATTTATTAAACACTACATAAACTGTGTAAACAATACATGACAATCTGATGACTTGATGGCAAATTTTGATTTTAAGATTTGACTGTTTAAAACACAAACTATTGTATTTTATCAAATATCAAAGAGCAGTTTTAGCTCCATTGTGCTGAACAGTAACTAGCCATTTATTCCCCCTTTCTATTTAATTGCATAGCAGGCAGCAAAACGGATGTCAAAACACGGCATGCCTCTAACAAGCCCTCTATCTCGGGTTTAAATGGAGAATTTGAAAAGCGTAGGCCTTTGTTGGCTTTTAAAATATGAGTCAATCAGAAGGGCTGTTCTCCCATTAATGTTATCAGGGCCTATTGTTTAGATATAAAGCTTTATCTTGCCAAAGATGTTTGACAGAGAAAAAAAAAAAAAAAAAGTCAATCAAGGTTCTTCAAACAAACTGCTATTTTGCTGGATTCTTGTCCAAAACTATTTCTGCTCCTGCCAAAAATATATCATTTGCCTGACAGTGTCATTTAGAGATAAAGATGGCTGATATGTCATCCACTTTAAGGTTCGCAATTACATATGTCAGGTCTCCGGGGCAAACAGTGGCTTTATAGAAGTTTATAAACTCTAGATTGTCATCGTGTTCCGTGATGCTGGATACATATATATTAAAGCGGCACTGTCACTTTACAGGTTTTGTTTTCTAATTTATCCTCTCTGCCCCGACCTCCCTCCCCCCCCCACACATCCCTCCCTCCCCCCACCTCAATTTCTTCTTTTTTTAAATTTATTTTAAATTCACCTTAGTTACACATAAGAAAAAGTAAGAACTACCTTTTTATGGGGAGCGTGAAAATTGGCAATTTTTGGCAATGGGTGGAGCTTACGCATAGTTCCATTTCAGTTGCTAAGCTAATTTACCCACAATCCATCAGTCACAGAAGGGCAAACAGACATTATGGACAGAAGGAGAAGAAAATGGAGGCGCCCAGGTATTGAGATCCGGCACAAGGAAGAAAAGATAATACATATAAATTAATGCAAGTGGCAACGAGGGCAGTAATGTCATTAAGATACAAGGGCATAAGGAAAGGAAAACTGAAAGAAAGATAAAAATGACAGTGCCACTTTAAATGGCTTTCCTCATGTTTCAAACAAAGCGATATACTGTATATATGTTTTTCTTTTTTAGATGCAGAGAATTTGTGGAGTTCTTTTAGAGATGTAAAATGTTACTTTATAACCTTAATATGTTGTATTGCAAAGTGCATATCTTTCAAGCGGGGTGCCATTTTACAGAATGATTATTTCTATTGGGGACAGTTCTTTCGCCCCAACCCAGCAACACTACTTTCTACGATATCGTGCACATGTTTGGCATCTGCTAAAATCATGGGAACGAGAGATTGCTGTGCCATCAATGTAAATTAGTAAAAAGACAGTTTAGCTCCCTATTGGAATATGCCATGATCTACAAATAAAAAGAATTCCTTGTGAGAAATGGTTAAAACCAAGCATATTCTGTACTTAACTAGTTCTCTGGTAACCAAAAATGTCTCATACTAAAATCACAGAGAGCGTTAGGATTCTTAAAGACACGGTGAAAGATTGTATGTAACTAGCATCTAAACCATTATGCTCAATGCCAAGTAAAAGAAACGCTTCCTTTTGATTACTTCTCGGAATTCTAAGTGTGCAGCATGGAGATGGGTTTGAAAAGTCTTACACACCTAAGCCTGTTTATGTCTTTGCAGTCCTTCGAAATCATACAATCCTGAGAACTAAACATAGAAAAACTGAATCCATATATGCCTTACAATGCAGGCTGAATACCTGACAGTGTTAGAGTTAGGCTTAGCAGCAAACGTTCACATTACAATTAAAGCTTTTTATTCAGATTAAAACACATTTGAACTGACCATTAAATAAAATGAAAACAGTTAATTGTTATTTTAACACAGAACTCTCTTCTGGTTAACTCACGAATTCTAAAATTCTACTTAAGAGTGCACTGTTCTTCACAGTGTTTATTTTTAGAGATGTCGCGAACCGTCCGCGAACTTCTCGCGATCGGTTTGCGGCGAACTCCGGTCAGCTGACACATCCCGGCCAATCTCCAGCAGACTCTCCCACCTCCTGGACAGCATCCATGTTGAAGCTGCCTTCAACATGGATGCTGTCCAGGAAGTAGGAGGGTCTGGGAGGGAGGGTCTGCTGGAGATTGGCCGGGATGTGTCAGCTGACCGGAGTTCGCCACGAACGGTTCGCAACATTTTTTTTTTTTACACAAAATAAATAGAGGTTTGGTCATAGTTTGTCAAAACCATGTTTTCAATGACTAAAACGAGACCACTATAACAATAAAGTGATGACGAAAGCTTTAACAAAAACTAGTGATTTTAGTCAAAAGGCTGACTAAAACAATCAAAAATTGTTGTCAAAATGAATACTGCTACATTGCCTATTGTAGCTGTGTAGACACGCTTTTCTGTTGTGTTGAGTAAATTGATACTTTGCCTTTGTGTGAGACAATTGTCTAGGAAGGCATGCATGTCCTTTTAACAGAACTGTTGAAAGTTCTATATTCAGCTTAAGATAACAGCAACAGCATTTTACAGTCATTAGAGTTCATCTTTTCATATTTTAAAGTTTCAGTTCAGCTTCAAAGAAAAGAATGTTTTGTTATACGCAACAGTTTCTGATTTTCAAAATTAACACAAAACTGTTAAATGTTCTATATTCAGGTACTATGAGCAAGGGCAATACTTACAGCCAATACCTTTTACAAAAAAATAAAATAAAAAAAAAATTAATATTTTAGAGTTGCACCTCTGCTTAAAAGAATGAAGAATGTCAAAATGTACTTGTTTATAAATCAATGCATATCTAATTACTGGCCTTTTGTGAAAGGTTTCTTTAGGAGACTTTATGACTTCTCTTAAAATTAAATAAAACAAAGACATGTTATATCACAACAGTTATATCATAAACAGGTTGAGTTTTACTCTTCCAGGAGTATACAACGTGCTTGGAAATTCTAGAGAAATGCTTAAATACATTACACTTTAACGAAATGCATTAGATTTTAGTCAACTAAGATCTTAGGATATTTAGTCTTCTAAAACAGACAATTCAGATGGCTAAAAAAAGGACAAACACTAAATGGCATTTTAATCAAAGGACTACGGCTAAAGCTAGATCATAATTTGCTGTAAAAAATTAACACTGCTCCCTACGCAACCAACCCTTCTCTCCTCCACTCAGATATTTATTTCTCTCCCCCCCCCCCAGTAACAGAGCCTCTCATAACCTTACACGATTTGAAAGTTTAACTGTTAGTTCATTTAAATCAATGCAACATGTAAACTCACCTGTTTGTTTTTTTGTACGAGTTAAATCCTTGGATGACATAAGACTGATGGAAAGTATACAGATACTATTTATTGGTGGTCCTACATCTGGGGAACACAGTTAGGCATATGCTACTAGCTGCAAGGTAAAGTATACTAACTAGGGGTGGATTACTATTCGCCATGGCTAAATAGTTACTTGCCAATGGCTAGTGTCAAGTGAAAATGTTAAGGCCTAGTAAGAGTACCTCTACTAGGTGTTTTTACAGAGTGATACAGTAGTCACCATCTCTCTACACCAAGCTCAATGTCAAACAAAACTTGTAATGAGATTTACAGACAGCAGATGCCATTACTACAAACCTGCTCACGGATTGATCTTTATACCTGTTTGGACTCCATGGGATCGGGGGTGTCATGCTCAGATCTGGGAACAGAATACTATTATCCTTGACTCTGTCCAGTGCATAATGCATTTCACACAGGGGCTGACGATTCAACTGGAACTGAAGCTCGACCTGAAAGATCAGACTCGTCAGAAATCGCAAATAAACCACACTGAGAGGGAATTTAAGTAATTGTATTATAAAAAATAAGTATTTGCCATTTCATAATTGTTTGTATTGTCACATTACATTTTTACTACAAGTCTGAAAAACAAATACAGACTACATAAACAAGTCATCTGCAAAGCAAGACCATTACAAAAGTAATATTATAAACATAATTCTTAAAGAAAATGAATAAAAAAAATATACACACACAAAATTCATATATTTAACAAATGGCACATGATTGAGACATGATACAAAGGCCACTAGAGGTTGATAACCAGCAGGTTATCAGAGGGATTAGTAGACTGAACAGAGGAGATTTTTAAGGGATCAAGATATATTAAAAAAAAAAAAAAAAGTCAAATTTCGCACAGATCACTTATTAAAATGTCATGGCTTTAGACTTGCCATACAATATGTGCGCAGTACTAAATTGTGATCACCTTAGACCAAAATAGTCATCCAATACACGTGCAGTTCGCCACTTTTGGATGGAAAAACACTGCTAGATTACATGGAGAACCACAAATCATGAATCCTTTGCTCCAGAACATTACAATGGACCCGAAAAGGAATCACCTGCATCTCTCTGTCTGGCCGAAGACGCAATTCATCACAGCAGTCTCGGCATATTCTCAGGAAGATGTAATCCTTTGTTTTCTCCTCAATAACCGCCTCGTAGACCCGCTCTTTGGTGCTCTGACTCTGCACGGATTTGTCCTTTGTGACGGGTAATAAATATACCGCGTTGACTTTGGTCATCACTAATCTCCCAGCCAAGGTGTCTTCAGAAAGTGTCTCAGTAAGTTTAAAGCGACCGAAGAGTTGGCCATTTTGAGCGTATTTTGCACCCCCAGAAACACCGGTGAGCATGAAGCTAGACAATAGTTGCAGTTGTACTTTGATATTGAATCTATGATACAAAATGCAAGATTGTTAATATAAATTAAGAGCTAAATATAGACCCCTTTTTTAGAGATCGGTTTTAAATACAGCAAAACATCAGAATAATGAGCAAAATTTTTAGGAGCCAAAAATGAAGATCTCAGGACATTGGTTCAGCCCTTATTAAATGCATTCTTAACAAAGACCTTATTGACATATCACTACATTTACAATGAAATGTAGTGGCAAGTAGTTGGTCTGCAACCAAATAGTGAAACTAAATGCATTTACTCGTGATAATTGAAAAGCGTAAAGTGAAAAAAAAAAAAGAAGACTAACAGAACTGTGAGTTAGGTTTATATGGAATAGAGCTTTGGTGTTACAAATAAAAAAAAATCCATAACAGTCAGTAAACTACAATGAGGCCCTCTAGTGGCAAAATATTTTATTAAAAGATAAAGAAGATGGATCTATTACGTCCAACAAACCAGCTCCTAATCACTTAAATGCATATATGTACAACATCGGTTTTAAATTATAACGCACAGATCCAAAATAAAGACTAAATTATATAATAAAATACTTTTTAAAAATGCTTATTTGTGCACTTCAACTCCAAATTCCCCCAGCTACCACTTGTCTTAACTTATAAACTAGTTTTTAAAAAGGGAGTTAACGGGTTATCTAGCCAAGTACTTAGTATGAAAGAGCTTCATTTGCTAGATCTCAGCGCACCGGCCAGGCCCTCTTTACCTTTTGCATCGGTCTGTATATATTGTACAGTGTTTTCCCCCATATTGTACAGCGCTACAGAATATGTTGGTGCTTTATAAGTGCTAGTAATAATGTAAACATTTATATAAAAATTATACTGAAGTTCCCCCTTCTGTGGCAGGCCCTCAACAAAACAAGAAGTGGTTTTAACATTTTAGCCAATCCTGGTGCTTTCATAGTTTGGAAGCCTTGCGTAAACCCCCTAAACCTTTCTACAGTTGAGGTTTATAGTGGTTGTAGTTCATCTGCCAGCTTTTTTCAATATTTGTAGAAGTTACATAAACCATGAAGTTGTCTTTGATAATAAGATGGGAACTGACCGTTTCATTCCTAGAGTTTATTAGTATTAGCTGCCATTACACTGCTTGGGTTGATCCAACCACAGTTTGCTCAATTCATAAATCCCGTAAACACTTTATAGGGACAGAGGCCAGCGCTTTATAGGAGAATGGTAAAAGGAGCTACAGCTCAACTTTCCTCTTTTAAAACGGCCTCAAGCATTTTTAAAAATTAAAGTACTTGCGCTGCTGTAAGGCATAATGTAAATAAAGAATGGCTACCAGCATTGATCCTGGATAGAGGAGTTTTAAAGCTGGAGAAAGGAGACCATACCACAAGCATGTGCTATATTGTATTGGAGGCATATCTGGGCCCTTCTGGCCAAGCCATTGTTTTGCACATTTCTATCTTGTGTACGAGATTTGTAATTGTGCAGTGTTATATTGATGTTTGTACAATGTCTATTGAAGCTTTATATATAGGGCACTTACTTGCTCACTTCCTTATACTGTGCTATCTCCTCTATATAAAGCAGGTCATGTAGCCGGGACTGATAATTCGTCTTGGTGAGAGTTTTGTCCAGGACTGACTGTGTAAACAGCTGGTCAGCAGAGAGAGGGATTTGGTATCGGCTGAGAAGGCTCCTCTCCAATTCAGTAGTTTCATTAGGTTCAAATTCTACAATGATTTTAGACATGGAGTCCCAGCGTTTCGCCGTCGTTAGCAGCTGTTGTCGAGCGTGCATCAAGTATTCAAGGTCTATGCAGCAAACGGAAGAAAAGAGCATTTCATATTAAATGTAGTCAAGAAAAGGCTGGAAAAGAACACCACCACATAATAAACTGGATATTTGCTTGCTCCGTTACAGCTCAAATAGCTTTGTGATATTGTATCAACCCGGAAACCCTGGTTACAGTAAAAGCTCTGTATGCTGTGTGGTTAAGGGGCAAGTCAGCATATTACCCATAATCCATTGGCTGCAGTGTGTCCATCAAGTAAGACAGGTTATCATGCCTGGATGCAGTGGGAAATTCTGTAGGCCATGTGATAGCATAGTTAGGTAGACCAATCAAAAGGGTTGGTTGATTTATCCATACTTTCCTTGACAAAGTGCAACTGGTCCCTTAGTCACACAATGTTTTAATGACCGTTCCTGGTGGAATTCTTAATGCCGCCTATTACGACTTCATGAGCGGTTATGGCTGCATTTAATATTTTTGTTTGTCAACATAAATCAAAACATGATATTTAAATCTCATAAATGTCCCGGTCAAGTGTAAACATAACTTTTACTTGCCAAGAATTCTTTAAAATCTAATTATGTATTTTCCACTGAGAAACTGAGGGAAAGTTACGTGCCCATTATTTCATATTGGAAATGACGACAGACAGTGAATGATAAGGAAACACAGCCTTGGTAAATCCCAAACATTTTTATTTTTTATTTTCCCAACGAAAAAAGTTGTTTTTTGTGAATGCAATATACAAGACTTGCCGTGCATAATATCAACAGCAGGAAATTAGTCAGTGGCAATGTCAATAGAGCACATGAACAGTTACATTCACAGTTTTGAGTTTAACATAACGGAAGTAAAATTTAAAAAAGAATTTGTCAATCATAAGGTCTAAGTGTAGCTATAACACTGACCAATAGGATACCAAAGAAACAAACATCTCAGTAGATATAGTGACAGTAACAACTGAGCCCAACTTTGGCCGCTCTATAAGAAACACGGGATGTTTCGCACTGAGCAATATTAGAAAATAGTATTATGTACGACAATGAGTAATAAAGTATCACTCAAGAGTACTGTATAAAGCTGGTGGAAAGCCTAATAAAGGGGGAAAGGGATACACCTCCTACTTAACAAGTGTTAGATGGAAAGTGTCCAGCATTATATCAGCAGAGTATCCACATCTAATATCGAATTACAGCATGCCCCTGCTACCGATAGGATAAGACCATAGTTTGGTGGTACCGAACGGTAACCAGGTCCTGTTACAAACAAAATATACGCCATTATAGGTTACAGTTAGTTAAATGTTGCAAGTTTTCTATATTTGGGTGAGGGAGGGGGAGAATTATCATTATTATTTCTCTTTTATACTGGTATCACACTATCCTTTCGTTTTTGTCTATTCCTCAAACTGCAGTGTATCCCTTTTGGCTCTAATGATATCACCAATACGATTACTTAGGTTTCTGGGAACTGCAGAAGAACTGTTAAAAACTAATGGAACTTAAACTCCCAGACATGCTTGCTCTACCCATAAGGCACATTTTATGGGATTTGGTAAGCTGATGTATAGACCTTGACCGAGCTGTCTTCTGTTTGGTGAAAGCTCACAATTGAAACTAAAGCCTGGAAGGGATTTCGCATTACGTGCAGGAACTTTACACGCTAGTAGTTTTTACATCAATTAATTATTGGTTTTACTTTTATAATGCATTATCTAGTAACGCATCTATAATGGAAATCTAGTAAATAAAAAGTTGGGTTGGATCCACTGTGAGTGTCCCTTTAACGAGCTGCTATCTATCATTTCTCTATCCACAACTACTCTTTGCAAATGATGTTCCATCTTCCCACAATAAGTCTGTTTTGCATTCCCAGTTTGTAGCGAGGTGAATTAACATTCGTTATCTGATTAGCGCAGCTGTGGGGACAGACACACGACAAGTCCTGATTTCCTGAGGGAAAGTAAATAATGAAACTTGCCGCCTTCATTGCATTACCTGGAAGCTTTTTCAATAAAATTCCAGAATTTATCAACCTCTGCAAACACAGTGAGGCTTCGTATTATCACAATTGGCAGGCAGTGAGAAACTAGAAGGTAAATCGAGGCTCTTTAGCATAATTTGTCACAGTTATCAAGAATTCAACTGGGGGTATTTACAGAAAAAAATCATTGATCTTTCCCCTTGGTCTTTACAGAGGGGAAGCTGTGAAGAATGTTCACTCTATCCTTCACTTGTCGGAGCGTGGAATGGAACAGAATTGGATTTTAGGGCTTATTCACTGAACGCCAAACTGCAGCGATCTGGGATTTGATTAGTAAAATAGCATGCCCGAGGCTAAAGCAGACTTGAAAAATGTAATTAAGTAAGCCATTTTAACCTAAATTCTGCCATTCTGATTTTAGATTTCAAGTGCATCCACCCTGACATTGAAATATCAAGAAAGTGCATAACAGTGTTTTAACATAGCTTCAAGACTTCCTATGGTGACATTGAAGAGAATTATTTTTTCTAAGTAAACTCCTCTCTACTTTCCCAGAAGCCTCCAGGGCTGCTTCAATGCACAAGAGCGGTTGATGTACGATAGCTCAATTACAATGTCTTAAGGAATCCAGAGCAAGAAAGTCATGGTGCACTTGGGTTTTAAAACATGCTACCTTGGTGGGCTGTCATTTTGCGAAGTTATAGCAAGTTCTATTGAAGATCGTGGGAAGGATGACTGCAAGATTTGGTCTGTCCTGAGTACCTTGCATGACTGTACTGCAGATAAACCTCACCAGCATTTTATGATTTGAGATGGGATAACATGTCAGTCTCTAAAGACAACTTAACCCCTTAAGGACCAAACTTCTGAAATAAAAGGGAATCATGTCATGTCACATGTCATCTGTCCTTAAGGGGTTAAATACAAATAAACCTTGCAGACATAGGTTATTGAAATGGTTTCTCAAGGTACTAACAAAGATTTCAGCCGAATAGCGTAATTTAATGCAGGGAATGGAAAAAACAATGAAAAAAAAACTCCAAAAAACAGTCAATTCTCTTAAATACACAATTAAAAGAATTTGCTCTCCCATGACAATGTATGGGAAAATTATTGATCTTGTGTTCTCAAACTTTAGAAGTTTATTTTTTTTTTTTACTGGACTGCTCCCAGCATGTCAAACAGGTCAGGTAAATGGTCTAACTATAAAGGAAGACTGTTTAACGGATTTTTACATTTAATTGTTTTGTAGGTATACTGGCAAATAAAAAAAAAATAAAAAAATTGCATGTATTTCCTCTGAAGTATTAATTTAAGCTAAACACTGATGGGAGTTGCACAACATCATTAACCGTTTGTTTTCCGTATTACCTTCAGTGGAAGCCGCATCCACCATTATTCGCTGCATTAACACTGGTTCCACTCCAAAATCGAACACCACCGTTTGTCGAAACGTTCCAAATATCTCTGTGTTAAAGGCAATCGCCACTTTGTATATGCAATGGTCAATCCCATTTTGGGCCATCTTCTCGCCAACCCATTCTTGACAACCTTCTGTGACTTCCTGGGACACTTGTGAGTTTCCATCTCCAACGGATATTGCAATGATATTGAAATGAGGTCGGTGTGCGTCGTACAGCAACGCCACACGATGAAGGAGCCGCGCAGGCTGTAAGAACACAAGGGTTTTGCAAAAAAAAAAAAAGGGGGGGGGGCGGGGTGGAATGAATTTGTTACTTCAAAGAATATAGAACTCTCATAAAATATACATAGTCAATTCACACCTTGAAAAGTATGTGTACACTGAAATCAGGAAAGAATTTAATAACTTAATACGAATAAAATGGTTTTAAATGGTCATTTGTTAATGTTAAAGCCAACAATAAAATAGGTTTAAATTAAAACCTATGTACAAACTGCAAAAATAAATAAATCACATTTTACATCACTATGGAACATTCCAGCACTGCTTAAATTAGCTATGTTTTCACAAAATCCATAAATAGGCAGCAGCACACACCAAATCATTGAAGGCTACTTTAAAAACAGACCTCAATTGAAAAATCACATGCGGTAGACCATATCATATAGTCAAACTACGGCATGTTTCTAAGCTTATAACCTCACAGTTTATGGAGATACTTTCACTAATGTATAACGTGTGTTAATAGTAATTATGAGCATGTATCTACACAGTAAATGGCAGCAAGACAATAACTGCCCTGCAAAATATGGTGGATCTAGGAGCCCAAAAGACAGCCGAGTGAGATAGATATAGACAGACATAGATGTAACGGATCACCTGGCACCCCGACTGGGTACCTCCATTGATGGATGCTCCTAGCGCTTCTTGAAGATTCCAAGCACTCTAGCCGACACCACAACCACTTAAAAGAGCTTAGGAGTGATTATAGCAAGGGAATATGCAGAGCATAGCAATCCCTTGTAGCAGATTCCCCCAGAAAGAGACAGGACTCCAAATTGAGGTTGAAGTAGAACTGTCTAAAACTTTAATTTTACTTGGGACTATCCCATATGGTCATTACATTAACATTGCTGTCATAACTCAATAAAATTACAAAGTCAAATCATAGCAGGCAACATACAGTGACTTATTATAACATAATTACATATTTATAAATGGGTGAGGAAGACCATAATTAACACAAAATGTGTCTCCTGCATGCAGAATTAGCGATATGCAAATCTACCCGGATATGCAAATTACCAGTCTTGCTATTCAGGTAGTGCATATTACTGTTGCTACCAACAGAGGGCACTACACAAGCTCCATAGCCAAATCCACCTAGTTGGTAGCAATCCTCAGCAGTACAGGAGAACAAGCAATACATCCCAGGGCCATAGTCCTATAGCAGGAGGCTGGCAATCCGTCTTCTCCAATGCCCGGTCGCGAGGCTGGTTCCGCCACAATATACATATACACATGGCAATTATACATACAGTAATTAGGAACTATGGGATCCCGCTCTAAAGGGAACATCAGTGGACTCCAAAGAACTCCAGAAACTGATGTAAATAAGACGTACCTTGCAAGTGAGCAGAAAAGTCCATGTTTGATGAGATTTTTTACAAGTAACTGTGACAGACAGCTCCGGACTGTGCTCCACTCTGACACCTTCCACAAATTCACTGAGCTGGAAGGAAAGAAGAAAACAGTGAGTGCACTGTCCACAACAGACAGGGTAGCCATGTATACAATTTCACATACTGTACCTGCATGTCTAACAAGCCACGATAACCGCTACACAGCAGTACACTGACACAAAGTACTGGAATTTTAGTAACTGAATGCGAGAGGAAGGACCCTACCTGTGTAGTCTGTGTGGCTGAAACATTATTAAGCAGACTCATAAAACAACATGTGAAGAACTGGAAAGAACACCGAAAATGTTAGGTATGAATTGTAAAAATTAGAATATTTTCTCGTTTGGCTATTTTGGCCTAGAATTTATGATCTACATCCATCACAACTTTGGGGAGGTTTATAAAGGGTCTATTCATCAAAAGTAAACAGAGCAGTTAATCAAGTATAAGGCACCCCCAACATTTTAATCTATTGACCGACAAAATAGAACGGTCTAGTGCAAAAACATTTTTGTATTGATTTAAGTAATCTGCCATAATAGATATCATCCGACCTGCTGTACACAGCATTTCATAAAGGGCAATTTCAGGACTTGAATAAACTCCTACTAGCTTCCTCCGTATAGAACCAATTAAACCTCAATGGCAGAACTTGGCCGGCTAATAAGAAAGGAAGAGTGAGGTGCATGATGGGAAACCTCTCAGCTTGAGATATGGGAATTGTAAAAGCAAATGTGTTCTTAAAAAATAATATTGTAAAATAGCCTTTAAAAAGTTAAAGGACCACCAAAGTCCCAATGAAGTGATCTGGGTGCTCTGGCCTCGCAGTTTTAGCCCTGCAACATAAAACTTTGCAATTTTGTAGAAGAGGAGCACTGAGCTGGACCATCTGCAAGAGAGCAGTGTTGGATTACAACTCCCAGCATGCTCAGTGAGAATCTGGTGGAGCCTAAAATGCATACATCTGATGTCACGGAACAGTGAAGTAACTATTTGTTAAACTGCTTATATGGAATATAAAATTCCACTAAAAATACATCTAGCGAGCAATTAAAGAACCAATATTGTTACCTAGACAACTTAATCTACGTAAAGTTTTCTGGGTGCAGTGGTCCCTTAGTTTTAGTCCTGCAATGTAAAATATTGCAGGTTTGGTTTTTGGAAACTGCAATATTTACATAGCAGGATTAAAGTCACCTATCTTCCTGACTATCGCTAATAGTTCTTCCACTCCACTACCCGAGTTAAATTCTGTCACGTGACGTGTAAGCTCATAGGAAAGCATTGGATGCACTTGCAGCACTCTGCCATGTGCATGAGGTTTCCAACTCTCCTCTATAAAGAGCATTGGATGGGACAATCGCGGTAGGCAGAAATGAGAGTAGTGCTGAGGGAGTCTCAACGCTGGAAAAACTGAGTAAATCTTTATTTTATTCGTTTTAATGGAAAGGGGCATTATAATGTTTGGAACACGGGTTTGTATTCCTAACACTATAGTGTTCCTTTAAGATTAAGACTTAAAGGCACCTTAATACAGCACTAAAGTATTTTTTTTATACATAACCCTAAATCTCAATAATAAAAAAATTAAAAAAATTATATGCATGCATTTTGGACACAATTTCCTTTAAACTGCTCAAATGCCATTGTAACATATAATCGTTAAATACCATCACAATTATCACCCACTGAATCTACTAAAGCTGGGAAATTAAACCCCAGGGTGCGAATCACAGCCAAGAAAGGCAATATCGCTCACCACTTTCTCAGGGGATAAGGAATTCATCCATTTTTCGATCAGGGTTTCCATGTAACTGCCAGAAAACTGTGTGTTTTCTTTCTGCTGCTTAAGCCGGATGAGGCGTGATGCGTATCTTTTCTGCCATTCTTCAAGCTCTTCCTGGGAATGTGCGGATGTGCACTGTGCTCCGTACCTGCAGATCCCTTGCTCCAGGAACCTGGCAGAGAATTACAGCATGATTAGAACAGGATTCACTATAAATAAAAAAAAATATATATTAAAAAAAAAAAAAGATTAAATTGGAGAAAAATGAAATTGTATGATTAAGTCATGTTCTGAAATGAAGACTTGGACACCTGCCGGCTAGTCTGTTCAATTGATATATAAAGTTATTTAAATTAAACACATGCAGAGTTTGTGCTGTGTAAGTTGACTAAACTATGTAAAGGGAATCTGCATCTCAGAATAAACCTCAGTATATGAGGTCAAATAGTAAGTTACCTGCAAGGCAACTTCATAAGCCATGCACAATATTGCTACGGAATCTGTTGGCGCTATATAAATGGCAATAATAATAATAATGCCAATTACATTGGGTTAGAGTCACATATGCGCTGCAAGGTTATCCAGCCATGAAAAAGCCTCTCACCAGAACGCAGTTTCACGGCAGCAAAAGATTCTAGTGGCCAGAACGGCTATAGTCTGCTTTATCCACTGTGTAAAAGCTGACAGACTGTCACACTGGCTGCTTTTGGACTACATTTCTCACAACTATCAGCCAGTAAGAGCCTTGCAGAGAATTCTGGGGGTAGCAATTGGACATCCTCACCCTAAAGAATTGCTTTAGTTTAATTAGACAGCTTGAACTCAGTCTATACATCAACCTGATGTCCATACATGAAAGAATGTCCTCAGACTCTAAAGGAGCCCAAAGTCCTTAGATGGAGGAAGGCCCTGTTCAGCCTACACACGTAGGAAGGCCCATATCAGTCTATAAGAATAAGGGGAACTTTAATCAAAGACTCAGAAGTGTGAAATGTTATCGGTTTTGCTGTGAGTACCCGATAAAGAAGTACATTGGAATTTAAAGGTTTGTGCTGGATTTTTCATGGTTACCTTCATAGTTGTTTGTGAGGTAAGAAAGCATTCATTCACCCTTTGGAGTAAAAGGTCCTACTTTCAGCCACTGTTAATTCGCATTTCAGGAATTACCAGGAGAAAAAATTGATTGGCTTATAGAAAACAATGGGAAAAGAAAGATTTCCTGCTAACTGTATCCAGTGAAAATTCAGTGTTAGAGGAATTACAGAACCAGCAACAACTGCCACTGAAAACCCAATCCAACGAACATTTCGGATATTACCTTTTACATAGAGTGTATTCTTCGCTACTTGTAACACCTCGCGGTGGGGGGCGAAACCGCCATCCATCATGGGACCCTGCAAATAAAGATCACACAATCAGTGTAAATACCTGGAATGCAGGCAGATAATACACTACCAATAATCACAGCTTGTGGAGTTAAAGAAAACAGTGGTTGCTTTATTATAATTTTCTTGCAGTGTCAGAATTCCTTGTTACTTGACAAGATCCACTGTTAAAGACGAGGACAGGAGAGAGAGAAATAGATACATTCTTCTTTTCACAAAGATGAATAAGGTTGTGGAAAGGAGGGGGCACCACCTTCAAATCCACAATTAAGCACATCGGTGTATATATTACAATATATGTGTATAAATTACCCTAAATTAACCTTCCGACCAGACACCTGACAGAGAAACAATCAGATACAAAATTCATACCATCTTCCAGATCCTCTGTGTGGTAACTGGACCGGACAGTGTTGCTAGCCGTCTGTGACCACATATTTGAGAGGGGGGGCGGGGGGAAGGGAAGAATAGAAAAAAAAAAAAAGATATGAAAACACTTTCTGGAAAGTTACATTAGAATTTATGAGATTACATATTAAATGAACTATGCAGCAGGGTGTTGCTTGATAAGCCCAACCAATTGAAACGTTACACAAAATAAACCAAGAAAAATCCAGTTAGAGATCAAAGTGTTTAGATTAAATTATGCATTCCATTTAAAATATATATCTCTCATCTGTTCACACACTGAACCATGCATCACTCCAAATTGTCTTTTGTTTATAGTAAACCATTATATACAGTTTTTTTAAGAGGGCAAAGGGGGCTTTAATTTGATGCAACATATAAGTCGATAAATTCTCATTAAATATATATATAAAAAAAAAAAAATAATTAAAAAGTCGCAGGGAAAGGGGAACTAGACATTTTTTTGCCCACAGTTTTGGCAATAATAGCGTGTGCATAATATGTCCAGCTTAAAAAATGTAATTCAAAATAAATTAATTTATAGAGTACATAATATGTGTAGGATTTCAACTTATTTAGTTACAGGTCACATAATTTCAATGTGAAACTATTTTAGAGGTTGGTATGTTTGTCTTATAGGTTTAGTAGCCATCACAGAAAACAAAATTGCCACACAAAAGTATATATTTACATAAAGTAAACATCACAGGCTATTTACCTAAGGTTATTTTGACAATTTTTACATAGCCATTTCATTACCAATCTCTGCTAAATATTGGAGTGAAATTGTGTTTTTTCTTTATTTTGGCATCTATACATATAACAAGGTTTTTGTAATATGTATTTTGTAAAGCTGGTGTGTGCCATTCCTACACAGAACCCAATATTATGGTCAGCTACATCTGAGTATAACGATACCCCCATTGTATGACCTGGACACTATTTTGTGAAGTTACAGTGCTGTAAAAGAGACGGGACGGGGGACGGGGCCTGAACAAGATGGCGAATAGACGCATTTCACTTGAGCTCCAAACTTGAACTCCACCTCGAACCGTCTAGTCGGAGGCCCTACGCGACCAAGCTAAGGAGATGCCGGACACGTCTGAAGGAGGTTACTCTAAAATGGAGGATGCCATGAGCCCCCTTATGTCTTGGCTAGACAATCTCTTTGCCAACTTCAGGCTGAAGCGGACAACGACAGCAGTACCCTGCACGCCAGGAGTCTCAGGTCTCACACCAGATTCCACAAGCACAGCACCAGCGCACAGCACGGGTTCCGGCCCCAAGATGTGCCAGAGGAAGGCGGAGGGGAGTGTATCGCTGCAAGATGGGGAGAGCAAGACCACATCCACCACGCAAGTTATACCCGTGTCCAGACCGGACCCGAGCGGAGCATCAGCGACCTGCCGGACACAGCATAAACATAGCCGAGAACAGCTACCATGGATTCCGCAGTGCACCGTCACAAAAGCTGGCCCCCCCGCAAGCTCGACTCCCCACAAGCATGGAGCGCAGAGAGCCGGCCAGGGCACATACTGCAGGGCTCAAGTTACAATCACAGATACTCTCTGGTGCCACCAAGCCTGAAAAGCCTACTATGCAGAGACTAAGCTTTACCGCTGCAGGGCATCGGCTGAATGGAGACAGGGACTTTATCTCTCTGACATGGCACCTGTCCACCACGTATAATCTTAGAACCTGTTGAGTATTTACTTTGTTTCTCTTCATTAATTATCAACATATTTGCGGGACAGGGGAGGCCATGCGATACAAATGAGAGAAGCCATTTAACTAATTTAACACTGGCGATGTGTAGGCTAAAGGTGAATCTTGAAGCCACTGCCAATGTATGTGTGGGGCAGGGGTGGCTATGCCATATGCTTAACAGCTGCCCTTTGACTAATCAGGCACCAGAGATGAGTGAGCATAATGTGCTTCTGATGAGGGCACTGGCGGTTCTCATACCGGCATCTCGTTGCTCTCGAGTTAGCTCACAGGGCCTTCGGGTGGAACACGCACCCACCATTCTATAGTTCTGAAACCTCCAAATCTACTCTGTTTAGCCTATATTAGAGCTGTGCCTTGCCTTGATTCTCTCAATTACATATAACATAGTGCAGCATCATAGACATTTCCTATCCTGCTCTTTAACATTGATATGTATACTCTTGTGAAATGTTTGAACCACTAAGTCTGTTATACTTTGCGCTGCCTAAAAGAAAGAATATATAAAAAGAAAAAAAGAAAAGGAAAAAATAAATAAAAAAAAAGACTGGTTATGTTCAGGTTTCTAAGTGTGAATTTTCATGGAAGGTTTTGATGAGTCTGTGTCCCACTTGAGCAGGCTACATATTCCAACTACACCATAAATGCATACCATTTCTTAAGGAAGACATCCCAGGGTATTTCAAAAGGCATATTTTGAACCTTAGCGTGGGATCATTTTTACACTAGATTGTACCAAGTGTAGTGGTAATCCGCATTTTTTCTGCCTTTTTGACACACAAAGTGAGTTTGCACAGTATATTTTGCAAACCTTATGTGTGTTACGACTGTATAATACTTCATATGTTGCTCAGCTATGTCGGCTGAGTACAGCAATACCCACTTATGTACCTTTGCCAGGTATGTGTGGATATTGAAGGAGCACATTTGAGACACAGCCATTCCAGGTTTTTTTTTTTTTGTTTTTTTTAACTTTGAAGTTTTTCGCTGAGTCCATGTTTCATTTTAGAGTAGTTTAGCTGGTTGGTTATTCAAACTACCCCACAAACACATACTATTTATTAAAGAACACACCCCGGTGTAATTCAAAAGGCATATGTGACAGATCCATCTGTCTAAGTTCTATCTGCTGGTTCGTCTAATTGTTATACTTTCGTGGAATTACCTGCCCGTACGTCCCTGCTCGTCTATTTCAGATTATAACAAATAAAACTACCGAACGGACGACCACCCAGAGGAGAAGTGTGCTGCTGGTTAACCTATTGGCCTCAATTAGAACGTCGTGGTTAACCGCAGACACCTCTTGATTAGAACCGATTGCAGAGTGGTCGTCGTTCGCATGTCGACCACGAGGCAGCGTCCATTTTAACCACGCGAATGCACAGCGGTGTTCGCCACTCAAACTATTCTACTAAAAACGGACACTTTTTCTACCGAACACCGCTGAAACTGCCGACCGCCCTTCTTATCCACGGGCATGCGAACGCCGGTCCGTTCGGGACTTTTATTACACGAATGGATTTATCCCAGATAGTCGTCCCATGGAGTCAATCGTATACCGAAAGAACAATGTGAAAGATTTTGACTCCATGGCGATTGAACCGTGTGCATTGGGTCTGAGCGCTATTTGGTAGTAATGTGTGCTCAGACCCAGGCTATCTGGGGATACGTTACACGAACTAAAAGCATTCGGTAGTTTTACAGTTACGGATTTTTATGTGTTAATATACTATGTAAAATGGCGGTTTGTCTCTATCCCTGGAGAGAATTGGATTTCTTCCCAATTATCTCCAGGATAGAGAGGAGGGATTTACTTGTGCAAACATTTACTTGTTTATAGCCAAGCCACTGTGATTGGCTACTGTACATTGTGTGTCCCAGTCTCCCATCTGGTCCCCTAGGGGAGTGTCAACCAGGTGGGAGACCTGCATAAATACCGGGCAGGTAGCCCTCATTAAAGCAGATTCCGGTTTTAAACTCAAGACGGAGCTTGGTCTCGTGTTTGGGGGGATTGCTACTTGGAAGTATTATTTCGCCTATTCTAAGAGAGAAGGAGTTCGGCTGATTCTTTGTTTGGGAATTTGGAAGATTCCCTTATACTCCATTCGGGAGTTTGGCGGTCTACAGCACCAGAGCCTGTGTCTCAAAAGGGGGAAGAGCAACTAAACGGCGGTTTCACTCATTTAAGCTGGGAGTGTCTTAACAGCATATTTTGAACCTTAGCGTGGGATCATTTTAGTATGTTCCAGGTGTAGTGGTAATGAGCATTTTATAATGTATTTTTTCACATTTTTTTTTTTTACTTTCTTGAAACTTTTTTTTTTTTCTTTTTTACACTTAATTTTTATATATATATATATATATATATATATATATATATATATATATATATATATATATATATATATATATATATTTTTTTTTTTTTTTTTACGGTTAACCCCTAACTAGCAGTAAGCAGCACTGTAATGGTATTTATTAAAGGGAAACTCCAGTGCCAGGAAAACAATCAATAACCTTCAGTAACTTACCTGAGGCAGAGACGATGTCCCTCGTCGCTGCTTCCTCCTCCGCATTGTGCCGCGCATGCGCATTAGCACTCCCCATAGGAAAGCATTGAAAATGCATTTCAATGCTTTCCTGTGGGGAAATGAGCGATGCTGGAGGTCCTCACACAGTGTGAGGACGTCCAGCGACGCTCTAGCACAGGTTTCCTGTGCTAGAAACCAGGAAGTGCCCTCTAGTGGCTGTCTAGTAGACAGCCACTAGAGGTGGAGTTAACCCAGCAAGGTAATTATTGCAGTTTATAAAAAACTGCAATTACACTTGCAGGGTTAAGGGTAGTGGGAGTTGGCACCCAGACCACTCCAATGGGCAGAAGTGGTCTCGGTGCCTGGAGTGTCCCTTTAATGACTTTACATCATAAAGAAAGCATAGTTAGTGTAATGCTTTGGAGGCACCACTAGGGGCAGCGTATAGGAATCCATGTGCTTCTGGCAAGCTACTTACACTGAATAAAAACCAGATTGTAGGAGGCATTCAGGTCTCTTTTGAAACAGTCATCTCTCTCTTTGGTTCTGCCCTTGACTGCCTAACAGTAAATTCCCCAATTCCCCATAACTCCCACCCACCCCAGCTAGCAAAATATATCATTTTAAAATATTTAAATTAATAAATTAAATAATTGAACCCCCGAGCAATCACAGCTGCAGGGACAGGGCGATCTGGTGCTCCCGGTGTGCCTCACCTGAGGAGTGTTAACCCAGTGATCGCGGCGATCTGGGGTTAATTTTGGCGCACGACAGAACCAGTCCATCATGCGTCGTTAAGTGCTTCCCCAGCATGACAGACTGGGTCTGTCATGCGTCCTTAAGGGGTTAACGATGCAGCTCTCCACACTGCCTTTTGTTTATAGTGAACGATGCAGCTATTCACATAGAACAAACAAAAAAAGAAGAAACGGAGATCTGGCCTGGCCCGGCCCCTGACGAAGGTGCATCTCTTAAGGCACCGAAACGCGCGTCGGGCGTTTTTCTCATATTTTATGAGCACTGGTGTACATAGCACCATGATTGTCACTAATTCTATGGGATTTTTTTCTGTTTAATATACTTTTCACTTCTTTATCTCTGCTCCTATGTCTTTTTAGTTAGTTTAACAGGGAGAGAGGCTTCTTAATTATATACTGTCAGTTTCTTAGAAACTGAACATTTGATTTATTATCTTTCTTCTCTCTCTGTGCTCTATACCTAATCCTTTCCTGTATGTAACTGGAGGAGTTTTGTATCCTTGACAAATATTGCCCCTGTTTCAGATAAAGGTCTTTTTTTGCATTTATACAATTACAATACTCAGCCTATGGATATTAGTCAGGACTTAGGAGTGTGTACCCAGAGACAGTCCTGTTCTAGGTATCTTCTATTTACATATATTTTTTTTTTTCTTTTACTGGACTCATCCCTATTCAGTATATATTTTTTCTAATAAAGTGGTTATAGAGATAGGGCTGCTTGTTCAGTTTTTATGAACTTTAGATATCTATCTATGGGATTTTGTAATCTGGGGGACATGGGAGTATCAGTATCACCTTTATAGGATTATACATTATGTATGCACTCATTATTAGCTATATCTGATTTCTAGTAGTCTTTATATCATTAGCCAGTTTATTTATAGGACTACACAGCTATATTTTGATTTTCAGGCAATGCAGCAAGCCTCAGGGGTATTTATGCACTGAGAACTTGCAGTATCTTTTCTTTTTGTTGCTAGCTATTCACATAGCCTTTTGTTTACAGTGAACGATGCAGCTCTATACAGACTTATCACAGAATTCTGCAGAGTCTAATCTATGGGGTAATAAGTGCCAAATATCCTGAAAACAGCAGAACTAAATTAAACTAAAAACAATCATACGAGGACAAAATTCTTAACACTGAGCACTACATTTTGTGAACAGACTGCAAGATACTCTGACTACATACAGCAAAACATTTGTGTTACCAGAGGTTATAGCATAGTGCCGTCAGTGGACTATCACAGAATACCAGAGTTTACACCACCCAATGCATTTATACCAACTCACCTCAATTTCAGCCAGAAGGGTCTTTAATCTCGTTAGATCCTTGGTTACCATCCCATTCTAAAAAATAAAAAGTAGAAAATAACTAAATGGAGAGAAGTCTCAATGTGGCAGAAAAAGATTAGAAAGTGTCAACTAGCATGCATGTGTATGAAAAAAAAAAACACATGGGAAGGTGTGACCTGTGTGCGAATAAAATATATTTACTAAGAATTTTGTGGATACCCAAGAACAATTGTAGAATTGCAGACACTTGATTTTACCATGCTACATTTTTAAGTGTCTGTCTGGTTATCTATAATTTATAAAGCCCAGAAAATATACTGGTAGATTGCAGGGATACTACATGATGCTAACATTTACATATGTTACACTCCAATGTGGAGTCACTTAAAGCTGTGAAAACAATGAACGCCACACAAATCATCGATTAACAGCAAATACTAGATTTTATTCTGTTAGCTACACAATGCATTCATTGCAGCTTTCCATAAGGGGAAACAGAGATTAACCTTACAGTCAACAGTAGATGTTTAAAAGGCATAATACATGCAGGAACTAGCAAAAAAATCCATAGAATCCAGAAGATAGAGATATATATATATTTTATCAAGAAAAAAAAGAAAAAATAAAATACATCTAAAAAACACGTAAAGAGTCACGCCACAAGACTGGAGACTCATGAAGGACTATACTACAAGCTAGGGTAATTAATGGGAACAGTAGCCCAATTAGAGAAAGAATCTATCTGCACACATCCTCTGCTACAAGTGGATGGATGTTACTCAAAAAGTGGTAATGTAATGTAGTCTACGAATCTCTAACAAACTACGTAGTTTATGTAGCGGGGTACACAGCATTACCATGTATGGTTAAGGGGAAAACTTGTTTAATAAGGAAGCGGTAGATCAAGTAGGTAAAGACAACTAGAGCTGTACAAGATTGGCACATGAACATTTTAATTCTCAACTTAATGCCAAATTTTTTTTAAAAAAAATATAAAAGATTTGTTATGAGAAAAGCGATCCACTTCTGTATGTTTACCCCAACTTACCAGTGTCTCCCCAGCAAGGGACTTGGAAAGTACGCTGGATAAAATCTGCAGCTTCCCTTCCATGTGCATGCAGCACAGCACGGCATGGACAGATCCATCCAGGCGCACGTGACTAGGCCCCAAAACTGCATTAAAACATGAAATCAATAAATACGCCATTACCACTGCATGCAGGCTGATATTTCACTAGAAGTTATTGGCTATACCACAAGCTGCATGGGCTATTAACAAGGAATGATCACTAACTTCTGGTTCTATTTAAAGTGTGATGGGTGCATTTACTTTATTTCGAGAAGCACTGTGCTTTAGGAGCAAATGCATGCCCATGGGCATTCTTTATCTATGTTATGAAAAAAAAGGGAAAAAAAAAGACAGGGTATCATAGCGGAATAATGGGACCTTGTGACACGTCCATGATATAATGCAAAACCCTTCTTACTCCCAACATTTTGGGGGTGATGACAGTTTAAGAGATTCCCCTACATTACTAGCTTTAAACATTAAGTCACATTTAAGTTTGTGGGGCTTCCTTGGGTTTTAAAAATAAAACACGTTTTAAAAACCTCAAGGTGATTCACGTTTCTACAGATGAAATATCTGGTTCACAGTGAACACCTTGGTGGAGAGACCGTTCAGACCTTGAGTTCGTTTTCTGATTATCTTTCTACATCTACATTTGTGTGTGCAATGTAGGACCTTGGTGCAAGCGTACCAGTTTACATAAACGTTACGCTCATCTCTCTTTATATACACTGCCTCAATTATGTTTATTAGAAGTGACCTTGCAGACCATGAATATGTAGTCAATACGTCGTGATAGGAAAAATCTGAAACAAATTGATCAGAAGAAAATAAAAAGTTATTGGCTCCATCCTCTGGTAATATCAATGTGGCCTAATATGTACATTACATACATGGGTGTAACGCACTATATACACCCTGCAGACTAAAGAAACATATAGTCCAAAGCCAGCAATCCATTCAGATTGACCTTAAATTGTGCTATAACTGCATGAGAAGCTTTGGGTAAATGCTCATATTTCACAGAAGGACTATAGCACTCAGTGGATAAATGGAAATACTTGTATCAACATGTCTACAGGGCCAAATGCTAGTCAATTACAAGTGTTCATACAATCTGATGCAGCTATCCTAAAGTCAGAAAAGATGGCTCACAGTGGTATGGACATGAAATGTGTTAACTGGACTAATTATATTCTATTTATAAGGATGAATTCAGAAGTCACAAAGATTCAGTAGAGGGCAATGCCAAGACCTTTCTGATGATCTACGCATTTGTTTGTAAATCAACCACTGACAAAAAGTGGTTCCGATATATTAGACATGTGTAAAAATGTGTTTTAAGTGATTTTGAACTAAATTCCTGGCAATAGAGGGAAAAAAAAGGTTTCTGAAATTTCAGTTTAAAAGGATTTTAATTTGGATGATTCTAATTCAGTTACCGTATATACTCGAGTATAAGACGAGTTTTTCTGCACATTTTTTGTGCTGAAAACCCCCCACTCGTCTTATACTTGAGTCAATGTCTGTATTATGGCAACTTACATTACAACTTCCTGTTGGGGGCTGGCAGAGAGCTGTAACTTACCTTTCCTGCAGCTCCTGTCAGCTCCCTTCTCTCTCCTCCGTTCCGGTCAGCTCCCCTGTCAGCTCCACTGTAAATCTCGCAAGAGCCGCGGGGTCAGAGTGTTGCCACGCGTTACCGTGGCAACGCTCCGCGCAGCACTCACACCACGAGACTTACAAGGGAGCTGACCGGACCGGAGGAGAGAGAGAAGGGAGCAGACAGGAGCTGCAGGAAAGGTAAGTTACAGCTCTCTGCCAGCCCCCTCCTACACAGCCCATCCATTGGACGACCAGGGCGTGAGAGCCCCCCCTCCCTGGCCAGCTAACAAGCAGGGAGGGGGGACGAAAAAAATATAAATAATAATTTAAAGAATATTAAAATAATAATAATTAAAAAAATAAAAATGCCCACCAAGGCTCTGTAACACACACACACTGCATTCATTATATATATATATATATATATATATATATATATATATATATATATATATATATATATACATATATATATATATATATATATATATATACACATACACACACACACACACACTGCATTCATTATATATACACACACTGCATTCATTATATATACACACACACTGCATTCATTATATATACACACACACTGCATTCATATTATATATACACACACTGCATTCATTATATATACACACACACACACTCTGCATTCATTATATACATACACACACACACTCTGCATTCATTATATACATACACACACACACTCTGCATTCATTATATATACACACACTGCATTCATTATATATACACACACTGCATTCATTATATATACACACACACACACTGCATTCATTATATATACACACACACACACACACTCTGCATTCATTATATACACACACTGTAAATCAATATTCAATTAACATAATTTTTGGGGGATCTAATTTTATGTAGAAATGTACCAGTAGCTGCTGCATTTCCCACCCTAGTCAATACGTTTTCCCAGTTTTTTGGGGGTAAAATTAGGGGTCTAGACTTCCATTCGGGTCGACTTATACTCTAGTATATACAGGTAGTTTGTGAACCAGCCAAGTTTTCAGAACGGATTCGTTCAATTAACTCCAATTTTATTATTTTGACCATAACTTAATATTTTTGCACATGTATAATATAGATCTTGTTAATTCCAGAAGGCTGGAGAAAAACGGGGTCAAGAACACAAGGTTGCAAAGTAAGGAATGTATTCAGTAGCAAACAGGATACCCCTGAAAACACTGCATGTCTTACAACGCTAAAGATGCCACTGTAATATATACAAATATTACAGTAATCAGTAATAAACAAAATGCAAATGCAGAGAAAAACTTACCCAGCTTACAGTCTTCATCAGCTTGGTCATAATTTTTCTATAAGAAGAGAAAGTTGTAGATTGTACTTACATGACAAAAAAATATAATCTAATATCTAATGATATACACATACACAAACACATAAATAATTACAGTTATGCATCACCTGGATATAAAGTCGTACTATGAGAAGTCCTCCTTGGACACAAATTTGTAAAATAAGGCTTCCACAGCTATCCCAGAGTTCCCAGATTTCTATGTAAACTTTTGATAGATAATTTTACTATAGCATTTTTTTTGAAGACCTCCCAAGCAAAAAGCAAAGCCCCTACTTAATGGTTTACTCCTGAGACATGACTTAAAGAGGTTTCAGCACTCTTCTGATGTAGTTAGTAATTACTACAAAGCAATGTTAAATCAATAGGCAGCTGTGCTATAACTATTTATATATATTTTGTTTCCTTCTTTTCAGATGTATTCAGTACTTTTCTTGAAGAAACTTGATGTGTTTTCTTCCCAGACAGACATCTCATTAGTGTTATTTCTGTTAACCGCTTATGCAGTAATACATTTTATTATTGACCTTTCTTGCACCACTTTTGGTAGGCACTAACCACTGCATACTGCCATTGAACACCGAACAAGTCTTGGCGTTTTGTAGATGCTCTGACCCAGTCGTCTAGCCATCACTATTTGATCCTAGTCAAGGTCACGCAGATCTTTTCCCTTGCCCATTTTCCTGCTTCCAACACAATAAATTCAAGAACAAACTGTTTACTTTCTGCCCAATATACCCCACCCCTTGACATTTGCTATTGTAACGATATAAATCAACGTTATTCACTTCATCTGTCTGGTTTTAAATGTTGTGGCTAATCAGTGTATATATAAAAAGAAGTTGGTGGCAAACCAAAAAATTGTTTTTCCATTTACAAGGCTCCTTAAAATCATCTCTCTCCGCAAACAAATATGATGATTTAAAGGATCACAAACATGTATTCCTGACCTCCCCCCCCCCTTAGCTCTCCTGTAAAAGTTTAAAACTCACCTTATTTCCAGCGCTTACTGTGCAGCCCTGAGCCAGAAAGCCCCTCCAGTGGCCATCTGAGGAGTGGCCACTTGGGAGGTGTCCCTATGGGCAATTTCTTTGAAAAGGCAGTGTTTACATGAAATGCCTGAAGGGCTACATTAAGCTGTAGTTGTTCTGGTGATTATAGTGTCCCTTTAATTCAGGTCCATCATATGGCCATACAGTGTTAAGCCCACCAATATCCCGTCAAATATCGGTGGATCATACACACACACACACACACACACACACTATTTTTTATTTGATTTTTTAAAAATTTTAAGTATTAATTTTATTTGTTATCACTGCCATCCCAGGTTGGACAGTTTTGGACTATTCCTTCACAAGTATAACTTCCTCATTATTTAAGCAGCAATCGAGGGTGGTTTTTAAGAGGGCCCCATTCTTTTTTTTTTTTTAAATAGCAATTATCTTGAGTGATTAAAAGCTCGGTTTTACATCAAATTATGAACTACGAGCAAAGTGGGTCCCGTTTTTTAAACTACTCAAAAATTATTTGACAGGAGATGGGAGGACGACACCAAAAGGCTTCATGTATCATAACCACTTCTACAAGCGGTACATTATAAATCCATCGTTTTGGTTTTAAAAAAAAAAATCCAAATGTAACATTTTATTTTCCTAAAAGATCGGTGACATGATAACACAGATGGCCAACTGATAATCAGTTTTTGTAACAGTTGCATGGCCTTATGTCAGCCTTTGGGCCGAGCAAAGCATTGTGGTAGTTAAGTTTTTACAACAGCTGTGGGCTGCTTGTCTAACATGGCGTAACAGTGGTTTTTGGGAAGGCACGAGTTCGGAGCCCAATAAAAATGAAATAAAAGAAAACTGGTTTAACTTACGAGTTGCAGGAATGAGGCAATTCTGTAAAGAAGACTCTCAATCTTGATACGGTTAATGTGTGTTTGACTGGCCTCTGTGGTGGGGCTGGTATTATAGTGACTGAGGGACACCAGAGCCTCTGTACAATGGGATACGGCCACCTCATACTCTTGCCTTCTGAGCGAATCACATGCTTGTTCACAAATATTCTCCAATCTTCTGTCTGCCATGACTTAGGGACAGAAATCCTAAATAAATAGCAAAACAAATATAAGGCATAATATAGTTCACCTTCTCAACCAATAAATAACAAAAAGTGTGCTTTATCCAGCAAGGACTAGATTATTAATAGATTTAAATATAGACACACACATTGATATATTCTCTTTCAGATTTATTGATAGTTTCCAAGAATTGCAGCTTTTTCACGGTCTCCTTATTGAGTTTTGAATTTGTGCATAACGTATATAGCTACATCCATATACCAGAGCTTTATATGAATGCAGCGTTTTAAATTTAACAACATGTAATGGGGAACCCAAGTGGAGCTTGGAAACTTTGACCAATGAAAATCCCAATGGCTGTCAAGGGTGTTTAGGTCTCTGCTTTGTTTTAACCCAATTATCTCTTCCTAGGCAGAAGAAAATATCAAAGTTACCACTGGCACACTTCTGTGGGCACCATTTTATGTATAGTAATACCGCTCTACACAATAATTCACTGTACAGCGCTTTCAAATACAGCGATTTTCAGTTTGCAGCCAGATAATGAATCTATTTTCTGGTTAGCAATACATATGGTGGTAGCATGGTTATATTATTTTTACATATTTTTGGTCAAAGATTTTGCACTCTTCATCCACAGTGTGCTTGTCAGCCTAAGTATAAATCCAATGACTTTTGAAAATGAACTTGGCTTTTCTTTGCTCAAGTAAAAATCAATGTTTCAGTTTGATGCCCAAACTTTTGTCAGGATCTTGACACACACGAAGAGAAAAAAAAAAAAAAGGGAGGGGGGTGTGGGACGGACCCTCTCGCCCCACAGAATAACTTTAAATCGATGGTCGGGTACCCACCATATTAGTGAGGTATACCTACCAAACACATAAAAAACCCAACTCTCAGAAAAGACATTCAAAAATTTAGCAGAATATACAAAACAGTGATAGATAGGGACTTCAAATAAAGAATCTTACACACACACACACACACAAACAATACAAACAAAAACAAAAACCAGACCAGTTGAAAAAGCGAATTTATAATTCAGCAAAGTGGAAAATAGGTCTCTGCTCTTGCTGAATTTTATGTCCACCACAGTGGGGGCCACTGGGTGATTTGTGGCTTTGTAAAAATGTTCCTGTTGACCCCTGCTGTGCTCCATCAAAACATAGTACATTTAAAATCTAAAACAAGTTTCTTTCCATCCATCAAGGCAGCTCTAACACTGACAGCTGTGTTTTCCCAATTCAAAATCCAATGTTTCCAACCACATCTCTGTTAAATATAATGGCTGGCTCAACAAACCAGCACACAGGAGCCAAGGAACAAGAGCCGGAATTGTCTTAACACCGTCCCTGCTAACTCGGGCACTCGAGAAATGTAGAAACTACAGTAATTCACAAATATGTGGCAAACATTCTAAATGTTACAATAACTATATTTAAAAAAAAATCAATAAAAAAAAAAAAATCGGTGTAATAGATGCACCTGAGAAGACATCAGGACAATCTTTAAAAAAACATGTGCATTAATTACACTGTGCAGTGTAACTGAAAACAATGATCGGACATTTAGGAATTAAAGCAGACTTGAGTTCTAAAAAAAGTGCCTAGTTCAAGAGAATTCATCACTTTTACAAATCGCCGAAGTGACACTCCCAGCTGTCGAGACAACCAGTGGGTTTCCTGTATACATAAGCACCCTAACAAACACCCCTTTATTTATTTTTTTAAATGGGTTTTAATTGGAGCATTCCTTTAACGACCTTGCTGAAATGTTTTAAGATGTTTTTGTAAAGCAAATCAAAGTAATAATGTGTCTTCTTTAATTATTGCTTTGGCTTCTCAAAATAACATCATTGCTAAAGAAAATATATAGAGAACATGAGATACAAATACAGTCCATCTAATGTTATTTTAGACAATGGGAAAATATTTATACAGCAAAATAAATAAGTGTTTACACTTAAATCCAATTCCATTCAAAACACATTAAACAATGGAAATTGAAGCCACTGGCAGCGTGTCAGAGATAACTGATATTTTGCCAGTGGAACCTGCACTGAATAATTGATTAGTTCACAGTCCTTACACCATTCGCCAGTTATTACACTTGAATAGCGATTTCTGGAAAGTAGCGTAGTCTGCTTTTCAGAAAAATGGTAATTGGATTCTCACCTTACACAAACATAGTAACCAAAATACAGTAGAGACTTTAAAGAAATCATAATTAAGAAAGTTTCATCCTGTGTTGCTAAATAGCTACATTTTAAGTCCTTGAGGTCTATTGGATAAAATGGAGTAATGACAAGTTGCATAAATTGTCCATTTTTGTTTGTGGTTGGACAAGATCTGGATTGACAGGAGTGGGCCTGGTCCTCTAGATCTCTATACACAATTCCTGCAAAAGGACTGAAGTGTTACATAGTTATATAGCTGAAAAGAGACTTGCGTCCATCAAGTTCAGCCTTCCTCACATTTGTTTTTTGCTGTTGATCCAAAAGAAGGCAAAAAAACCCAGTTTGAAGCACAATTTTGCAACACGCTAGGAAAAAAATTCCTTCTTGACCCCAGAATGGCAGTCAGATTTATCCTTGGATCAAGCAGTTATTACCCTACATTGAAAGATTATATCCTTGAATATTCTGTTTTTGCAGGTATGCATCTAGTAGCCGTTTGAACATCTGTATGGACTCTGATAAAACCACTTCTTCAGGCAGAGAATTCCACATCCTGATTGTTCTTACAGTAAAAAAACCTTTCCTTTGCCTTAGACGAAATCTTCTTTCTTCCAATCTAAACGCATGGCCCTGTGTCCTATGTAAAGTCAGGTTTGTGAATAGATTTCCACGTAATGGTTTGTATTGGCCCCGAATATATTTGTATAATGTTATCATATCCCCTCTCAGGCGACGTTTTGGGCACATAAATAGCACACTGCCTGGTGCCCATATTGCCAAGTTTTCATTTGCATACTGTTGTCCTAGGCATTGGATAGTATCCCAAATTCTGAGCACGTGTTACTATTATTTCTCCAAGGTAAAATATAGAAATGTCACTTGGGAGCATGCTGTATTTCATTATTTACAATTTATATAGTGACAACGTATTCTGCCGGGCTGTACAATACATAAACAAGACAAGCATTTAGCTAAGAAAACACATCAAACATATGGAACAGTGGGTGAAGAGGGCCATGCCCAGCAGATCTTACAATCGGTCAAAATAAATTAAAATAAAGCATGAACATACAGATTGCAATGAGACTTGAATCCAACTGTGAGGGTGAGGAGAATCACACAGGTTGATGTACCAACTGTACGTCGGCCAGCTGCATGTGGCTACAGTCCTCTGTTCTTTGTACTATTTCCATAAACTAAATATAGATTCTTCCTGCATTCAGCACTGAATGATGCAAGTGCTTGCATTTCTCAGAATTACTATTTTCACTATTAGGTGCAAGGTTACTAGAGAAGTTATAAAAGAACTCGTGTGGCTCAGAGAATAGTTACCAGCATCATATTTAGCAGCACAGTACTAAAGATAAATCAAGACAATTCATTCTGATAAACACGTTGGATAAAGAGGGCCCTTTAATTTGTGGTCAGTGTTTAAAGGGAAACTATAGTTCCAACAAAGTTGTTTTCTTGGCACTATGGCCCCCAATAGTGCCCCCCTCCCTGGTTAAAAACCCCTTCAGTCACATTTCTGATTCCAGCGCCAATGTCGCTAAGCGCTGATTCAGGCTCCGCTCTTCCTCCGTCAACATCAGCCAGTATGGGAGGACCTAATGTGCATATGTGGCTCTCATTAGGACTTCCTCTATAGGCAAGCATTGTATAATAATGTTTTCCTATGGGGTTTTGGTGATGAACGTCCTCATGCAGAGTGTGAGGACGTCCAGTGTCAGTTAGGCAACCAAAAGTCGCCTAACCACCCGAAAGTCAGGTAGAGAGCCAATAGAGGTGGAGTTAATCCTCCAAGGCAATTATTGCATTTGATCAAAAACTGCAATAACAATTATTGCAGGGTTAAGGGACCAGGGACAATGCACCCAAACCACTTCAATACACTAAAGTGGTCAGAGTGCCTATAGTGTCCCTTTAAGTACGTCTTGGACACCAGTTGTTACTCTATAGGAGCTGAAGTGTAGCAAAATTTAGGAGGTACAGGAGACATTGCACTCTTCCTTAGTTCATACCAGCAATGGGAGCTGTGATAGCCTGAAAGGACAGGACATTGCTTTTAAAGGTATGTTTTGCAGTTTTACAAAATACTATGAAAATAGCAAAACCATATCTATTATGTGAGAGGTTACCACTTTGAGTTATAGGAAATAAACTGCTATAAAGCCTTTATTCTACTCACACAATATATGCTTACATCCATTAGATCTATCTTTATTTGGTACATTTATAAGCAGAAGCCGTTAACATTGTACAAACAAGTCACACCAGGAACAGAATAGGGAGAAAATGTGCCCCGCAGCTCTCTGCTGAATTTAATTTGTGATATTACAAAATTTTTCTTTCACTGAAGGAAAATGGTGAGTAAGCACTAAACGAACGAGCACTTGAGTCATAAATATCATTAGGACAGAGAAAAACACAAATCTAAAAGCAAGTAAACAATTAATCCACCCAGAACATTTACTGCATGAGAAACATTACAGTGGCCTTCAAAATGCCTGAATAGAATCCGCTTTGAAAACACAGACAGGATCGTGAAAGCTTGCCCGCAACACCATCCACAATATTCGCAGAATCCAACAACGTGAGTGTTACAGCAAAACGGCACAGGAGGGACAACTATCTTGGTAAACTGTCAGATTACTTGGTACAGTAAATACCAAGTGAATGTGTAACTCACCAAGAGCATATATACACACACACACACACACACACACACCCACAGATATAGTGCATTAGAAATACTATACATACCTCAAAGATATTGCCATCTGTGCACTAACATTAGAGACACTTCACACCCTAAACATCTTGCTGATATTGCCACTTGTGTATACTAGCATTAGACAAACCATCAGTACCCAATACATATCTCCCCAGGGTGGATTAAATGTCAATTGTGTGCAATATTGAGGATTGGTAGTGCTTGACTGGTGTGCAGATTTTTGTATTAACTATCCAAAGACTTCAGGTGGAAGGGGTTTTCAATCACAATTTTTCCCCACCATAACCGTTTTTGGATTTTGCTTCCCAAGCACTACCAAGCCTCAATAGCCAACCAGTAACCAACCTCATGCTGAAGAGTTGCATTAACAACGAAACAGCTGTCCATGAGTGGTTCACTGGTTTTGCATCTTTTCCTAAATTGTGTTCCAAGCAGTTGTATACTGCAAACACAGATTAAAAGGAATCCATGTTTAAAATGGAATGAGGCAAAAATGTGATTCTTTGTTAAACTAATTTGCATATGCCCACCCAGAATCCTTTGCGGTTGTAACATCACTGCAGATTTGGGATTTCTGTGGGACAAGCAAGTCTTATGACTTGACTGGTATGCAGATTTTTGTATTAACTATCCACAGACTTCAGGTGGAAGGGGTTTTCAATCACAATTTTTCCCCACCATAACACACACACACACAATATATATATATTACATACATACACACACACACACATATTTAGCGCTTATATTCTCATTTAGAATTGTTAGACACTTGTTCCGAAGCAAATAGAGTGAAAGATCATTCAATGGGATAGTAAGAAGGTTGTGAACCAGTTAACTTGCTAAACAAACTCGGGCTGAAGTCAGGAACATTTTAATATAGTAGCTCTGTTGTGCTGGTGCAGAGGTGAGGACATTCTGAATGTTTTCTCCCACACTAAACCTTTTTTTAAAGGGACAGAACGTTTACCGATGTGCTTATAATACAATGAGAGTTTGGGTACGGTCTACCTGTTTGTCCCCCAAGCTTTAGAGATTTTCCTAGACGCCCTTGCTGTGCTCTCATTGTAGGGTTGAAGACCCTGGCTCCATTTTTTGGGCTCCTCAGGCTCCTGATGCATATCTGGAATGCACAGCAAACCTCGGACCCGAGTAATAGAACAAGCAAATATATGGCCTCATACATTTATCATTATGGCTCTGATGTACCCGTCTATCATCTGTAATGTGCAACAACTTAATTGTGCAACAACTTGTTTCTATTTATCCGTTTCGACAAAACTCAAAATGATTGTCAAAATATAAATACACTATACCTCCTTGTACTGTAACCTGTATATTGCCAAGTACACCAGTTAGCGCTATATAGAAATACACAAAAACAGTAAGTGCAGCAAAGAACATATTGAACCTCTTAAAAATAAGTCAAACGTCACTTAGTTAAGAAACTGGCTGAACCTCTGCAGTGATAAAGGCCCAAACCTTACAACAGCAGAGTCAGATATACTCCAGCAGCAGGGCTCCACATTTGTTCAATGTATTTTTTTATTAGAACCCGGCGAATGGGCCCATCGCCTTAACCCTAAAAATATAAAGTCGGCGCCTTGCTAAATCCATCTGGCTCCTAAATTCCACAAACATCTGTCAATGCAAGCTCTCAGCTGCACCTAGAATATATAGCCTTGGAATCTTTAATAGATGTTAATTCTATTTTCAGAAGCTGTGGGATGTTTCAAAAACAGTGTTCCTTAAGTTTTATACCATTTCCTCTATATTGCAGGGCTAAATTTGGCGGCAGATTTCAATGTAGTTTTAGTCGTAGTCAACTAAATCTCCAGTAGATTTTATTCAACACAACTAAAATCTAATGGGTTTAGTTAAAGCCTCAGTCTCTTTTGCCCCATCCCTAGACCGTCTGGGTTCTCTTTGTGTCCCCCCCCAACCTCTCTAAGTGCCTCACTACCAAGCCCCGGTATGTCTCCTTTGCCCCTTCCACAGCCCCCCCTTGTGCAATTTCCTCTCCTCCCTCATGTGTCTTACCTGTCTGTGTTCATTTTGGCGACACATTTTAATTGGGTTTTAGTCATAGTCTTTTGACTAAAAAGCCATTTTAGCTTTAGTCGACTAAATGAACACTGCAAGAATGCAAGCTCACATGCCATCGAAGCTAGCTTGAAGCTCACATTCAGGTTTTTACCCCCTCGGGCGTTATTTATATTGTTATTGTAATGTCTCTGTTCATTATATATTAATGCTGTGCCATATAATTTTTTGGAGCATTTTGCTTTAGCAGGGTTATTTAATAAAGTGAATTTAAAGTGTAAGGCCAGATTAGACAAATTGAAAGCAGTTCAGGTATTTTTAGCTTAAATTTGGAATTCACTTGTAATTCTAACTTTTGGAAAGAACCATGTTTGTTAAAGGACCACTCTAGGCACCCAGACCACTTCAGCTTAATGAAGTGGTCTGGGTGCCAGGTCCAGCTAGGGTTAACCCATTTTTTCATAAACATAGCAGTTTCAGAGAAACTGCTATGTTTATGAATGGGTTAAGCCTTCCGCTAGAGGCGCTTGCGTGCTTCTCACTGTGATTTTCACAGTGAGAGCACGCCAGCGCCCATAGGAAAGCATTATTAATGCTTTCCTATGTGACCGGCTGAATGCGCGCGCAGCGGCATTCAGCCACATGGGAGGAGAAGAGGAGGATCGGAGGAGAGCTCTCCGCCCAGCGCTGGAAAAAGGTAACCCCTTTCCCGAGCCAGGCGGGAGGGGGTCCCTGAGGGTGGGGGCACCCTCAGGGCACTATAGTGGTCCTTTAACTTAAATTGGAAAGTCTTAAAACTATGTAAAAAAACAAAAAACTGCAGTAACAATGTGTTTTTACATAGCTCAAAGTTTACTTCAGCTCATCAACTACATATTGAAAGTAGGACTCGAGACGACTGACACGGGAGCGGTAATTCAAATAAATAATATTTCCACAATTCCCAGTTTGATATGCAAATAAGTACTTCACACTTTATCATGCAGTACCCTGAAAAATAGGGCACTGTTTAAAACAAAGATTTTTAGAGCAAGGCATAGGGTTGCTCTGATAAAAGGTCTACGATATCATACTGCTGATCCTGGACAAGAAGCTGAGGTCTTTCTGCAGATATATAGACAAGCGGTAATTTGTGGTGAGACCAAGGAGGATAAACCCAGTGTGGATTTTTATTGTGCTCGCTCTCACCACAACTTATATCGTATTGTAGCTCTAGAAATCCACAACATGCCTCGCAGGACACTGGACAGATTCACAAGAGAGAGGAAAAAAAAAAAAAGAAACTTAAGTTTAAAAAGGAACATGTACAGATCAATATCGATCATTCATTTTTTCGTCCCAGGATAAAAAATAAATAAATCCCAAGAGTGAATTAGTGAAAACTACACTGTATGTTGTGTTTTAGAAGGTAAAGAGCAGACCCAATATTGCTTCAAATGTTTTGTAATAGTGATCAGTACATTTGGCAAACACAGACAAAGGACCATTTTGTCCAGCAAACTTGCTTTTATTAAATTATTTTTGTCATTAATAAAATAAAAAAATAAAACATTTCACAAAACACTAAGATATATATATATATATATATATATATATATATATATATATATATATATATTTTTTTAAATATATATTTTTGCGATTGTTTCTGCTTACGCGAAGGATGATCCACAAAGTGCCTGAAGGAGGTCATCTGCTGACAATTTTCAAGAAATAATAAAAATATATAGTGTGTGTGAAGAGCTCCAATGGTGTACCTAGTGCGAGAGTGCCACAAATTCCTTTTTTTTTTATTATTATTATTCCAGTAGGACACAAGGCAAAGCGTGCAGTTTTGGGTTTTTTTAACCTCTTGAAAGCACTGAAATGAAAAAGTCTATACTGCTTTCTTGTGAACACAGCAATGCCCCAACTCCTCAATTAAGCCAGTTAACTAATATAGTATTTTTTTCAATGCACTTTTTCATATCAGACCAAAGAAAAAAAATTCACGCCACCAATTTTTACTTTTTCTAAAACATCTATCTAAACTGCCAATACTGCGAGGTTCTTTTTATTATAATTATTTTAATATAACAGTTTATGTGATCAATCTTGTAGAGAATATACAAAGCACATTTTTGCACATAAACTGAGCCAGACAGGGAAGTGTACTGTGTGCATGCGTGTTCACAGCATAGTTCCTACAGATTTATCTATATGTGAGCAGACTTTAAGTGCGCATATATGAACAACACGTTGGGGTTGGCAAGAGGTCTTCCTAACACTATAGTGCCTTCTGGTGTCTCTCTCCCCCCCCCACCACAATACATAAATGGTTAAAAACACTATTTACTAATCTGATTCTAATGTGGAGTGAGACTGGCGCTCTGCCTCATCCGACAGAGGGACCTAATGTGCATTAGGCCCTTCCCATAGGAAAGCATCCCTGAAGCACCGGTAGTGGCCGTCTGGTAGACAGACACTAAAAGCTGTCTTAGCACTGCAATATAAACATTGCAGTTTCAAGTTTGGGACAAGGACACAGCACCCACACCACTTCAATGAGTGTCCCTTTAAACTCGAGTTTTGGCGACTACAGTGTCCCTATAAGATGTACTGGTTACAAGTTATAGAGGTTATGGTGAAGACAATGTCTAAGAAATGTTGAATTATTTTTTTATGAAAGATCTTATAAACATGTGTCAAATATGTGTCTATAATTGCAATAAATATCTCTATGAAGATATATTTGACTATACTATTACAGGAAGGAAATTGGATATAAAAATTTACCAACTTGCTGCCAGCAATTAGTAATTTATATGTTAACCTGCAACTTCAAAAAACATTTTTTGTAAAAAAAAACAAAAAACAAAAAAAACCTACCTTTAAAATGTGTGAGAGAATAAAATACAATAAAAAAGGCTATTAACAACCCACACATTTTTATGAAAAAAAAAAAAAAAAAGGAGCGATGAGAGGTCCATTACACGGGGATTGAGAAAATATGAAGAAACTGAAGGAGAGGATCAAACATTAGGTCAGCACTATATAAAATCATAATAATAAATAATAATAATAATCATGCCGGTTTAATATATCAAGACTAGTGATGCCCCGAACGGTTCGCCGCAGACTGCGAACATATGACCCTGCACCTCACAGTCAGCAGACACATTCCAGCCAATCAGCAGCAGACCCTCCCTCCTCCTGGACAGCTCACTAAGAATGCAGCTTCAAAATGGATGCTGTCCAGGAGGTGGGAGGGAAGGTCTGCTGCTGATTGGCTGGAATGTGTCTGCTGACTGTGAGGTGCAGGGTCATATGTTCGCCGTCCGCCGTTCGGGACATCACTAATCAAGACTTTTAGAGTTATTCAATGAAATGAGAACTGCAAAATGCGCATTTCTTCACAATCACCATTTTAGTAAATAAACCCAAAGAAGGTTGGAGACAGCTTTTGACATTTTATTAAAGGGACATTCTAAGACAAAGAGCAAAGAGTTAGTTTGTGCTAAGTCAATATAAAACGGTTGGAAAAAGATAAAAATATATATTATATATAAAATTAATTTTAAATTAAAAAAAAAAACAAAAAAACAATAATGGGTTCCTAGTCCCTTCCATTTCCATCCATGTTTTGCCATCTCTAACTTTGGATGACAATGACCGAGCGATTTTAACATTTAGATATTCCTACATTTTTCATTTTAATTAAAAGGGACACTCAACTGCCCAAAATAAACACTATTTAGGAGATATATCCCCATAAAACATGCATGAATTGAATTATACATTTTTATATTGTGAGAGATAGACATCTCTAACAGTTTGGAAAAGCTACTGATAGCTTCCTTTTTCCTCCCCAATATATCTACCAGAACTGCCTCGAGTTTAGCTCCACTGAACTAAAATCAGGAATTAAGAGGACTGAGAGCTGATTGACAGCCAGAATAAAAAAATAAAATAAAAATAAATAAATAAATAAAAACCACACACATTAAAAAGTTGAGGACACACCTTTCACATATAAAGAAGTATGTTTTAAATCACCACAATAACAGCCAGATGGTGTGGAGCAGGGATCTAATCCTAGAATTCTTTGATAGCCATAGATAACCATAGAATCATAAGATGTAACATCATGGGGATCGGGTGTAAGAGCTTAAAGGGAAAATATAGTCACCACAACAACTACAGCTTAATGTAGTTGTTCTGGTGAGTATAATCATTGCCTTCAGACATTTTAATGCAAACACTGCCTTTTCAGATGGCCACTGGACATGCTTCCTGTGGCATTTATTAAAATCATCTTAATGAAGAAGTGCCGACTGGCCAAAATGGTGTTTGGCCCCGCCCCATCCTGCCTCCTTGCCGATTTTAGCCAATCCAATCCTTTCCCTATGGAAAAAGCATTGGATTGGCTAAAAATTGGCAATTCTGATGAGGTTATCAAGGAGGCAGGTCAGGGCCAGCGCACCCGTACCCTATAGTGCTCCTTTAAGATGCTTGATATAGAGCAGCGTTTCCAAACTGGTGTTCCGCGAGAACAAAATTGGGTTTCTGCGGTGATTTGCCTATCAGGTGGCCCAAGCATTTAGTGCTAAACAGGGGATCGGTCAGGCGCCGGGGCTGTCTAAAACCGCGATTGGACCCCTGATATATGGGATGCTGAGAGGAAGTGACAGCACTTCCAGACAGAGAGTGCCGGCTGGAGGGAGGGAGGGAGCAGCGGGGACTGAGCAGCACACCAACCTCAGCCACCAGCACTGAAGAAAGTCACCCTCCTGCAGAAAAAGGTAAGTGAATAGGAGGGTGACAGCAAATATAAAAACGTGTATGTGTGTACATCTGTATTTTAATGTGTATCTGCCATACATTGTGTGTGTGTGTGTGTGTAAATCTGTCAGTATGTTTATCTGAGAGTGTGTGTGTATGAATGAGTGTGTGTGTGTAGGTCAGAGTATATCAGTGTCATTGTGTTTGCGTGTATGTGTCAGTGTATCTGTCAGTGTGAGTATGTGCAAGTTTGTGTGTATCTGTGTTTTAATGTGTGTGCGTGCGCGCGCATGTGCCAGTGTGTGTGTGATGGTCAGTGTATCGGTCAGTGTGTGTACCTGTGCATCTGTATGTATCTGTGTCAAGTTGTGTATATGTATGTCGGTCAGTGTGTGTACCTGTGCATCTGTATGTATCTGTGTCAAGTTGTGTATATGTATGTATGTATGTATGACTATGTGTCGGTGTTTGTTTGTTAATGTGTATGTATATGTAAGTATGTATGTGGCGTGGCATGACATGTACAGAGATCCCAGCAAACACCAAACACATACGCCTGCAAACACAACATACAAAGACACCCCTGAACTCTAACCCTAAAATTATATACAAAAACACAAATACTACAAAAAAAATGTACATCCACATTTAAAATCCAACACTACAGCCAAACATCTCTGCACGCGAATGCAAACATTACATACAATCACATCCCTGTATTAAAACGCTAAAAGTATATACAAACACCAAGCACAATAACTAACGTAATAAGATGTTGTTGTTATAGTACTTTCAAATATAGCAACAACAAAAAAAAAGCCTCCCTCCCGCAGCAAAGAAAGAACAAACACTGAATCATTGTGGCAAAGGATTATACACCTACTTGGTTCTTTTCCTTAGTACATACATTTTTTATATTGCATACATATCCCAGAGCAATTAACTCTTTCAGGATGTTTGGACAGTCTGCTGTATTAAATACAGTGGTCTTGAAAGCGATTTGAATGGTAAGGTACACCTTTTTCATTTTGGTGCGAGGAATTCCTGTATAGGACTTTGCACCAAGGAGACCCAGGTATCAATCGATATCCACAGCCATATTTAGTGGCCCCAACTGACATACGGGTTGTATGCAGCGCTAAATGTGAGCACTGCATGGCGCCCTTTAAACCATTTAAAATCACAGCGGATGAGCGATTCAATGAATCCACCGTGATTATAAGCAGCCCCCTAGACAGAGGGTGAACCTCAGTCTGAAAAAGCCTGATAAAGTCTCAGCATGCCCCCCCCTGCCAACAGTGATTGGTGCTGGGCTGTGCCAGTTGCCTAAAACCAATCACTGTGACCAGCAGTGACAGCATGCAGGAGATCTCCCATTCATGCAACAAGCAGAGCAGACAGCGCTCTGTACTGGAACCGGTTATGAAGTATATTAAACGAGACAATAACATCATGAGGCAAATTAGGGAACAATGTGACTTGTACGGTTACTTCTACCATCCACCCGGATAGAACACTCCAGCTGAGGAAGCCCAAGTGGTGAAACGTATTCTGGACTTTACCCTGTGCGACATTTTATACATGTGTGTACAATATTACATGACTTATACATTTTTTAAATATTTCTAATAAATTGAGCAATATTTAAACCAGGCCTGAGGATCTACACGTGGGGTGCTTTTTAAAATGTGGAGCCAGTTGCATTAGGCTCTTAAATAAGGGTTGTTTTTTTTCTAAAAACCCTCCTTATATCCACCTGTTTAGCAGATTTATGCTGTGAAGTTTTACTCTACTACAGAAATGCAAACCGCTATTTTTCCTGATTTTGAAAAGAAAAGATAAGGGAAGGATAAGTCCAACTATGCTTCACATAAGATCCAAGTGTCTAAATTGGCTCTTTCATAAGAGAGTCTCCCCTTGACTGTGGCTATCATATTAGATTATATTGTATTCATCTTGTTTTTCTTTTAGATATCATTTGGTCTATTTGTCAACTTATTTCACATATTTTTGGCTAAACATTTTATTGTGTAGAAGGGGGTGCACAAAATGTGTGTTGAGCAGCCAATTGGTTTCCACCAAGGGTTGTGTATCATTTCCTACTGGGTCTGGTTAAGGGTATGGCTTTGATGTAACAGAGTGAGGTTTAGTGATAAGCACTTTTATCATGGCTCCTTTACCACCATTCCTTCGTCTAAAGCTGCCAAGCCAGCTTCATTCAAAAGGGGCAAGCAATTATAAAAATCTTGCTGCTGCTGGTACTGAGCTGGAGGTGAATTGGACTAATATGATGTAAACACAATCACACTGGGTTATTACAAGGATTTTAGAAAGAATGGCTGATTTATGTTTGCAGGATTTAAGAGTTAGAATACATATTCATAGATACTAGATAAATATGTAAGCAGTGTTCTTGTTGATCCCAGGTGTGTTTATGCACATCACACACTAACGCGCACTACAGCAGCTGGAGTGCTAAAGGTTAGACAACTCTAGTTTTATCAGAATAAATACACATAATGGCCCTTTAAATCAACAAGACCTACTCTGATATACACACACAGATAGAAAAATGGCACACACTGTGTTAATTACCAAGATTTTCATGAACTTTTTTTTGCATTTCTGATTTAATTTACTAAAATTCTGAGTTTAGTCGATGACCCAGAGAGTACTTGGCTCTTAAAAAAACACCATTAACTCTCTATACCAAATTATACCCACTGGAATGTTGCAGGACAAATTTCATGGTTTCTTGTGCAGATTCCAAGGATGAGATCCGAAGGGTACATTTCCCTGCGCACAGATAACTACAGAATTCACTGCGTTTGCTGCAAGTTTCATGGGTGAGATTCCACAGCTGGTGGAGCCGAGTTTCCTCGTCTCACTCAGGTGATTCACTCCCATAGGTTGTCCAGAAGACCAGTGTGGTCACGTTTCACAGTGCAATCTAATCCTTGCCAACCCTGACAAAATATAGCCAAACCCAGCTTGAGCTGCACTGACGGGGAAAGAGCGCATTATTAAACTTAACATAATGTGCCAGAGAACAGATACTCTCAAACACATTATGGGAGACTACTCCCATAATGCTCAGCAAAACTAGCAATACACTACTAAATAGGGGTCATGGGAAATGGCAAAACTCCTGCTGATGACTCCTGTTCTAGACACCTCTATAAAATCAAAAAAGTATGTTTTATCAGAAATTTGCAAGAAAATAAATCAAGTATCGCAATGCAAAGAAACAGGAAGTATTAGACACGTATATGAAACCTGAAGGGGAAACAACTAAATAGATTGGTTTAAATTGCTTGGCTGTACAAATAGTTAGACGATATAGAACTGCTGGCATTTAACTTTGAAGAGATCGCTGTGAATATATCCATTCTCGGTACTTAATGCCCGCCTTACTCCTAAATTATACATAGATTTGTCCATGCCTGCAGTAATGACATAAAATAGGCAAGTTATTCCATAATAAACAATAACATTCAGTGATGACAGTCGATTTGCTCCATCTATCATTGTAAAAAGTGGGATCATTGTCTAAAATTTCCAACGGGCAACCTAGGAAATATCAGGAACACTTTAGTAGTCTCCCTGGTAAGTTATCATAAACTGTATTTTCAGATATATTTTGTTTTATTCTTCATACTGTTTGTCAACTCACGCTAGTGAACTAACCATTTGGTGTTCGGTATTTATTTTATTTTAAAAATGGAAGAAAATGTTTGCAGAGTTGCTTTTGATAAGAGAAGATAAATATTTGTTTAGTGGAGAGACTGCTGGTATTCTCAGGCTGGAAACATTGCGTAAACTGGATCCTAAAAATATCATTTCAGAAGCTGTTGACAGGTCTACCCCCTGCCTCCAAACCAATAGAGCAAAAAGAGAAACTAAAACGTTTACAGGGTTATTCAACAAATTCAGTATTGAGGAAAACGGACAAAGTTTAAAACTTTAGGCCAAATTGTAAAAATTCTACAAATCAGCTAAAATTACAGCTAGGTTATCTTGTCCTAAAATCTCCAATTCCCTAGTCAAAACTCTGCAAACCCAGGCTAGTAAATAAATCTCACCAGAAATAAAAAAAAATCTAACTGCACAGGGGTATCGGTTTGCAGGCACGTATCACAGAGCTGAGCAGCGAGCCAGGTGAAATAGGACTGTGTCAATGCGCTTATTTAATGAAAAATTCCAAAAAAATGGGTTTTCCCTTCAGCCATCTTAGGGGAAGGCAGAACAAACTTCAGAGACCATTATGAAATGTCAGACACCATCTTGCCACTCTCATATGATGACATAATCTGACGCTTTATTCACTTGACCTGATTTGCCCTCTGTCAAACATGGCCAGCATTATAAAAATAAACTGGTGAGTGTCTGCCTACAAACAGGGTGAATTCTAAATATGAGAATACAATTCTTAATTCACCACAATAAATAATGGGCAGGCACTGTCTTCATAGCTATAACCAAAAATATACTGCATACACTTCTATTGTACTAAAAGAGCGAATCCTTGTGTACCCTGAAAAGGCAACAAATTTATCACATGTGCATTCACTTTACAGTGAGTCTCCAGTTTCTATGTCACTCACCAATTGTTTAGCAATGCACCAGAAGATATAACCACTCTTAACAATGGGCAAACATTAAAAATTTTCGAAGTTACTTGTTTATAACAAAAAGCTTGTGTAGGCCCAACTATAGGTCTCTATCCAAGCATATCAATGGAGGCAAATTCCTTTTAGTCTACAGTCAAACAACTCTCTCCATCCAGGATTTACCAGAGTTTAATTCAGGTTTAATTGCTTCGGGCGTAGATTAAAAGTAATTTTTGTTCGTTTGCACCAACTTAAAAGAATTTGAGCGCAAGTCTACCAATTATAGTTTTCAGTTTTACCTGGCATTTGAAATAATGGAAGTGTGAATCCTTTTTGAAACACCCATGGAATTGAACTGCAAAATTTATGGAAAAGAGCTATTTGGGGGGAAAAAACAAACAAAAAACATATGGTATAGCCGAAGCTTAGCTATGTTAGCCTGAATTTTGCAATACAGTTTTCAATTCACTGCAATTTATTTTTTAGAGAATACAACACATGTGTTTCAAAGCTGCCTTCTAGTTATGTGCACCTCCTTATCCCCAAAATTATAAACTAAAATACAAAATGCTAAATTACCATAACTAATTCTTGGCCGGACATCCATTCCACAAAGTTGAGGAATTTAGAACTTTCCTTAAACATTTACAATGTAATAATGAGTTAGCATCCCAATAAATAAATACTGTAAATATCACAATTCTCCCTTCTGTGCATATAACTGTTCTGAACTGATAGCTGTACCCAGTTTCGGGAGTAAATTTTAGGTTAGTGTATAAATAAAAATGAAATAAAACTCATGGGATCCCTGCTCTAAGATGCAACCATGCAAAGGTCACCACATACGTTGCCCCAAAATATCCATATTGTTTTCTCACAAAGAGCTCAGAACCAAACACTGACCTGTCCTTACACTGAAATCCCACAGCAACCGCCTGTTAGATTAACCCCTCAAAATCACATAAAGTAATACATTTTTTTAAATGGAAGCCTCCCCCACATAGCCCAAAAATAATTAGCAAATCCAAAAATAAAATGATCAAAATAAACTGCAGCTCCCTATTCACCATTGCTCCCAAAAAGTCACCTCTCAGATATTACTGGCAGCCCCATATTTAGCAGAGACCGCAAGTGACATTACCCCAATATTTAGCAGGGACCCCAAGTGACATTAGCCCCATGTTTAAGAGAAACCCCATATTTAAAAGGCCACCTAATTTACATCAGCCCCATATTTAAAAGGCACCAATCATAACATTAACCCCACATTTAAAAAGGAGTGGGTGGGGGTTAAATGACATTAACCCCCACATTTAAACAAGAGTGGGGGTTAAATGACATTAACCCCCACATTTAAACACGAGTGGGTGGGGGTTAAATGACATTAACCCCCACATTTAAACAAGAGTGGGTGGGGGTTAAATGACATTAACCCCCACATTTAAACAGGAGGGGATGGGGTTAAATTACATTAACCCCACATTTATATAGGAGGGGATGGGGTTAAATGACATTAACCCCATATTTAAAATGCACTATTAATATAACATTACCATATACCAGATATATAAAACAACAATCCCAAGTTAAGCTGCCTGCCCCCAATTTAACCTGGGCCCCCACACCCCATACCAGTGTCTGCACCCCAGGAGTGCCCCTACTCCCCGGCAGCCCCCACATACCAGCTTGCACCCCAGAAGTGCCCCTAACCCCAGCAAAAACCTCACCCAAGCAGCCCCAGAAGTGCCCCCACTCCCATCAGCCCCCCACGGCCGTGTTCACCCCAGGAGTGCCCCCACTCACCATCAGCCCCCCCATACCCGTGTCTGCACCCCAGGAGTGCCCCCACTCCCCAGCAGCCCCCCATGCCCGTGTCTGCCCCTGGAAGCCCCCTGAATCCTACCAGCCCCACAAAGTGCTGTAAACTCCCATCACCGCCCACATCCAGCCCCCGTCTCACTTATAATGCCCGAGCTAGGCCCCCGGACCGGGAATGCCGTCACCCCGCAGCCCTGCCCATTGATCCCGGCCCCCGGCCCCTTCCCAGAGCCGCGGCCTGCACTGGGCTCCCGCCGGGGGCTCGAGTACTCTCCCAGGCCGGGGATGTAAACACCCCGCCGGGCCGCACCGTGTAGGCCTCTCCGCTGCCCGCTCCCTCCAGGCTGGGTCCTCGGGTACAGGGGGAGCCCCGGGCCGGGGGGGGGATGGCGGCTGGCGGGGGGTCCGGCCGCTCCGATCGGGGGGGGAGTCAAGACTTACCTGTCATTACTTTCTACGCCATCTTGGATCGACTTGTCAGGGGCCGCGGTGCATGGCGGGAAAGGGCTGAGAGTTCCTGTGAGGGGAGGAGAGAGAGAGCACTCACTGCCAGGGGGAGGGGGGAGAGAGAGAGCACTCACTGCCAGGGGGAGGGGAGAGAGAGAGAGCACTCACTGCCAGGGGGAGGGAAGAGAGAGCACTTACTGCCAGCAGGAGGGGAGACAGAGAGAGAGAGCACTCACTGCTAGGGGGACGGGAGACAGAGAGAGAGCATTCACTGCCAGAGGGAGGGGAGAGAGCTCACTCATTGCCAGGGGGAGTGGACAGAGAGAGCACTCACTGCCAGGAAGGAAAGCGAGATCACTCACTGCCAGGGGGAAAGAGAGCTCACTTATTGCCAGAGATAGTGTGTGGGGGGGGGGGGAGCTCACTCACTGCTAAGGGCATGGGAGAGAGCTCACTCACTGCCAGAGGAGGATAGAGACATCACTCACTGCCAGGGGAGAGCTCATTCGTTGCCAGATTGGGGGAGAGAGTGTTGATTAACTGCCAGTGGAAGGGGAAGAGAGAGCTCACTGCTAGGGGAGACATGTAGAGAGAGCACACTGCCAAGGGAGACAGGTAGAGAGAGCTCACTCGCTTCCACTGCAATGAGGTGAAAAACATTTCACTAACTGTCAGTGGGATTGAAGGAGATAGAGCTCACTCAATCACTGCTACTGGGAAGGAGGGAGAGAAAGCTCACTCAATCACTGCCACTCAGTGCCAGGGAGAGGGAAGTTTACTTACTGTAAGGGGGGGAGAGGATAGAAGGTTTACTTACTGCAGTGGGTTAGAGAGAGCTCACTCACTGCAAGTGGAGGTAGTTGAGTACCTTAACTGCAAGAAAGAGTGGAAAGAGACTGCACTCAATGCAGGAAAAAATGGAGACAGAGATTGTACTCATTGCAGGGAGGAAGAGGACTCCCTCAGTGATAGGATAGGAGAAAGGCAAGACTTATTGCAAGTGTGAGTGAAGAGAGAAGGAACCAGCTCAGTAACTCCCAAGGTAAAAGAGGCCGAACATACTCAATGCAAGTTCACTCACTGCTGGAGGCAGGAGAGAGCATCACCTGCAGGGAGGGAGGGAGTGTTCACTTACTGCCATGGTGCTGAGGGAGCTCACTCAAACCTGGGCAAGTAGAGAAAGCACCCTTCACTTTCTCTGCTTTCCTACTGAGAAAGAGTAAGAGATATAGCTCACTCACCTCAAGGGCAGGTAGGAAAAAGATCACTCACAGCCAGGTATAGGGGAAGGCAGTGAGTGCAAGATACATGGCCAAAGGTAAGGGACAGCTGGCACTCACTGCACAGGAGGGTAATTCTCACTATCAATGGAGTGAGCTTGGGAGGTCCACCATCTCGCCTCATGTGTGCCACTATCCCCCTACTTCTAGCTGCTCTCATATATTGAATTTTCTCCGAATACAAACCCTATTGATAGAGCTATTGGTATATAGGCTTTTGGTGTAACAAATGGGTAGGCCAGACTTGGGAAACATACTTTTCAAACCACAACAAATGCTGTAGTGGTTATGGTGCTTAGACTACCTCTTTAACAGTAAATTTAGTGGTAAATTTAGATTCCTTCTGTTCTGCAGGAGGGTTCACTTTTGGTAAATATTTTATTACAGCAGCAAGAGTGTTTTTCTTAATCTGTTATTTTATATACATTCATTCCAAACATGAGAAGGGAGGGTGGAATTAGGGGAAACTCATTCAGTGCCAGGGTGCATTCACTCAGTACTCGGAGTAAAGGAGAGTATGAAAACTCACTCACTGCCAGGGACAGGGGAGATTGAGACCCCACTCACTGCCTGGGACAGGGGAGATTGAGACCTCACTCAATACCTGGGACAAGGGAGATTGAGACCTCACTCACTGCCAGGGACAGGGGAGATTGAGACCTCACTCAATGCCAGGGACAGGGAAGATTGAGACCTCACTCACTGCCAGGGACAGGGGAGATTGAGACCTCACTCACTGCCAGGGACAGGGGAGATTGAGACCTCACTCACTGCCAGGGACAGGGGAGATTGAGACCTCACTCAATACCTGGGACAGGGGAGATTGAGACCTCACTCACTGCCAGGGACAGGGGAGATTGAGACCTCACTCACTGCCAGGGATAGGGGAGATTGAGACCTCACTCAGTGCCAGGGACAGGGAAGATTGAGACCTCACTCACTGCCAGGGACAGGGGAGATTGAGACCGCACTCACTGTTAGGGACAGGGGAGACTGACACCGCACTCACTGTTAGGGACAGGGGAGACTGACATCGCACTTACTGTTAGGAACAGGGGAGATTGAGTCCGCACTCACTGCCAGAGACAGGGGAGACTGACACCACACTCACTGTTAGGAACAGGGGAGATTGAGACTGCACTCATTGCCAGGGATAGGGGAGACTGAGACTTCACTCACTGTTAGGGACAGGGGAGACTGACACCGCACTCACTGTTAGGAACAGGGGAGACTGACACCGCACTCACTGTTAGGGACAGGGGAGAATGACACTGCACTCACTGCCAGGGATAGCGGAGACCTCACTCACTGCCAGGGATAGCAGAGACTGAGACTGTACTCAATTTTACTGACAGGGGAGACTCACACCGCACTCACTGCCAGGGATAGGGGAGATTGAGACTGCACTCACTGCCAGGGATAGGGGAGATTGAGACTTCACTCACTGCCAGGGACAGGGGAGACTGACACCACACTCAATGTTAGGAACAAGGGAGATTGAGACTGCACTCACTGTTAGGGACAGGGGAGACTGACACCGCACTCACTGCCAGGGACAGGGGAGATTGAGAGTGCACTCACTGCCAAGGGCAGAAATAACTCCCTCGGTGTCAGAGACAGCATAGTAATCAAGGTATTTGAGTTGCCATATTAGTCCAGTAATGTGGATGCACAATAAATATTACATTATCTTTTAATACCATTTTTATTGGACTAACAGAAATTTGTAATGACCAGCTTTCCATTCCTCCCTTTCTCAAGTCTAAAACCCAACACATACAGAGACAGATGAATACATCATGGAGGAAGATGAAGATAGCGTTAAAATGTTTGGAATCCGATCCCCTGTGAGCACTTTATAAAACAAGGACAGTAAGTTAAAAAGGACTGGTCACAGGAAGGAAGAGCTGGGACAATCAGTGGGAGTGAGTGTGCGTGTTTCAAAGATAATATGATCTCAGTTCTTGAAAAGGAAGGTGCTCCCTCACGCTGGGAGTCATCTAAGTCTTTGTTCAGGGTAGGAGTTCTCGGTGTGTCCTCAGGCCACGGTGGAAAACCTTGTGACAAAACATCTGCTAATGTCAGCACGAGGACTTCGAGCTTTATTCGCTGAACCCTAAACTGCAGTATATTGAAAACAGCAAAATTTAGGCAATTTTTTTTTTAAATTACAGATTAATTCTCCAACTTGCACATCGTTATTTACTTAACTTTGGTTTCTGGGAGTTGGCACTCACATTACAAAATTTATCCAACAATAGTAGATTTAGAAAACATCACCAACTCCGCTACAATTCCAGCTTGATTGCTTTAGCCTAAAAGGTGCTCTTTAGATGTCAATTCACTGTGAATTTGGAGTGTAACTACAATTCAATTCTGTGTTCCACAAATAAACCCCTTGTATGAAAGGCTTGCATGTGCCCACCCGCATGGTCAGGTATCACACATGGCCTGGGATAATCAAGCATATTGACAATGCTTGTTCCCATGAGGACCTTATGTCAGAAGACCCATGGACCACCGACAACATAAAAGACATTTTGAAACACTCATAGGACAAAATAGTAAAAACGTCAATTCACAAATATATTGCATATGACCTTGCTTACACATATAAAGTGGATCTTCACGTCTCCAGCTGAAATGCTTTATGTGTCTGCTGTTCCTTTAATTGTACTGGGTGGGTTTTCCATCCACCTGCCGTTCTGCTCCCTCCCACAATCAACAATATTCTTTTTTTGTTCCAGTAATGTGTACCTGTATGTGAGATAATCACATGTACCTGTATTGACCACAATGGCTGCACAGTACAGATTTGCACATCATTTCGAACCCTCTGCATTGCCCTAAATGTTCTACAGTTCACACGTTTACGGCTAAGCCACTTCCTGGTTTAATGAGTGTGCACTGCAGAAGCTGAAAAGCCTACGGATATATAATGCTGGAACAACAAAATAGCATTTCTTATTTTCTGTATTTATGGATTATTAATTGAATGCATTAAAATTAGTAATGACCATCACAAGACCTGGACTGTCTGTTTAAAATAAGCACTCCAATTCTATCCCACACCACTGTAAGTAGTCAAACCATTTTAGAACATTTTAACTTCCTATCTGGGGATTGCTGGGCAACACTCACACCTGCACCATTTCTGCTGATTGCACTCAGCCAATGAGCAGAGCCCTGTACCTGGGGTTAGCGCATTGGCCAGAGAGCTTCTTGCGTTCTTTCGAATGTAGTGCAGGCAGGGAGTGGACCCCAGCTATCAAGTTAAGCCATTTTAATGAATTATATATATATGACACTTTTTGATTTTGTATTTTAGGAAATTATACATTTAATAAGTGCTTAGCTTTTTTTGCTGATCCTGCTAGCAACTGTTTGTTCTTTGTAAGCAGCATTTTGAACATTCTAGAAATGCTTGTATTCAAGACATCCGCCAAGAAGTTAGCATGTATCTATCTTCTAGCTGTCCTCTCCAAGATACGGAGTGCCGAAACCACTTGCAGCCTGCATTCATCCACTATCTCAGAATCCTGATAAGCAGAAGTTATTTTTTTGTGAAGTTATCCAATGACACTCCTCCAGATTATTCCGAGAAATGCGACCCTGGGAAAGAAACCAACGTCTCTTTACAAAATCTTCTACTCCTTGCATAACACTCATCCAGCTTAAAATGGTTACCAAGGCTCTTCCTTTGTTCTGAAGTGATAAAAAGGACACTCCATAAACCCCTCCCCCCAAAAAATTCACTGTTTTGTACATTTACCCCAATGAAAACATGCATGCAGTTAATTATGCATATTTTTTTATTGAGGGTATATCTAAAACCATCTTGCAAAGTCTGCAGCCTTTTCAAGCCCTCCCCTTCTAACCCCACCCAGACTTTCTGTGGCCATCCAATCACAGACTTCCCAATGCAGCTCAATGAGAAGTCTTTCCAAGTCAGGTGCTCTGGGCAATTGCAGCCTCCTGAGTTTAGCTCCATAGAGCTAAACTATGAAGTGACAGGACTGACAGGCAAGTGGTATAACAAAGTTGATTTATACAAATTCCAATTTCTTTTGAATTTGAATTAATTTAATTTAATAATAAAAAAAAAAAAACTCACACAAAGCATTTCAGCAGGCTAAAGTACCTTATGGGGCCGGAGTATCTCTTTAAGCAATCTATTTGGTTCTTTTCCACAAAAGCAAGTGAAAACGGTTTACAACAAACATGAATCAATAAAATCCAACCATTTACAGTTTTTTTTTTTATGTTTTGTCATTGCCCGGCGGGGACCAAGGTAAGAGGACAAACCGTTGTTTCAGGCTTCCAGGTACTGAGAATCTCTAGTAAATGGTGAGTAAATCATTTAGTAAGGATGCATGACCCATTGACTACGGGAATTCCAGGCACCTGTGCAATGTGTGGATATGGTTACATTGCCTACACTGCTCCTTTAAGGCTACTAATGCATCATGGGATTTGTAGCTTCACAGTGGCTGAGGGGGTCTACCTTTTGACTACATAACAAAAAATGTGACTGCTTGATACAGGAGGACTAACTGGATGTATGGCAGAGTTTAGCAAAGCTAGAGCCTTTTGTGGCTCAGAAATGAATACATGGGCAAGACTTTATCGGAAGTGTGTTTATAAAACGGAGGATGGACAGCTGAGTATTGCTGACTCATGATTGTTAAAGTAGCACTGTCAAACCACCCCCTCGAAAAATTAGTATTTTATTAAGATAGAATTTCACTGAAATTCTGAGATATACAGAGACAAAGTGGGGACTGCCACAGTTTAGAAGTGTCAATACCCCAGCCATCACCAGTGACACCTGCAGGGAATTGGCTCGATCTGCAGTCTCGTGGGATCCTCCATAGTTCCAAAATTGTACTCTTGTCAGCTCCGCTGAAGAGGACCTGCCGGGTAAAGATGTTTGCACACACAAGGTACTAATTCAGGTAAGTAAATCTCACCTTTGCCTGCGTGCCTGGACCGCAAGCAGCTATGTTACCGCGTTACAGGTCTTTGCAAATTCTGACAGTGCAGCTTTAGTGCCTGTCTGAGTTTATAATATGATCCATGCTTGCAAAATGTGTGTGATATTGCCCTTCCAAGCAAGTAAGCACAGAATATAGAATCCATAATTCCATTAAATTAAATCCCCATATAGCAGAGATCCATTTTATTTGTTAATACGTTTCATAGCTTTCTGGCTTTTTTTTTTTTCTCCTTGTAAGAAATACAATTTACTAAGCAGAGAAATGCATACTGTATATGTAGTGTAAACAGAATCTTGATTTGAGATTCTTAATCCGTCCGATAAGCAAAATAAGAATTCTGTGCAGATTTAGAGATATACAGGCAGAATATCCAATGAGTTTCTGTAAACTCTTCCTATGGATCTTGCGTCACACCTTTACCATGCCTTGTAACACTGCCATCACTGCATAAACAGAACGATGTTGTCTTTGTAATAACTTTAAAGTTGTCCAAGAGCCACATTAATAAACCACACGGTGCCAGGTTTCCACTGCCTGATACACTTTAATGTTTTACAAAAACCATCAGAAACGACCTCTCCCCCTCATAAAAAAAACAAAAAAGTCAAAAGCAATATAGAGCTGGATCTTTCTACAGGAACACTAATGGCGGTAACACAGGCAGGTGTACATGTGTTTTATTATTAAGGTTTAACAATCAGCATTCCTTAATTTCTTGCTCTTAAACTTAAAAGAGAACATAAAAAAAAATAACAAGCACTGGTCCAACCCATTCTTTACCCATTTGCTGCCAGAGTGTCTGTAACATGAGCCAACAATACAGAGAGCAGCCCCCAGGAGAGAAAGGACATACTGATCCAGCACTAGCGATCCGCTGGTTAGTAAGGCACTGCATGGCTCATTGCAGATTGTGGATCATCTCCTCTTTGGCTATGAGATGGGTGGTCTTGTTTACCAACGCCATCAAGGAGTTCAGTTTTTGGGACCAGTCATTGAGGAGGTCGTTAGGGTCCTTGGGCCTCTGGAAGTTGATAATCCCGGCCAGTCTGTCTACTTTAGCATAGATAGTCTTATTCACCACCAGAGTGGAGAGGAATTCTTCAGATTCCTGGAAATAAAGTAAAGAAAAATAATGAAATGTAGGTATAAACACAAACCCTTCAGACCGGTTTATGAAATGAAGTTTTGTTGTCTGTATACCAACTAGTGGGAGAGAATTATTAAATGAACAAATGGCAAAAAAATAAATAAAAAATAATCTATGGATGTGCCAAATAAACAACTTCATCTGAAAAATCTCTTAAAACGGCTGCTGGCCTACGGCATGCGCTAAAGTAGTGCTAGTGCGTAGTACTTACATCAATGGAGAGATCCAACAACTGTGCCATTCTTTTCATGGTGATTCTGGTGTAATATTTAGCCATAATTCTAATATTCTGCAATAAGAGAAACATACCACGTATAAAATATAATAGCTCATACATATAGTATCACATTTCACAAATAAAGGGAGCTCATATTTGGAAACAATAGAGACAAACGGGGAATCCAAAAACCTGGCTGTGACCTAGAGCCCAAATAAAGATTAAAATTAATAAATACATTTAAAATTGTACTAGTTTTATGCAGTATCACCAAGTTACATCAACGAGCAAACAAATCTATTAACACCAAATAACATTAAAAGGAACTTGTAAAAAAAAAAAATGTGTTTTTTTAACCACAAACATTGACAAACTGGTGAAAAGAGGTGGCAAGTTAAGGCACAATACATGCCGTATGAGATACCCCGTAGTGTCGTCTTTTACAAATGGTAGAACTTTGTAGGGTTATTTGAACAGTCAAACTGCTATAATGCCCCAAAGTGAGGGTCCATCAAAACCATCTATGAAAATTCTAGCCATAGAAACGTTAAAATACCTACTTTACAAAAATATATATGTTTGTATGGCAATGTTGTTTTCTGTGATGGGTATTAAGCTTGATAAACATACCCAGGACATACTTAAACTAGAGAAATCTCAATGTATCTTTCCTGGTAAAATATTTTATAAATAAAATAAATATCAACTTCTAAAATTGTTTCACATTGAAATGTTATTTTACTCCTTGGATTTTGTGACCTGTAACTATGAAAATAAACTGAAATACTAGCCATTATGTACCCTAAGTTGGGGCAAATAAAATAATTCATTTTGAATTACATTTCTAAGCTGCAGTTACACACACACACACACACACACATTATTATTGCCAACTTGTAGGGCGGAGGGGCGGAATTGTTTTTATTTATTTTTTAATTTTCTATTATAAATTGGAATTCATGTAGGTCACATCAAATTAAATCCCCCTTTTAAAAAAGGTGTATAATGTGTGTTGATGCAATAAATTAGAAAAACGCAAACTGCAGTTGAGCACAAACAGCAAAAAATGCAGAATTACTTGTGTTCTTAAGTGCGAGACAGGCTTCTGAAGCGATGTCCTCAAAGGGATATTCACAAAAAAATAATCCAGTTCTAAACGGCTAATAATTCTGTTTGTACATTGTGAATGTTGAAAAACTAAAAACATGGGCTGGAATGTGTTTTCATAATTTTATTCTCCCCACCCGTATTTCAGAAGCACCTCTCCGTCTGTTTGGCTAGTACAATATAAAGATAAAATTAATAGCAATCCTATGTTTGTGTACAATGTGCAATCACAGCAGCAGACTGCACTTAATTGGTCATCTGCTACCTCTCCATTCAGAGAGGACTTACATGTTCCACCACCCTGTTTTTCAGGTCTTTCCATCGTTTCTCTCCCTCTTCGGTGTAGCTAAAAACATCTGTTGCTGTGCTGTCCAGAGACCCTTCCCTGAGTTCCTTCCCATAATCCTCTACCAGGTTACTCCAGCGCATCAGTTCCATAGTAGTGAAGAGCTTCAACAGGTCCCTGGAGAACACAATAGGGGTTGGTATCTTAGCAACTACTGAAAGACCATCAGACTTTACTTCCTACAGAATCTACCCAACTAAAGTAATGAAATACTTGACATTGGCCAGAATAGTTCAGCATGGCCACAGTGTTGGCCCAAACTCTATTGTGATCTACGAACACCATTATCAACGCTGGTTACTTAAGCCAATAATGGTAAGACTTGGCTACAGCTACATATCCCATGATGCTCAGCTGGCCTTAAGATAAGTATTGATTAACCAAAAACACTATTACTATACCAGTGAAATCCTTTACTTACTTATATTTTGGGATGTCTTCCAATTTTTTGTCAGTATTTATTCTATGGACCAGGTCGGACTGTTCATTGTCGTACGGTGAGAGGATTACATAAAGCACAACGCTCTTCAAAGCCTATTGGTAAGGATGTAAGACAGCATGTGTGTCAGTTAAATGTACATATTAAAGGGTCACTCCAACCACCATGACCATTTAGGTGATTTAAAGTGGTCATGGTGGTAGGAGTCTGTATGTGCTGTGTTTCAGCTTGGCCTAACGTCAATTCTGTGCATAAACTATGTCTGACTTTAAAATCTTCCCCTTCCAAGCAGAGCACATGCATGGGGAAGACAAATCTCCCCTCCCACCTCCCTTCGTGCTCATTGGTGGGGGTTGGTTATTTTTCCCCCAGGTTTTACACAAATTGAAAGGGGACTTAAACTCATTTAATGCTTCTACTAATTTGGTGTGATTTCTCTAAAATGCAAATAATAAACCCTGCATGAGTCTATTTTTTAATGAATCGAGCAAGCTTTAAACTTGAAATGGGAGCATCATAAAATGTTTCAATGCAAATTACACCATATGTTAGTTATGCAGCTATGTCATACTATAGAATTAATGTACACTTGTGATCATGCAGTTGAGCATCCAACAGAGACCACGCAGGACAGGAGGCTTGTTTGTCTACATAGCTGCATTACTTTAACAGGCTGCATTTTAACAGGTCAAAAATGTTAAAATGACAAAATACTGCTCAACAAAAAGCAATATTAGATTCCATTCCTCTAGGTCTCCAAGAATAAAATCCATTTAATTACATGTAAAATTGATAAATAAAATCAAACCTTTTTCAGATAAATAATTCCCCATTACACTTGCCATGTTTTTACTAAACAGGAATCGTCTCATGTCATTAGCCAATAATTGTATTACCTTCACAAAATTAAACAATTGACACGTAGCCACAAAAATACAACACCCATGATCCTTTAGCACACACGTATAGCGAATTGAAATGAAATTGATTTCGACAGGAAATAGATGCACACGAACTCGGTGGAAGATCTTGCAGTGAGAAATCACTAGCCGTGTCAGGTTGAAAGCTCTGCTTGTGTACATGTGAATAATGGAAATCTCTTCTTACCTGCTGCCACTTTTCACTCTCGGCCTGGATACATGGGGTGTCGTAAATGGCTCGGTAGTGTTTACAGATTGATAAATAGGAGCCCTCGTGTTGGTCCAGTTGAATCATTAAATTGTAATATTTCAGTTTCAGGTTCTAGAACAGAAGATTGACGAGACATTGTGTGAAATAAGCAGTTGCCAAGAAAACTAGAGTATTCTCAAACTTCTGTGCCAAGCATTCATATCAGCACTCAGTACAGTTTCACATAATGTGGAGTACTGCTCGATATTAGCACAGTATTCCTCTTCCAATCACTCATACATGAAGGCAATACAGAGTGTCACTCATTAATAAAATACAGACAGGAACTTTATAGATCTGCACTTGCCTATTTCCAGTGCTTAGCAGATAGTAAACACTAAAGCAGATGGAAAAAACACGGAGCCTACAACATTCATGGAAATCAAAACAGACAGAAGACACTAATCAGCACAATGACGCACGGGATTTACCTCTGTGTTGTCGTCTTGGAAAAACTTGGTGTTGATTTTCTTGCTGATGATTTGGGTTCGAATGTAATCTTTAACAGCAATACAGAGTCGCATCTGCTCCAAAATAAATTCCACTTTCTCCTTTTTCTCCATTGAACCATACGTCTCCACCTAAAATGGCAAAATAATCACAAAGGAAACAAGATTATCTCAAGGAACAGAGAGAGAGAGAATCTAATTCATTATGTTACAATTTTAGCCAAACTTGAATCTATTTCTGGACTCCATAGATAAGTGTCCCTTTCTTTTTTTAAAGAATAAAATTAAAGAGGCAGAACTTTAACATTGATGTTAAACATTTCAGACAAAGACAGGATACAAAAGGGCAGAAAGCAGTGATCTCTTCAAAGCCACCCAGGGTCTTACACCTGGCTTTTAACAAATTATTATTCAAGTATAAGAAGTATTCACTGTGGTTTTTATAGGTCATAAATAATATAAAGAACTAAATCGGAAATGTGCAAGAGAGTGAGCTCAAACAAGACTTTCTATGATAGTCTAGATTGTCCAACAGAAAGGTCTCAAGAAATGTATTGCTATATCTTTAGACAAATTTTGTTGTTTTGCAGTAATGTATCAAGTAATTTGGAACAAGCTCTTCTATATTTTCATATAGCCAATTTTTTTAAAGAATTGATCAAGGTTCAGGATTGGAATTCTGTGCATAATCTATCTGTAACGCATCTCCCTCCACATGTTGAAAAGATCTGCCACTAAATCGAGCATCTTTTGGATCAATGTTGATAGTGACCCCAATTTTTAAATCCCTTATATAGACATTGCATTACCCATGTGAAATAAGATACATTCCTTAAAAATTTCCATGCAGCATGTGCAGTGAGCTCTTCATAGACCAGCAAGAGAGTCTGCCAATCAGACAATGATGCACAGGGAGAGATTTATCTCATGAATACATATTCAGCAAAAAATGATGGGATATGCATTTCAGGCCCAAGCACCAGTTGCATTATAAGATCGGCTGAGTGAGCCTTAACAGCCTCTCAGTTTACAGATGATTCAATTTAGTTTGTGAGAGCAAGAGGCTGATACACAGATATGTACAATATTGGAGTGTAATAAAAATAATAGATCCATCTTGTAATCCTGGCTCTATGGTCACCAAGTTTCCTTGGTTAGCAAGTTATTGATGAGTTTAGAGACAGTTACCTGAAGTTCTTGTAAAATGGATGAAGCCTCTGTCACATCCCCGCTCTCCTCTTTCATACCAGCCAGTGTTTTAGTGATACGAGCACGTTCAATCTCTACGTATATCTGCAAAAGACAAAGCAAGAAAGTTGTGTCAATCTTACCACATTCTATACAAGTAGGGAGTCATCAGAGTACTTAAATGGACAATCTATTCACATCAAATACAGGGCTGCCCTTCTACCTAAAGCATGACCTCTCTCTGCCGCAGCCAAAATAATGAGAAATTTTCCTTTAAAGACCTAGTCTAACTTCGATGGCAATAACAGACTGTGAGCAAAGGGCTAAACTGTGCCCAGTATTAATTATATTTTATATATATATATATATATATACACACTCAAATGTCCAAATATGAAATAATGTCACCCACACTTACAAACACCCTCACTACCACACTCAGATATCCTTATTTTACAACTGATGCCACATCCGCACATGACAATACAGCTAGGGGACATAAACACAGATGATCTTTAAATATACTCCAAGTACAAAGCCGCAGAAATGATTCATTTTACTAAGCAAACAAATAGTAACTGCTACAAAAGAAATTGGACATTTTTGTCAATGAAGAGAGACCTCACCTTTCCCTCTGTAACAGATCGGAGTGTGTCGATCAACCGCAGTTTAGTGGTAAGGTCTGTGATCTCCTCTACATACTCACAGCTTTTCTGTACCATTTTCACAACCGCCTGCAATGCAAACAAAACAAGGATATTGAAGTTTATTTGGTATAAACATGCTCACTGAGTTAGGGAGCCAACAAGCCCTTTAGGGACATAGTACAATTACATTGTTACCCAATCAGTTACAATATAAAATAATTAAGATTTCGGTTAGCATCACCAAAGGGTACAAAAAAAATTCTAAAAAAGGAATGGCTGACATTATCTCACTCCGGCAGATGTGGACTATGCTGCCTATGATGCCGAGGCAGCTGGCAAACACAGAGTAGTTCATCTGTGGTAAAGGTTAGCAATCAATGTTCTCAACAGAAACGGCTATATATTAGAAGTTCCCTCTTTGCTTTTAAATTGTCTGCTGCCATTTAGGCCATGAGTGAAAGCATGTGGACCCAGGACATACTTGAAAACGAGAGAAATATCAATGTATCCTTCCTGGTAAAATATTTTATAAATAAATAATCCACATCCTCAGAATGAGCCAATAAAAAGCAGTCTTCACACTCACCTGTTTGAGTTGGCTCCTCCTCTTTGAAAGAAGGATGATGTTTTCATTAAGCAAATCCCAGTCCTTGGCTTCATAGCACATTTTAACAATAGCCACCAAGATACGAGAAGTGGAAACCATATCTGAAGCCTGTGAAAAATAAATAGGCTCCCGTAAATATATGACTTGTTTCTTACATATCAGGGGTTACTGCCCTCCAGTGTCTTCTCACTAGGCTCGGATAACCTTGGCACCCCATACATTTATGAGCTACACCCAAATTAAATGAGCATCATGGGACATGTAGTTCAAACATCTTGGATTCCAAAAAGAGTAAAGTCATATATTCAGATGGAAAATTAGCACGGAATCACTCGAGGAGCAAGAGAGTGTTTAGGATTTATAGCCAGGGAAGAATACCATTTCAAAGAGTAAAAACAAAATGATTTCAGGGCAGTCAAGAATTACAAATTTGACTAAAGTAAGCTAATGAAAAAATAATATACATATGGGTGGATATTTATTAAGGAATTTGAAGTCATCCACCGTACTTTGGCATTTGCAGAATCATAATAACAAAGTGGACCAGTTTTACTTGTGTGCAAAAATGAAAGAATAATCAGCCCCTGCAAACAACAGATCCAAAAAAAAAATTCCATAATAAAATGTTTTGGAAATTAGATAAATAGATACAATAAATGTTTTAAGTGAGTATACTATATTTTGTTCTGGACATATTTCCAATAAAATACATTTGCATGAAGATCACTTCTGCCACTACCAAATGGATAATTTAATGGAGTCAATCAGATACACACACATTTGTAAGTAGTAACCATCTCAGACGAAGTAGGATATTTCTCCCCGCAGATGAGGTCTGAATTAGAACATTATTTAAATACTTAATCTCTAAAGATTCTGCTAGCAAAGGAATATATACAGGAGCAGAGTGCCTATCGCATTGGTAACATCCATGATGCCATTTAAATGTAACAAGTGCTGCATAGTTAACATACCGTCCTGGTCTGCTTTTCTAAAGAGAGCAGTGTTTCAACCACCTCCTGTAGTCGCCCTTCCTGCAGAAAAACAGATTTATTTACAAGTTAAACATTTGTTCTTTAACATCTTTTTATGTTTTTGTTAGTCAAAATATATCCCCAAATACAATTCTGCTCTATTTATACATTATATTATGCTATAAATCACCTCCCTTTGATAACCACCCTAAGGTGATTGATAAAATAACCAGCAGTAAGACACAGCCAAAATCCTTTCTATTCTTGCATGTAGCCCTGAGAAAAATATACCTGAACATGGGATCATGAGAAGTTCTAAACACATGCATTCAGTGGTTTAATAGACAATACCTGATGAAAAGCAGGGGTTTCGTGGGCAAGGTGTGTATTGTATGCCCTGTAAGTGTATTGGGGATTGCTGTAGATTTGGGCAGTTAGTGTATTGGGGATTGCTGTAGATTTGGGGTACATGCAGACAGTTACAGTATTTGGGGGTGTCCCCCGGCTCTCACTATTTGGGGGTGTCCCCCGGCTCTCACTATTTGGGGGTGTCCCCCTGGCTCTCACTATTTGGGGGTGTCCCCCTGGCTCTCACTATTTGGGGGTGTCCCCCTGGCTCTCTCTATTTGGGGGTGTCCTCCGGCTCTCTCTATTTGGGGGTGTCCTCCGGCTCTCTCTATTTGGGGGTGTCCCCCGGCTCTCTCTATTTGGGGGTGTCCCCCGGCTCTCTCTATTTGGGGGTGTCCCCCGGCTCTCTCTATTTGGGGGTGTCCCCCGGCTCTCACTATTTGGGGGTGTCCCCCCGGCTCTCAGTATTTGGGGGTGTGGCCCCGGCTCTCAGTATTTGGGGGGTGTGGCCCCGGCTCTCAGTATTTGGGAGTGTCCCCTGGCTCTCTGTATTTGGAGGTGTCCCCCGGCTCCCAGTATTTGGGGGTGTCCCCCGGCTCTCTGTATTTGGGGGTGTCCCCCGGCTCTCTGTATTTGGGGGTGTCCCCCGGCTCTCAGTATTTGGGGGTGTCCCCCGGCTCTCACTATTTGGGGGTGTCCCCCGGCTCTCACTATTTGGGGGTGTCCCCCTGGCTCTCACTATTTGGGGGTGTCCCCCTGGCTCTCACTATTTGGGGGTGTCCCCCTGGCTCTCACTATTTGGGGGTGTCCACCTGGCTCTCACTATTTGGGGGTGTCCCCCTGGCTCTCACTATTTGGGGGTGTCCCCCGGCTCTCACTATTTGGGGGTGTCCCCCGGCTCTCACTTTTTGGGGGTGTCCCCCGGCTCTCACTATTTGGGGGTGTCCCCCGGCTCTCACTATTTGGGGGTGTCCCCCGGCTCTCACTATTTGGGGGTGTCCCCCGGCTCCCAGTATTTGGGGTGGCTGAGGCCTAGCCTGCCCGGGGTGGCTCAGCCTGCGGCCCCCATTTCCCATCTCACCGCTGCCAGCTTCTCGCACTCGGGCAGCCGCTGGTCCACCGTGGCGCTGTAGTCCACGTCCATCTTGACAATGCGGCCATCGGAGCGCTCGGTATCCTCGGACATGGCGTTACCGGAGCAGAGACACGGAGAGCAGCCTGACAGGACCGGCAGCAACGAGCAGGCAATCAGCGCGGACACCTAAACTGCGAGGACCCCAATGACAATGAATAAACCATAGACATAGAGTGCAGGCACAGCGCGGACACCTAAACTGCGAGGACCCCAATGACAATGATTAAACCATAGACATACACTGCAGGCGCAGGGCGGACAGCCCGAGTGACGTAACGGATACAGCGGCCATGCACTTCCGGGACCAAGTCTAGGCTGAAGGTTTTTTTTCACTCAGCTTAATTTAAATCACAAATTGTAACACTATCTCCAGAGACAATTATGGGGAGATTTATTATTATGTTAATATTTATTATGGCAAAATGTTTTTTTACTTGTCTTTACTTGTTCCCATAGTGATTAGCTTGCCTTGATAAATCTCCCACTAATTTTTAGAGAAATTTACCACTATTAAAGTCCACTACCACTAAAAAAAAAACTACCTACTGTATTCCCAGTGTCTCTCTCACCACTACCTACTGTATTCCCCTCTCACCACTACCTACTGTATTCCCAGTGTCTCTCTCACCACTACCTACTGTATTCCCAGTGTCTCTCTCACCACTACCTACTGTATTCCCAGTGTCTCTCTCACCACTACCTACTGTATTCCCCTCTCACCACTACCTAATATTCTGTGTCTCTTAACCAATTACCTACTGTATTCCCTCTCACCACTACCTTCTTGTATTCCTAGTCCTTCCTAACTACTCACCTACTGTATTCTAAAGTGTCCTCTCAACTACTACCTACTGTATTCCTCCTCACCACTATTCATCATGTATTCTAGTGTCTCTCTAACCACTGCCTCTGTATTCCCAGTGTCTCTCTCTACCACTACCTACTGTATTCCTCTCTCACCACTTTCACCTTCTGTATTCTGTGTCTCTTCTAACTACTACCTACTGTATTCCTGTGTTCCCTTCTCAACTACTCAATACCTACTGTATTCAGTGTCTCTCTCTACCAGTACCTACCAGTCTTCCTCTCACCACTAATGTGCATTATTCCCAGTGCTCCTCTCACCACTACTCACTGTATTCCCAGTGTCTCTATCCACTACCTACTGTATTTCAGTGTCTCTAACTACTCACCTACTGTGTATTCCCTCTCACTACTCACTTACTATTTTCCCAGTGTCACTCTTAACCACTACCTACTGTATTCCCAGTGTCTCTCTAACCACTACCTACTGTATTCTCAGTGTCTCTCTAACCACTACCTACTGTATTCCCCTCTCACCACTACCTACTGTATTCCCAGTGTCACTCTAACCACTACCTACTGTATTCCCAGTCTCTCTCTCACCACTACCTACTGTATTCCCAGTGTCTCTCTAACCACTACCTACTGTATTCTCAGTGTCTCTCTAACCACTACCTACTGTATTCCCCTCTCACCACTACCTACTATTTTCCCAGTGTCACTCTAACCACTACCTACTGTATTCCCCTCTCACCACTACCTACTGTATTCCCAGTGTCTCTTTAACCACTACCTACTGTATTCTCAGTGTCACTCTAACCACTACCTACTGTATTCCCCTCTCACCACTACCTACTGTATTCCCAGTGTCTCTCTAACCACTACCTACTGTATTCCCAGTGTCTCTCTAACCAATACCTACTGTATTCCCCTCTCACCACTACCTACTATTTTCCCAGTGTCACTCTAACCACTACCTACTGTATTCCCAGTGTCACTCTAACCACTACATACTGTATTCCCCTCTCACCACTACCTACTGTATTCCCAGTGTCACTCTAACCACTACCTACTGTATTCCCAGTCTCTCTCTCACCACTACCTACTGTATTCTCAGTGTCTCTCTAACCACTACCTACTGTATTCTCAGTGTCTCTCTAACCACTACCTACTGTATTCCCCTCTCACCACTACCTACTATTTTCCCAGTGTCACTCTAACCACTACCTACTGTATTCCCCTGTCACCACTACCTACTGTATTCCCAGTGTCTCTCTAACCACTACCTACTTTATTCCCAGTGTCACTCTAACCACTACCTACTGTATTCCCAGTGTCACTCTAACCACTACCTACTGTATTCTCAGTGTCACTCTAACCACTACCTACTGTATTCCCTCTCACCACTACCTACTGTATTCCCAGTGTCACTCTAACCACTACCTACTGTATTCCCAGTGTCTCTCTACCCACTACCTACTGTATTCCCCTCTCACCACTACCTACTATTTTCCCAGTGTCACTCTAACCACTACCTACTGTATTCCCAGTGTCACTCTAACCACTACATACTGTATTCCCCTCTCACCACTACCTACTGTATTCCCAGTGTCACTCTAACCACTACCTACTGTATTCCCAGTGTCACTCTAACCACTACCTACTTTATTCCCCTCTCACCACTACCTACTGTATTCCCCTCTCACCACTACCTACTGTATTCCCAGTGTCTCTCTAACCACTACCTACTGTATTCCCCTCTCACCACTACCTACTGTATTCCCCTCTCACAACTACCTACTGTATTCCCAGTGTCTCTCTAACCACTACCTACTGTATTCCCAGTGTCTCTCTCCCACTACATACTGTATTCCCCTCTCACCACTACCTACTGTATTCCCAGTGTCACTCTAACCACTACCTACTGTATTCCCAGTGTCACTCTAACCACTACCTACTTTATTCCCCTCTCACCACTACCTACTGTATTCCCCTCTCACCACTACCTACTGTATTCCCAGTGTCTCTCTAACCACTACCTACTGTATTCCCCTCTCACCACTACCCACTGTATTCCCAGTGTCTCTCTCACCACTACCTACTGTATTCCTAGTGTCTCTCACCACTACCTACTGTATCCCCCTTGTAACGGATCACCTGGCACCCCGACTGGGCACCTCCGTTGAAGTATGCTCCTAGCGCTTCCTGAGGGTTTCCAGCACTCCAGCAGACACCATAGCAACCGTAGACTCCTTCACAGAGCAAAAACAGGAACAAGCTTTTACAAGAGATTAGCAGTAAATATAGCAAGAGAGTATGCAGAGCATAGCAATCCCTTGTAGCAGGTTCCCCCAATAAGAGACGACACTCCAAATTGAGGGTGAAGTAGAACTGACTGAACTGTGGATTTATTGTTCTTATATACACATTCCTACACATTAGTACCACCCACAGGGTTTTGTAAAACAACCAATAAACATGTACAATACACTCAGACACTCCCACACAAAATCCTCCCCTCTGCCTGTGATACAATTACCTTACACAATGGGTTAATATAATTATCACAGGCAGGAAAATACACTCACATAAAACTTACATTTTTCAGAATCAGCATACTCCAAATACCAACATACGTCAAAATCATACAAATTGGTCCAGTGGGTCAAAAGTTAGATCAACGTCCTTTGTGACCAAATGAAGCATGGCTTTTCTGCCCAAAACCAGTTCCACAGAGTCTTCTATCCTGGAGATAATTGGGAAGTAGAAAAAAGGTGAAAGTACCAGCGCTGGTATTTCAATACAAAGTGATACAATTATATCAGGAATACTATTGATATCCAGCTGCTATAACACCCCAAACTTATCTTTCAAAAATGTAGTGTAAACCGGTGTATGGGTGAAGCGCTATATGCAAATAGATAGCCAAAGTGGAGAGATAATGCCAAGTGATGAACAACAAAATATTAAAATTATACCTTCTTTTTTATATGTAATTCACAATAATTCTTTATAGGAATTTCCTAAAACATAAACAGAAAGATCCAAACATAGTGCAAATCTGTAATGTTTAAAGGTGTGGTGGAAATATACAAAGGTCCCACTCACACTTTTTGGAGCTAAAGGGGTATAGCTCAATTGAAGCACTTTCAGAGTCCGTAAAGGCGACCCTTATCCCTTCTTTTAACTCTTCCTTTCTTGTATTCTGAAATGTATAAAGGAAAATACCTCTGGTGCAATAACGTAGACTAGGTATATGTAAATAGTAAGGGAAATAGGGTACTTACAAACCCAGAGCCATCCACATCGGCTCTGATCCAATAACTTGTGTGGATTAAGGACCACACTCCTTCTTTTATAATAGCAGGAGAATGCCAATAGTGTCTCTCAAAAATATAAACTTTATTCACTATATATACAGTATAAGTACAATAAAAATGTAAAAAATATATATTTGTATACAGAAAACACTATAATGGCATAAAATGTCCAGTAATAAAAAGTCTTTAAGCTCACAATGGGTACATATAGCAGGAGCCAGTGCAAGAAGGTAACAGACTTTTTTTCACATCCAGCTGAGGAAGCCTAAACGGCGAAACGCGTCCTGGGAACATTGTGAGCTTAAAGACTTTTTATTACTGGACATTTTATGCCATTATAGTGTTTTCTGTATACAAATATATATTTTTTACATTTTTATTGTACTTATACTGTATATATAGTGAATAAAGTTTATATTTTTGAGAGACACTATTGGCATTCTCCTGCTATTATAAAAGAAGGAGTGTGGTCCTTAATCCACACAAGTTATTGGATCAGAGCCGATGTGGATGGCTCTGGGTTTGTAAGTACCCTATTTCCCTTACTATTTACATATACCTAGTCTACGTTATTGCACCAGAGGTATTTTCCTTTATACATTTCAGAATACAAGAAAGGAAGAGTTAAAAGAAGGGATAAGGGTCGCCTTTACGGACTCTGAAAGTGCTTCAATTGAGCTATACCCCTTTAGCTCCAAAAAGTGTGAGTGGGACCTTTGTATATTTCCACCACACCTTTAAACATTACAGATTTGCACTATGTTTGGATCTTTCTGTTTATGTTTTAGGAAATTCCTATAAAGAATTATTGTGAATTACATATAAAAAAGAAGGTATCATTTTAATATTTTGGTGTTCATCACTTGGCATTATCTCTCCACTTTGGCTATCTATTTGCATATAGCGCTTCACCCATACACCAGTTTACACTACATAATTGGGAAGTAATCCAATTATCTCCAAGGACAGAGGCAAAACACCACTGAACACATGGTAGCAAAAGACAATAAAATACATAAAAATAAATAACTGTGCAGCTATTGCATAAAACAGGTACATTCAACATATCCCCAGATAGCTTAGATCTGAGCGCACATTATTACTGAATGGCGCTCAGATCACATACATACAGTTCAATTGCCATTGAGCCAAAGTCTTTCACATAGTATTTCGTTATACGAATGGGCTCCATGGCATAGCTATCTGGGGTAACACTGCTCACATAGGAAAGGTACCGAATGACCCAGCTTTTGAGTCTTTGCAGGGGAAAATCAAGCATTTCAACATGGGGCCATAGTACCAGGGCAGGAGGCTGGCAATCAGTCTTCTCCAATGCCTAGCGGCGAGGCTGGTTACGCCACACCCCTCTCACCACTACCTACTGTATGCCCCTCTCACCACTACCTACTGTTTTCCCCTCTCACCACTACCTACTTTATTCTCAGTGTCTCTTTCATCACTATCTACAGTATCCCCCTCTCACCACTACCTACTGTATTCCCAGTGTCCCTCTCACCGCTACCTACTGTATGCCCCTCTCACCACTACCTACTGTTTTCCACTCTCACCACTACCTACTGTATTCCCAGTATCCCTATCACTACTGCCTACTGTATTCTAAGTGTCCCTCTCACCACAACCTGCTCTCTTCCCCAGTGTCCTTCTCACCACTATCTGTGATATTCCCTAGTGTCCCTCTCACCACTACCTGCTGTCTTCCCCAGTGTCCTTCTCACCACCACCTGTGATATTCCCCGGTGTCCTTCTCACCACTACCTGTGATATTCCTCAGTGTCCCTCTCACCACTACCTGTGATATTCCCCAGTGTCCCTCTCACCACTACCTGTGATATTCCCCAGTGTCCCTCTAACTACTACCTGTGATATTCCCCAGTGTCCTTCTAACTACTACCTGTGATATTCCCCAGTGTCCCTCTCACCACTACCTGTGATATTCCCCAGTGTCCCTCTCACTACTACTTGTGATATTCCCCAGTGTCCCTCTCACTACTACTTGTGATATTCCCCAGTGTCCCTCTCACCGCTACCTGTGATATTCCCCAGTGTCGCTCTCACCGCTACCTGTGACGTTCCCCAGTGTCCCTCTCACCGCTACCTGTGACGTTCCCCAGTGTCCCTCTCACTACTACCTGTGATATTCCCCAGTGTCCCTCTCACCATTACCTGTGACGTTCCCCAGTATCCCTCTCACCACTAGCTGTGATATTCCCCAGTGTCCCTCTCACTGCTACCGTGATATTCCCCATTCCCCGTGTTTGTGGGCTATTATAATATTAAAGGGGAAGGTCCCGGTGTCCAACCAGCCCCGATCCAGGGGCCATTAAAGCTAGGACCGGTAAAAAAAATTACATTTACCATCAGAAGTCTTTTTTTTTCTGTTAATCTTCTTATCCTCAGCCCAAAAAAAAGCCAAATAAAAAACTGTATTACGCAACAACTGAAAATAGAAAACCGCATGATTCGCATAAAAAAAAAAAAAAATGACAAGAAAAAATGAAAACCTCAACACAAGAAAAGTGAATTAATCTTCGCCACATGAGGACTCTGCGCAGAATGTGGCTTCAAAGTTGAAGAGTCTTTATAAAGTCTTTATACCTACACTTCGAATTCTCATTAGAGTGTTCAGATTGCTTGGCTTGTAATCAGAGCGCTCTCATTGGTAAGTCTTATTTCTATCAAGGCTTGCCGTGGGACCCCCAGAGGGATTTTTTTTTTTATTTATTTACTTTTTTAATGTGGCGCCGGTCTAGCCAATAGTTTTTTTTTGTTTTTTTTTTTTTACATCCGAGCCCTCTGGTGGCATTCAGTCCAGCTGAAATCCAGATTTAATTGAGTGGCAAAATCTAGATTTTGCAGTCCTAACGGTTCTGTTCTATTTGGTATGGGGACTTTTGGACTTTATTTAATAAACCTGTAAAAATGTCATGATAAACCATTGAAAACCGTTAACCAACACAGCAAAAATTGTCAAAGTGTGCACGAGAAGAACAGTCACCTTTTCATCGCAGAAGTGACATCAGAGATAACAGAGAGGCATGTTTGGATTAAATGGGGACAACAGTGGGGAGAGATGTTTGATGGAGGGGACACCAGGGGTGGGAAGTATGGGAGGAGAAAACACAAGTTGGCTGTCTGTGCCTGTGTGCCTATGTGTGTCTGTCTGTCTGTGCTTGGGGATGCCTGTCTGTATGTACCTGTCTGTGCCTGTGCATACTTGTCTGTACCTGCAAATACCAGTACGTGCCTGTTTGTGTCTATGTATTCCTTTCTTAACCTGTGTGTACCTGTCTGTGCCTGGTCATACTTGCCTATTCCTGTGTATGCCTGTCTGCGTTTATGTATTCCTTTTTTTGCCTGTATGTACTTGTCCATTGCTATCTTTGTCTGCTTGTTCATGTGTGTGTGTGTGTGTGTATGTATTTGTGTGTATGTGTCTGTAAGTAACTGTGAGTGTGTCAAGAGGCGTGTTAAAAAGTGGAGCCAGTTTGGGCTGGGACCATGGGTTAAACTTTGGGAAGGAAATATCAAATTATTTTTGGGCTCAAGGCCCAGGAGTTTTTTTGGCCCAATGAACACCTAATGAGTGTCAGCTTTAAAATGGCATTCCCATTTTATAATTAAAATTAATAAGTCAGGTTTGCTAAAAGTATGCAAATATGTTAGGGCTTCAGGTATACGTGATACATCTAAGCTGATGATGAGGCGAAAAAGAAAAATCAGGAGCGATTTTGATTTTTTTAAATTTTTTTTTTTCTCTTGATGAAGCATGCCTTTGTCGAAGAATGTTTGGGAAGCGCTGGTCTTATCTAATTGGTTTTCCACTGCTGCATGTATATTTAGTAACCATGGCAAGTCAATTCCCTAGACAAGTACTCTGTCCAGAACGCACCTCCTGTCTCCTGAATGATGCACAACCTAAATACTGGGCTCTGTAGGACTCGTCTGCAGGAAAGTAGTTCAAAGCCATAGATATTATCAGGGATCATTTCTCAGTGAGAGGTCAACATGATGCTCATATCTCTCAGTCAGGAAATGTCCCTTGTTCACTCCATGAAATGTTGGAGTTCCTGTTTTCTGGGGTGTAGAGCAGATATTCTGACATTGCCCGAAAGGGAGAGGGGAAGGAATCGAGGCCGAGAATTTCCGCAAGACTCATTGCATCTATTTATAGAGATGTTATCTCTAAGGAACCAAAAAAAAAACACTTTTGTGCCTGAATCGATCTGCAAGAAAATGTAGGTCAAGTTAAAGTTAATTTCACATAAAAAAACACAAGTATTAGAACTGTGAATGAGTAGACTTTATTACGCAACAGTCTTGTTTGCCTATTTTTCATAAAACCAGTGAGTTTTTCTAAGTATTTTCACCAAACCAGGATTAGTGGAGCTGAAATGAATTTGACACAATTCCATATACATATCAAAATATAAACAGTCCTTGCACTCACGCTTAATGAAGAAGAATTGCCGGGTGCTTGAAATCCAGGGAAGAACATGTAGTGAGCAGCACTCACGGACTTGATATATTAAAATTCCAAAGTTTATTTATTATTCATTAAAATATGATCAACGTTTCAGTCCCCCTTGGGACTTTCATCAGGATCAGGAATGCCTGATCCTGATGAAAGTCCCAAGTGGAACTGAAACGTTGATCATATTTTAATGAATAATAAATAAACTTTGGAATTTTAATATATCAAGTCCGTGAGTGCTGCTCACTACCTGAAAACTATATATATATATATATATATATATATATATATATATATATATATATATATATATATTCCAATAGTGTTTATTCTTCAAGTATATTTCACACTTCTTTAATGTTGTTCTAACATACCCTGAGATTACAATGAGATTACTTTTCTCAAATATAGCATCATCATTTTTTTTTTTGCTTAAAATTAATTTTTTACATAAAATAAAATTTCAGAAAGATGCTGATGAATTTGAAAACAACAGCAATGTTTCATATTTTTTCATCTACAAGTTTTTCAGCCATAGTTTCTGAAACTTTGATTGCCGTTGCATTCATTAAACTCTGTCTATTAAACTATGATAGTGAACTTACACCGATCAGGAAATAGTATAGAGTATTTTCTCCTCCATGAAACCGTTTTGAAGCTAAGTTCCTAATTTCAGATATAATAATCTTGAAAAAGCTATTGATGGACTCACTTTGACATACTTCAATGTTACTTATTGCCATCTGCGGTCAAATAATGTTTATTTTCCCAAACAGTTTAATTACAGATTTTCTCCAGAGGACGATTATTTGTTAGAAGAGGCTTCTTCCTTTAAAGAGTAACTCATCTGATCCATTGCAGGCAAGTGATAGCCTGACGGAGAATGTGTTGTAAAACCGCAGGATTGTGCAATGTCCACTGGACTTATACTGTAAAGGTAGAATGTATTTTTTGTAAAAACATAAATAGTACATTTTCAAAATGTATACAAATATTTTTTTAAACGCATTTACTATAAGCTTTGTTGTACATCCACACACAGCACCTTACTGTGGACCTGGTTGCTGATTCTACAGTTGTATTACCCACTTGAAGCTCCCACCACACCGACTCATATCTCCAAGTATAAATCCTGGGTTAACCTGTTTTTCCTGCAAACCTCTGCCAGGGTGCCCTCCTCTCCCTGTGTGTCATAATCCTTTGCTTGCTGAATTTCTGTTTTACCGAATGTTTAATTTCTATGCTTATTTGCGCCGGCTATCGTCAAAAATTCTGTCTGTCAATAATGAATTAAAGGTTGTCTTTAAGAAAGAACCAACTGGACCTATGCAATGGTCCACTTATTGAGGGTCTTCCTTCTCTTTATAGCAACCTTGATAATGACCTAGAGCTGCGTTCTTATATAGGCTTCTTAGATCTTATCTAAACAAGCGTCTCCAGGTGATGCTCTAATTATTCAATGATGTAGCTAAACCACAAGTACTTCCCAGATTCCAACCGTTCACAGAAACATAACTCCAGTGAGAAAAGACTCATGAAGACAAGAGGTAAATTTTTAGGACCACAACTTTCTCAATGAGTAACATATAAACAGATTCGCGTAAAATGGGTTCATTGTTAAAAATTACACTTTATGTTAAAGTGACACTCAAGACCCCTAAAGCACATCAGCTTAAAGAGGTTTACAGAAAGTGCAGGTGTCATGTATCCTTTGTATCAAATGGCAAAAATGGAGATAATTATCTTCCGAAGGTCGAAGGGATTGCCGCGTCTTCTGCCATCATGCCTGGCTTGTGCGCCATGTCAGTACACGTCAGCCGCTGCGGACCCACGTAATTATATAGCCCCACGTCCGTTCACGGTAAAGATGACGTTGATGTGTAGGTGACGTCACGCAAAAGATGCACACGCACGTTTTGGGGTCAAGGGCTAGATACAGCCAATCGGATCTGGAAGAGGGTTATTTAAACTCACTTATTCCTTAGCTCATTTGCAGCCCGAGGTTCCTTCGGCATGTAAACCCCCACCTACTGTACCCACACCTATTATATATAGAGCACCTACTATCACCCTATCTTCACCCCCGCATTTTGAAGGTAATATTCATGAATGCCGGGGATTCCTCAATCAGATTGAGTACCATTTTGAAGCCTCACCTGGGTCTTTCCCCATGGATAGAGCTAAAATTAGGTACTTAATTAACCAACTACAAGGTAAAGCCTTAGCATGGGCCAATCCATTATGGGAGAGTAATAAGACTGTTGTCCATAATTACCAGGAATTCCTTGCAGAATTCAAATTAACGTTAGAACCATTGGGAAGGGAGAGCAACGCCTCCACTGCCCTAATGCGTATCAAGCAAGGGAACCGGTGTATCTCAGAGTATGTCATAGAATTCCGCACCCTGGCTTCCGAGGTAGACTGGGCCAATAACGGATTAATCACTGCATTCTTAGAGGGATTAACCAAAGCTATCCTTGATGAGATTGCAGCCACAGAACTACCAGGGAGATTAAATGAATACATCACTTACGTAATGCATATAGATAATCGACTTAGGAAAAGGGAGATAAATATCATTGGCACCTCGCTTCTCTAGTCCTGTTGTTTCTGGCCCTCCTGTGCAGTCTGAAACTGAATCTATGCAGTTAGGGGTTATGAGACGGTCAGAGGCAGAAAGATAGTTTAGGAGAAAAGAGGGCCTTTGCTTATACTGGGGCAAGAAATTACATATGAGAAATGCATGTCCGGAAAACTTGCATACCTAAGAACCATAAGGAGACCGGTCTTAGGTGTGATGGATATGTCCCCTAGTACTACCCAAAGTAGATTTGTCCTTAATATTAATGCTCTATGCAACAAGCAAAGCTTTTCATGTAAAGCCCTGATGGACTCAGGTGCTGCAGGAAACTTTATCAGCATACAATTTGTCAGTAAACACCTCCTACCTATCAAGGAGAGATCATCACTCCTGGCCATCGAGGCCATTGATGGGAGACCTCTCTCTCAATCTCTACTTACCCTCAAAACTATGCCTATTACTGTTACTATAGGAGCGAGGCATAAAGAAATCATTACATTTAAGATACTTGCTTCCCCTTCTTGTCACATTATACTAGGATTCCCATGGCTTGTTAAGCATAATCCTCATATTGACTGGACTAAGGGGGAAATACTGTAATGGGGTAAAATATGTAGTGAGAGATGTATGTTACTCATTACTTAAAAAGTGGGCATAGTTACTCTACCTATGCCTCAGCCTACCGAAATTCCTGTGCAGTACTGGGAGGTTAAAGAAGTGTTTAGTAAAAGTCACGCTTTTAGCATTTAGCAGATATGCTACCTCCTCACAGATCTTATGATTGCTCCATAGATTTGTTACCCGGCACTATGCCCCCTAAGGGGGACGTTTATACCTGATCACCACAGGAAAGTAGGATTATGGAGGATTACAATAAAGAGTCTCTTCAAAAAGGTCACATACGTAAATCTTCTTCTCCTGCAGGTGCGGGGTTCTTTTTTGTATCCAAGAAAGATGGAGAGTTACAACCATGTATTGATTATAGGGCACCGAACAAGATCACCATCAAAAATGCTTATCCCATTCCCCTTATCTCAGAATTGTTTGACAGACTGGTGTTTACAAAACTCGACATTAGGAGTGCTTACAATTTGGTAAGGATTAAGGAGGGTCATGAATGGAGAACTGCATTTAACACGAGAAGTGGTCACTATGAGTATCTTGTCATGCCCTTCGGCTTATGCAATGCCCCGGCCGTATTTCAGGATTTCATTAATGATGTTCTCAGAGACCACATTTATACTTTTGTATTAGTATATCTGGATGATATTCTCATTTATTCCCCCGATCTCCAGACTCATCATAGGCATGTGAAGCAAGTATTGCAAACTTTGCTTAAAAATGGGCTATATTGCAAACTTGAGAAATGCATATTTGATCAGACGGAGGTACAGTTCTTGGGATATAATATTTCGGCCTCTGGTTTTCAGATGGACCCTCGCAAACTAGAAGCCGTTCTACACTGGCTATTACCTAATGGGTTAAAAGCCATTCAAAGGTTTATTGGGTTTGCAAATTACTATAGGAGATGTTTTTGAGCTTCTTAAGAAATGATTTGCCTCTGCTGACATATTGGTACGTCCTGACACTTGCAAACCCTTCATACTAGAGGTAGACATCTCTGAGACAGAGGTAGGTGCAGTTCTTTCTCAGAGGGAGAGTCAGGATACCCCTCTTCATCCTGGTGGGTTCTTTTCTAGAAAGCTGTCACCAGTGGAGCGTAACTATGATATTGGTAACAGAATTGTTGGCCATTATAATAGCTCTGAAAGAATGGCGACATCTTTTGGAAGGTCCCAAGGATCCCCTCCTGATCATAACTGATCACAAAAACTTGGCATACATTGGAGATGCTAAAAGGCTGTTTTCTAGACAAGCTAGATGGTCATTGTTCTTGTCACACTTTAATGTTATGATCACGTACAGACCAGGCCCTAAGAACGTTAAGGCTGACGCCCTATCTAAGCAATTTGACATAGAGTCAGAACAAGAACAAGAGACCTCCCCTATCGTTCCACCTGAGTTTATCATTGCCTCTACTGTCCTTCTACTGTTATAAGCCCGCCGATCGTTCTTGGGTTCCTGCTTCTGATATACATGCTAGCCACAAAATCTGTTCTTTCCACGTTAAATTTCCTCTCAAACCTGGTCCTGCCCGCTCAGTGGGCGGTCTTCAAGTGGGGGGTAATGTCACGTATCCTTCTTATCCATGAGATAATTACATTCCGAAGATTGAGGGGATTGCCGCTCGGCGGTCTTCTGCCGTGATGCCTGGCTTGTGCGGCATGTCGGTGCATGCTGGCCGATGCGGACCCACACAATTATATAGCCCCACGTCCGTCCACGGTAAAGACGACGTCGACGTGCAGGTAACATCAGGCAAAAGATGCACATGCACGTTTTGGGATCAAGGGCTAGGTACAGCCAATCGGATCTGCAAGAGGGTTATTTATACGCACTTATTCCTTAGCTCATTGCCTGTCGTGGTTTCCCTTAGATGGTTATCCGAGAGTGTGTACCTGATCATATTATTCTGTTTTTTTACTTTGGCTTCATTTTGACTTCCTTGATTTCTGGTACCCTAGACTTTTGGCTTTTCCTTATCGCTGTTTCTTGTTCTGTGTCTCTGACCAAGGCTAGTTTTCTGACTATTCTCAGGTACGTTAAGTCCGGCCATTCTAAGGCCCGGTAAGACATTACCCTTAGTTCTAGGGTGTGATACTATTCTGCGTGCTGGATCAATATAATCCTGACAGCCGGTTTCATTATAAACTGGCACTTTTTAATAAATTAACCTTGTTGGGGGCGGAGATAGCATCTGTAGCGGAGCTGCAATATTAAATCCCAATATCTCTGCTGGTAAAAGAAGGGAATCCAGGGAAAGCGCTGAAAATTAAGGCAATATCCCAAATCCCCCAGTAACCGGACGAAACACAGTTCTGGGAGTCAACTCACTATTTTATTCACAAGCTCCAGTATTTATGTGGTTCCCCATGCAAGGGGTTTCCTTACTGACTTTACAGGGGTTGTACAGTAGGGGACCACATGGGGAACTTAACATATAGAACATTTCTCCCACCGTGCACTGCTGTACGAGAGGGATACTCCCACTAGATTATCCTGTTAAGTGGATTATCCCTCCGTATAGTAGAACTGGCTTTTTACATAAAAATCTATAACTTTTATTTTATTCATGTCACTGTACCAAATGACCGTTCGGCAGATAGCTGGGGTCTGAGCGCACACTTCGTGAAAGTACCGCTCAGATCCCCACACAATCAGCCGAACGCCGCACGAAATATACTTTAACGTACATGCATCATAAAAGTCACAAATACAGAAGTGGGGAAAAAGTACCGAAAGACCGGCACTCCCAAACGGCCTGGTAGTCCAGCGGTCTTCGTGCCGTCGAGTAGCCAATTTTAGTTCCAGGCACTCGACGACCAAACACCGCTGGGCACAAAGGAAATCCAAGATGGCCGCCACCTCGTGGTCGGTAGCCGAACGACAGCCACCCGGGAATCAATTAACAGCCGATAGATACAATGTTGCGATCGGTTAATGGGAGCCACACGACCCCCTGTGTGTGGGCTCCCATTCGGTACTTTGTTCGTTTCACGAACAGTGTTGAAAATCACTGTTCGTGAAACTACCATATGAATGCTAGCGGCTTTCGTGCCACTAGCATACAAATTCCCTCTTTCACATTTTAAACAGATACATCAAACTGCATATATAAACCAGTCTTTATAGGGCAACCCTTAAAGTAAAACAAAATAGTCTGAAGTGGCTAGGTTTGTCACAGCATCCAAGCAGACTGGACACCATCCACACAAAACACTCGCTATCGCAACAGAAAGCTGTGGGCAGTCGCCCAATGCCTTCCCTCTTCTCCCCCACTGGGCAAGCGCACATGGCCTAAAATCTGGGGCCTACTGTTCCTCCCAGCTGGGTAGAGTTCCACAACCAACACCAGGATTACTTTTGGAGCACCTGAAATTCTACTCACCTGAGGGTACTTACCAGGTACGGAGCTCTCACATAATGGGACATAGATCCCAAATGCAGCAGGCAGGCGCACCTGGGGATACACACGACATTGTGGAATCCCACTGTCCACAAGATGGAAACCCAGGCGGATAAAGAGGCCTACTCTTCCAGCATTGAGATACTATCAGAGGAACCTGCTTCAGTACTGCAGAATAGGTTGCCCACACCAGAGGGGATACATAGGCACCAGCCACAAAACAAGAATGATATCAAAAAGCTGTTTGCAGCTGATCTGGTAGAAGTCATCTTTCAGGTGGTGATTGCTAGGCTTCAGTCCTCAGAGGAGGACATTATTGACTTGTGCCAGGATATCAATACATTTCCATTAGTAGCAGTAACGGATCACCTGACTGGGTACCTCCGTTGATGGATGCTCCTAATGCTTCTTGAGGGCTCCAAGCACTCTAGTCAACACCATAACCACCGCAGGCAGAACCTCTCTTCCTTCAGAACGAAGCAGGAACAAGCTCTTAAAAGAGCTTAGGAGGGAATATGTAGAGCATAGCAATCCCTTGTAGCAGATTCCCCCAATAAGAGACAGGACTCCAAATTGAGGGTGAAGTAGAACTGTCTAAAACTTTATTTTACTTGGGACTAGCCCATATGGTCATTACATTAAAATTGCTGTGAAAACTCAATAAAATTACAAACAGTCAAATCATAGCAGGCAACATACAGTGACTTATTATAACATAATTACATATTTATAAATGGGTGGGGAAGAACATAATTAACACAAAATGTCTCTCCTGCATGCAGAATTAGCAATATGCAAATCTACCCTAGGGCTACTAAACTGGTTCATGGATTGCGGGATAAAAGTTACCAGGAAAGGTTAAAGGATCTTAACATGTATAGCTTGGAGGAAAGACGAGACAGGGGGGATATGATAGAAACATTTAAATACATAAAGGGAATCAACACAGTAAAGGAGGAGACTATATTTAAAAGAAGAAAAACTACCACAACAAGAGGACATAGTCTTAAATTAGAGGGACAAAGGTTTAAAAATAATATCAGGAAGTATTACTTTACTGAGAGGGTAGTGGATGCATGGAATAGCCTTCCAGCTGAAGTGGTAGAGGTTAACACAGTAAAGGAGTTTAAGCATGCGTGGGATAGGCATAAAGCTATCCTAACTATAAAATAAGGCTAGGGACTAATGAAAGTATTTAGAAAATTGGGCAGACTAGATGGGCCGAATGGTTCTTATCTGCCGTCACATTCTATGTTTCTATGTTTCTATGTTTATCCGAATATGCAAATTACCAGTCTTGCTATTCAGGTAGTGCATATTACTGTTGCTACCAACAGAGGGCACTACACAAGCTCCATAGTCAAATCCACCTAGTTGGTAGCAATCCTCCGCCATACAGGAGAGCAGGCAATACATCCCAGGGGCCATAGTCACATGGCAGGAGGCTGGCAATCAGTCTTCTCCAATGCCCAGTGGCGAGGCTGGTTCCGCCACAGTAGCCTTCCTCAATTTTTTCTAAACTTTACTAGAAAAATGCTAACTTAAGGTACCTAACACCTTTTAAAGTATTCGTGACCAGGTGTATGTGACAAACGCTCCTTCCCATGTACGTTTGCCACGGACTCCTGGAGGAGTGTAGAAGCTGGCCTCCAAGACAGAGGACCCCAGTCAAGCCACAGCGACTGGGGCAGAAGCGCTGAGGTTTTTTCACCTTGGTGGACGTACCCAGCCGGGGTAGAGGGAGCTCCGCCACAGTGTATTCGTCTTTAAAAAAAAAAAAGAAACTTTAGCCTAAACTCACACTAAAATACCTACGTAGACCTTAGCAGGGGACAGGGAGGATGTTTAGACTCTGTATTATAGTGTTCCTAGACACACCCCTTGCGCACACCTATGCATACATCCCTTATCAGGAATATCAGGAATTGTAAAGTGGCTAAATTCCCCCTCCACCCCCCCCCCCAACCCCCATTTTTCCATTGGTTTAACCCCATGAGTGTTGAGGTGTTCACAGAATTTTATGTGTAGGGCAGGCCATTGGCGATCAGAGAGTTAAATAATGCAATGTGTAATATCCTGTGTCCTGTTTCTCAGCAACAAGAAGGGTGTAACGTGCCAGAAATAATTATAATGTACTAGAAATAGATCCCATTCACTAGTGACTTTTTGTCACCAAATTACCTCATTTCACCTGCAGGGGGCGATCTCTGAGAGAGGGATACACTAACCATCAGGACTTGACTTACTCATATCGAATGCTGTAGACGCACTAGACACCATAAGTTGTGAAAATGATTATTATTATAATTTATAATGCGCCAACAAATTCTGCAGCGCTGTACAAGGAGTCGACAAACAGACAAGTATTTGTAACCAGACTAGTTGGAGGCACAGGAACAGAGGGCCACGAGGACCCAGTTCAAATGAGCTTACATTCTAGAGGGAGATGGCTAGTACCTACATTTTAGATTGTTGTAATCCTTGCTAATAACTCATCTCATTAAACCGTAACGCCCTGCAGCTTTATTAGATCTCAAGTTCTGGAACTGTGCTATGACAATCACGATTTAAAGGACAGTGGTGTAAAATAAACATAATACTGATTTTTTTTAACTTCGATATAATAGAATTCTGTGTTCCTACATTCCCAAACTGAGATGTAAATATTCTAATGCGACATTTCCATAGTATTAAAATGCCAGTAATAAATACATAACAAAACCAAGTCATTCTTTTATTTATAACAGAAATGTTGAGCTCAGGCGGGTTGTAACAACTCCATTTATAAAAGGAATGGGATGGAGTGATTTGTAGTTAAAAGGTGCATACTTGCCTCCAAGGTCAAAATCTGCCAGTCCTCTGTTGGCTAGTGTTGTGGTCTCCCTGTTAGCCACCCATGCTAAATTACAGAGTTTTTTTATAGGCAGAGGAAGCCTCCGGTCTAATCTGTGTGCATGACCCAGCTGGATGCCCACTGACTAATCTGTGGCACTGTGGATTTGGGGCCTTTGTTAAACCATGTATTAATAACCGTACCAGTCAGAGTAGTTGTAAACTAAAGATGAACAGAGATTGCTTTACTTGCATCGCCCACCCCCCACCATCATGTGCCTCATAACATCCAGTTATCACTATGACATGGACCCTGCGGTGCAGGAAGTGATGTTTTACAAATTTCCCTTTCTGTCACGTGAAAGACATGTTGCAATAACTCCTTGTGTTTCCTTTAGCTCGTATTATTTTACCATAGCTCACAGCACATCCTGCGATCACTCATGATGAGTTTTAAGAGGTTTCTTAAAGGATTGAATACTACAGGAGGCAGACACTATGCATTCAGGAGCAGCTTTAAAACATTAATGTATTTAAAAAAAAACACTACAATCCACATAGCAGATTTTCATGTTTATATTAACAAGAAACTATTATAAAGAAACTTTAAACGTAGCAAGCACCATAACCACTGTATTCCACCACTCCTAGAAATACTTCAGGTGCCCTCATAAACATAGACTCCTCCCAGCACCTGGACACGAACACTACTCAATGCAAAATGAATAAAGCCACAATTTAACTATGTGTACAGTTTCCCTATTTTGTCCTATAATTCCCCCCCAAAAATCACATTTTAGCTGCTTATTCACTAAACTCCACATTGTTGCAAATTGAAAACCAAATGGCAACATCAAGACAAAAATAGCTGATCTGGAAAAGTTCCCCAACTGGGCTATAGTCACAGCTTGGTTACTTAAGCCTGAATTTTGTCATTTAGATTCAATTGACTACAGTTCAGAATATGGTAAACACATTAACCTACACAGCTGACAGCTGATATCAATATTATTGGGAGGGGGAGACTCACATTGTACATCTTTCTGTTCTTATCCAGAGAAAACACAATTTTTAGTGATTCATAGTTGTGTTACAAAAAGGAAAGGAAGCTTCTTCTGAATCAAAAATCCTATTTCCCCTTAGTCCCAGGTGGATCAGCAGCAGGAGAAAGTTATAGATTTATTTATTTGCAATATATTTTATCAGGAAGCATACGTTGAGCTTTCTCTAATTTCCAAGAATTTCCTGGACAGCACTTACAGACACATATAATAGGAGACGTTTACACTGTCACATATAAGGATACAAATAGTACAGTTATAGATACATTGTTACATATATAATAAGAGACACATATAGTACAGTTATAGATACATTGTTACATATAATAAGAGACACATATAGTACAGTTATAGATACATTGTTACATATATAATAAGAGACACATATAGTACAGTTATAGATACATTGTTACATATAATAAGAGACACATATAGTACAGTTATAGATACATTGTTACATATATAATAAGAGACACATATAGTACAGTTATAGATACATTGTTACATATAATAAGAGACACATATAGTACAGTTATAGATACATTGTTACATATATAATAAGAGACACATATAGTACAGTTATAGATACATTGTTACATATAATAAGAGACACATATAGTACAGTTATAGATACATTGTTACATATATAATAAGAGACACATATAGTACAGTTATAGATACATTGTTATATATAATAAGAGACACATATAGTACAGTTATAGATACATTGTTACATATAATAAGAGACACATACAGTACAGTTATAGATACACCATTACACATATAAGGACACATACAGTACAGTTATAGATACACCATTACACATATAAGGACACATATAGTACAGTTATAGATACACTGTAACATATATCTTATCAAAGTTACTAACGACCTAATCGCAGCTAAATCCAAATGCCACTGCTCCATACTGATTCTTATTGACCTCTCAGCGGCCTTTGACACCGTTGATCATGCTCTCCTCCTTCAAACTCTTCAATCACTCTCTCTGTGACACTGTCCTCTCGTGGTTTTCCTCTTATCTCTCCCAATGCTCATTTAGTGTCTCCTTTTCTAATGATACCTCCTCCCCTCGTCCAGTCTCGGTTGGAGTCCCCCAAGGCTCTGTCCTTGGTCCCCTTCTATTTTCCCTGCCTCTCTTGGCAAACTTTTGGATTCCACTACCACCTGTACGCTGATGACACCCAGATATATCTCTCCTCCCCGGACCTCTCCTCTGCCGTCCTGCAACGTGTCACTGCTTGCCTTTCTTCCATCTCTGACTGGATGTCCTCCCACTTTCTGAAGCTTTAAAACTGAGCTCCTTGTCTTTCCTCCTCCTAATAATGATCCTCCTCTCTTGCTATCCCTTTAAGTTAGTGGTATCCACATAAGTCCATCCTTGCAAGCGCGCTGTCTTGGCATCATACTTGATTCTGGCCTCACCTTTTGAGCCTCACATCCAGTCTGTCACCAAATCCTGTAGATTCCAACTTAAAAACATCACCCGCATCCGCCCCTTTCTTACACAAGATGCTACCAAGGAGCTTGTCCATGCTCTAGTAATTTACCACATGGATTATTGTAACCCTTTCCTGATTGGTCTCCCCAAAAGCCGTATTGCCCCGCTACAGTCTGTAATGAATGCTGTCGCACTGATTGATTTTCCTCTCTAGCCAGTCCTCTCACACCTCACCCCTCTGCCAGTCCTTACATTGGCTTCATGAATCCGATAGGAGTCAATTCAAAATGCTAACCCATACCTATAAAGCACTGAACAATTCTAGCCCCTCCTATATGTCTTAACAGATCCATAGGTATGCCCCTTCTCGACCTCTACGCTCTGCCCATGACCTTCTCCTGTCCGCTGCTCATACCCATACGGCCAACCTACGCTTGCAGGACTTCTCGCGGGCGGCTCCCATCCTGTGGAATAGCCTGCCTACGACCATCAGACTCTCCCCTAGTCATCAATAGTTTAAGAAGTGCCTTAAAATCCATCTCTTTAGGAGAGCTTATGGCCTCTCAGAGTAATCTCTACCTCACATGCCTGTCTCTTGCTTTCTCCTATAGGGCAGCACTCTACTCTCTCCTCCAGCTCTGCTTCACTCCCACCCTATTTGATTGATATTTCCTGTCCTAACGTGTCTTATACCCCACCTCCTATAGACTATAAGTTCGTTTGACAGGGTTCTCTTCAACCTATCATTCCTGTAAGTTTTCTTGTAATTGTCCTATTTATAGTTATATCCCTCCTCCTATAATATTGAAAAGCGCTACGGAATCTGTTGGCGCTATATAAATGGCAATAATAATAATCATGTAATAAGAGACACATATAGTACAGTTATAGATACAATGTTACATATACTAAGACACATACGTACAATTATAGATACATTGTTACACATATAAGGACATATACAGTACAGTTATAGATACATTGTTACATATAATAAGAGACACATACAGTACAGTTATAGATACATTGTTACACATATAGTACAGTTATAGATACACTGTTACATATACTAAGACACATACGTACAATTATAGATACATTGTTACACATATAAGGACACATACAGCACAAATCATAGTGGATACATTGTTACAAATTCAATAGGCAAATCCAATGCAGTTATAAATTGAACAATGATTGGAGCTGTTTTGGATTGAAGGTAGAGGGATACAGGAGTTCATCTGGCGGCAGGGATGGCTGGATGACGGTTGTGGGATTTGCAATGTAAAGCAGCTGGGTTGCAAGGAAGATGTGCTGTTTAACCCCTTAAGGACCAAACTTCTGCAATAAAAGGGAATCATGACATGTCACACATGTCATGTGTCCTTAAGGGGTTAAATTGTGTACATTATAGAGTGGGAGGCTCTCTCATTGGCCGCTAATCACACAGCCTTCCTCCTGCTGCTGATGTCAGACACAAGTAGGAACTGGGACTGCATTATCAGCCGGAGATAAAGGCAGCAAGGCAGTAGGCATCAGCAGAACAGCTCATCTCTGCAACTGTGGACATACACTGGGACTTACTGCAGGGTAACTGGCCATACACTGGGACTTACTGCAGGGTAACTGGCCATACACTGGGACTTACTGCAGGGTAACTGGCCATACACTGGGACTTACTGCAGAGTAACTGGCCATACACTGGGACTTACTGCGGGGTAACTGGCCATACACTGGGACTTACTGCGGGGTAACTGGCCATACACTGGGACTTACTGCAGAGTAACTGGCCATACACTGGGACTTACTGCAGGGTAACTGGCCATACACTGGGACTTACTGCAGGATAACTGGCCATACACTGGGACTTACTGCAGAGTAACTGGCCATACACTGGGACTTACTGCAGGGTAACTGGCCATACACTGTGGCTTACTGCAGGATAACTGGCCATACACTGGGACTTACTGCAGGGTAACTGGCCATACACTGTGGCTTACTGCAGGGTAACTGGCCATACACTGGGACTTACTGCAGAGTAACTGGCCATACACTGGGACTTACTGCGGGGTAACTGGCCATACACTGGGACTTACTGCAGGATAACTGGCCATACACTGTGGCTTACTGCAGAGTAACTGGCCATACACTGGGACTTACTGCAGGGTAACTGGCCATACACTGGGACTTACTGCGGGGTAACTGGCCATACACTGGGGCTTACTTCAAGATACCAGCTGGGCAGATACAGAAATCCGCAGTGTAGGGCACCAGCTGGGGAAGGTACAGAGGCATCCTGCATTATAGTAGCCTGGGGTAATTAGAGGGGAGGGTTCTTGTACGATACCAGCTTGGGGCATTTACAGGGGTGGGGTTCTTGTACAATACCAGCTAGGGGCATTTAAGGGGGTGGGGTTCTTGTAGAATACCAGCTTGGTGTATTTAAGGGGGGTAGTTCTTGTAGAATACCAGCTTGGGGTAAATACAAGGGGTTCATTGCAATACCAGCTTTGGGGTATTTAAGGGGGTTCTTGTAGAATACCAATTTGGGGTACTTACAGGAGGCTTCCTGTCTGGAGTAAGCCTACCGTATACCAGCCTTGGGTAATTACAAAGGGGGGGCATTCTACCATATACCAGCCTGGGGTAATTACAGGGGTCTTCCTGCAGAATAGCATTTTGGGGTAATTCCAGGAGGGGCTTCCTGTTTGGGGCAGTTCCTGCAGGCTCTCAGTTGGGGCAGATCCAGGGAGAGGCAGGCATTGCTGAGTCCTGGGCTGGCCATTGTCTGGATGCTGTGATATTACCCACAGGGATGGCTGCAGAGCTCTGATCCTCCTCCATTCCCACGCGTGGATCCTGACCCTGCTGCAGGTGTGAATTACGGTGTGAATTACAGGATACACGGGATGATCGCAGCCTGGACAGCCTCACCCTGCTCTCCCTGAACCATTCGGTTTAATGACCGGAGAGGCACCTTCTACAAACCTCTTTTTTTCCGGGGTCCTTTGGGGGCCCCTACAGACCGACACAGCACCCCCAATCTTGGGCTGGTTTCTGGGATCCCCTCACTGTGCCCCCCACATACCATGCTGCTAAAGGAGTACAGGATATGTATGCCTCTGACTGTAGAGGAGGTAAGTGACCCTGCTCTCTGGACTACAAGGGGTTAATGCTTTATTGGGGTGTGTGTGTGGGGGGGGGGGGGTTAAAGAATTCACTGCTGGGTTGGAATCTGGTGACCCAAGCAGTGGTGCTGGTGTGGGGAAGCTGAGGATTGTATAATATATGCTGGCTAGTATAATGTTTCTCCTGGTGCTGTTAACCCATTCATTGCTGGGAAAGCTGACATGTTCCCAGTCCCAGTGCTGGTAACCCAATGCACAGCTGTCATAGCAATCCTATTCTCTGCACTAGTAGTGTTAACCCATTCATTGCTGGGAAAGCTATGTTCCAGTGGCCACAATACACTCTGCATAATTTTCAGTCCTGCACTAATGTGGGATCTTCTATTGTCTGTAACCCATTCAGGCATGGCTGGTATCCTCTGATGACATTAACCCATTCAGGCATTACTGTTATTCTCTGATCACATTAACCCATTCAGGCATGGCTGGTATCCTCTGACATTAACCCCTTCAGGCATGGCTGGTATCCTCTGATGACATTAACCCATTCAGCACAGTGCTGGATAATTTGACATGTCTTACTGACTGAAACCCATTCTGTGCTAGGTAACATTTTCCCCTGTAAGGATTTACACATTCATTGCTGGATTATGTATACCCTCTCTTAGCAGTAACCCATTCAGTGATGAATAGTGTGACGACCCCTGGGTCCATTAACCCATCCACTGCTGGATCATCTAATGTCTGGTAATCCTATTAATTAATTCATCTGGTGCTGGATAATCTGACTTCCTTTAATGCCAGCATCCAATTCTGTGCTGAATCACCCAAGTTCATCTGCTGCCAGTAATTAACCTATTCAGTGCTGGGTAATATGAATTACTCTTTTGGCAGTAACCCATTCAATGCTGGATAGATAACATGACTGTCTTTAATGCCAATAACCCATGCATTTCTGGGAGGTCATCTAACCTCCACTATCCAGTATAATCTGGTTTACTACACCAAGCTGTATACATCCTACCCTTACCTCTTGTGTCACCTTACCACACTCCTTCAAGAATGTAAGCTCCTTTGATCAGAGCCCTCAACACCCTCTGCCCCTGGGCTCGTATTGTTTTTTGTTCCAAATACTTGTCTGATAGTCCACCTTTTGTACAGCGCTGCGGAATTTGTTGGCGCTTTATAAATAATAATATTAGTGATAATAATGTGACAAATTATATTAACCCATTCAGTGCTGCTAAAACTACAGCTAACCCATTGACTTATGTAATGTGCAGTACTGGGTTTTCTGCCCTGCTTGAGTGCCATGATTAAGCCGTTCATGAATTGTCTATCAAACTTCACAAACCAGTGTTCTGATTAAGGAAACAGACCAGGCTGGCATTCCATGCCCTCTGTGCCAATGTCACATTCATTGCATTGGACATTTACATTAACCCCCGCATAGCAGCGGCCTATGATGCATTTAGCCCTCCAGGTACCTCTTGTGTAGACTTTCTTACTGTACTGGCACAGCCTTTGGCACATCCTGCAGTTAACTCTTCCTCTCTCAGGACACACAATCAGGGTTACTATAGGCCCCTGGTCACTGTCTGGAGGGTTATAGTCCTCATACTGTGTAGCAAATGGAATAAAACCAAACACACATGGTTTGTATTAGTAAAAATTATATTGCAACTTCCCACTGTCTTATGCGTTTTCTTGCATAAATAACCATATTTGACTATTTCGATCTGTTTCGTCTTGCAGACTGTTAATGTCGCACGTTTTTAAGTGTTTTTTTTTAACCATTTATTCACCTAGAGGTGTGCACGATGTTTAATGAGAGAGATTTCACATTGAATAGAGGAATTCTCTCCATGTACTGGAATTAGAGAGAATTGACAGGGTCAACGTAGGCCGTGTAGACCATTTTTTGGCCAATACAACCAAGCTGTGAAAACCTCCAACGCTGCAAGATTCTGAATCATGTTGCTTTGGCCTGATATGTACAATGTACTTGTCAATTCTCTACAATTCCCAGTTTCATGGATAAACCCGTCACATTCAGATAAACTTCACAAACTGTAGTAAATAATCTCAGTAGAACCTCGGGAACTGAGATCATTCTTAAATATCACCCCCAAGTAATTGAGCTGGGGGATGGCTGCATTAGTGGCCAATGAGACTCCAGGATTGTGAGGAAGATGCCGTGCAATGTATAGTGATTTGGAGTATCTTCATCACTGTTGGGAGAACTAGCCAGTTCAGGCAAAACGCCGCCTTATTTACATTTACGCCGTCTCTGTGCATATTTACATTAATCATAATTCCCAAGTGTCCTTATTTGGCAGGGACAGTCCTTATTTTATGTCCTAATCCTTCTGTACCTCTTTTCTCTCCTAATGTTCCTCTATTCTAGGAGCTCCGTATTGTTGGTGTGCCTGAGTGTATCACAGAGCTCCACGGCAATAATACTCCCAGTAATGTGTCTGACTGTATAACAGAGCTCCACAGCAATAATACTCCCAGTAATGTGTCTGAGTGTATAACAGATCTCCACAACAATAATACTCCCAGTAATGTGTCTGACTGTATAACAGAGCTCCACAGCAATAATACTCCCAGTAATGTGTCTGACTGTATAACAGAGCTCCACAGCAATAATACGCCCAGTAATGTGTCTTTAAACTACAATAAAAGTTTAAAAATCAGTCCGTGTAAATAGGATACATTGTTCTTGTTATAATTTACATTTTAGTTTGTATAAATTATTAAGTCACCTAAAATTTCTTAGTACAGCCTCCCCCCCGGCCACTCCCACTCCTAAAATTAAAGTGCTCCTCTTTGTCTATGTGAAAAGTTGGAAGCTATTTATTAATCTCTATGTAAGATATATAATGGTTTTAACTTTCTGCTTGGTTAATATATGCAGTTATTATATTTAGATGCACGTGAATAACATGCATCAATCTTTGACATCAGATGAGGTATACAAACAGCACACACTTTTGAGTGTAACGTAAGGAACATTTGGGATACTTAAGCCATGATGGGGTGCTCAGCATCATCAAGTAAAGAGTGTGTGTGGGGGGGGGGGAGGGTAAATAATCTGGCACTAATAGGTGGTTTCTGGTTGCCCACTGAGAGGGAAGCATGTCACATTCGTCCGAGTCTGACTGCCCTATCTACCCATTGGCACAGCGATCAGAGACTCTGTACATCCGAATCATCAATCAGAAAATACTTCTCGCCGCTTGGTACCTGCAGATGATTGCGGTAATGTGTTCTGAAGGTCTGTAATGAAAAGGGAAGGGTACACTATTAGCCAAATCTTATCTGATCATCAAAAGCGGACTGTGAACTCAGCATGACAGGACCATTCTCTTCAACACATTTGCATTTAATGTGAGAACATTACTCCATAATACTTTGGATACAGTTCAATAAATCAGTGATTTACTGGCATGACTAATATGTATACATCTTGCCAATGTTAATTTATTCACTCTCTTACAGCGCTCCTTCCATCACGAGATACCTTCACACATGGTATCTTCACGGTTTAAGCATGGATCCTCTTTAATATCGGTTCTCGGTTCCTGTCGTACATTGCGGCACACTTTTAGATAATCTCAAATAGTTTCTGCCATTTCATACTTTTCACACAGCGGGATTTGCATCCGTCGTTGGTCCTTTCAAATCTGTAAATTAACAAGTCATTATATTATAAGTCTCTGTTTGAGATAAGTATAAGAATGTGTGTCCTACTTTTTGTTCAGGCCAAGATTGCATTTTATTTATTTGTGTAGAAATTGTTCTGTTTTATTGTTTTTCCTTTCTCGGAAGCAATACGCTGAGATTTATACCAGCAAAACATACAACAATGTAACATAGATCCCTATAGATACCTAATTGCAGACATTCTTATTTCATGCCTCCAACGAGTCCAAGATTAGGTGAGAAGGTCTGGATTTCACATTTTGGTGTATTATGTTTCTGAATTTTTTTGGTGCAGAGCAAGTTCACAATTAAATCTGTTCCAGAATGCATTTCCGCCCATGCAATTTGAACAAGCCCTGTTGGCTGACAATTTTAAGTGATGGCCCAATGCACATATTCCCTTTAGCCTCATCTCCCCCATCCTGGTGGAAAGACTTTGCAATGTTTAGAAGTATGGTGCAGATTATGTTTCAAGATTCAACATGTTCCTGCGTCTGCTTTTTGTTATCTCCAGCCTATGA